GGCTTTAAAGCAGTGCAATCATTTTGAAATTTTTATCATTTACTTATTATGCTTCATTAAGTACTTATACAAAATTTTATTATAATAAAACCATTTAAATTGGGTGTTCGGATTTATATGTCACTTAGTATATATAGTTTCGCATAGCCTAAGTGTTTATTCTAAAAAAACTGTGTTCATATCATTCTTCCACATTTGTTATATAGTTCGACTATTTTGTTCATTGCAAACTGTATTTTCAAAATTACAAATATTACAAAATAAAGCTTTGAGAATCATCTTAAAAATAAACATACTAGAATAAATTTCATGCTTACAGAACTACATTGGTTGAATATCAAAAATTTCATAACCTACTTGGTTTTTATTTTCGTATTCAAGTTAAAAAATAATCTAGCAAATCACTTAGAAAATTTTATTGAAATGAACAATGAGTACCTTCGTTACTCTACTAGAGGAAGTATAGACTTTAATTTACAAAATTGTGTAGCAGCATAACAAACAAATCAGTATTTCAAAAAGAATTGTACGAATTTGACAAATTAAGTAATGATATATCAAGATGTGTGCCAGTTTGATAATGTTCAAAGGGAAATTGAACAAATATTTCAAGAAAAAGCAGAATTCATGGTAGTCAAATTTTGTATAAAATTATGTAGGCTTGAAGACATAAACTATTATGTAATATAACTGTGTAACATTGATATTGAAGCATTAACGCTAAATAAATCCACAACAACAACAACAAAGATCGACGGCATTACGTGATAGCGCATTCACAAAAAAAATTGATTCCCGAGAAAAGATTGAAGCACTCATTGAACGTCATTGCCTCCAGTGGCGTGCAGTTAAAATTTGCTACTTTGAGATTATGCAATTTAAACCGAATTTATAAATCTTACTATGCAATTAAACATCTTAATGAACAAATCCAAGTGAATACTCTTAATACAGGGGTGTATTCCAGTGGCGTAGCACTAAAAGCATGTTTTGGTTTGGTAAGAAGAGCTAAGAACTTGAAAATTCTTATTTTTCAAAATGCTATGATGCTATTAATTTTTTATCTCGATTTTTTTATCTTTCTCATTCAGCATTGGCATACGCGTCTTCATTGGAGATGTTTTCTTCATCATATCGTTCCAAAGCTTGCCTCCAAACAAGGACCCCAACAATCAGAGTGGTATAGGTTGACATGCAATTTTGCCACTGCTGATGCCAATTTATCCGATTCTGTGCCCATTGCTACCTGGCGCGACGCCTTGCTCTGGAAGAAATGCTACTTTAAAAAAAGTAGCTAGCAAATTTTTTATATATATCTATATACCTTAACAAATTAGCATTTAAAGTTCTTCTTACATTGTATGCTATACTAAGTGACATATAAATCCGAACACCCAGTTTAAATAGTTTTATTTTAATAAAAGTTAGTGAATGTATTTATCTTACTGTAAATAACAAGTGAAAAAAATTTCAGCCTTATCAGTTGGACATTCCGGTTTTTATACTGCTTTTTTTTAATTCACTAACGCTCTAAAAATGAATATTTCAGACGCAGTAATGAATCAACGTTGGCGGATTTTGGTTCTTGACATCTTTTACGATCGGTTACGATGCCTAGAGTACGGAGACCTGTACGATTTCGTCAACTTAGTGAGTTTGATAGGGGCCGTATAGTGGGAAGCTGGACTTTCTTTTCGGGCAATTGCAGTTAGAGTGCAAAGAAGTGTAGACACTGTGGTTAGGTGTTGTCAGGCATGGCTTCGAGAAGGCCGTACGCAAAGAGCAAGGGGCACTGGACGCCGCCGTAGAACAACAGACCGTGAAGATCGCCGCCTAAGATTATTGGCTTTAAGGGACCGTTTCTCCACTACCAGGTTCATTGCAAATGAATGGTTTGCAGAACACCTATTGGCATGCGAAGTGTTTACCGACGAATGAGAAGTTTTGGCTTGTTTTCATACCGGCCACACTGGGTCCTCCCTTTAACTCGAGAACACCGACGTAATCGCCTTGAGTGGTGCAGACAACGGTCACTCTGGGATCAGGAATGGAACAGTATTGTCTTTAGTGACGAGTCTCGATTTTGTTTAGGCATGCACGATGGTCGTACCAGGGTTAGAAGGCGACGTGGTGAAAGGAGGAATCCACAGTTTTTTGTTGAAAGACATGTTCATCACACTGTTGGAGTTATGGTTTCGGGTGCTATAGCTTATGGTTCCAGGTCACCTTTAATCTTCATCAGAGGTAACATGAACGCGCAGCGTTATATCCACGAAGTTCTAGAACCCCATCTTTTACCCTATCTTGACACCCTGGCAGATCCAACTCTCCAACAAGATAATGCCCGACCACAAGTTGCAAGAGTCACAATAGACTTCTTTCAACATAATGATGTCACATTGTTACCATGGCCACCAAAATCTCCCGACTTATCCCCAATTGAGCACGTGTTGGATATGATGGGTAAGAGATTGCTCAATTTGCAAGGTCCTCCTCAGACTCTAGAAGCACTTCGAGAGGAGTTGGTGGTTGCCTGGAATGAGATACCACAGGAGGACATTGACCACCTGATCAGAAGCATGCCTAGGCGCGTTGGAGAATGCGTAGCACATCAGGGTGCATCCACACATTATTAAAGGTCAAAGGGCTTTAAAGCAGTGCAATCATTTTGAAATTTTTATCATTTACTTATTATGCTTCATTAAGTACTTATACAAAATTTTATTAAAATAAAACCATTTAAACTGGGTGTTCGGATTTATATGTCACTTAGTATATTATTCCACTGTGCTGCCATAGGTTTTTATTCAAGGATCTGGATGAAAGGGTCCTCCTTCGCCTTACTTACTGCAATAAATGTCTTTCCGCCCGACCTCGCATTTTTTTCGATTACCTCCTGCAAGTAGGACGTTTCCCCGGTATCCTGATGTCTACGACTTAAACAATATATTGAGGACCGATCAACATTATAAATTGAAGCTACATCATTCACTAAACGACCTCCTCCCAGAGGTCTCGTGGTGGCCATTTATCGAATGTCCTATTTCATGTTCAATCGCAACTATATGTTGAAATATAAATACCTACTCGTTTAATTCGAAAAGAAATTGTGTTGAAAATTAGATCCGGCGCTCTTATTGAGACACCCTTTATATGACGTACGCCACGAAAAACCATATGTCACTCATTTGCGTAAGACTGTCAGTCGGTCTGTCTGTCCCTATAACTTGGGAAGTACCACTATGATTTGTATGACATTTCCACACAAGATCATTACTATGCCAAGGACGAAAGTCGGTCCAGTGGCGGCGGAGCTAGGGACAAAAACATGTAAAAAAAACGCTCAAACTTCATTTTTTGACGTTCAGAACCTCCTGATCATTTGTAGAAAAATGTTTGTAGGTGTTGAAATTCGGGGGTTATATGAAAATTTTCTAATGTTAGTGTATATTTATACGCTCCCAATTCCGGTAATTATATGAACCAATTTCATGCATCGTAGATTACCCCGTACATTTGCCTCTGAAACGCAGATGTGGGAAGGGACAACGTTGCCAGAAGGACAGTAACTACCGGTAGGACAGGGAAAGAATGTCTACGGACTAATTCTTTGGGCTGTTTGAATGACTTCATCCGTTTAATTACACTGTTGTACATATTCATAAATGACTTATTTCTCAGAGGATTTAAATTGCGCTAATCTTAATCCTTTATGAATTGATAACGGCGTTGCGTGGGAAATGCAGAGTCAACCTACTTGCCGCCATTTTTTACTATGATTTGCGATTGTTTCAATGTACGAGGGTGGTCCCAGAAGTAACCGGCCTGACCTAGAGATGGCGACAGTTGTTTGAAAAATATCATTGTATTAGAAAGTATGCAACCTATAAAGCATCTGTGTCAAGTTTGAAGACGCCACGCTGTTTAGCATTTGTTTGGTAGCCATCAATACTGAACGTTTTCAGTGAATTTGAGAAAATGGAGAAAATTGGTCACCGTTTTGTGGAACAATACTTTTATTTCAAAGGCCTCAGCCCAACCAATATAAAAGATGAACTGGATTCTACTCTGGGTGAGTCTGCTCCTTCGTTTACAACAGTAAAATATTGGTAGCTGAGTTTAAACGAGGCCGCATGACCTGCCAAGACGAGCATCGCAGTGGTCGACCAAATGAGGTGACGTCTCCATAAATCGTGAAGAAAATTCACAAAGCGGTACTGAATGATCGTCGACTGAAAGTGCGCGAGCTAGGAGACATAGTAGGCATTTCAACAAGTGCGGTTCATCGCATATTATCTGAAAATTTGGACATGAGAAAGCTGTGTGCAAGATGGACTCAAAAGGGACAACCGGCTCCAAAGAAGGCGAAGACCGTTTCATCTGCAGACAAGGTTATGGCGTCGGTTTTTTGGGATTCGCGTGGGATAATTTTCATTGACTATCTTGAAAAAGGCAAAACTATCAACGGCGAGTATTATGCGAACTTATTGCAACGTTTGAGCGATGAAATCAAGCAAAAACGGCCGCATTTGGTTAAGAAGAAAGTGTCGTTTCATCAAGACAATGCACCAGCTCACAAATCCGTTATTGCAATGGCCAAAATTAACGAATTAAAGTTTGAATTGCTACCTCACGCACCCTATTCACCAGATTATTTTCTGTTTCCAAACTTGAAAAACTGGCTCAAGGGCCAAAGATTTCCCAACGATGAAGAAGTGATGTCGGCAGTTAATGGCTATTTTGAGGAACAAGACAGTTCTTATTAAACAAGGGTATCGAACTTATTGAACATCGCTGGGAAAAGTGTATAGATACAAAATGTTTGTGTTTTCTTCGTTGGGTCGGGTACTTCTGGGACCACCCTCGTAAATACATAGCCATTTCAATATTCATTTTGAGGCGAGTTTCAGTCCAAATTTTGTAAGAAATCCGTAAAATTTGATAAAACTCAACAGAAATTATAAGACCGAAAATTCATCTGCCACCTAAACTAAAATAAAATCGAGCCGTCCTTCAATGTACTCTTTATTTGCAACAAAGGATGTAGTACAAAGGAACATTCATTGTAGGAATGTTGAATAAATAAATAACTTGACAGGTGTTAAAACATCACAATACATATTTCCAAGTTATACGACCCGACCCGCCTTATAACAATCATGATCTTTAATAAATGCTAATACTTTCCACTTCAAAAAATTACTTTATAGCCTTTGATATATAATACGAATGATGAACTAATCTGATCTTAATCTAGCATAAATTATTATCTTGACAGCTACTTACAACTTTTTTGTTGTTTCTACCATGTCATGGTATATTTGGTATTTATTACATCTAAATACTCATACATCAGAGCATATTTTATTTGTACGCTTTACCCTAGTGGTTATATATTACTCCATTTAACAAAAAAATTTCAATTCATGAATAATCTTGATTTCATATTCTAGATTACCTCTCTCACCTAAAAACTCACTGTGTGCATATATTTATCTGCTAAGAAAACGAAAGATTGAAATATGTATTTAAGAAAACAATACGTTTAATTTTAGGATGCTAAATCACTTGAACACATTATTCTCTATTAAGAATATTCCGTGACCTTGAATTTATACAATGAACTTTAGCTGCATTTAAAAGTTACTTTGAACTTGATCTTTCTATAAACACATAATTGACTTCTGATAACTGTCAATGCAGATTCGCGCAAACTATTAAAGATCAAATCAGATAAAGCAATGGAGTAATAATTCCACTACGATCGTACACCCATAAACTCAGAAATGTTTAATGACCTGGCACATTATCAAGAATATAAACTGTAAAGTGTTGATAAACAGTAACGTATCGATCTTGAGCAGAGATCAATGTAATTTAAAAAATACTATCAGTAAACTAAGGTAATAGTACATTCTTATTAGATTCGTAACACCTGCATGTCAGCTTATTTTTTGATATCTAGTGAAATTGTGCCATGATGAAAGTTACTGCTAAATGATGGAATCGTCTACCTCAAACACAATTCTCTTAGGTGCGGTATATATTTCACAAAAAATAAAAAAGCATTGCCTAACGCTCAAAATTAGCTAAGATTTAGACTTTGAATATCATCTAAACTCTTTTTAGCCTTCTGGGATATGCCATCCATGGATTTCTTCGCGCTGGACGCTATATCGTCCATCGTCTTCTTTGTATGGCTAAGTATCTCGTCCGTACTCCTCGTCAGATCTTTCACTTCCTCGTTTAACTTGTTTATCACCCATTCCATTGCTTGTCGGCCCTTGCCTGTAATAAAAACAAAATGTCAAGATATAACCAAATATAGGCAAATCTTCCAACTGACAACAACGTAGAGTTAGAGTAGGCTGTGATGACATTGGTGTGGACATGTCTGGTTTTTGTTTTTAGTCATTTTTGCAACATAGTGATTATATTTAAAGCATGCTGTGGCAATAATGTCGACGTTTTATCTTTGTTTTTGTTTACCTTTGTTAAAATGTTATCTCTTAGTTTTTGTGAATAAAGCAGTTTCTGAGAGCTGAGTAGTACAGATATTTTTAGTTATTGCCCTTTCAGTTACTAGTGTTAACCTAACAAAATGCCTCGAGTTTGAAGACGGCCAAATTATCACCGCTGCTGCCTGACTTTTCATACCGTCCACGGTTAGTGCTTCCTCTGATTACGGACCACTGTCGTCAACGCTTGAACTGGAGCAGATAACGGCAACATTGAGAGGCAGAATGGCATAATGTCATCTTCAGCGACGAATCGCGATTCTGTCTAGGTACGGACGATGATCGTAGAAGGGTAAGACGCCGCCTTGGAGAACGACGTGATATTGGATTTGCTGTCGAGAGGCATGTACACAGGACTGTTGAATGGTTTGGCCAAAAAATCAAGGCCAGGAAATTATTTTTTCTAGGTGTAACACTTCTAATGTCACTGAGAATATAATCGAAATCACGAAAGATGACGATTATGTCATCATTTTAGTCTGTAGTAAAGACAAACGACAGCGATTTGTGAATATTTTTAATGAAGTTTCAGATATGTTAGACAGAGACAAACAGAAGACGATGTTTTCATGTTGGATGTTCGATCATATTTGAAATATGAATAGTTAGGTTATGTTAAAGCAGGTTAGGTAGTTTTCGAATAATACTTTGGCCTTTGGTGTTCCTGTCTTAAGGTATTCTACTCATAACTGTTTTTTTCAAAACAAAATCTCCCCACTAAAATTATTATTACGGTACTCAAAACCATGAAATAAAATTAAAATAAAAATAATCAGTGAAATAACCTAACTTCGCAAAATCATAATACAAATTTGTTGTCATTATGTTCCTGACATCGTGATTTTATCATCGACGTACGTCCATTGATTACTTCAGAACAATTTATGGTATGACGTAATAGTCATATCTTTCGTGATTTTGACTATATCTTATTTTGTATTGTATGTACATGTTTCCTCACACAATAGGGTTGGGGGTAAGCTAACTGGCTAAACTTCGCCTTATCGTTGTGATTCTAATAAAGACATTTTATTATTATAATCATAATTATTAATATTATTGTTTGTTGTGAACATATTTTTTTAATTAAGTAATGTTAAACAAAAGCCATATCGCCAAATGAAATAAAGGGTACAATGGACGACCTATGGTGATAATTTGCTGGGAATATTCTAAATCGTTGTTAGAAAAACAAATATTCATCAAAACAATTACTAATTCAGATAACATTTCACTTGGATGGAGTTATTTATGCGTACATATAAACAAAAATAATCCGAGAATATAAGAAATGTCGTAATGTTTTAATAATATTATCAAAGCGACGACAAAATTGCGATATGGAAAATCCAAATAATCCCATTTTTTAACACAAAAATAAAAACATGAACAAAGTTCAATTATTTAGTCCACATTGATAATCCTTCAAATTAAATAGCATCAGATTCATAAATATTCAGATTAGTTCAATATTTGAGTAACTTACATCGTGTTTAAATTCTATAATTTAAAATATAACAATATCTCAAAAACTGCTGAATGAGTTTGGCATTATTCTTATTCAATAATCTTGTTATTGTAAAATTGTTTTTAATCCCCTGCATGCAGTCCGGAGACAATATAAAAAGATAAGAAAAACAACAAGCTATATTCAAATCGGGAAATTCCGGAACTCGCGCTGCAAACTGTACATTCTATCCCAGATAACATCGTATAAATGTATCAGTGTTTTGAACTTTGTGTGCTTCACTATCAGAAATTTGAGTGGCAAATTCCAACAGTGGAATTTATTTCCATGGAATAACCATATTTTTTCAAAAAGTATATTCTGACTATCTGACGTGAAATTTGGCGCCAAAAATGTGATGCAATAAAGTTCCTGTCCTTAGTCAGATGACAGTGATTGGTTGACATGTCTATCATGTTATATCGGTATCCGAAATAATAATCAAATCCTATTGGCTGGTTTCTTCTTAAAAACGAAAATAAAATGGACCATCCTTGGAAAATGGAGGCAAATAATCTATTTCAAATATTAGAACTACAATTTTGATTAGAGAAAATAGAAGAAAAATGCACTATATTTTATATAGTTTTTATATTATTTCTGTTTTTTCCAACAAATTATGTTATATTAGATTTCTATTAATTATTATGTATATTAAGCAAATAAGCAATATTTCTAGGGTAATGATATGGCGGACGCTCTTGTTGCGAAAGAAGTATCAGCGGACAAGCTTGTTGATCCTGAGCCATCCGAAGAGGTGCCCGCGCAAAGAGTCAGGAGGAAAATGGAGGATTGCAACAATCTCAGTAATAGAGAAGCATCTCTAGACATCTCCATCAGGCACGAGAGCTCATCGTAGAGCCCAGTGTTCAGGATGGACTTTTTTGCTAATCCTTGGATAGAGCCAATGTCAGGTTGCTGGTGGGCCTGATGTCTGGTCATCACACAATGAGGCGCCACCTACATGCGATGAGAGTGGCTGAGGATCAAAATGTGTGAGCGCTGCGGGGTAGAGGAAGAGTCCCCGGTGCATGTTCTGTATCGCTGCGAGACTCTGAGCTACTACAAACAGATACTTTGGATCACCAGAATGTTAAGGAGCTGGGACTATACTAGACTTCGCTAGAAGGGCGGAGCTTGGGGCTTAGGGAATTTAGTGGTGCATAAGGGCCCGGCCTCCAATTTCTTCATTCATTCATTCAAATCTGCTGTAAGTGTATCTTTGGAGCATTGCAACTTTTAAACAAAAAATTTCGCTTTATTATCCGAAGATAACTCGATCAAAAGCCTTTCAGCTATGATGTCGAAGGTTTGAGGATATTTGAATCATTAATTTGTGATTCTATAATACAATTATCGACTTACCAGCATTGCTAGAAATCTTATTGGCCAGCATATCCTCCATATAATGAGTGAGCGGTACGCCTTTAACCATAACGACGGCCTCCTGTTTCAGTAACGTCTTGCTCGGATCCGAGGGATGCGGGGTATAATTTAGGGTTTCGTTAACCGCGATGTGTCGACAGAAAGTGAGGTTGATGGTTTTGAGTACCATGTGGCGAGCGGACGGGTTCACTATGGACTGTTCGCTTGCGTAGCAGATCTTTGCGCTGCCGATTAACTGAAACAAGCGAAATGGATATCTTAGAAATATTAATATTAAAATTTCAAATAGTAATGTATAGAATTAATTGCTAAAATGCAGTGTAGGTAAACTCAGCGATGTCAGATTAAAATGTATACTAAGTGACATATAAATCCGAACACCCAGTTTAAATGGTTTTATTTTAATAAAAGTTGGTGAATGTATTTATCTTACTGTAAATAACAAGTGAAAAAATTTTCAGCCTTATCAGTTGGACATTCCGGTTTTTATACTGCTTTTTTTTAATTCACTAACGCTCTAAAAATGAATATTTCAGCCGCAGTAAAGAATCAACGTTGGCGGATTTTGGTTCTTGACATCCTTTACGATCGGTTACGATGCCTAGAGTACGGAGACCTGTACGATTTCGTCAACTTAGTGAGTTTGATAGGGGCCGTATAGTGGGACTTCGGGAAGCTGGACTTTCTTTTCGGGCAATTGCAGTTAGAGTGCAAAGAAGTGTAGACACTGTGGTTAGGTGTTGTCAGGCATGGCTTGGAGAAGGCCGTACGCAAAGAGCAAGGGGCACTGGACGGCGCCGTAGAACAACAGACCGTGAAGATCGCCGCCTAAGATTATTGGCCTTAAGTGACCGTTTCTCCACTACCAGGTCCATTGCAAATGAATGGTTTGCAGAACACGGAAGACCTATTGGCATGCGAAGTGTTTACCGACGAATGAGAAGTTTTGGCTTGTTTTCATACCGGCCACACTGGGTCCTCCCTTTAACTCGAGAACACCGACGTAATCGCCTTGAGTGGTGCAGACAACGGTCACTCTGGGATCAGGAATGGAACAGTATTGTCTTTAGTGACGAGTCTCGATTTTGTTTAGGCATGCACGATGGTCGTGCCAGAGTTAGAAGGCGACGTGGTGAAATGAGGAATCCACAGTTTTTTGTTGAAAGAAATGTTCATCACACTGTTGGAGTTATGGTTTGGGGTGCTATAGCTTATGGTTCCAGGTCACCTTTAATCTTCATCAGAGGTAACATGAACGCGCAGCGTTATATCCACGAAGTTCTAGAACCCCATCTGTTACCCTATCTTGACACCCTGGCAGATCCAACTTTCCAACAAAATAATGCCCGACCACATGTTGCAAGAGTCACAATAGACTTCTTTCAACATAATGATGTCACATTGTTACCATGGCCACCAAGATCTCCCGACTTATCCCCAATTGAGCACGTGTGGGATATGATGGGTAGGAGATTGCTCAATTTGCAACGTCCTCCTCAGACTCTAGAAGCACTTCGAGAGGAGTTGGTGGTTTCCTGGAATGAGATACCACAGGAGGACATTGACCACGTGATCAGAAGCATGCCTAGGCGCGTTGGAGAATGCGTAGCACATCAGGGTGCATCCACACATTATTAAAGGTCAAAGGGCTTTAAAGCAGTGCAATCATTTTGAAATTTTTATCATTTACTTATTATGCTTCATTAAGTACTTATACAAAATTTTATTAAAATAAAACCATTTAAACTGGGTGTTCGGATTTTTATGTCACTTAGTATAGTTGGATCGGCAGCATCCCAAAAATGTGAGCAATACTCGATTCTGGGTCTTATCTGGGCAGTGCACAGAGTGAGGAGATCATGCGGAGAAACGTACTACTTAGAACTAAACAAATATCCTGGCTTTTTTTATGTCTAACAACTACGTAGTATCACATTTTACAATTTCCAACCCCAAATATTCAACCTTCCAAAAAACAAATTCTGAGAATCAGCTGGTGTCTCTAAAACGTTAAAAACGACGTTTCGACGATTTCCTAAATCCTCAATATCGCACTTATAACACCCCTTCCCCCCATCTCCCCAAATTTTAGGGGTTATTTTCTTACAAATGCCATACCCTTTTAAAAGAATTTCCGGTCGCCCTAAATGTGCCACTTTAACCATTTGAATGGAGTGGACACTGATCGGTATGTTTCTGACTTTGTCTTCCACCACCGTTGGCACGGAACAGGTGAAATCTAGAAATACCCCAGCCTTTCTGAAGGAGAAAAAAGACTATGGCCTCCCGGATTTTCATAGTTTTCTACTCTTCCATGTCAGCGCTCTATTTTGAGGTTATGTTACTAATATCTATTTGCATCAAATTGTTCATGCTTTTGATTTATATCATCTATTATATACGTTGACACTGGACAGTAGAAATATCCCAGCCTTTCTGAAGGAGAGGAAGTACTATGAAAATCAAGGAGGCCATAACGGCGTCCTACAATTATAGGAACGACTGACGACACGGCCCTTAGTTAACAAACTGATGATACAATAATTGTACTAATAAAAAAATGGTATATGTCTACAAGCGCTGTCGCAAAGTAAACAGGAGAAAGAAAGAAATGAACAAACATTTTTTGTTTCTGAAAATCGATTTTTTTATTCAAAATAGTCTCCTTCAGAGCTAATATAGCGATTTGCACGAACCAAAAGAATGATGATTTTAACTCATACAAAATGGTCGTCGACTCCTTTGTATAGTCAAATAGTCAACACTGTGCCATATCAGGAAAATATGGGGAGTTACTATCAGAGACGTGACGAACTGCAGAAATGTAACCGGTACATCAAAGGCAATCTCAGAATAACATTAAGTAATCATACTAATTTGAAAATGTTTATGCAACTCATATCATCTATTTTTCATGAGCAGTGTACGATACTTCATTATCATCGTTCGCAATTGAGTATCATACATAATCGACATGCAATTCTATAAAGGTTTACAGACCATATTCCGTATCTGTCGATAAGTTTTTGCACACATTTAGTAGACGCTTAGTAAGTGATATAAAAAAATTCGATCATCTGTTAAATATGTAACAGAGTAAAAATAATATGTTCCAAAATCATAAAGTAAGATTACATCAGAGCAAATTCACACATCATTTACGCAATCAGAAAAAAATACAGGTGAAAATTAGATAAGAGATACAATGGAAATAATAAGCTTAGATTAGATGAGTCTGTTCTAATAGTATTAACCTTGGATAAATTTTGGAATATTTCAGACAATGAGCTAATTGTCCGCTTAAGTTGCATTTTATAAGTAACAATTACCAATGATTAACGTTTTCTACATGAATATATCCAATCTAATATTAATTCCCTTATTCAAAAAATTATCCGAGATATTACGGATTGTACACACTGTAACAAGAGTTTGGAACTCATCAAATATCTGACGAATGAGTCAACTGATTTTTTTTTAAATTGGTTTAGGTTCGAAACCGCAGCGGATCCGTTGATGATATCCGCGATGTTTTTCAGAAACTGATAGCAACTTTTGTTTTTCTTATGGAATACTATACATTTTATTCGATATTTGCATTTTGCGAGAAAAGCTAAATAATTTTTATTAAACATACTTTGACGTAGACCTCAAAGTTAAATAAGCTAAATAACAATAAAAAACGTCTTGCTGTGTGCGTCGACGATCGCCTTTAACCCAGAACCATTAGAATTTCTATTCTCTACGTCAAAGTATGTTCAACAGAAAGTATTCCGAATTTCTCGCAGTATACAAATATCGAATAAAATGTATTCCATAAGAAAAAAAAAATTGCTGTGAGTTTTTGAATAACTGTAGATTTCCGATACCATGTACTCGCTCTTGTGCACACAATTGCAATTAATAAATATTTCACGCTCGCAGTTACTCTGTACACCTAAAACAACTATCTCTAAGTTTAAATATTATTTGAAAGATCACCTCCTGCATAAAAAAGTGTAATGTATGTGTGTTTGTATATGCTTGAAGATTTCATTTCAAATGTAAATGCATTCACATAACTTTGTTCAGTATTATACTTTTTTGATATCTGGGTCAAGTAGAAGAACAGCTACGTGAGCTAAACTTCGCCTTTTTATAATGTAATACATAATTACAAATAAATAATTGGTGTGTAGAGGAGAAACTTAGCTGTGACAAATTCTCACAGTTGACACCACAGCATTTCATTTCTTTCGGATAATTCTTTTGACACCTGCCAAATTATTTTATACAGTCAAAACAGTCTCTACCGATGTTTGATGATTTTCTTTATAACAGTAAAATTGTAATAACGTAAATTAATTCATGCGCAATAGAAAATAGTTCGTTAATAAAGATACAATATTAAAATATAACAATCTAGATTTTATAGTTAATGATCCTTCGTTTTTTACAATATTTCTTTAAGTACTCAGTGTTTAGACTTGGCCTTGCTTCGTGATGATATTTATCGTTAGAATATCGATTGCATGAATTTTTAAAGCCTTTCAAACAATTCATGATAAAATTATGGGATGAAAAGTTTGTTGATTGTCGTATCGTATCGATATGAAGCTGCTTTTTAAATACAGTTTCAAGGTTTCTGTTTTAGCTTGCCATATTTCATTTGGAAGTAGGGCACAATAATAACAATAGTATAAAATAATGTTGATAGATTCAAATGTTATACTTATTTTAAAAATCGCTTGACTATTATTTCTGAAATATCTACTACGATTTTATTAAAATTGCTTTCTATCATTTTCGCGGAAACATCTGCACAACTATTAGTATCGCCACTACTCAGCCAAGCGCAGTGTGATACAAAATTGAGTAACCATCCAATCGTATATACGCATCACACCAATACACATATACAGTAATGGACAAAAGTATATAGACAAATATGAATAGTTACCTAAATACCTTTAGAAAACGAATTCATACTTCATTGCTCCATAAACAAATGCGTTACTAGTAGAAAAACTAAATTCCTTGTTTTTACATTATCTGCAATGAACACAATATGAGTCTGAATAAAAGCACTTTTTTATGAGAGACAAAAATACGTAGACAAATTCTTTTCAACATTAGTTTAGTACAGTTTCATGTCAGAAGAGGATTAGTTTGTGTTCATCAAGTATTGTGGAATAAGTTGAGTGATTTTAAGACCATGCCGCGTGGTCCAGAAATTTCTTTCAATGTGAAAACTAGGATCATTGAGTTATACAAAGATGGTCAACGTCAAGTCGACATTGCCAAAAATTTGAAGCTGAAGCAGTTTGGGCAATATTGAACAAATATAAACAAAGAGGTATCTTGAAAGCGTCTAAGAGAAGTGGTCAGCCTAGAAAACTAAATGCTTGATCACTTAGATTGATAAAAGTAATTTCGTCCAAAGATCCGTTTAAAACCCCAAGACAAATAAAAGCCGAAATGGAGACAAAAGGAATTTTCAGTGTTTCTACGAAAACTATAAATAGAAGATTAAATGATTTGAAGTTATTTACACGTCGACGGAGTAAGAAGCCGCTAATCTCGAGGAAAAACCATAAGGACCGATTACAATTTGCACGGTTGCATCTTGATTGGAACATCTGTGACTGGAAGAGGGTATATTTCAGTGACGAATCCAAGTTCAATATGTTTGGATCAGATGGTGTTCATTACGTTAGACGTCCTAGTGGACAAAGATTGAACCCCAAGTACACTTTGCCCACTGTCAAACATGGAGGCGGGTCTGTTATGGTTTGGGAGTGCTTTTCGGGGTTTGGGATGGGACCTTTACATAGAATAGATGGCATTATGGATAAGTTTGTATAAACAGACATACTTAAGCATGTCATGTTACCCTTAAGATCAATCTTCCAGCAAGATAATGACCCGAAGCACACTTCAAATCTCGCAAAGAAATTCTTTCTGGATGAAAAAATACCAGTTCTCAAATGGCCTTCACAGTTTCCCGATATAAACCCCATTGAAAGTCTATGGGAATACTTATATAAGCACATACGAGATAAAAATTATTCAAACAAGGATGAACTTTTTGCCGCTTTAGAGCAAAAGTGGAGACAGATTGATGAATATTATATCAAGAAACTTCTACAATCTATGCCGAGACGATGCCAGGCGGTGATTGATAATAATGGTTATGCTACAAAATATTAACACAAACATGGTTGGTTTTCTATAATTCAATGAACTTTGCTTCTTTTTTCTATAATTGTTGTCTATATATTTTTGTCCTTCATAGTTCCAGTTGTTTTCAATTAATTTTTTGTTGAAGGGAGTCTAATGAATTTATTTATGTATAAGTGAGTATTATGCTATAAAGAATTATGTATACAGGTTGGAGTATTAATAAAACAAGTTAAAAAAGAAATACAGCACAATATTAATTAGTCTATGTACTTTTGTCCATTACTGTATGTCGAAGTTTATTTATTTTTGACCCAGTAACAGTTCAATTTCTGATCCAATTGCTCGCAAACTCGATAATATGTTGTTTTGATAATTCGACATAACATGCTAATATATCTACCATCACATTCACATGTTGGATCCAACGTGGTATGAACTACAATCATCTATCATTCAGGCCAATGCGCATTGGCTTAGCGTTCGCCTACTTTGGCCAATTTGTGTTTGGGATATAAAAGAAAAAAGAGTAAATATACAAGGCATAATCGATTGGAATCAATATTTAACATTATTTTTTGCTATATCGGTTTTGGGACAATATGTCAGTATTTTCGAATCAGGGTATATTGGCTTTTTGTCGCTTTGAAAACACAAAACGTTTTTGACAGCCAGAACACCTACCCAAGAGACAATTCTGCATGTCAAAAATTGGTTGACCTCTAAATCAATGATGGAGTACATGTATTGAAAGGTTACGACGCGAAGGGACAATCAGATAACACTTTATGCGTATCTCCAGGTCATCCAGACATATGCACAGACCGGACAAGAGTGAAAATGTAATTAGTGCGTGCTTGCTCGAGATTCGGTAAAGTGTATTTTTAGTTTCATCAAATATCTTTATAATATTAAGATAATGTTATACAACATTTATAGATAGACCGATGGAAATCAGTAATATTTATTACAAATCCGTTAAGCATGACGAGAACAATCAACTAAATGCATCATTACACTTTCAATAACGTTTTCTAATTTTCTCTGTGTGTTGTGGCTATCATCGGGACGGACCATGATTCTATTCAGCGGTCATCTGGCGTATAACATACAGGTTTTACTTCAAGTTCAATCTTTCTGCATATTTTTAATGTTTTAACTTTCACATTGGTTAAGCTCATAATTATTCAGTGATGCATATGTTTCTTCGTTTTGTGTCTCGAAAATTTTGTAGTTTTACAGCCCTTGTTATTCAGTTTGCAATTCACGTTGGTCATACTTTTCTACTTGCCACGCCTAACGAGGAATTTTCGAAAATGAGAATCTATTTTTTGGATGTTATACAAGTTGGCAATACTGTCTGATAACTTTTCCACCAAACTTTTTTGTCATGGCTTGGATGGCTCATGACATGTAAACAACATCATGTGGATACGTGAAGAAATGTTTGTATGACATGTGCATTAAGAAAAACCATGTAATTCATTTCCGTTGGTCTGTCGGTATAACCGGCTATAACTTGAGAAATACATTTGCCATTATGGGGAGTTTGAAAACATATTTTCTGCTGAAGGAACGCGTAGCTATCAGTCACACTTGTCATGCCCCACGTGTTTGTAAATATTGCATCTTCTGTAGCGAATCCGAGGGACTAATAAAAGCAGGTAATAGACGGCGTGGTGATGCGATACGCACATACGAGGTGTGCGCGATATTAACATATTAGAGGACAAAAACCGAAAAAGAATAAAAATCGCTCAAACTTCGTTTTTTGACGATCCCGATTAAAATAATAATAAGAACTGGTCTATATTAGGGTAAGATTTAGCAGTCGGCTATTCTTCCTCTTAACCCGTCGCCTTTGAAACATTTTTCTGAGGAACTAGGCCACAGTACGACATGACGTGCGACACATTTTTCAAAAGCAGATCCGATTCATTCTCCCAACTACACTTATTTCACCCAATAAAACAAGAGATAAAAGTATGTTTATGGTCGCAAATATTTTTTCTCTGTTGAACAAATTTTATATACTTTGACAACCAATAGGACAAAATAAACATTAACTATAAATAGTCAAGCCTGCATACACGAATAGGAGAAGTGAACGTACTGATATGCGTGATAGTTCCTGGCAACATTCCAAACACGTTTGGTACAGATGTTTAGAAAATCTTCCCGTGGCATTGTTTTTACGTAATTTGGAAGCAGCATATGTCCAAACATAATGCCAAACGTTTAATAGCTCTTTTAACCTTAACAAGTGCAGACAATAAAAAAGTTAAGCAGTTAATGTGCTTTAAAGAGGAACCTATGTTAATTTAGACACGATTTTGAATAGGAAAAAATAGTTGAATAGATTTACACTGTACTTTCGCCTACCCTACCGGTAGTACCAACCATCTGACAACGGTCGCCCCACCTCATACCTGACCACACTAGAGACTTCATGGTTTCGATTTCGGTCTCGGATCGAGGAATCGATCCTACCATAATTTATAGGAAAGTCTCCCATGTTTCCAAAAAATATCACCTGTTCACTTCTCGTCATATGTTTGTTATTATACGTTTACGTTTTTAGCCGAAGTTTCGGAATTCCAAAGTGAATAGGAAATCGCGATTCTATTTCAAGTGTATAAAGTTTCTATGTAGATTCACTATGGCCCATAAAACCTCAAAAACGTCAGCAATTAAACAATTTCTAAGATGAATTTCTGGTTATTTAAATTGTATAAAGAGAGCATGGAGCCGCAAGACCAGCTGAATATCATAGTGAAAATGATGACAAAACACATAAAAAAAGTGAACACCATAGATTGTTATATCATTTAAATATTTAGGCATATACGTAGACAGTAAATTAAAATTTGAAGGGCACTATGAATATATTATTTGAAAAATATACAAGATAATAAATTACTTTTATAGAATCGATGATCACTGCCAATTTATCGAAAAAGTTAGCCAACTATTGGCAATTTTCAAATGGTATTATTGTTATTCGCCTCTGTTGTGTTTTTTCTATTTTATTGCAGTTATAATGGAGGAGGGAGTTTTTGTAGTTATCAGAAAATAACAACTTATGGCTTGGATTTTGATTATAGAAGAAATTGTTGATAAAAAGTGTATGTGACTTCAAAAATCCATCCACTGCACACACTGAGTAAAGAACAAATTATAAAGAGATGTGGTTCTTTATAATGGAAGGCACTGCATTCTAATTAGCTGACAAAGTCTTCCCATATAATGTTGTAAAGTTGGGGTAATGAAACCTCATTTTAATTTACCCAGTATAATAAACTAGAAAGTAACTTCCACAAGAAACCGAACATGCAAATTATAGCTGAAGATTGTACCAACTCTTGTGTAAAGTTATAAATTTACACATTTGATCTAAATTTTGTATCTTGCATTTGATTTGTACCTAAGTAATAATTTTTCCGCTCCCAAAAAGAAAAATACAACAAAATAAATAAAGCATCAAAGTGTCAGCGCAACTGCTCCCCAAGACTCCAGAAAATTTACGATTGTAGTTTCGATTTTGGTTGTACTTTTGGTAATTTTCTGTCAAAAAAAAAAACTGACAGTACAGTTGGACACTAGTAACTACTGCCACCTATGCCAACTGAAGTAGGTAAATTGAACCCTAACGGTGTTGACATGCTGAACATTGTGAAATAGTACATGTACATCTCTTTTGTGGGCCTCCAACAAAATGTTTGAATATAGTGAAAGAATACTCACTGCTTGTGCCCATCGTGGAAAATACCATATAGAACTGACTAGCCTATGTGTGTGGAGCTCCCCATCCACTACTTTTCGCTCTATCACATCGGTTCCTATCACAGCAGTATTGTGTGGATTGGGATATTTCCTCCATGCAGCAGTTGCCACTGTTTCCCAAGGGTGACTGAAATATCACAATGCAATGTAGAATACACCTTTTTAATCAATTAACCTACTTACTTGAAAATATGCTCACTAGTCCAAATTTTCATGTTTTACGGTAGCTTTTTCTAGAATTTTAAACCCTCCTATGGGGCAAATTTTAAACCCTCCTATGAGGCAAACGTCAGCTGGACAACCACTACGTCAAAATGGTAGGAATGTTCAATGTTGGATGGCAGATGGAAGGAAACACTCGTGAAGCACTCTCGAAGCACTTGTCACCCGTGTCACACACCCACACGAGCACACTACAAACGACAGACTCTCACGGAGGTTCGATGAGAAAGAAAGAATGAATGGATGTGGAATGGCTTATCTGGCAGACGCCAGTCTAGAGAATTTTTGTGACGTCAGCAAAGGTCAAATTCCAAAAACGTGATGTGCACGTGTCACGTGACTCATAAATCGAGGATGAAATGTTTGACACATTCCTAATATAAATAAAGATAACATGGCCACGCAAGACAACTATTGAAATATACTCTACTAGACTGTAAAAGACTACCCGTAGCTAAATATTTCCCGACATTTGCACAACACTTAAAAATATGCATATGATGATTGGAAAACTGCCACTTTGACGTTCTAAATGATGCCGACGTTACCCCGGGATAGACATACGTTTTGAAAGTTGACCTTGTCATTCTTGTCATTTGGATTGCGGCATTGCCAGCTCATCAAACGATTTTGCTACCTCTGCTATTTGGCTAGAATGTTATATTTGGAGACACACTCACGTCACAACACTAAAACCCCAAAGCACCTCTGAGAGAAAATCGAGAACCCTATAGTATGGCCGGGTAGTACAGCCTCCAAAGTGGAAATTATGTCTTGTTCCAACTTTTCTGAAGGAAACAGGATACCTGAGCAGCAAACTAGGTGAGCCTTGCATATTCATCTACTTGTGTGTTAAGGTTGAAATCCTATGTTATTGATTTATTTGAGTAGTCATATACCAGATCGCCAGATCAATATTAGTCAAAGAATCACTTCCAATCCCCAATTGTGTGGGGAGGGATATACGGTTCAAATCTTGGGCAGTTAAAAGTGGTGCAGAACCATATTGTACCTAAGAAAACCTAGACTATATCCCACTATGCAAATTTATTCTCAATAAATAAAAAATACTAAAATGTTATATACCCTTGCAGTATGTAGTTTTGTACATGCAAATAAGAAATTAAATACAAATTATGTGACACAATTATATAAACCGAGCAAACACCACTCATAGCCTGAGCGTCCCGCAGTCTAGGCGAGATTTAAATTTGCGTTTCGTGACATATCTTGCATCTAAATTTTACAATTTGATTCCTGCTAATATCAGGAATATTGAAAATAAGTTTTAAGTTGCTTTGAGGTAGAATGATCTGCATATTTGTTTCTTTTTTTGTTGATATAATTGTGATACTTTTTTCTGTGATCTTAAGTCAGATCTATGACTTACAAAGAACATAGGATCTTCTTTTATTTTGTCTATTCTGTGTTCATGTTTTTTGGGATTGTTAAGTAATGTTGTACAAGAATATATATTGTACGATATTAATGTATTGGATTGTTTTTGCGCATACAAGTTTTTTAACTTAGGCGCTCATATAGAGAGACCTCGCATATATATACTATATATATATATATATATATATATATATATATATAACTGGGCATTTATAAAAGTGTTCCGCCGCACAGGCGCCAGGCGACGCAAAAAATGCAAATAACACCTTTTTTTTAGTTTTTTTGCAAATATTGCTACGCCTCAAATTTTATATATCTCTATTGTTATTCCTCAATATTTTATTCCAACTTCTTTTTTTATAACAGCAAAATAGCAGAGGTAGCAAAATTGTCCGATGAGCTGGCAAAGCCGCAATCTAGGTGACAAGAATGACAAGGTCAGCTGCCAAGACGTATGTCTATCCCGGGGTAACGACGGATTCATTTAGTACGTCAAAGCGGCAGTTTTCCAATTTTCATTTGCATTTTTAAGTCGTGTGCAACGATTTCGAGAAAAATTTCGCTACGGATAGTCTTCTAGAATGTAGTAGAGTATATTTCAATACTTGTCTTGCGAGGCCATATTATCTTTACTCGGGCCAAAGTAATTTCAGTATACTGCATGTTGGGCTTGATAATATATGGGCATTTCGCTAATATAATATAATTATGTAACAAACGGAACTTCTCCCTTGTTGTCTGCTATGTAATTTTTACACAAAATGAAGACAAATGACAGATGACGCGTTTGACAGTTTGTCAAAAGCCTGACATCGTGCTTACGTTTTGTGCCTAACATTCCAGAAATCCAACAAGCCAAGCCAAGGAGAACGAAAATTCCACATATTGCAAATATTTTTCGGAGATTAATCCTATTTTCTTGTTTTGACGTATTAGTGACAAAATCGCAGCAAAAACCTCGGTGAACGAGGGAACTGAGGCCTAGGAAGTAGACTACAATTTTTAGCTGTACGTGTAAGCACAGCAAAAAATAGTATTGGGAGCCGAAAATGTCCATGGTAACATCACCCTCAGTAGAACTAAGCTCATATCGTGATCAACACTTCAAGGTAAGACACATTTTTTTTTATTGTTTGATACACTTTACTAACAACTGCTTTTTTAGGGCACCAGAGCAGAACAAGACAAATTACTAAGACTTACATGCACCCTTTACGTAGGAAACCTATCTTTCTATACAACAGAAGAACAGATTTATGAACTTTTCTCAAGATGTGGAGATATCAGGCGAATCGTTATGGGATTGGATAAATATAAGAAAACACCATGCGGATTTTGTTTTGTAGAATATTACACCAGAGCTGATGCAGAGAACTGCTTAAGGTATTGTATCCAAGTAATATTCTGTAGTAATTCATAATAAGCCATTTTGAGGTCTAATTATTATAGCCCCAAGTTGAATAAGATTAACTAATAGGTAATGTCCTTGTGACATCAAGCACCGCAGATGTGGGTGAAACATAACATTGTATACCCTATTTCACGAGTATCTATCATGGTAGAATGACAGCCGATTATCTAGTAATGTCTCAAAATTCCCCATGTCAGCGCAGGACACATAATTCTGATAGATCCATCAATGCCATGTAGTCAGAGCTGTATTTGTTTTGTACTTGCTAACAGGCCTTTCATTTAGAAAAATTCATTTGCGTACAAGAAACAAAATGTCACAAACAAGTTTTACTAGATTTATACGTGATTCATTATTGCCAACATTGCAGACTAACAAAAATGTCACTTGCTGTGTGTAAATTATATAAATGTCCAAAAATACTCATTTTCACCAGGAAACCCTAAAATAATTCTTGCCAACTCAAATGTATAGGTTGTTTACTCCTCACAATTATCAAGTCTTGATATCACCCATGAGGGTAATCTGGAAAGCTAGGAATAAATGGCACTAGTTTATATATGTCCAAATTTATATATGTACATGGACTACAGAGCTGTTGAACATACAGTACAACACAATTTGTTTGCTCAACAGTTTGACCTCCAAAGACAAGTATACTGGATATGGTCTCATAAAATCTTATTTTGCTGTAACTTCCTTTGAAATTTTAGTGTAGAATCAATTTGAATGTTGAACTTTTTTTAGTTCACTTATCAACAATAATTCATGTTAAATAACTTTTGTCATATGAATACTTTTTAGGTATATAAATGGCACAAGGCTGGATGATAGAATAGTCAGAACAGATTGGGATGCAGGTTTTGTTGAAGGGAGACAATATGGTAGAGGCAAAACTGGAGGACAGGTAGATATCATTTTGAAAGACAATATTTATATGACAATAAATTATACAAACACATTTGTGTATTCAAAAATTACTGTGAATAAATTATTGTTATTATTATTCTTGATGGTAGATAATGATTATGGAGTTATCTCCGAGAGGAATGATCTTGTATGCTGAATCGTGGACAATGTAAATTGTACCTTTATGCAGCTTAAAAATGGAAAGTCCAGAATTCAGAATGTCTTTCTGCGGAGAGATGTGAATACATTTTAAGTGATTGAAATTTTGCAAAGCTACAGATGTTTCAATTTTTACTCAGTTTATGATTGAAGTGCAAATTTACTTGAACCAGAATTCTTGCTAGTGGTTGTCTTTTAACAGAATTTTTAGGTGTATTTTGATTAATGCCATAACATCATTTTAGTAGCAATGTCTTGTTTCCAGGTTAGAGATGAATACAGAACAGACTATGATGCAGGACGAGGTGGTTATGGGAAAATAATTCAACAGAAGATTGTACCTATGGACGTTCCAGCTATGTTCAGACCTTAATTTATGAGTAATGAATAAATCCAAATGTGACGTGTGATTTAATAGACTTTTTCTGACTTTTTTTGATAATAAAACATTATTTAAACTATTTTGATATGTGCTTTCCTTGAACCTAATTCCCTGTTGATCTCTTGAGAAGTTCTGCTTCTTGAATGCTTTTCTAATACAAAACGTATCACCATTTCTACGTTTTTAATTTATTCGCCTCTCCCCATACATAATAAGATATACGAGGTGACATTTGGTCGACAATTATGTGACCTTTGCTGATATGGGGAATTTTGATATATTACCAGATAACCAGCTGTCCTTGTAGCATGATGGATAGGTGAAATAGGGTATATATGATGTGAGGAAATCAAAAAAAAAAAATTGTTAATAGGAAAGTCTTATATTGAACTTGAGTGATTATGAGAATGTAACAGAGTTAATTATTTAGCTCAGAAGCTTGGATCTAAAATGTATTGCCATGTAAGCAATGACGACAGAAAAACCAACAGCTAAGAATTCACAAGAAAACCAGGGTCCTGCATACACCCCAGGGTGGTTTATAACTATCTTTGCAAATACGGGTACCGTAAAAAGATTCTCTCCTGCTCTCAGAGCTTTGCGTACGGAAGAATACCCGACTTCATCGTAAATGTTCACAGTGATATCTCCCGTTTTTGATGTTTTTATATCCTCAGTCCAGCTAACTTGGTATTTGCCTTCACCAACTGAAGCGACGGGTGTAATGTTATTCTCCAAAACGGCATACAGATTTCCTGCTTCTCCTTTCTTGCATTTCACGTAGAAATTTGCAATGTAGGCAACATGTTTCAGGATAGTAGCATCTTGTGTTGTGTAGGACGTTGAGATTATTTGTGGGTTTTGGCAATGTTCTGCAATTGAGATGTTCAGACACATCGCAAAAATGAATATTAATACATAATTCTTCAGTGAATTCATAATTATACACAAGAATAAATCGTCAATAACTGTGGTTATTTAGACAACTGGAAGTGATCAATAATTTTAAGGGTCTTGTAAACAGAGTATTGGAATTGGACAATTAACTCATATATTCTCTTAAAAATGAATTATTTACAGTAAGTGACAAGGGTATTAAGAAATAAACACATTTGCAAAATGTAATTAGGGTTTCAAATTTTGAAAATTCCCTGAAAATCAATATCTCTCTGTCTCATTGCGCCATCTGACCGTTGATAGTTAAACAAACGCGTGACATAGAGCCACGATACTGGATAAGAGATGGCGCTAAAGTTACAAGTTAAAATTTTTATATAACTTGGTAGTACCATTAGCGCCATCATGTATTCGATGTCTCAATTGCAATTGTAAACAAGGGTCCCTTGTTGATTGTTGCTTTGACTTGTTTTCAATAAAAAATACCGCAAAAAATACTGATGTTAAAAAGTACGAAATTAAATATTTTTGGAAATATGTGGCTGATTTTAATTTGCTTCAAATATTCCTAGAATGGTATTTGTGTTTCGGCTGAGAAGGAGATTACTGAAATACAAAGTGTCCTTGGTTATTTCTTTTATCATTATAAGCCTACTGTTTTGTTTTAGAGTACAGGTAGGCTCATTTGCAATAATTGTATTATTTTTCATAATTCATTACTAGTAGGTCTTTCAGATTGCACATAGACCTAGCGAATATTGCTACAATGAAGAACCTATTGATGTTGTGTATACTTGGGTAAATGGATCAGATCCTGAGTTTTTGGAAAGCCTTAATGCTTTTACCAGTGGAATCAGAGATAATGTTGACTATTCAAAGCAGAGGTTTGATGATAAATATGAACTGAAGTTTTCCCTAAGGTATTATTTTTGGCTGAACGGAATAAGTTTGCTTTCCATGCCTCTGTAACCATGACCAACTGCAGACAGTGCTGTTTCATGCTGTACTCTGTATAGATAGATGTTGCACCACCATCATTCAAACCAGCAACATGTCAAGTAGCCTGAATGCAAAGTATTCACATAGCAACTAGTCTAATCATATTAGATGAAAATACCCCTGGTTTGTGAAATAACTGTTAAGTGAAAACTTTTCATTCAACAACAAAGAATGAGAAAGCGTGTTTTTTGGGATTCAATCGAAAGTGTTAGCAGGAACGAAAAAACTCTTCATATAAGATTTTTAGATTTTATGAGACTAATAGCAAACAAGTTATGGGCAAAAACTGAGTCAAACTACAGATTTTGGAACTTGTAGCTAATGCGACGATGGTTTCTTGCACATGTTTGAAATTCTTCAAATTCATAGGATTCATACTTCTAAATAACCACAACAAAATTGGAGTAGATTGGGCAAGTAGTTTTTGAAAATCTGTAATTGTTTATCTCAAAACAAGTGTTTTCCAGCTTATTGCGCAATATACAGGGTTAGTTCAAGGGGCATTTTATAGCACTAGTTTACAAAAAGGATGGGTTACATTTTTTCTTCTGAACGAATTCAAACATGTCGTGTTTGTGAGTAATTCGCAACAAAAGATGGTAGACACATCCGGTTTGTTTAAAATGGTATAGTAATGTATGTTTTTTTCGAATATCGTAGCGAATTTGTTCAATTACTCTCAAATACGAAATGTTTGAATTTGTTTAGAAGAAAAAGACGTAACCTTTGTTTTTCGCATAAAAATAACATTTACCTTTCAGAATGGTTTGCGATTCATATTGGCAAGGTAAACACGTGTATTTTACTATTAAATAATAATAAAAATAAACAATTAGAATTTCTCAAAAAACTACTTGACTTACTATCAAAGATCACCCCAAGATCTTTGAAAGACTGACAACTATCTATAACTACGTTATCAATCTAATATTTGAACAGTACTGAATTGGTTTTGTGAGAAAAGCTAAAAATCTTACATTTTCTATGATTTTAAACAAGTTTATTGATCACACACCAATCACTTAAACTATCAAGGCCTTGTTGGAGATTTTCAGAATCATTATGATCTTTAATTTTACATACATTTTTTTCTAGTGAGCAAATAGTTTGTTAACTGTGATGCTAGGTCATAAATATAGATTATAAGTAATTGGGGACCTAGGTTAGATCCCTGAGGCAGCCCTGAAATGGCAGTAAAAGAAAATGATGTGTGAGGTGATGCTGAGATGTATACACTGTGGAAAATAAAACAATTTCAAATAACTTACTAAAAAATCATATAATTGAACCGATAATTTTCAATCAAACCGTTATCACCTGATTTAAAAATCGGACAAATTTTAGTTAGTTTCCAAATTTCCGGGTAGGAATTGGTATTTAGAATCATGTTGAAAATGGTAGAAAGTGACTAGCTAATACATGAATCCATTCCTTTACAATAAAGCTAGAGATGGTCTAATTGGGATATGAGAGGACTGGATTGGTTGCGAAATTTCAACTACTGCTGTTCAGCACAGAAGCACTGGACTGCTTAACATTATCGGAACACACTCATTTTTCATGGCATACTTCTCCTTAGCCTAATTTTACAATAATTTCCTCAGATCTCTTGAAAAATATGCCCCATGGGTAAGACACGTGTATGTTGTTACAAATGGCCAAATCCCATATTGGCTGGACCTGGATTATGATAAAGTTACCATTGTATCGCACAAGGAAATCTTCCAGGATCCTTCCAGCTTGCCTACATTTTCAAGTCCTGCTATAGAAAGGAATTTACACAGGTAGGATATAAGCAAAATGTTACATAACTGTTGACTATTTGATATCAGTTCTGACACAGTAGTTTCCGTGATCTATCTTCTAGTATCAATATGATCAGTAAACAGATGATGAAAAATTAAATCTTTTGATTTGCAATTTTGAACATCTGCCTAGGTAATCATCAGCAGTCATTAAATTTGTTATCTGTGGTGGAGTGGACATGTTAAATGTGCATTACTGCTTCACAATATCTGTGTATTCAAATATGCATGTTTTATATTATTCTTTCTTCAGGATTCCCAACCTTTCAAAGAAGTTCATTTACTTCAATGATGACATCTTCTTGGCAGCTCCTACATTTAAGGAAGACTTTTACACCCCAAATAAGGGCTATTTGGTATATTTGGCATGGTTGGTACCAAATTGTTCACCTAACTGCCCTTGGATGTACGTAGCAGATGGTCAATGTGATAAGGATTGCTTTTTACAGCAATGTCAAATGGATGGTGGAGACTGTGATGGAAAAGATGTAAAAACGATGGTTTGTTTTGCTTAATACATAATGATGGTTCATAGAATGTATGTCATGCTGGTAGATATTGTTACTATGGATTGCTTTTTACATATGCAGATATCATTTATTACTGATTTTACATACAGAGAAATCCATGTGCTACCACGTTGCCTAGCAACACGAGTGATGAGGCCCCATACGCAGCTGCGGCTATATATGTTATATCGTTAGTATCAGCAATGAAAGATTATTTTCCTCATATCTGACACAATCTCCCTGCAAAAATTCGTCAGAAAATTTCTGACAACAGAGCTGCAATTAAGCAAGCGAGAGGTCTTTTCATCCAGATGACATTCGCAGACCGACGAATCTTGTTCATGAAGTGAGTAATGCTCTTCATGAATTCCGTAATGAGCAATAGAGCGACTTTCTGTCGGGGATGCTTGACTCTAGTAAAGGTGCTCAGAAACGGAAAGCTAGAACAACTCCCGCACATCCACGGTCCTGGGGCATAGTCTGTAGGACAAATAAGAGGTCGAGGTCGCTGATGCAATGGAAAGTCAGTTCTCTCCCAACAATGACCTTGATAATGACCTCGACGAGGAGCAACATATTGTAAGATCCGACAGGAGATACTTTACGGCCAACGGCGTCAGTTGCAGTAGCGCCTCCCTTAGTGATTTTTCCTCACAGGCATCTTCGGAAGATTCCTCAACTGAAGAGCTGCATGGCACATCAGCGGAATCCCCTGAGATTCCGCATTGCACGCCAGCAGAGCTTCAAGACCTGTAGAGGATCGAATCGTTAATAAGGCGCTGAAGCTGCTTTCGCGGAAGTCCTTAACTCATCTCGTGGCTATAATCAATGCCATGCTAAGGACCCAGCACTTCCAGCGGCGTGGAAGACCGCTGATGTTATAATGATTCCAAAGAAGGCGGGTTCGATATTCCCCCAGGATTACCGCCCCATTAGTCTACTGTCAGCTGCTTCTAAGCTCGCTGAAAAGGTGATTCTACCTTGAAGATTTCTCGTCAGACCACAATGTGATTCCTGACGTAAAATTTGGCTTTCAGTCTGAGCATAGTACGGAGTTACAGGCGGTTAGGCTTGTTGAACGAGTAACCTTCTGGATGTCTCCGAGGCATTTAACAATTTGGGGCACAAGGGCCTCCTCTACAAATTGATCCATAAGGGCTTCCCATTCTGGCTCCTAAAACTTTCGAAATCCTTCCTTGAGGGTAGGAATTAATTAAACGTTCTGTCGACAACACGCCGCATCAAAGCCGATGTCCCTCAGGGTTCTGCTCTTGGACCAGTCCTTTATTCATGAAATCTATCTCTATGCTGATGACACTGCCCTGGTGGCCCAGCCGTGTTCTGAGAATCTAGTTCACGACAGGCCGCAAAGTGGAGGTTTTGCAGAACAGAACCTTGCGTACAATCACTAACGCCCCGTGGTATGTATACATATATGCAAGTAAAACTAGCAGCAGTATTTTCGATTATAGGACACTTCTTAATTATAGGAGGTCTATACTTTTGCCTCACAAAAAGATGGACTTTATTATGCCCCACCCCCTACATTCCAATGTAATCGACAATTACCAGATTTTATGTTTTAAACAATCTTACTAATTTTTTTCTCAAATTTCAGATTCCATCGCAACTCCCATATATGGCAGATCAATCATCAGTAGGAGAAATGAAGGAGCAAAAACAATCTCAATTAAATATGATCAAACAGATTAAAACAAACTTTTATAAATTGAACCATACTACCACATATCATGGTGTTCAAAATATCTCTACCTCAAACTTTCTTAATATTTTTGTAAGTGAGTCAACCACACAGATCCCTGTATACAAACCATTTAAAAAATGGAGCTTAGAAAATTTGACGAAAATAGTAGAGATCCACAACAAGTTGGTATTGAGAAAGGACAGGTTAAGGCGAAAAAGACTACGTAAGCAAAAAGATGCTAAAAACCATCGCTGGCATTTTCAAGGCAATACTCAGGTGGACGCTTACAGTGCTTCTTTACAGCACACCAACAGAATGTTGAATGTGAAGTATGGTTTTAGGTGAGTGATACGTGTGCTCTTGTCATTTTTGCTTTGTTTTTTATCCATTTTGATTACGGTTTTCTCTGCCCCGTGAAGACTAGCGATGGAGTGAAGTTGAGGCCAAACATGTAGACGGTAAAGTGAGTCGATACGCTGCGCAGCAAATCTCGATCTTTCTTCTTTATATGGCTGCTGATAATAACTATGTTTCATGTGGAAAAAGTTTCATCAGTGTTTGCTATAAATAGTTTTGAATACCGTCCTAAAATTCACCAGGTTAATTATTGTAACAGTACAGATTTTAATATGTAGATTTCACTTACTGCTGATCCTCTGTTTGCCTCAGCAGACATTAGAACGTGATGAAGTATCGTGGAAATGTGATCAATAGACAATTTAATGTTAACGATATGACGGGATCACTCATATCATAACGTGCATTCGTCTTATTATGCACATCTAGCATAGCAGTGCATCATTTTAACTACCCTAGTATTGCTGCTGTTGACCTTACGTACTATTTAAAACGTCTATCCCGCGTACGTGGCAGCTTCTCGCTGCGTGTATCGAGCTCTTAAGACCATATAAAGTCGGTCAAAAATTCAACGAAACTTTTAGACAGTCAAGCTGTGTAGTAACGTTAGCGACAGCCTATTTGGTAAATGGAATTCGCATAGTACAAATACGAACGACAATCGGGTCAGTGCGGCCACATACGTTGACTACATTTTATAGGTACTCTGTTTTGGCAGAACCATCCATGCTGGCTAGAGCGGCGTTTTTTTAGACTTTCAATTTTGGCAACCATGAATTGGAAGCTGGATACGATAGCTATGATGATGAGCGACTATGTTATCGTTTTAGTTGTTCAAACGTCGTATCCATAGCAACCGGTCTACAGTGCATTGTCGACTCCGTGTCGCACATTTAGCTAAGGCTTATTCTCATGATGGTACTTTTGTGTAATGGCATCGACATCCCATGATGTCGTGACATTCAAGTGCTATGTAATCTTTTCACGGTTTTTGGCGGTTGAGCCACCATTTTCGAACGTAATAAGTAAGCAAATCGACTAACTGAACCATGTGCGGAATTGAAGCTCCCTAGGAAAATTGCATACTGGGGTTATTACGTAAAAGATCTATATAATGTAAAAAACGATAAAATGTCAACTTGCTGACTAAATAGGCTAAACTATCGATATCAGATACTGCTGTTTTATATTCATAGGATCTACAAAGGGTACTATAAAAGTTTTGCAATATGACTTAATAAACGGACGCCCGTTTCACTGACACTGACGTTGTCACACTGACAATGACAAGCATAGATTAGGAGTGCTCTTGCGTTGACCAGAAAATTTTCGAGACGTATAAAAGTGATGCCGATAGTTGACGGCCCGTATCGTCAGTCATCCCTACAATTGTAGGGTGCGTTTATGGCCTCCTTGATTGTCATACTTCTTTCTCTCCTTCAAAAATTTCTAGATTACACTTGTCCCGTGTCAGCGTCAGCGCTCTTCTATTGTGAAGATATGTTTTCTTTTTAAATTGTAGGAAATTTCAGGCTGATAAAACATGATATAACTCAAAAGCAAGCACAATTTGATGCAAATAGATGTTTGTGACATAACCTCAAAATAGAGTTCAGACACGGAGAAGTAGAAAACTATGACAATCAAGGAGGCCATAAAGGCGCCCTACAATTGTAGGAGCGACTGACGATACGGGCCTTAGTGTGTCCCACCAAAAACCTTGAAATGAACTATATGTTGGTTTGCAATGAGTATAACAATTTAACAGTTTAAATTGGAAATTATAGAACACGCAAGGTTCCATCCCATGCTCCCATAATGATAGACCGCCAGATAATGACAAAGCTACAGGACACATTTAACGATGAGTTTGAAATAACAGAAAAAAATAGAGTGAGACGAGGTGACGATGTCCAATTCTCATTCGCTTACTATTACTACCTTATGTCTGAGCAAATTGACGTACCTATTGGGGAAATATTCGAAGAATTTGACACGGATAAGTCTGGGTAGGTATTTTAATTCCAAATCGGTGATTCGATCGAGCGCTACCAAATTCACTGAGAGCTGTCCACCTTTTGTTGTTGAGCTTTATTTTATATTAGGATTATCACTTGTGAAAATACAGTATTTCCGTGTAAATTTTTACTGAATTATTCATTTTTTCAGCACTTGGTCGGATAGAGAGATAAGGACGCTACTTACAAAGCTGTATGAATTACCATTGAGCTATAGCATTGTAGATCACTTTGAGGCTATTTTGCTGAATTGTTCAGAGAATAAAGTATTTTCTGATGTGTCCACGCCGGAGTATGAAAGATATATAGATTCAAAGCTGGTAAGTCATGTTTCAAATACATTTGATACATTATTTTATTTTGATGCTGTCAAGTCTATCATCGTAAATAATACAATACCCAACAGTTGAAAAAACAATTTCAGCATCAAACTTGTCATTTATTGACTACCATCCAAACAGAAGTGCTGTATCCTACTATCAAATGCAAGAAAAAACAAAGGCTTACATATACTAAGTGACATATAAATCCGAACACCCAGTTTAAATGGTTTTATTTTAATAAAATTTTGTATAAGTACTTAATGAAGCATAATAAGTAAATGATAAAAATGATTGCACTGCTTTAAAGCCCTTTGACCTTTAATAATGTGTGGATGCACCCTGATGTGCTACGCATTCTCCAACGCGCCTAGGCATGCTTCTGATCAGGTGGTCAATGTCCTCCTGTGGTATCTCATTCCAGGCAACCGCCAACTCCTCTCGAAGTGCTTCTAGAGTCTGAGGAGGACGTTGCAAATTGAGCAATCTCCTACCCATCATATCCCACACGTGCTCAATTGGGGATAATTCGGGAGATCTTGGTGGCCATGGTAACAATGTGACATCATTATGTTGAAAGAAGTCTATTGTGACTCTTGCAACATGTGGTCGGGCATTATCTTGTTGGAAAGTTGGATCTGCCAGGGTGTCAAGATAGGGTAAAAGATGGGGTTCTAGAACTTCGTGGATATAACGCTGCGCGTTCATGTTACCTCTGATGAAGATTAAAGGTGACCTGGAACCATAAGCTATAGCACCCCAAACCATAACTCCAACAGTGTGATGAACATGTCTTTCAACAAAAAACTGTGGATTCCTCCTTTCACCACGTCGCCTTCTTACCCTGGCACGACCATCGTGCATACCTAAACAAAATCGAGACTCGTCACTAAAGACAATACTGTTCAATTCCTGATCCCAGAGTGACCGTTGTCTGCACCACTCAAGGCGATTACGCCGGTGTTCTCGAGTTAAAGGGAGGACCCAGTGTGGCCGGTATGAAAACAAGCCAAAACTTCTCATTTGTCGGTAAACACTTCGCATGCCAATAGGTCTTCTGTGTTCTGCAAACCATTCATTTGCAATGGACCTGGTAGTGGAGAAACGGTCCCTTAAGGCCAATAATCTTAGGCGGCGATCTTCACGGTCTGTTGTTCTACGGCGGCGTCCAGTGCCCCTTGCTCTTTGCGTACGGCCTTCTCGAAGCCATGCCTGACAATACCTAACCACAGTGTCTACACTTCTTTGCACTCTAACTGCAATTGCCCGAAAAGAAAGTCCAGCTTCCCGAAGTCCCACTATACGGCCCCTATCAAACTCACTAAGTTGACGAAATCGTACAGGTCTCCGTACTCTAGGCATCGTAACTGATCGTAAAGGATGTCAAGAACCAAAATCCGCCAACGTTGATTCTTTACTGCGGCTGAAATATTCATTTTTAGAGCGTTAGTGAATTAAAAAAAAAAGCAGTATAAAAACCGGAATGTCCAACTGATAAGGCTGAAAATTTTTTCACTTGTTATTTACAGTAAGATAAATACATTCACCAACTTTTATTAAAATAAAACCATTTAAACTGGGTGTTCGGATTTATATGTCACTTAGTATATATACAAAATAAGGCAAACTGTAACGTTTATTAAGTAAAAATGTACATGTTTGTTTGCCGCAGAAATCAAGCTACTTTTAGATGAAACGTTTCGTGGAACAATACTGTCCGTTTACCTACTCGACAGCAACTTTGCTAACATCGTGTCACTGTATGCTGTGGTATTTCCTCTAGGCCAGTGTGGTACTTTTAATTTTTGTATCCAAATATGTTTTCATATTATATCACCCTCAAAATAATTTGCTTCTGAAGCAGCACGGGAGTGCTGAAACTCCGATTCTTTCTTTCAGCTGGTCGGTTACAGCCGTTTTTTCCTGTCTCATCACTTCATTTAAGGACCTCGTATATGCTGAAACAAAAGCCAAAATACTTGTGTAAGGTATTCATTTAGCATCAGTACACAATCCATGCCAGTAGGTTTATCTCATGCAGAACAGTTGTTGGAATTGGCTTATGACCAATTCTCAAAAAATAAAGAAACTTAGTGTAGTTTTACGTCATTCTGGTTATAAATGCAAAATGCGTATTCGGCTTTGATAGAAAAAGTTTTGAAATTCATCTAGCCTTGTCCGATTTCATGTTACTGCGAAGTTGCTTTTTAACGCGCTTTTAAAACACTTTTAGGAACAGGTTATTGGTTAAAATAAACGTCCAGAGAACCAAATTATGACGATCTGATCTCATCCCAACACAAACTATTCTATGCTTCACATTAATGCATTAATCAAATCAGCTGTTACTCATAATGTAATTTTTACTTATAAACTAAACATGATGCATTCATCCGTCCGACCAAAAAGAAAAACAGTCAACCATGGGAAACTCTGCTCTAGCCTATAACATATCAATTAGGGCATAAGAGCTACGCAGACAAGTAATGTTTGATGGGAACTTGTTTAATTTTTACGAAGCTGTGCGGGTGCCACTTCTGGAACAGTGTCTTGGAACAAGTCTATCTTGGCATCCAAAAACCACCGCATATACAAAAGTGGATAGCTAATATACCGTATTTCACGAGTATCAATCACGGTAGAATGACAGCTGATTATCTAGTAATATCTCAAAACTCCCCATATCGACACAGGACACATCATTCTGATGGATCCGTCAGAGCCGTATTTTGTTTTGTTTTTGTTATGCCACAGAGTCATTTTATACTTGCTAACAGCTCTTTTATTTAGAAAAGTTAATTTGCATAAAAGAAACAAAACGCCACAAGTTTTACTAGATTCATTATTGCCCACGTTGCAGAGAAACAAAAATGTCACTTGCTGATCAGCTGTTCACCTCAGTAGACGTCAAAGCGTGGTGGATACTCGTGAAATAGGTTATATGTAGAAGACAGTTGCAATAAAGGGTCATAAAAGCGCTTCATGTATCTTGTCCTGCACGGAAGTGGTATTTCAATGTTTGGTTGATGGATATTACTAAAATCAGATTTCCGTATTTGATAGCCATTATTTTGAAATCATACTGTATTGTAGCCAACAATAAGTGAACGTCTAGTCGCAAGTTGTCCAACATTGGTGAAGCTATTAAATGATAGATTTGGGCTAGCTCATAAGTACCATTTTGAAATCATCTCAGATGCTGAAAGTAAGCATGTCTCCTTTAAGATGCTGAATTCCAATATCAGCGATGTAGTCGTCAGTCTGGATGAAATTAGGAGTAACAGCAGGTAATATACGGAATGATCTGTAATGATTGAACAAAAAACATATAGAATAAACTCGTAGAAATGATGATTTATTTAGAACCAAATATGATTTTGCAATAAAATATTATGCTTATGTTTAAGAGTAGTTTTTTATATCTCAACCATATGATCGTTTATCAATCTGTACACTTTTGTCGTTAAACTTACTCAGGGTGTCCTGAAAGTTGGGACTTTTCGGAGTCAACTACATTTGCTAATTTCTGACAAACCAACACCGAAAACGTAGAAAAGGAACTGAAGAAAAATATGTTTTGTTGCCGCTCTTCGATTAAAAAACACGAGTCTGTTTAACTCTTCCTAAATTTGGGATGTCTAGGTCTTCAGTTGTGTTAACCATACGGCTTTTGCACGATATAGTCAAACATATGCAGCTCTGACGGAGAGAAACATCGAGGACGACGACGGCGTCCCGAGTACACTCCGGAGTATCAATAGGATCTTGAAGATGCCCATATCAAATCGATAATTACGTTTCTGCACTGGAAATGTGCCAATTTCAGTTTTTCAAATGCAGTTTGTTCATAAACTAGGTTAACCTGGATACCACGCGACGTGTGATTTGGATACTGACTCACATAGTCTTTGCTTTTTGGAACGTAATATCTCGGTTCTCTTGAAGCTTTGGTATATTATGTTAATAAGAAAACCTACTTTTATTATTGCCTGATCTATACGCTCTGTAAATTCCTAACTTTGAGGAAACCGTGTATATCAATAGAAAGCATATGTATACTAGAACACATCCTTTAAGAAAATGTTTTTATTTCAGAAAATTCGTTTGTCTCAACGATAACCTCGACGAATCAAAAGTAGCTGAAAATGAACTAGTCAGAGCTATATTATATGACTTTTACTTAGCTTTATTCCCTCAGCCAAGTAAGTTTGAGTTACCAGATGAATACAGGAACAAATTCGTATACATTAAAGACTTGAATGAATGGAAGATGTACAGGTTTAAGATAAAATTGTTTATTGTGTTTTTAATGTCGACTGTATTGTGGATGACTTTGTTTAATGTTATTAGAAGACGATTTTGTCAAATGATAGATATATTATTCTGTTGAATATGTTTTATTATATAATTTTATTTTATGTAAGGTTGTATCATTCCCTAATAATTTCTGATAGCCCATCGACAAGACGTAGAAAATTTCCTTTTTGCTACCATGTTCCCCTAATTGTTTCAGTAGCAATGTGGTGGGTATTTTTTGGGTCTCAACTAAACAGAGTCATTGAAAAATGTGAATTTATTTCAATCGACAGTGAAGCACTAGTCTTTAATTCATTGATACTCATTTGAAGCAAAACAATTGGATGCAAAATTTGATATGATGGGAATAACTTTTGAATCCAAAATTTTCCATATTCACTCAAGGCCAACCAGAACCACAATCCCTCAAAAAGAATTTGCTTTCGGCATGTATGATCAGCAGTCATTTTTTGACATTGTCATGATTAGCACACTTCTGACTTGAATCAAGTTCTTTTCGCAGCGGTTCTGATTCTGGTTGACCTTGAGTGACATATAAATGACAAAATTTCAATTGAATTCTGTCATTTTAATGTCACTTAAGGTCAACTAGAACCGCTGCAAACAGAAGTTGATCCAAAGTAGATTTTCTTAAGGGTGGTAGGTCAGAAATAAAGCCAGTGCGGCCAGGTATAGTCGATCTGTTTTCGGTAAACTTGTGCAAAATTTTTCGGTAATTTGTAAACTGTAGCTTTGAAGGACCGAACTGAAAACTTGGAAGATTTTCGAAAAAATCTACAGTTAAAATTGTAGGGTCGACAACCCTGCTACTAGTTTCGGTCACGATCGGTGGACGTTCACCTTTTTTCATACAACGGCTGTGACCATCGGGGCGTACCTAACAAGTTAAGCAACACCATATCAATTTATTTGGATGACATGACACCATGACAGTTCCTTTAATAGAACTCGTGAATAAGTGCATAGTACTGGGAGTACCGCAAGCGCCATCTATGACGTAGATTTGAAATGATTCAAATGTCGCGTGTCACTGACTTGCGGAACGCAGCCTTCTGTAGAGTTTTCTAACCTCAATTTGATTTGACATCAGTCGTACTGTTTACGTTTTTGGTCGAGTTATAACGCGTTTCAAAAGAAAATTGAAAGTGAGTTTTCAGTGAAATTACAAAATGCCAGTTCCTCATCGACCCGCCAGAGACATGGCTTTGATGCCTGCCCCTGAACCTTCCGGTGCCGTAGCTACCCAAGGTGACATACAGCAACCAAGACCTCCAACAAGTCTCCAGGGGCTCCTTAGGTTCTGTATGGAGGCAACCAAAGCAGAAGATGCTCCACATGATTCAGAATTCCAAGCTATGGATGACGAGGTTTGTTTTTGTTTTCAAATAAATTGTATCTCTTGTCTATGTACAGTCTGCGAAAAGGTTAGAAATCGCATTGAAACTTAAGTAATCTCAAAATATTCTTCGGGGACAAATCGGTTCAAACTGAAATCAGATACTTAGCGATCTCAAAAATTATAATTTTCAAACAAGTTTTTAACCATTGGATATACATACCCATTTTTAGCACTTTACAGACATTGAATTCCTTGTAATTCGAAAATGGTCAGCCTTAGATAAAAGTTAATGGAAGCTTCTTTGTTCAGAATGAACAATACAAATTTAATCTGGGTTACTATACAAAATTATAATTGTGATTTCAGCCTTATTTTCAGTCCAAAATTTGCAAACTTTTTCTTTTGTGGACTATACTATGCTGTATGGATTATATTTATATTATTTGATTTTTATCCTCAAATAGTGGTATGGCTGGACCCAGAGGGGCTAATAGATAAACCTTTTTTTTACAACCATTGAAGGACAAAATGACCCTACATTTATACTGAAGTCTTTGATGCTATGTGTATGTAGCATCCTAAAGAAATGGTTGTTTAGATGAGGCCTAGTAGGCAAACCAAAAACTTTCACTAATTTAATTTATAAGCATTCTGAGGAATCAACAATCTTCTAAGGTGCTGCTGAAATTCCTTAAAGATCTCACCAAGCAGTAATACAGATGGGAGGCCGCAGGCTATGAATTTTCATTGAGTAACCTGCTTGGCTGTTGCTGGATGTGCATCCTATGATCTCCTAATCAGTCGCCGTGCGCTGCGCGGCTTCGAATCCCGTCCCAAGCAAATTTTTCTCTTGGCTACGGATCTAGTGAGTGTCCAAAGGTGGTAGATGGTCTCTAAGTGTTGAGGTACCACCCGGCGGATCTCGTAGGCGGGGCCATAATGTGTGCACGTTGCATGCACACGTGTTCCCTCGCTAGAGTCCGTATGGCGTCCCCCCACACCTTTCCCCTGTATATAGCCCTATGGTACCACATGGATGTTTAGATCTTAGGCCTTCATGGTGGTTGGAGTATAAAAAAACATGTTCCTGTAACTTAATGTTGAACTGACAAAATATTTTTTATGTTAATGTGACTCGTGAAACCACCACCATATTTATTTAAATTTCTGTCTATTGTACTGTATTAAGACCACTTACAATAAACAGAAATTTAAACATATATGTGGTTTGATTAGGCCAGACAATGGAGTCCTAATTTTTATGTTTTTTGAGGCATTGCTATCATTTTAGAGAAGAACGTTTTTGGAGAATGCTCTGAAAGCCTTGACTGTCGATGTAGTGGAGGAATTACAAAGGCAGATTAACATTCTCAAAAACGTCGAACAAGTGAAGGCAGATGATGATCCCACAAGATATTCAGATGCTATAGACAAAATATTGGAATTTATTGATGACATAGATACTTCAAATGGTAAGTGAACAATGATACATTTAATGCCAAAACAGGTGATTCAGATTTAACTGAATCACTTAACATGTTAACCCCCAAAACAATATTTCATATTATGACATACAGATAACATTAACTTGAGACATATCAGATACTTCAGTGTAAACTAATGTCTCTATCTGTGTAGGAAGCATAACATAACACTAATTTTCTAAATCTCTCTCTTCTAAATAAATTTCTGCTTGAAATTCATTTTTTTTTTTCTAACCTCAAAATTGCTTATTTGACCAATCATCGGTGTATTTGACAATTGAAAAACCGGGCCTGCGTTTTAACAGTTCATATTCTTTAGACTTCCATAAAATTGGCGGCTTCATGATATTGTTCCCATGTCTACGCTCGCCCCATCCCAGGATCCGTGTAGGTGGCTGTGAACTTTTAGCAGTTCTTTGTCAGAACAACCCTTACTGCCAGCAGGTGATCATTGACAATGGTTTTGTATCTGAACTGCTCAGGATTGTGGAAAAAGATGAAGATATCAATGTTTGTATTAAGGTAAACAGCATGTCTTCTTGTATATTGATAAATTTCACAAAGAGCTAGTAAGCTCCATGGTTCTCACATCATGTGAACTCACGAGCTATCACGCTCAAAATGTAAATTGATGGTCGATAGAAGGATGAGCGTCAGAGGTGATAGTATGTTTCTAAATACTTAGCCACAATATTGTATTACATACAACAGCAGTGGTACGCGTGTTTTTTTAAGGGGGTTTAACATTCAAATATCGTACCAGGCACCAAGCATATGGAATTTGACCACTGGTCAATTTAAAAAAAAAACAGTCCATGTGTTGATCAAATGTTCCAGTGTGTGCAAAGCATACGGATGATTCCTATTGGAGATACACGATGTCTTAGGGCCGTATCGTCAGTCGTTCCTACAATTGTAGGACGCCTTTGTGGCCTCCTTGATTTTCATAGTTTTCTACTATTCCGTGTCAGCGCTCTGTTTTGAGGTTATGTCAGAAAATCTTTTTGCATCAAATTGTTCGTGCTTTTGATTTATGTCGTCTGTGTTAGCAGCCTGAAATTTCCTACAATTCAAAAAGAAAACACAACTTCACAATAGGAGAGCGCTGACGCGGAACAGACGAAATCTAGAAGTACCCAGCCTTTCTGAGGAAGAGCAAAGACTATGATAATCAAAGAGGCCATAAAGACGTCTTACAATTTATTGTATTGATTTTCATAGTTTTCTACTCTTCCGTGTCAGCGCTCTATTTTGAGGTTATGTTACAAATACCTATATGGATCAAATTTTTTCTTACTTTTGACTTATATCATATGTTATATAGGCTGAAATTTCCTACAATTCAAGAAGAAAACATAGCTTGACAATAAGAGAGCGCTGACACGGAACCGTAGAAATCTAGACATACCCCAGCCTTTCTGAAGGAGAGGAAATACTATGAAAATCAAGAACGCCATAAAGGTGTCCTACAATTGTAGGAACGACTGACGATACGGCCGTTAGTGTTTTAATTTTATTAGAATTATATGATGTCCACCGATGGTGATAAAATCAACACATTGTGAGTTTTTGTTACATTTTGCGACTGCGAGCGGTCGAAAAATTTAACAAATACCATTAAGCAATACAAATTATCACTTCCTGCGTGTACGCAGTAGATGAAAACAGTTTCGAAGTAGGACGACACTCTCCAATGAGCTCTAGATGATTACTAGGCAACGCGTTGATGAGCTTCGCTAGCCAGCCGGCTTCTATCTCTTTCTAACATATGTGTCTATTCACACTTTTCTCTCGTACACATAGAATTCAAGCCGTCAGGCAAATTTGGTTTTCTTTGTATATTTACTTCAATCATATCTCAGTTAATCATTGCAGGCTCTCTATGCCCTTGGAGGAATAACAAGAGATAACAGGGAGGCTCTTGAACAATTGTTGTCACACAATGGATTGGAGGTGGTTGTCAACACTTTGAAGAGGAACAACGAAAAGCTGATCACCAAAGCAACTTTTATGTTATCTGCATTTTGCCGTATGATTCCAGAGTTGAAAGGTATTAATACTAACTTTTTATAAATATCAGAAGTGACAAAAATAATATTTTATTTCAGTACTAACAAATGTATGCTCTTATTGTACAAATAGTCATTTTCATGGGACGTCAAAACGGTAACCTTGCCCTCGATCTTACTCACAGTTTGGCGAAGCTCCTCGGTACAATGTTTCAAGTATGAAGAAATTATATTTTATGTATATGAAGAATAGTAGTAGTAAAAGTTACTGAGTATCAAAGGAACAGGGGAAAAGTGGAATTTTCTTACAGCTACGGGTATGTCCTCATAATCAAAGACCCAAACTTTGTTTTGAGCCTTTGTCGGCATATCGTAATAATAGAGCTAAAGCACGTCACCTGTAATGATGTTGTTCACATACCGAGATTGCCCCTTATGAAACATTCTCAGCTTCTGTCCGCACCAAGTCGTACGACGAGTCTTCTGCTCTTCCGGCACCCAGAGAGAGTATACTTTCCTTAAGTGTAATTGGTCATGCAGAATTGAATGAATTGCTGGTTCATGAAGGTGTAAGGACTCCTCTATCTGTCTGTACGCCACTCTCCGGTCTTTGTCAAGCATTTTCCTCACAGCAGTAATGTTTTCCTCTATTACTGATGTCTCAACATGCAGTAACATACAGCCTCTTGAGTCCGTTTGGTAAGACATATTGCGAAACTTTTGTAGTACCCTTTGTACTTGCATCTAACGAAATTCTGCTTTTTGAGAAATACCCTCTCAGAAGAGACATTTTTCCTACTTTTAAAGTAGCAAGGGGCAAAATCAAAGTGAAGATGGACAGTACTTGCAATTACAATTATTTTAAGCCATTTGTGATGTAATTCATCCATCTAATGTGCGTAGCTAAAAAGGCATAATTACCCAAAATTTTAATCAAGTTGGTGCAATAAGAACATTACTTGATCAGCATCAATTAGAGAACCCAACGTTAGAGTTTTTAGCAAATCCATTGGAATTACTTTTCCCATAAGAATGGTACGTGGTCCTTTGCTTAGATTTTTTATAGAAAAAAAAACAAAAAACTTTGCTACATTATGTTTATTACATATTTATTTTTTAGCAATGAAAGTTTGACTATACAATCCATCTTTATTACCAAATATTTTAGTAATGTTCAATTTATAAGAATATGAACAGATTTGATTGTATATATATATTTTATTATTAATTTCAGACCCAGGGACGAGATGAGGGAATGACTTTTAGACTAATAAATTAATCGTATTTTTTTGTGTCAATATATTATTTAATTTTTTTTCCTTTAAAATATTAGTGTTGATACCTATTGATATAATAAAAATGTTAAATCACGATAAATCCATGCAGCTTAGCATCAATGGCTCAGGACATGAATTTCGAAATTTGCTGAGAAATACCCATATATTTGTTTCACCACTAATAATTCATTGTACCATTCAAGGGTTGAAGGTGTATTTCCACTTTCATTACAATGTTTTTATTTTCAGAAAAAATGGTAGCACTGGATTGTATTTCAACATTGATTTCATTACTGACATTGGACCCAGGGCTCGTCAATGAACACATACTCTCTCTATTGGTAGAGTTGGTGGATGGAAATGAGAAGTGTATCCAACAATGCAGAGACGCAAAGTATAATCTGAAAGACTTCATCCATAGGTATATGGACAACATCAAGCAGAATGATGAGTATAAGGTAAGAAGTAATTTATGGCAAGAAAAGTTGTGACTTATGTTTTCTTATTTACAGGAACAGGAAGAATACTGCAAGAGGATATTGCATGTGCTGAACGCAGCTGAATCTTAGAAGATATGATTCTGTTCGATTTTTGTCTCTATGTTTATTTTTCATTATCCTTCTTGGAAAAATTAGAATCTATCTGAAGAACTGTGTTATTATATAAAATTATTTGCAGAGCACAAGGTATTTTATTAACAATCCATTCGCAACCCAATCAACCTTGAAACATTATTTCAGAAAGAAAAATCAATACAATCAAACCTGAAGCTCAGATCACGGTATACTAATAAAAATAATAATTAACGTCTTTTTATTTGTAATAACATTACAGCAGGCGAGATTTCGATATGAATCTGTTTTACCGCCTTTCCCTCTTACCAGTACGAGATGTATAAAAACAAAAAAATTGTCAAAAGTTAATACCTGTATAAAATATCGGCAATAATAATGCCTAATTAATGCAAAGGCGTGATGAAAACATAAGGTTAGTTATAGAAGTGTCGTATCGTCACCGCGCTCAGCATTTAGGCATCAGTGCAACCACGTTACGGCACATTTAGAAGGATGATTTGCATTTGTTTCCTTATAAGGTGCATTTAACACAAAAAATATTGCCAACTGACCGTACGTCGCTTGGAATACGCCCAAACAGTCGCACATTTTGTTTTTTCCAATAAAGGTGGCCACTCGATAGATGTGTTCAAAAACTAGTCCCAATAAATTGTAAAGGACCATATTTAATAAAAATACCCGATATATAGAAATCAGTTTTTCGTTTTCAAAGTTATTTCATATTTAGATACCGACGTAAAAGATGGCGCACCTTGTATAACTGACTGATTTAAATTGATGCGGAAATTTCAAAAAACAGGTGAACTTAAACACTTCTGTAAAGAAGTTCGTACCCCAGACAATATCGAGAGAATTCGTGAAAGTGTAGTGGAGCGCCCTGAGACGTCTGCCAAACATCGTTCTCAAGAACTGGGTATTCGTTGCACGTCATTATGCACTATTTGAATTTGCGGCCATACAAAATTCAGTTAATCCAGGAACTACCGCCTAGTGACCATGAATGTCGCCGACAATACAGTCATGCAATATTGCAGCTTAATACCCAAAATAATGATTTTCACAGACGACTGAAAATGTGTCTCATCCATCAACGACCACTACATCCTCGTCGAGTCACAGTTTGGTGCGGTGTTTGGTATGGAGGTGTCGTTAGACCTTACTTCTTTGAAGACGTTGCAGGTAATCTTGCTCTCAGTGGCAAGCGCTACCGTGATATTGTGCTAAACTTTCTGGTTCCTAAAATCCAACAATTTAACCTGCAAAACATGTGGTTCCAGCAGGACGGAGCAACACAGCTAGGGAAACAATGAATCTTTGCGAACAATATTTCCGGGACGTTTAATTTCTCGATTTGGTGATATCAACTGGCCACCAAGGATACCGGATTTAACGGCTCCTGACTCCTGGAAAGGATAAAAAAACGATGTTGATCTTGCACCGATCTGGTGCGTGATATAGACAATATATCCAACATCCATGGCTCGGAATTAAACATCCGCGAGCCCCAGGTTGCTAGCTTGACGCGCTAACCACACAGCTACAGAGACTCCTCATGGAAACTACGTGCTAACCACTCTGCTTCCCAGGCACCCTAATCTGGATCCAGTTAATCGACGGATTCAGACAGAATACAGAGTCAAAAAGGTGAAATGTTTTGCTACATGACGCCACCTACATATGATTCGCACTAGGCTATCCTAAGATACAGATATGTATCACACAACGGGTTACATCATCCAATAACAGAGACTCGCACATCGCAGACCATATTGACAGAACTTGTTACAACTTTTCTCTGTTCCCAATGCCCACATGAAACTATGACTCAATCTCAATTAAGCTGGATCACTTTTGAATTCTATTCAAATTTTATTTTCGCCGCACCACAAACATCAGTGCGCAAAATCATATTTTCGCAATTCCATTGGGTAGTGGGGCATAGAAACGCAACGACGGCGAATAGAAGCACGGAAATTTATCAATCTATTACTCCTCTTCATTTTGTGCGGCCTAAATGTGATTTTTGTATACCGTTTATACATTCCATTGTATTGATGAATTAGGCAACCTAGTTGACACAAATCGTATCGTGTAAAATGGGCTTAATAATGATCGCTCTGAAGGAAGGGAAAGACTGACAACTTGACAAGGTCCATCAAATTTCCGCTGTTGCCAGATTTGTTGCCTGCGGCCAGATGCTTCTCAAGACACGTGCTTTTTGGAATTTGAAGATGTTATACGAATACGATATTTAAGACTTGAATTCGAGGCTTGAAGCTACATGAGGGATATCTTCTGAAACAAAAGAATCATATATTAATAAGTACATACTTCAAAAATATTATTTTGTTGTAATAAAAAAAACTTGACATAGCTAGGTGTTATTAATGAGCTCCTGAAAACGTCGAATTAATTTGTAACGTCAGAATGAAAAATGATTCATCCGATTCTGTACAATCACATTTTGCCCAGTTAGCCAATTTTATTTATATTTTTCTAATAATAAATGAATGCGCAATGCTCATTTGATTTACGCAGAAAAACTAAACCTACCTAGGTACTTATCGCTTATTTGCAATAACAAAATAAACATCTATGTTGGTCTTGTTCTGTTGTATGTGGATCGGAAAAAATTGATTTATTCCGTATCCTATAACTACTGTACAAATATGACGCATCTGTATTCTTCAACAAAATTTTTCAGGGCGCACACCCTAATTTTATGTAAATTCAGAGTTGCCGCCCTTTAACCAGAAAGCGAGGCATATTATTTGTTTACAGTACAGTCCGCGCCAAATCGTTATTCGGCCTTCATGAATATCTCTCCCAGCCATTTTCTTTGTGTCTAACCCTTTCATTATTTCCTTTTTTCGATCAAATATTCGATTCCCAGTTAAATTAAAACCGGAGATGGTTTTATTTTGTTGATTTGCAGTCCTTCGCACAATTTCTTTCAGAGACTGTACCCCAAGCCGGCAAATATTGCAAATGGCGGCAATGTCAATCTATATATAAATATTATATTTAGAATCCTTACCGCGTTTTTTAGTTTTACAAAAATTCATGTTTGATGGTGTATTGTGCAATAAGTAAACCTGTTTTCCAAAAAATCGGTGAGTACACGTATGCTTCCAGTGAGAAAACGTTCTAGTATGGATCTTGTTTATATTTTAAAAACGATTGTACACCCCCTGAAAGGAACCCGAGTAAATATTATACGGCACCTGAGAAGAGCTGCGACCTACGTTTCACTCCTTACATGCTTCTAACATGCGTTCTTACATCGACTTCTGCGGCAAACTTAAGTCGTTGATAAGTTCTGCTAAGCAATATAATTATTTAAGTGATACATTTTGCATTAAAAGTTTTTATCGATCTTTTGTGATTTTTTTGCTGTGTTTGAGGTGTTTTAGTGGCTCTACAAGATATTTAAGGTAAACTGCGTGTTTCCTAATATTTACGCATTGTATCGGAGGTGTTATATTTCAATAAACAAATGTTTTTGTTGCACATTTTTTCGTTCTGTTTTTTAAGGGGTTAACCAATATGGCGAGGCTCGCTTTATGTATAATGTTTATTTTAATATTCTCTATTTTCATCCTTAATTATTGACTTGAACGTTTATTTTTCTGTTAGAACTATTTTAGTGATTAATATTGCTATTCGAGTTTAATTGCAATGCCCCCTTGATTATCACATTTGACAGGGGGTAATCCGAGCATGCATTGCAAAAAACAAATGATAGAAGGGGGTAATTCTTTTAGCATGTGCAATTTTCTTTATTTCTGTGAGCAAGGTTATGTTTGCTGAAGATTTTCGCTTAGAACCGGTGATGTTTTGACCATTTTCCACACATATAGATATTCGTCTTCGAGACAGAAAGAGACAGATGCATCCCCTACCGAGCGCTTTTATGGCTGTCCTCTATTTTTATTAATTTTCCTCTATTCTTGGCATTTCTATTGAATCATCCGTACAGCGCTACCAGTCGTGTTTTTTTAAATAATTACGTGAAAAAACGCTCGTAGGATATCGTTACGTACATAGAACGTTTATTTTTAAATTATTGTACATTTCTATAACGTGTAATGTTCCCATTTTTTTATAAATAAATACCTGAGCTGTTATAAATATGTTACATGTTCTGGAAGACAGGCTTTTTTTATCTGCATGTTTATGAATATTTCCTTGGTACATTTATTGGATAAATATTTTCGTGGGATTTTTTCACAAAATGTATTCTGGCTGCCTTGGTAAAGTTATATATAAATGAAATTAACGTAAATGTATCGCAAATGTTCCTACTTCAAAAGTAAGTTGTTTTTTCAATGAGTCCTTGCATATAATTCATTTATTGAATGATTTTTATGATACAGTTGATTTAGATATCAATTTTTTGAGAAATTGATTATTTCAATAACCTAATTATGATTGTTGTGTGGATTAAAGTTTTGTTCAAGCATTATATAGGTACACATTGTAATAAAAATCCATGAGGTATTTTTGTTTTGATAATTTTTTAAAGTGATCATTCTCACATACATTCATAGGGGTTGTATAATGTTGATATAGAGGGGACAATAAATTATGTGTTTTTATATCATTAAAAAAACATATTATACAAAAATAGTATTACCTTGCACAAGGTAACACTCTGTATTTGATAAAATTATAGACAATACTTTTGCAAAGAAAAGGTGTTTATAACTTTCCACAGCTCTGATGTCTTAGTTTTTTTCTCATATTTGATGCTTGAACTTTGAACACAATTTTCATTTAAAATGGATTAAAGCTTATTACTACTTGAACTGTTGGTGTCATAATCTCAAAAAATTTAAACAGTGAGAAGGTTTCAGTTTATAAGAATGCACATGTACATTTTCTATTATGTAATCCACACATTTTGCTTTAGCTCAATGTTCCAATGTTGAAACTTTTTTGGCTATTGGACTTCTCTAATCTCACATTCTCTCTCTTATTATATGGTGTTAACATCTAAATTGCATATACGCTATTTCACGAGTATCCATTATGCTTTGATGTTTACTGAGGTGAACAGCTGATCAGTACAAAAAACCAAAACAAAATATGGCTTTGACTACCTGGTGTTGACAGATCTGTCAGAATTATGTGTGCGGCTATGGGGAATATTACTAGATAATTAGCTGTCATTATACCATGATGGTACTTGTGAAATAGGGTATAGTCAGTAACATAAGTGAAAAAGGCAATATTCCCTACAAGAGTGAATACAGTCTCTGGTTAGAAATGAGTGGTTACAGATAAAATAATAAGTTTCTGTCATGATGTTTTGTTTGTTTGTTTCAGATTTATTTAGCATTAATGCTACAATATCCATATTACACAGTATATCACAAAATATATTATGTCTTCAAGATTACATATGTTTATACAAAATTTCACTACTATGAATTCTGCTTTTCCATGAGATATTTTTTCAATTAACCTTTGAACATTTTCAAACTGACACACCTCTTGATATCATTACTTAATTTATTAAATTCGTACAATCCCTTTTGAAATATTGACTTGCTTGTTATATTGCTACTGCAGTTTTGTAAATGAAAGTCTATACTTCCTCTAGTAGAATAATTGTAGTTTTGTAGATCAATACAATAAAATTTTCTAAGTGATTTGGTAGAAGATGATTTTTTAACTTGAATATGAAAATGAAAACCAAGTAGCTATGAAATTTTTGATATTTCACCATTGTAGTTCTTTCAGCATAAAATTTATTCTAGTAAATTTATTTTTATTTAAGATGATTCTCACAGCTTTATTTTGTAATATTTGTAATTTTGAATATACAGGTGAACAAAATAGTTGAACAATATAACAAATGAGGAAGAATGATAGTGTTGTACACAATTTTTTTAGAATAAACACTCAGGCTGATACAAAATTCTATAAAAGTAATTTATTTTCTTGGATATTTTTGAAATAATATATTCATAGTACCCTTTAAATTTTGCTTCACTGTTATTTTTTTGCCATTGTTGGGACTGTGTTTTAGAATACACCATATTTTGAAAAAATGCAATAATACTGCATTGTCAGAAATTCCTATAAGTTCGATTTTGCATGTTTTTTGAGTTTCTCATTTTTGGACATATACTAAGTGACATATAAATCCGAACACCCAGTTTAAATGGTTTTATTTTAATAAAATTTTATATAAGTACTTAATGAAGCATAATAAGTGAATGATAAAAATTTCAAAATGATTGCACTGCTTTAAAGCCCTTTGACCTTTAATAATGTGTGGATGCACCCTGATGTGCTACGCATTCTCCAACGCGCCTAGGCATGCTTCTGATCAGGTGGTCAATGTCCTCCTGTGGTATCTCATTCCAGGCAACCACCAACTCCTCTCGAAGTGCTTCTAGAGTCTGAGGAGGACGTTGCAAATTGAGCAATCTCCTACCCATCATATCCCACATGTGCTCAATTGGGGATAAGTCGGGAGATCTTGGTGGCCTTGGTAACAATGTGACATCATTATGTTGAAAGAAGTCTATTATGACTCTTGCAACATGTGGTCGGGCATTATCTTGTTGGAAAGTTGGATCTGCCAGGGTGTCAAGATAGGGTAAAAGATGGGGTTCTAGAACTTCGTGGATATAACGCTGCGCGTTCATGTTACCTCTGGTGAAGATTAAAGGTGACCTGGAACCATAAGCTATAGCACCCCAAACCATAACTCCAACAGTGTGATGAACATGTCTTTCAACAAAAAACTGTGGATTTCTCCTTTCACCACGTCGCCTTCTAACCCTGGCACGACCATCGTGCATGCCTAAACAAAATCGAGACTCGTCACTAAAGACAATATTCATTATATATCCATTCCTGATCCCAGAGTGACCGTTGTCTGCACCACTCAAGGCGATTACGTCGGTGTTCTCGAGTTAAAGGGAGGACCCAGTGTGGCTGGTATGAAAACAAGCCAAAACTTCTCATTCGTCGGTAAACACTTCGCATGCCAATAGGTCTTGCGTGCTCTGCAAACCATTCATTTGCAATGGACCTGGTAGTGGAGAAACGGTCCCTTAAGGCCAATAATCTTAGGCGGCGATCTTCACGGTCTGTTGTTCTACGGCGGCGTCCAGTGCCCCTTGCTCTTTGCATACGGCCTTCTCGAAGCCATGCCTGACAACACCTAACCACAGTGTCTACACTTCTTTGCACTCTAACTGCAATTGCCCGAAAAGAAAGTCCAGCTTCCCGAAGTCCCACTATACGGCCCCTATCAAACTCACTAAGTTGACGAAATCGTACAGGTCTCCGTACTCTAGGCATCGTAACCGATCGTACAGGATGTCAAGAACCAAAATCCGCCAACGTTGATTCTTTACTGCGGCTGAAATATTCATTTTTAGAGCGTTAGTGAATTAAAAAAAAGCAGTATAAAAACCGGAATGTCCAACTGATAAGGCTGAAAATTTTTTCACTCGTTATTTACAGTAAGATAAATACATTCACCAACTTTTATTGAAATAAAACCATTTAAACTGGGTGTTCGGATTTATATGTCACTTAGTATATATGGCTTGTAATTCGTGTACAGTGAATATAATTATTTATCTCTCTCATTTTTGAAATTCAGCAAATTTGTATATGTAATTTCCAGAATGGATAAGAAAAAGTGGATGCACAACTAATTTCTAGCTTTGAATCTCAATTAAGTGTATTTGAGACAAGAACCCAATGTAATTATCATCAACACGACATACAACTTACAGCTTAGACCTCCAGTAATGCCATCTCAGAAGCAGATTTTACATCACATATAGAGCCAAAGATTGATAACAAGCCTCATGACATTTAGGCAACACGTACAACTAAGTGCTAAGTTAGTATCTTGTAGAAAAGCATACATAATGTCAAAAAAACAGCAGTAGAGGATAAAAAGTGGCAAGGTAAATGATCATATTTTTTTTAAATCCCACTACGAATAAAACCAGGAAAAAATGAAAACGATTTTGATAAAATTAGGTGAAACACCCGCTATATAATGGTAGACGTATCCTCACGCAGCAATCATTTGTTAGAATTGACCAAGGTATCGTATCACCCCTTGAAGTTTAGGTATGTTCATTAAAATTCTGATCAAAAACGTTCCACTCCTGTTTCAGGTTTCGGTGATCCTTATGTCCTTGCTTCAGTTTGATCTAGCGTACTGCTTACACCACTGACTTCCGACATGGTGACAACGCCGCCACAGCAGTTCTGCGTGCGATGGAACAGCTACCAGTCGAATTTGCAATCGGCCTTCCCGAAACTACTCACCTCTGAGCACTTTGTGGACGTGACGTTAGCCTGCGAAAGTGAAATGCTGAAATGTCACAAGGTGGTACTGTCAGCATGCTCGGCCTACTTCGAGAAATTGCTGCTGGACAACCCGTGTCAGCATCCTATCATTTTCATGAAGGACATGAAGTAAGTCGACATACACACTGCGTTGCACAATATTGATAACAAACACGACTCTCAGTAGAAGTACATAATTGTGGATTCATGCGAACTTGCCTTGCTTAGGACGCAGAGACCGTGACTTTTAATGCGCAGAGTTACGTAACGTTAGGCTAGTCGTTTGGAGTCACAGTGGACGCCGACCTTTACAGCACGCTGTATGCTTGGCCGTTCATATAATTTGCACTACAATAATGCCATTTACTCAATAGAACAACGTTGGTGCGATGTTAAACAGAGAACGGGGGACATTTTTTATGTTATACGTTATAATAATAATGTTTTTTGGTTTAAATACGAGGGATGTCTTTTAAGTTTATATGGAAATAAAACAACACGGTGGGTAGTTTTAAATGACTTTATTGTTTTTCGAAGTATTCTCCACGAACATTAATACACATCTGCATGCACTCGAACCAATTTTCGAAGCACTTATTCCACTCGTTTGCTGGCAGATCCAAAACGGCATTTTTGAATGCGTCAATTGCTTCTTCTGGTGACTGGAACCTTTGACCACGCAGTTGTTTTTAATTTTCGGGAAAGTAAAGAAATCGTTAGGACTTAGATCGGGACTATATGGAGGATGGTCCAATAATTCCAGGTTTTCTTCCGTTAAATACTGCCTTGTTTTTTGGGCTGTGTGCGAGCTTGCATTGTCTTGGTGGAGGATTCTTCTTCCGGGGTGATTTTTCGAAGCTCGGTAATGACTTTTGGCAAACAAATGGTGGTATACCAATCCGCAGTAACAGTTCTTTGCTCATTAAGAGGAATTATTGCAATATGAGCCGCTTTTGACACAAATGTTGCTACCATTTTTTTCGAAACACTTCGAGAACGGAGGACTTTTGTTGGCTTTTCTTCACCTTGGAACACCCAAACAGCCGACTGTCGTTTATTTTCTAGTTCATAACAGTAAATCCACGATTCATTTCCACTAACAATATTGTACACATTTTTTGAAACGGTCAAGCGTTTTTTCACACCAATTAACCCTGGCTGCTTTCTGCTCTTCAGTCAACAGGTGGGGTACCCAACGAGAAACTAATTTTCTTACTCCTAATTCTTCGTGTAAATTTTTTTGAATTGAGGTCTTTGAGATCTTCAAGGACGCCTCAATTTCGCGATATGTCACATGTCTATCTTCAACGATGAGTTTGCGCACAGCATCGACGTTTTCCTGGGTGACTGCCATTTTTGGTGCACCCACCCTGGGATCGTCGCTAAGACTCACCCGTTCATGTTTGAATTCTCCATACCAACGGGAAATTGTCGACTGATGTGGCGCTTCGTTGCCGAAAACAGACAGTAACTCAGCAAGGCATTCTTGTTGCGATAATTGTCTCTGAAAGTTGTAATAAATTATGGCGCGAAAATGTTCTCGGTTGAGTTCCATTTTTCTAATGACTTGGTGACACTTGAAAATTCACTGTAGTGAGAACACTGCACGTATTGTTGTGAAACTTTGAATTTACGTTTACTAAAGAGTGAGGTTAAGATTCAGTACTGACGTTCGATCCGCGCGGCCTACTATGTTTCTATATGCAAAACTTAAAAGACACCCCTCGTACAAAATATAATAAGCAACACATGAAAATATACCAGTCAACATGAAATACCCAAAAAAGTATTAACTTTGGCTTGAGATATAATAAATCAAACATTAAATATTTTAAAATACAAAGGATCTTATATTTTGGCCAAATGTATACATTTACATATCTTTAGTGATAATAATAATTTAGTCATAGGACATACTGATTTTTGATCTTTATGAGTTCATGTATAAATAGTCTTGGCTCAATCGACGATTTTAATTCAATTTTGGTAAATTTTTGGAACGTATGTTTTAAATTTGGTGGAATAGTATTATAAAATTTTAGGCCTAGAAAATAAAATGATCGTTGACTTGAAGTTTTATTTAATCTGGGTATAGTTGATGATGTGTTTTTGAATCATGTTTGAAGATAATGATGTATTTCACTGTAATCAAGATTTGTGATTCACTATAAAGGTTTTCCATTGGATACAATACTGTTTTGTTAAACATAATCTCTATTATCCACTTCAATTTGGATCTTTTACTTCCTATGCCAAAAATGGCGAATTTTGTAACCGCTAAAAATTTGTGGTATTATGTTTTTTGGTTGTTATATGACTTGTACATGTCCGTCCGCTAATTTTATAACCGCCTATAACTTGAAAAATACCGCTCTAATTTTGGTGAAATTTTCACACAAGGTTATTACTATGCCAAGGGTGACAAAGGTTTGTAGTTTTTGAAAATCGGTCTAGTCGTGGGGGAGAAAAATACTAAAAACAAAATTTGGGGGCTGTAGGTAATGGGGGAGGGCATATGATTTTTTTTATCTTAGTATATTTATACGCTCCCAACCCCGATAATGCTATGCACCTATTAACCATATTTAATACATCTTAGATTTAAAAGTGGTTTGGCTAGATCATATAGCACTACTTACAAGTCATTAGCAAACATACAACAGTATCCAAAGATGACACAAATCGTAAAAAATTGTGTACCATCACCTGGTGGCAGTGTATACAGTACTGTCTTTTTCACGAGTATCCATTATGGTGTATCAACAGCTGATTATCTAGTAATATTTCGCAATTCTCCATTTTGACAAGTGACACAATTCTGACGGACCCGTCAACGCTGGCTAGACAGAATCGTATTTTGTCATGTTTTTTGCATGCTACGGGTTATTTTTGTACTTGCTAATAACTCTTTTATTTAGAAAAGTCTCTTTGCATATAAAAAAACGCTACCTGATATAAGGTCGCTAATGATCATGACTAAATTTCAAGTCGCTAGGAATAAAATAAGATAAACAGTTTTTGAGTATGTTTATCATCTATACCTTAAGCAAGCCGTACAATAAATTTAAAATGTGTGGCAGAATATGACTGAATTGATAGAGGTTCGATTTCCTGAATAAATCGCAGACATATTATACCGAAAACTAAAAAAATGACCGAATACTGAATAGTAACAGAATGTTCCTGGCATCTCTTGTTTGTATAACAAATACAATGACGCTGTGGCTTGATATCAGGACCGTGGCCCGACCCGAATCTTTCAGCGCATGGAGCGTACCGATGTGCACTGTTCTATAGAAATAAATCTCCTGCAAACTTGAGTGAATGTCGGCTTTTACAACGTACTGATTCGACAGGTACTAGGCGCGCCAGAGTTTTTAAAAGGTCACTTTATTTTCTGAAATTGAATCCAACAACAACTACAATAGTTGGTAGCTATATGATTACAGAACAAAGGGTACAATAATGGTTCATTAAATAGAAATATGTAAAGTTCTCTAACAGTGTCAGTAGAAGGATAAGAGATAACTCTAACATGATATAATAATTATTTTCTACAGAGAGAGCCAAAGTGCATAACTCGGGGCACATGTTATAATTTGTCGAGAAACCTTATTTCACTGTATAGTTGATGTTGCCGCTCAAAAAGATACAACGTTTAGGCATTGTTTTTGTATCAGTGTGGTTCAAGGTCTATTTTTAAATCAGGTTTAGTGAGATGCAGTCCTTGGTGGACTTCATGTACAAAGGGGAAGTGAATGTAACTCAAGATGATCTGCCGTCATTACTTAAATCTGCAGAGGCGTTGCAGATTCGGGGCTTATGCGGATCCGACCAGCTGCTGAATCCAGCGTACTTTAACACCATGAAGCAACAGAACTCGCAACATGCTCCACAAGCTCATTCTACAGTGAGTATGGTCGATTTGTGATAAATATATTTTAACGATCACTTTACTATTTCGCCACTCTAATGATGATTAATATGTGATCAACGGATTAGATTAAAGATCATACCTGTGAATCCAATTTTCGTTTAAACCTGTCATGTGGAATAAGTCGGCTACAAAATACTGCGGTTTCCTGATTAAATTTAAGAATTCTCAATCCGTAACGGAATTCTGCTTATACTCACTTGTATATGTATCAGTTTGAATAAGCTAGACCAGTTTCTGATACAACATCCCAAAACCTTGTTTGCTGGAACAATAATCTCCCTAGCATGCTCAAAAAATGTAAGCTTACTATCAAAAATCACCCCAAATCTTTGAGAGACTGACATCTATCTATAGCTACATTATACATCTAACAGTCGAACAGTATTGAATTGGTTTTGCGAGAAAAGCTTAAGATCTTGCATTTTCAATGGTTTGAATCAAGTTTATTGATCATACACCAATCACTGAAGCTATCAAGGTCTCATTGTAGATTCTCATAATCTTTATAAGCCTTTATGAACTGATGGCGGCGAAGCACGGGAAGTGGAGAGTCAACCTACTTGACTCCATTGCGTATATTCATTGCGCAATTAATATCACGTATGTTATCGATACAAGACTCACAGACAAGGAGCTAAATGCGCATGACCAACATTGCTGTACTAAGCATATGAATAACGTCACCAAAGTCAGTAAATATTTTTTTTTATTTAAACGGTATTAATGGGATATTTGTTATCTGAGCCAACGAATATCGAATGTCTCTCTCACAAGTGTATTAAGTTGCAAAAATAAATGTTTTGTCGGATCCATCTTCTACTTGTCTACCGAACTCCTGCTGATCTGTTAACAATAACATGCCAGTGAGTTTTATCAATTTGCCTCTACGCATACCTCACGCTCATTCTATAGTGCGTTATGTTTAAGATGAAAGGTTAAGCGTACGACTGTGGACATTCCTTAGGGAGGTTAGTGGCCGAATTTGAAATTAAACACGGTGCGTTTGAGGTTTTCCACAGATACAACCGTAAAATTTGTGTTTACAGCCCAAACCATCAAATGTACACCATCAGCAAGAAACCAAACCTCAACCTAGCCAAATACCAATGACAAACCCAATGACAAAGATCCCCGATATACCAATCAAAAAGGAACAGAATCAGGTACCTGAAGTTTCTGACAGCGGTAACAACCCCTCGTCATCCGACTGCGATTCAAATGATGGGATGTTGCATATAAAAGGTAGGTAGCAAGAGCAGTTGTACCAAATATGAGCATCAAAACTAACCGATGACCTAGTGCTCTTACTACACTTCATTACGGATTACCGTGACTGTTTAGTTCTGTCGTTTTGTCACTTTTCGTCTAATGTAACTTGTGCAAATTCATGGTATCATGTGAATCAACGCCAAGCTGAAAATTGAAGCGTAACCAATATAATACTTAGATACAGTAGCGGACAAAAGTTTGGAAACATTCTTAGTAATTTTTAAAAGCTGCGCTAATTTTTTATTCTTTATTATTAAGAACTATTTGTTTTCTCATATATACTAAGTGACATATAAATCCGAACACCCAGTTTAAATGGTTTTATTTTAATAAAATTTTGTATAAGTACTTAATGAAGCATAGTAAGTAAATGATAAAAATTTCAAAATGATTGCACTGCTTTAAAGCCCTTTGACCTTTAATAATGTGTGGATGCACCCTGATATGCTACGCATTCTCCAACGCGCCTAGGCATGCTTCTGATCAGGTGGTCAATGTCCTCCTGTGGTATCTCATTCCAGGCAACCACCAACTCCTCTCGAAGTGCTGCTAGAGTCTGAGGGGGACGTTGCAAATTGAGCAATCTCCTACCCATCATATGCCACACGTGCTCAATTGGGGATAAGTCGGGAGATCTTGGTGGCCATGGTAACAATGTGACATCATTATGTTGAAAGAAGTCTATTGTGACTCTTGCAACATGTGGTCGGGCATTATCTTGTTGGAAAGTTGGATCTGCCAGGGTGTCAAGATAGGGTAAAAGATGGGGTTCTAGAACTCCGTGGATATAACGCTGCGCGTTCATGTTACCTCTGAACCATAAGCTATAGCACCCCAAACCATAACTCCAACAGTGTGATGAACATGTCTTTCAACAAAAAACTGTGGATTCCTCCTTTCACCACGTCGCCTTCTAACCCTGGCACGACCATCGTGCATGCCTAAACAAAATCGAGACTCTTCACTAAAGACAATACTGTTCCATTCCTGATCCCAGAGTGACCGTTGTCTGCACCACTCAAGGCGATTACGTCGGTGTTCTCGAGTTAAAGGGAGGACCCAGTGTGGCCGGTATGAAAACGAGCCAAAACTTCTTATTCGTCGGTAAACACTTCGCATGCCAATAGGTCTTCCGTGTTCTGCAAACCATTCATTTGCAATGGACCTGGTAGTGGAGAAACGGTCCCTTAAGGCCAATAATCTTAGGCGGCGATCTTCACGGTCTGTTGTTCTACGGCGGCGTCCAGTGCCACTTGCTCTTTGCGTACGGCCTTCTCGAAGCCATGCCTGACAACACCTAACCACAATGTCTACACTTCTTTGCACTCTAACTGCAATTGCCCGAAAAGAAAGTCCAGCTTCCCGAAGTCCCACTATACGGACCCTATCAAACTCACTAAGTTGACGAAATCGTACAGGTCTCCGTACTCTAGGCATCGTAACCGATCGTAAAGGATGTCAAGAACCAAAATCCGCCAACGTTGATTCTTTACTGCGGCTGAAATATTCATTTTTAGAGCGTTAGTGAATTAAAAAAAAGCAGTATAAAAACCGGAATGTCCAACTGATAAGGCTGAATATTTTTTCACCTGTTATTTACAGTAAAATAAATACATTCACCAACTTTTATTAAAATAAAACCATTTAAACTGGGTGTTCGGATTTATATGTCACTTAGTATAGTTTGCTTACATTCTTGAGGATACAAATGGCAATTTGTGTTTGCAGTGGTACTACAGAAACATCTCTGGGAGCATGTTAAAAGATAACTGACAAGAAAAATTAAAAAAAATAGGAACGATTCATTTGATTATGTAACAAATATTACACATTTGGCAAAATATCCCAACAAACGTCTGTAAAAAAATGGTGTCTTCTATGAGCAGCTGATGTCAGTGTTGAATGCTAAATTCTATGCTACCAAATATTATCAAAACTGTATTTTTAAAATTTTTTTGCAGAGTAATTGTATTTAATTTTGTAATTAAAAATATGTTTCCATACTTTTGTCGCCTCATTTTAGGTCGTAAAATAATATGAAGGTATTTTGATGCCTGTTTGTTGTACCACAGCAAACACAAATTGTCATTTGTATCCTCAAGACTGTAAGTGAATTATATGAGAAAAAAAAATAGTCATTAATAATAAAGAATAAAAAATTACTACACTTTTTAAAAATTACTAAGAATGTTTCCAAACTTTTGTCCGCTACTGTATCATCACTAGGGAATACCTGAATGTGAACCAGAATGTGTTCAACTATAAGTATTGTGGTAAATAATTTGTGCCTCCGCAATGTTTTAATAGTTTACAATAGTTGTTTCTAGAATAATATAATCAAACATCAATATTTTTATTTGCAGAGGATGTTGATGATGAACCAGAAGATTCAACGTTCTTCGATGGAGATAGTGAGTTGAAGGATATGATGGATCAGGAGATGACAGAAGAAGATGGTCCTGTCAATACTGAGGCGGCGTTGTCACCAGGGCCAATAGATATTAAACCACAATTTGCCGCCATCGCCAATGTCTCTTGTCATTACGATGCAACGACGGGTAAGGCAGCCCTCATTTCAATATATAACTGACTGATTTGCTTCTCCGGTATTTTTAAAATAAATTAAAATAAATGCATGCATGTTTTTATTTTAATTTTTCATTCAAAGTTAGAATTCATGTATGAAAATGATATAAATGCTGCTTTTGAAAGTCACACAAACTGTTTTTAGCGAGCGTTACTTCAATATGATGCAAAACTGTGTGCTCTTAAAACACTGCTTAATATTATTATATTTAGTTTATTAAATTCAAATACTCCCTTGAAATACAGATTTGCTAGTTATGATAATGACTATTTGATTTTATGAAGTTTTCTAAATATGGTGGTTTGTTTAAAATTTATTCAGCATAATTGCTACAATTACATTCTTCTAAAAAACTAAACAATTACATAACGTACAGATATTTAGAAAAAACCAAATTTGCATCTCTACGAATTTTTACTGTCCATGAAATATTCCTTTAATTACCTTTTAAACATCTATAAATTACAAGTAGACTTTATATCATTATTTAGTTTATTAAATTCAAGTAATCCTTTCTGAAATATTGATTTGCTAGGTAGTGCAATTTTGTAAATGAAAATCTATATTTCCTCTTGTATAAAAATTGTGGTAATGATTGTTCAATTCTATGTAGGGTTCTAAATGTTGTCGCAAAAGATGATTTTTTATTTTAGATATAAAAATAACAACCAAATATGATATGAAATTTTGTATATTCAACCACTGCAATTCTTGTAACATAGATTTTAATTTGGAGGAGTACTTATTTGTATTCAATATTATTCTCATAGCTTTATTTTGCAGGACTTGTAATTTTGAGAATACAGTGAACAATAGTAAATGCGGTAGAATAATTGTATTATAAACTATTTTCTTGGAATATTTACCAAGACTATGAAAAGCCCTATAAAAGTAATTTGTTTTTTTTTGTAATTTTTTAAGTAATAGTAATCCTCAAACTTTTGTTCCATCAATATATATAGGGTCGCCCATCCATGTGTGGACGGAATATTACTCATAAACAAATACATTTTGGGAAAATCTATTTATGGCATGTTATACGTGACATTTGAGGACACATTTCCAAAATATTGGCAATTAGACAGGGTGTCCCAATTTTGACCTACATATCAAAGTTGTACTGAAACCCCTCAATCCGCCTTTTTGAAATTTGGAGTGCTGAACTTTGTATAAAAAAAACTTACACACCTCAGCTTTTATCGTATTTGTAACTTTTTCGAATTTTCATTTTTGCTCATACAGGGAGTTCGATGTTAATTTTTTTTTTGTTTCTTGATAGCTTCAGCGAACAGACGCATTCGTAGATCAGATGAGGAACTTCGTAGAGCTGCCGAATGCATAACTCGTGGACAAACTTTTCAGACTGTTAGCGACCAGTTCAATATCCCTATCAGCACCATCAGGTTAGTATGCAAACTGTCTTACTGTATCATACAGGGTGTAAACGTTATGATTGTCATTATTTAAATGGGTGATAGAGTTAAAAGAAGCAGAAAGTTTCACATAATATGGGGGTCAAAACAGCATTTTTTTAGAGAAAAGCGACTTAAAAGTAAAATAAAATCTGACCACGCCGCAATGCCAGACGCAAATTACGACGGAACGCAGTCTAAATAAAGATGGAGTTTGTTATTTTTGGCTCTAGGTATTATTTCATTATTTGAAAATGTACTTGTAAAATTAAAAAAAAAACGGACTTACCACTAAGAGTCTCAGCGTTTCACCTGGTGTGTGAAAGTTTATTGAACGTATTAAAAAAATCTACTTATAAATAGGGAACACAATTTTGATAGATACATTGTTTTTCTTTTTAAAACCCACACTGCACGTTTTTTGTATTTGAAGAAGATGTTCAAAATGTCGTCCTCCACTTTCCGCACAAGCTTCATTACGATGAACCCAGTTTCTTCTTACTCTAATTCCTCGAAATTGTCCATTTATTATTTCAGCCGCATTAAATTTTTTTTCGCGAAGTTGTGCTTCAGTTGTTATTGGACCATCCCCATAAACCATCCCTTTAAGTTCTCCCCAATACCACAAATCCATTGGATTGAGGTCAGGAGATCTTGCTGGGCATTTTCGAGGATCAGGATAATGTTCATTCAAATACTGAATGACGCATCTAAAAATGTGTGGTGGTGCCCCGTCATGAAGAAACCACAAATTCTGTCTCCATTGTAATAGCATGTTGTCTAAGGTCTGTTCCAAAAGTTCTGGTAGGTTATTGGCTAGAAAGTTAAGGTATCTTTCTCCTGACAACTTTGGGGGTAACTCGAAAGGGCCAATTACCTGATCGTCAAGAATACCCGCCAAAATATTTATTTTAAAACGTTTTAATTTATTATATTCAATCAACCCTTCATGGAATACAGATTTGTAGCATATGTTATACTTTTTGTTCATTAAATGGAAGTCATCTTTATTTCTGGTATTATGTAAATGATGGTCGACATTTGATGATGTTAAATTAGTTAGACTTGATGGAAATATATTATTTTTTACTTTATAAATGAATATCATTACAAGATATTTGATAAAAAATTTTTACATTGAGCCATTTTAATTTGCTAAGCATTTGCCTAATTGGAGTATATTTATCTTTTTTTATTATTATTCTCATGCACTTATTTTGTAAAATTAGTCGAACAGAAATTTGGAAGAATGATGGTATTATAGATAATTTTTCTGCTATATGAACTCAGACATCCAGAAACTCTCGATAAATATCCCACTTTACTACTAATCTTATTTATAACTTTTTCATAATGAATATCAAAAATTAATCGAGACCAACAAAAACCCGCAGGTATTTAAAATTTTCTACGAATTCAATATCTTCACCATCAATATTCAGTTGAACATTTGTACATTGTTTTTTTTTCCGATTAACAAGGCTTTCGTTTTACTTGCATTTAATTTTAGTCTGTTAGATGCTAACCATTTTGAGACAAGCTTCAAGTCTTCATTTATATAAGAGATACCAGACTGAATATTTTTAGTACTTATATAAATTATAGTGTCATCGGCGAAAATCTGAATTTTGCATTTTTTGACTATGGCAGGTAAATCATTTCATGTATAAAATAAAAAGAATGGTATGAGGATTTTCCTGGGACCACGTGTGAGTACTATAGAAATTTAATATCTCGTCTCGCGTAAAAGTACATTCGTCCGTCGCTAGAATGTTTTTAAATAAATCCGGATTTTCAATGTTTTTGTGCAAAAACCACTGACAGAATGTTAGTCTATGAGGATAGACTTCTGGTAACAAGGCCTGCACTCGTACATGGTAGAGATAAAGCAAATTTTCTCGTAAGATTCTATGGACTACGCGGCGGCCTAATTCCCGAGTGCTGATATCTGCATTGATTTCCACGATATTTAAAATTTGTTCCTCCTGCTCTACAGTAACCTGTCTTTCACGAGTGCGAATATTAGTGGGCTGAACACTTCCTGTATCTCAAAGTCTTTGGTACACTTGCACAAATGTCCTTCTGTCCGGGTGTACCCGTTGGCGAAATGTGTCACGATAAATTTGAGCTGCTAGATTTAAATTCTGACGAGCTTCACCGTAAACTAACAACATGTTGGCGAACTCATGATTCGAGAACATTGTAAATAAACACGACGACGTACGCGAACAAAAACAAAACAACACGCCCGATGCCCGATAACTAACACCTCTGTTACCGTTTGCGATCGATTGCCGGTTCGATAAGAGTGATGAAAGGTCGACGCGCTGTTGTCATGTATGTTTTAAATATTTAAATTAATGAATCTTACTTACTTACTGACTACAAGTTTTGGCATAACTTAGACAAACGTAATGCCATTTATTTGTTAATTACCCAATTTAAAAAAGTTTTAGATTAGCTTATAAAAATTAGTAAGATTGTGGTCGATATAAAGCACTTGAAGTTGTAAACTATAAAGCCATTCAGACAAAAATCTATATAACGTTTATATCATTATAAATGTGGAACCCATTTTCCGTGTTTTGTACCTGGTCCTCTACCAACAACCTCTTGGTGTTCCCTGCGTACCCTATCGTAAATATTCGTGCATTCTGATCAATGATAGTTCTGATTGACATTGTTTCATTTTCTCTTCTAGATTTTACATGGCTCGCAAGGGCATCTTGCCGCGACGGAAGCGCGGCCGAGCATGCGCGGGCGGATCTATGAGCCTGAGCGGCCTAAACCTGTCTCATTCGCCGGCGGCAGGCCTTGGTGGTCTAGGGTCGATGAGCGGTGGAGCGGCACAAATGTACGCCTCACCGGCTAGTCCCATTGGCCCGCCTTACCACATTGTACATTACAAACTGCCCGCTCTCGGCGTCTCCAAGCTTAAATAGGCGGGGCTTAGGGCGGCGAACGGAAGTCAAGCAGATTCAGATGTTTGCGCTGGGTATGACCTTTGATTCACCAGGAAAATCACATTTTGCTTAGTCGAAAATTGTTTTCAACTGAGACTACAGGATAGCCAGACTGACACACCGCGATCTCTGGTTGACAAACCGATTTTAAACATACATCACAGTTGAAAATGCTCAAACTATTTTCCACGATACTTCAAAACATCCTATTTGGATGCTCCCTTTTGCATTAGTAAATGTACTAACTATTTTTACCATTATTAAAAATAATTTTTAATTGACTTGTATAGTCAAAGTATGGCCATGACACTCAGCAGCCATATCAGTCGGTTCAATCCAATTGTATACCAAGTCTTTTCTGACCACTCTATCCAATAAGACTAACATAAAAGCATCAGCATCGTTAGGAAGTCCGATTAAGCCAACCATGGTCAGCTGTTTCATCAAAATCGACCACTTAGGAAGTATGAAACAGTGCGAGGTACGTCCTTTGACGATATTGAATATTTCTGAATGATCAGCTGGCATTTATTGTTTTTTGCCGTTTTGAAGTATCGTAAAATAGTTTAGAATATACCTTCAAAGCGTTATTTTTGGATGTTGCTAATATACTCTATTTTTGAGGCACAGGTTGCTAAAGTAAAAAAGGTTTATACTAACCATATTGTTTTCCTATAACGTCATCATCATTTGAACCTGCTACCTTATAAGTATACTGTATCTGTGAAAGCAGGTTTTTCAATGTAATCCAAGCAGTAAGAGATTATGGATTCATAATATGTCGCAAGATCTTATCTATATATGGTTACATGTTATTTTTTGCGACTACTCTTGCAAGAAACTTTTTGCAGCAGGTATTGAATTAATTATTATCAGATGATTATGATGAGCTTCAAATCATTAATTTTCTCTGTAATGTCATTTCGAATATGCCCTAAAAATAGAGAGCTTAGTACATACAGGGTTTGTCCGAAAAGTAATAGGACTGAGTCGATTTAAAAAAAATTATTGAGCCAATCGTTACAATTCTTTAAAAACTTTCAAAATAGGAAACAAAAAAAGTCCGGGGGGGGGGGCACATCTGGGCTGTGGGGCGGCTGTGGAAGCGTTGGGATGCCGGCCTTGGTCAGGTAGCTGTTCACAAGAAAGACGGTGTGAACCGGGGCGCTGTCGTGGTGCAACTTCCAGTCGGCTGCGATGTCTTGTCGGACCCGACTGACCCTTCGTTTGAGTCTCCTGAGCACTTCCACGTAAAACTTGGCGTTGACGGTTTGTCCAGGAGGAACAAATTCATGGTGGACGATGCCTTTGATGTCAAAAAAGACAATGAGCATCGTTTTCACTTTGTATTTGCTCATTCTTCCCTTTTTTGGGCGAGGAGACGCCGTCGTGTGCCACTCGGAAGATTGCCTCTTTGTCTCGGGATCATACTCAAAGATCCACGACTCGTCACCTGTGATTACGTTATTCAAAAATTGGGGGTCACTTTCACACATGTTCAAATTTTCTTGGCACACTTCCACTCGCCGCAATTTCTGGTCGTCAGTGAGCACTTTTGGGACCATCTACGCGCACACCTTGCGCATGTTCAAATGTTGTGTCACAATGTCATGAACCATAGATTTTGGTAAATTTAACATCTGAGCAATTAAGCGAATACTTAGTCGACGGTCTGAGTTCAAAACTTTGCGCACACGAGTCACATTATCGGTGTTTGTCGAAGTCGAAGGTCTTCCAGCACGTTCTTCATCAGCGACCTCTTCCCGGCCCTCCAAAAAGGCCTGGTGCCACCGTAACACACCACTTCTTGCTAAACCAACACCTGGGTAAGACTGCTTGATCATATCAAACGTCTCTCGCAGATTTACCGAGTTTCACACAGAATTTAATCGCGTACCTCTGCTCTAACGAACGCTGCATTTTCGGCATGCACCACTCACAGAAACACGTCGCGCGAAAATGCCTGTCCTGACTATCCAAGTGCTCGGAGACAACTGACCAGCCGCTCATTCGTTAGCTAGGAACGCCCTCTACCGAATCCAGTACAGTCATGGTGGAAGAAAATGAGTCCTATTACTTTCCGGACAAACCCTGTAAGCCCCTGAAAAGCCAGTGTAGCGTTGATGCTCTATATTCACTAGTTTTATGCATTGGCATTTGTTTAGAATGATCGTAAAATAATCTTACATTTATAAAGAAACTTCGTACCAATAATATAAAATGTGTCATCGCTGAATGATCAGGATCTGTTTAACTTCCAAAAGAACTGATTATGTTGAAACTATTATTACATTGTTTGCCATTTTTTTGTCTTCATACCGAGTAATTTCTTTTTTATATTTATTTGAGGATCTCGTTTTTTATTTCCTATTTTTTAGACAGCTAAATAGTTATTAGGTATGTTTTTTGCTGCCAAATAAGATGTTTTTGCTGATTATTTATTTTTTGTCTACGATTCGTGTTTTTATAGAAGTAAAGAGAAAGGAGTATTTCTTTATTATAAGTTTTTGAAATTAACGGTGAAAAGTATGATTAAAATCTGTGTAATTTTTACGTTAGAAAAATTGACTACATGATGATATTACATTTTTTGAAAGAACTCTCAACTGGAACATATACTAGTCCTGATAAAAGATTTGTTTTTTAAGTATTTTTTAGTATTATTTTGCATTTTACAGCAGTTAGTTATAGTTGTGCTGCCATTCGTTGAACAAATTATTATTTATCTCGATAAAAATTCCACCCTTGTCAATCATCATATATACGTTAGAGAAAAAAAAAACATTTGATGGAATTTCGTTTCTGATACCATTGCTACTATTTTTTTCTACAATTTATCAGTGCGGTGGTTGACAAAATACTGATAATCCTGAATATCGTTGGTTTACAACTGGGTACTTTTGTATACCAAAACACCATTATATTATTCTCAAAATTGTAGACGATAGTTTGGAATTTTGAAGGGATTTCCACAAGTTATGCATAACGAAATTCCATGCAAAAGTATGATTGTCGTATTTGTTACGACCAAAACGCTTGTATATATTTTCATTTACATCAATTGTTCTTTCTATAACTTGGATGCCCATACATGGTAGTGCTACTGCCCCAATAGAGCCTTATTTAAACAGTGTTTTGTCCTGTTTTTACAGAACAATTTTTTATGAATCAAAACCGTACATTGCGATATTTATAGAGAGGCTTCCATATTTTCTAAGAACGTTGATGTTATTTCAGAGTGTTTATGTATTATAAAAGATGCCTTCATGATGATAGTATATTTTTTGTATGCAGTGAACGTACTTAAAAAAAGGGTAACACCTTTTTATCATATGGCCTTACGTCAGCAAAATTACAGATAACACAATAATAGCCTGTCCCATGAATCCTGACAGAAGATGCCTACGTTTTCAAAGGAGAGTTTAGTCCTAAAGCACACATTTCACACATAATAGATTTGCCGGCTGGGATTTTATAGTATCGTGCCTGTCGCTTATGACGTGTTTGAGTGATGTGGTCCAGCAGCGTTGTCAGATGATCGATACTTAGAGCAGGGAAGAAACTAGCGTTATCAGGTGGTACTGTGGAGTGTGTACTAATATGGACCTGTTGGCTGACTTCACCTATTTAATTTCTTTTTGTTATACATGTAGTCGCCTCTGAGGAACATAATACTTTATAAACTTATGACAGCATTGCGTGGGGAGCGCAGAGTCAACTTACTCGACGCCATTTTTTAGGCTGATTTTACCTCAAATATTCAAGCTACGAGGGCGGTTCAATAAGTACCCGTGTTAGAACTGAAGACACCATTTTATATATCAAACTGTAGATAGATGGCGAAGTGTATCCATAAACAGCATAGAACTTTGCCTTTATCTCCTCGCATTTCATCCCATCCAAAAACAAGGAGCGAATTACCGAACGAGACTGCTCTTTTTCCATCTTGGCGAAAATCACGGGTACTTATTGACCAAGCCTCGTAATTTACAAGAGAGAGATATTTGTAAAATTGAATGACTAAATCAAAAATGCAATAGTTGTATGAAAACAGTTAGTGACATAGGAAGTATTATTCTTTTTCCTTCTATAGTTTGGTGTAGTTTGAGCCATAGTAATTTATATGGCAATAATGCTACGTTGTTAGTACTACACATACATACTACATACTTTCATTTTGATACTTTTATCCAATGTGCAGGTATATTTTTTCGATTTTGAAATGAAACCTCAACTTCCTGTATCTCAGTGAGGGGTATTTTAGGAACCATCTTTGTAAGAAATTTGCGTATTCAGTACAAACAGCATTTGAATATTGGTTTATGGGTGTGCTTGAAACGTTACGGAATTTGAGCATAATACTGGGATCTTTGCAGATCTTTTAGAATAAATCTTGACTTAACGTTAAGCTTCTGTGGTGTATCAGTCGTTTGATGGGTTCATCTGCTGTTCGAATAACTTGTGTTATTCAGGGTTAAAAGCGCTGAATAAGAAATAAAATATTCATTATGATGATCTTCTGTCGATTCATGGAACTGGTGACTGACTGAGTGGCAGCCACGTGACCTCTTTGAGCAATATGACGTATGAGACGCTTAGTTTTTTTTAGTGTGTTACTACTTAAACGTTTCCTTATTTTTAAATGCAATTTTTGCCAGTGATACAACTGTAAGCATGACTATTTGTTGTAATATTATGTGTGTTGACTTTAATAGAACCGCACTCACCTCATAGAACAAAATGTTGCAGAAATAGAATTTAGCAGTCTGAATTACCAGAATTTTGAGATTATATAAATAGAAGTATATTATCATTGTGCCATGTGAAATTTCAATAATCCTTGTGTTGCGGTTATTTCCGTTATGACACGAGAATAAGCTAAAGGTCACAAGAGAGAAATGATAGATAATTTTAATTTTACTTAACTGAAAATGATAATGTAGATCTGAAAATAATTACATTATGCAAATGTTATTTCTTGATTATTATTGCCAGTTTCAACTTTATATTTTATTGTGGTAACAATAGAAAAGTATTGTATAGTTGTGAAGTTATGGGGATTTAACAAATAGATAGTTACCTGTTGCCTGTCTATCATAGTGTATACCTTATGACAGCCTAGGAGAAATAAAGGATACACTACCATCTCAAAAAACGTTCTGAACAGTTATTTATGAAAAATGTAGTGAGCTGAAACGTGGCGGAATTAGTTTTAAATTAATTTCAGTAAAATATATCAAAATTGCTAATAAAAATATTACGGTATAATTTTACTTCTTCACGGTATCCTTTAGTACTGTTATCCTCTCTTATCTCAGAGCTAGATATAAACTTTGTGAAAAACGTTTCATTTTTAACACTATACAGGGTGTCCCCAAAGTTGGAGTTTTCCTTTCCAGGCACAACTACGCTTGATATAACAAAGCTAATGTGTGGTGAAACGTGAGCGAACAAGTAAAAAAAATAAATGAAAAAGTACTCATTGTTCAGTTGAATTGAAATTCCAAGTATGGCTGTCGTAAAATCCGAGGAGCACATGTAACAAAAATAACAAAAAAGAGATCGAAAATCACTTTTTCTTGGTGAACGTATTTTATAAGTACTGTGGCGTGCGTGCTCGACGTAGCCAAGCATCGGTGCAGGCTTTTAGAGTGGAGTCGCTTCCCCAAATGAATGCAGCTTGCAATTATCAGACGTAATTCGTCAACCGTGTGCACCTGTTTTGTACACCAAGCGTTTCATTTCACCTCAAAGAAAAAATCACACAGTGTTAAGTCTGGAGATCTCGGAGGCCATGCTTACGGGTCCATTACGTGCGATCCACCTATTCGGCAATTTAGGCACTCACGCACTTCACGTCTAAAATGGGGCGGTGCACCGTCATGGAGAAACCACATTGACTGTCTTACACTCAAAGACACATCTTAGACCAGGGTTGGTAAAATGTTCTGTAAAAAGTCTAGGTATTGTATCCTGTCCAACCGATTCGGGAGAATAACTGGTCCAATGAGAATGCCGTTTACCATGCCAGCCCAAACATTCACAGAAAATTTTTGTTGAAATTGTGACCGACGGACAGCGTCTGACCTCACACGAGCATTGCGGAAGTTATTCACCCCGTTACGTGTGAACGTGGATTCGTCTGTGACTAACATGTACTTCAAAAAGGCCGGATTATTGTCGTGTTGCTGCAACAACCACTCACAAAACCGCACTCTTGCAGGAAAATCCTCGGCTTGGAGAGCTTGTACACCTCTCACGTGAAATGGGTATGAGTGTGCCATTTTTTTTAACAGCAATCTGTTACCAATCTGATGGTTTGATGACCTGCACTACCGGCGTCTAGGTTAGGTTGCATACTAGCGGACGTAGTCGTACGTCGTATAACTGTACGCTGGCGCTAGCGACGTGATCGAGGCTTCGGTTTGGTTCAGGTTTTGCGGAGCCCAATATCTCGGTTCTCTTAAGACATTGGTGCATATGCTACTAGAAAATCCGCTTATTTACACGTCGTGTAAAGGAAAACCCCAACTTTGTGCTGACGAGCTAGCGGTATTTTATAAAAAGATTTGCCTGCTTGGGCAATTTCATTTTCTGTTTTCTGCATCACATCGTTTATTTTTTGGTAACTCAGACTCGAGAGTCAGTCTGTTTTCAGGCAACCACTTACCAATCATATTTAAGCTGGTTGATAAAACAATATAGTCTAGGCACCTTTTTGGGGCCAGATCTGTACCCCTTGTATAAAAGATGAGATGAAACAATCTTATATATTATTAAAAAGATGAATAGAAGTTACAGGGAAATCTTCGTATATTCAGACGTTCAACTACTATTTTTTCTGTAACTTCTAGTTTGCATAAGACTTAGATATTTAAGTACATAGATTAGATGATTTTCTGTCTAGCTATTGTTATTTTTTATAGTGATTTCCTTAAAGTCGAAATCAGAACGTAAGTCAGTGAATCATTTAGTTGTAGTTATTTTCTGTATCATAGTTGTAGTTGACTTATTTCATCACCATGTTCCATTTTGTAATTTGTGTAATTCTTTCTTGAACATCTCTACATCACATTTTAAAGCTGATCCTTGTTTTCTACTCGAATCTCAATAATTTTTACTCTTGTAAAGTATATTATGTGTAAAGTGCCATCTATAATATATTTTTCTAGTTACATAGAACGCTTATGTCTTGTGACTTAGACACTGTATACAGTATTCAATCGTAAATATACAAGTATTATATACATATTGTTTGTGTCACTGATGATCCACCTCCTGCGTACATTTATGTATCTGCTTTCCATAAAGCCGCGTACAGACCAAACATTCAACGACGTGCAAAAGAATGCAAGCACACGTGACGTTGGCGTTTGTTGTTGGAAGGTATTGGAATGCGCTCGTCTACTCCCCATTTAGCATCAATTTTACCGTCGGACAAAAATAATCGTAGGGCATTGCAGGAAATCTTTGGGTGAAGCACTTAACCGTAGAGCTAAATTGACTGGAAGATTAAGAAATTGCCCTCCTTCATCCAAAACCAAGTCATCAACTGTCTGTTTTACTTTTACAGATGGTGGAAGAAACCTATTGTCTAGTAATCTAAATATGCCACTTCTTGGACGACAGCATTCTGTATTTCTACATTTTACAATTTGAAGCAAGTATTGGCTCTCACGCACATGTTCTGAATACCATTTAATGTCTGGAAAATCAGGAAGATCTTGTTCACCCGCCCCAACATATTTTGCATTAACATTATAGCCATCAATTTCCATTGAACTCCATACTTCAGCTAATACATTTCCTGCAAATTCGAAATTAGATCTTTCTAAATGTTCATCAATTGTAACGCCACGTTCATCCAAATGAGACCCAAAATGGTCATGAGGCAATATTAAACCAACCAGTTCCCAACTAAGAGGAGCTATTCTGGACTCTACTCTGTTATATGCACTTCTTTCAGGAGCATTGGTAGCTAAAAACAATGCATCGAGAGCATGTCGCTTAAAGTGTTGTATAACAAACCCTATGACTTTTTGATAACGTGGATTTTCATCTGGCCCTCCATCAACCGTCATGATCACCACTGGTTTTACTAGTCCATGGTCAGTTTTAGCTAATGGTCGAAACTCTTCAAGTTCGAGAAGCGTCTCGAAATCCTGAGCATGAGTATTAACAGTAGATGAACTATGCTTTCCACTTCGAATAGCGATGTATGTTAGTCCAGAATATCCAACGGCTTGCGGTTGTCCTAGCATATGGAAGTGATTTTGATACGAGCATAAACAGATTGTATTAATTTATGACGCTCAGTGATTACCCAATCGTGATCAGGAAATTTGGTTACGCCAATAGGGACTCTAGCTTTATCATCTTGAGATATGAAAAATACCTGATCTGGTCCAAGTATGGATGCTATGTTCTCTAAATAATGGATTGATGTTTCAGCGAACTTGTTATCTCAGTGGCTCTTGTGGTGATCAGTTTGAGCCCGAATGAGCTTAACTGGGACTGTCGATACATGTCTTCGTCCCTCTGCAGAATCAGATTTTCTGGGAATCAAACGAAGATATGTTCCACTGCGACCTATTTTACGTAATTCTTGATTCCGTTCGCCTTCTATGATCTGCTGCACTCCCAAATAAAGCTATATCCGCGATTGTTTTCAATAGTGAATGTTGATTGCTTTCAAGATTAGGACGTCCCACTGAATCCCTCAGAGATAGACTTTTTTTATTTCTGGATTTTCATGACAAACATCTTCTAACTTTCTTTTCATACCATCCCCGTGTTTCTTCTGGGCAACTGCGTTTTGAACCTTCCTGTTTAAAGACTGTTTTGCTGTTTTTATTTCCTCGCGCAACTTAATGATCTGTTTATCAACTTCAGCACGGCTTGGCATAGTATCTCTGGCAGAATACAAAGCATTCAGATTTTTTGCGAGTAGAGCAATCTTATTTTTCATAGCTTCCTGAGAAGGTTTTGCTCTCTGTTTATCTGTATTTTCATTAATTTCGCATTGCTGTTGTGATTCATTACCGGGTTTTATTTTATCTTCTTCCACTTTTTTAATATTTGAAGCTGACTGTATAATTTGTGTTTTTTCTGCAGGTTTACAGGTTGCCTAAAAATAAGAACTTTCCATGGCCTCTGCTAAAGAGTCTCTTATTAAGCTACATAAATACAAAGTATGGTATGGTATATATGGTAATGGCTTTAAATCTAATATGTTTAAACGAGCAATTTGTTCAGGTCACAAAATACAGTGTGCTGGTTTTCTGTATATACAGGGAGACTTGTAATGTCATTAGGTCAAAAACAACCGATTTTGTCATATAATGTCCTATCCAGAAGTTAACCGTTTTTGAGTTATTTGAATTTTATTTTTTTTATTTTTTATTCCGATTTAAGACGGTTAAATTTGAAATACAAAAAAATTACATGTTTGATTTTGAGTTTTTTGTTATCGTCGCATAGCGGACATTCCAATAGTTCATAATAAGTAATAAAATGTTGAAAACTTTCAAAAGTTTTAAAATTACGCTTTTGAAATGTATGATTTTCTTATTTTTTTACTAACTTATTCGATAAAAAATGCAATTTTCTGTAAAAACAAGCTTTCATTTGAGGTATAAAAGTTACAACTAATTCAGGGAATTGAAATACCTTTAAAATAAGGTATCTCTCGACGCCCTTTTCCATTTAAGATTTTGGGGGTGGTGTCTCCCCCGCTTAGGGGGCTGCACGTGTTAACGTGAATTTTTTGCCAAACTTGTGTCCCCCTCGAAAACAAAATCGACGGGTCTGAGCGTTTTTCCAAAAAAAACTGAGCTGCCAGTAAATGCGTCTGTTTCGTTTTCGATGCGCCACCCTGTATAATACTGAGTTGAACCACCAAAATTTTATGTTAAAGGGAAATTCACTTTTAATACTTGTTGTTTTTAACAGACATAAATAACGTGGAGATAACAAATGATGCATACTCCCTCCAGGCAATAGCGCTGCTACGCCCCATGATATCGTCTACACTTGTTCGCAGTTTTTGTTAAAAAAGGAATCTGGACTGAATCAAATAATCCGAGAACACACTTGTACCACCGCACTTAATCCGACTTAAACACAAAAAAGTGCAAAACATGGTTTTAAATATTAGTAGGAATAGTCATTTTTGCGGCGAGCAGTATATATTTGGTGCAAAATGGGTTGCATAAGTTTCAAAACACAACCGAACGGTGATTGGTTGGTTTAATCGAATGAATATGATCCTTGTAGAACGTGGACCAATAAAAATGCGCCACCCCAGACCAGCATTTTGACAGATCCTTCTTTCTGGATTAATCTTACACAATTATTTTTGTCAACGTGTTACAGAAAAACGCCGAAAACTCAACACATTGCATATAATTTACCTTGTTAACGTTGTATTGCTCGGTGCGAAGCCAGCAAAAATAAAGTTTCATTCACTAACCCACCGAAAAAGTGTTCTAACCTAAATAATTCTATTTATAATTCCTAAATTTGTAATCGTCAATTTCGTACAAAATGAAATTGCAGGCAGTATTTTTAATATTCTTTGCATCAGTCGTAGCAGTAAACAGCTTAAAACAAGGAGAATGTGAAGGTAAGTCGCACATTCCAATACATATTTGGCATAACTAAAATTATTTTTTTCCAGTATGCATCAAAACTCTGGACAAGTTTTCGGCCACGTTATCAGAAGATGTGAAAAAAGACCCTAAGAAAATAGAGGAACGGTTTAAAAAGTTCTGCAAAGGATTAAAGAACAAGGAGCATAGATTTGTAAGTTTCATATAGAAATTATTTTATACCTGTTGAAAGAGGAAATGAAAAAAAAGCCTACCCTGCCAGACAATCTGCTCTTAAAATTGGCTTGTATTATCCCTGTAGTCTAGAATGCCCCATTACTCATAGTGCCCCCATAAGGCTGTGTACACCTTGTCATACACACATTGGATTTTTTTCAGGGAGATCATCTTTTAAGCCTTTGCCTCCCTCTATGGGTACTGATGTTATCATACAAAATACCTTAGGGCTGTTGTTGCACTTGAAAAAGTTGCAAGGGTCTGCTGATCCCTCAGGATGTCCAGAAATTGAAGGATAATCCTTCAGCTAATACAACATCTGAAACTGATCCTGTGGTTCTCATGTATATAGACAGTCCTCCATGCTTGTCTGGCCAATATACTCTTTCAATCCCATAGGTGATCTTCAGTACAGCGACTTATATTTTGTATGTCTTCTAGGTGACAGCTAATTTGTTTTTTCTTTTCATATCACACTCCTACACATGGACAAGGGTGCCGTATCTGGCACATAAAAAAATGGGCTGGGCATCTTTTTTTGGGAATGGGAATGCTTACCCCAGACCATCCTGGTTTTGCATGGTATCATCTCTAAACTCGGAACGATGACTTCCCACATGTTACAGGTCTTTCAGACTCTTGGTCAGACAAGCATAGAGTATAATCTTTCAGCTGTAAATAGGCCACAAAATTACCTATTGCAAATTTTTGTTTTAGTAAAGGTCAGTTTTTGAATTTCCACATTTTTTGGTAGAAAAACATTCTACAAATAACATATTCTTGGACCAGATATTTGTTTTGGAACACTCAGTTAAGCATTTTGTCTCCTACCCAGTATCATTTATTTCTTAAAATGGAGATAAACATAAAAATCATCCATTGTAGAATAACACTACCAAGCTCAAGGTTGTTTCAATTTTGGAATCCGATTTTTTACCATCGTTGGTATACAAAGTCATTAAAGTAACCCCATAGAAAATTAGTGTATTCAGATCTACTGATCTTGGTGTTGATGAAATAGTCAATGCACCTGATCCACCTTTATGAACGTTGAATGTTTCAGATTGAAGTTGCTCCCCTTTTACTTCCCATGCCTACTGGCAAGGAAGTATTGTAATTAGTTATTTCCTTTGGTCCGCTATAAGTACTGCTTGGATTTGGATGAAATTGTTACACAGGGTTACTACTATGCCGATGACGAAAAAACTTAGTTTTGTAGAATATCTGGCATTGCTGTTCATGCTGATTCAGGAAAAAAAGATCATCACGTACATTTCAGAAGCAGCAGTCAATTCCTCTTGCAAATGTCAGATTTTATAACAATTGTGCTTTGCATTTCAGTGTTACTACCTTGGAGGATTAGAAGAATCAGCAACCGGAATCCTTGGAGAAATGTCCAAACCTCTGTCATGGTCAATGCCTTCAGATAAAATCTGTGAAAAGCTGAAGAAGAAGGACAACCAGATTTGTGAGCTGCACTATGATGTCGAGATTGACCTGAAGACAGTAGACCTGAAGAAACTGAAGGTGCGGGATCTTAAGAAGATTCTCAATGATTGGGGTGAGGAATGTGGAGGGTGTATAGAAAAAAGTGAATATCTCAAGAGGATAGAAGAGCTCAAATCCAAGCATACAGAGTTGTAGGATGACAGTACTGTTTTAGTGACAATTGTGACAGTTTTTCTATTGATGTTCCGAAATGTGATCTATGATGTGTTTGAGATTACAGAATAAAGGACGATGGCAGGTTCCTCTAGGATTCATTTATCACTCGATTTTCCATTTAAGTCATCACAATTTAAGTTATTGTATTTATGTGCTGTACAACATAAAAGATTGATCATTCATTGACTAATTAGTTTATGCACTTTTTGTAATGTCAAACATAAAGCAATTGAGGGTAGAGTACCTTTGGCGTGTTTTTGATGCAGAGACATACTTTGTTGTCTAATATTCTGACAGTTTGAGTTTACTGAAATATTGTGATTTTACAGTCATTCACAGGATGTTGCCTATGAATGATTGGTCAATATTGGATGGTAATTTATAAAGTTTTATTTATTATATTTATAATAAAACCTTAATGAATTACTCTGACTTTTTATCATTCTATGATGACTCACAAGACTGTGGTGTTCTGAAATTAATTAAAGAAACATCTTTAATAGGGTTTCAAGACATGTTTCGTGTTACTGCACGAAAAAAAACGAGATAGAAGAAGAAAATGTATATATGAAATAGTTTTCAATTACACAACGCACATCCAATAGGCTTACGACGCGAATCCGCGCTTCGCTTGTGCAGCGCCTAAAATCGTTTAGCCGCTACCGTGCGCGCGGCGCGAGGCAGGTCGCAGCGAACGTGGTAATTTATTTGGCTCCTGATGGTAATCTCGCTTTACACGATAGTTACCGGTTGCCTAAGATTTAGGTTTTTTATCAGCAATGAAATGATAGACAACAAAACAGCTCAGCTCAATGACATCAACATGCACTTTTTAGAAACGTTCAACTTGCGATGTGGGGTTTTATAACAAGCAATAAAGGTTGTTTTGATAAATTCCATCGAATAATGAGGCGTTTCAGCAGCTGCTCACTCATTTTTAGCTAACAATGCTATCATAATTCAGATCTATTCTCGGTGTAAGGCGAATGTCACGACTAGTATTTTCTGTGGCCAATACCACCAATATAAAAATACTGACGGATATAAGTATAGTTCAAAAATAATAAAAACCATTTTTGAGATATATTAGTATATCAGAAGTCCACAGTGCCCGCTAATTTCCTGGAAAATCCAAGAGACGAAAAAGTTGTATTTCTATTTTCTTATTCCAAAGAACATAAAAATTGCACAAAAGCCAGTGGCATACATTTTTTTGTCACAAATATTCGTTCAATTCCCACTCGAGACGCCACTTGCCTTAATAAATTTAATCAAGTTAGGGTTAAATAAGTTCCTTAATGTTATAAATACCGCCGCCAAATTACAACAAAATTAGGTCCGAGTATCAAGTGAACAATAGTTAGTTCTATGTTGAGATATTGTAGGAAACCTACATAATGTCATAAAAAACCTATATCATTTCAAAAAACCGACATAAATTCAAGATACGTAGTACCACTGCCGATCTCTTGATTGGGCAAGTATCATCTAGCCAATGTTGCCATTTATAGTACCTATGGTGACCGGCTATGTAATAATGGTGGTAACATTTCGACATTTGAAGGGTCATTTTAACTAGTACTTATTTAATATATACTAAGTGACATACAAATCCGAACACCCAGTTTAAATGGTTTTATTTTAATAAAAGTTGGTGAATGTATTTATCTTACTGTAAATAACAAGTGAAAAAATTTTCAGCCTGATCAGTTGGACATTCCGGTTTTTATACTGCTTTTTTTTAATTCACTAATGCTCTAAAAATGAATATTTCAGCCGCAGTAAAGAATCAACGTTGGCGGATTTTGGTTCTTGACATCCTTTACGATCGGTTACGATGCCTAGAGTACGGAGACCTGTACGATTTCGTCAACTTAGTGAGTTTGATAGGGGCCGTATAGTGGGACTTCGGGAAGCTGGACTTTCTTTTCGGGCAATTGCAGTTAGAGTGCAAAGAAGTGTAGACACTGTGGGTAGGTGCTGTCAGGCATGGCTTCGAGAAGGCCGTACGCAAAGAGCAAGGGGCACTGGACGCCGCCGTAGAACAACAGACCGTGAAGATCGCCGCCTAAGATTATTGGCCTTAAGGGACCGTTTCCCCACTACCAGGTCCATTGCAAATGAATGGTTTGCAGAACACGGAAGACCTATTGGCATGCGAAGTGTTTACCGACGAATGAGAAGTTTTGGCTTGTTTTCATATAGGCCACACTGGGTCCTCCCTTTAACTCGAGAACACCGACGTAATCGCCTTGAGTGGTGCAGACAACGGTCACTCTGGGATCAGGAATTTAACAGTATTGTCTTTAGTGACGAGTGTCGATTTTGTTTAGGCATGCACGATGGTCGTGCCAGGGTTAGAAGGCGACGTGGTGAAAGGAGGAATCCACAGTTTTTTGTTGAAAGACATGTTCATCACACTGTTGGAGTTATGGTTTGGGGTGCTATAGCTTATGGTTCCAGGTCACCTTTAATCTTCATCAGAGGTAACATGAACGCGCAGCGTTATATCCACGAAGTTCTAGAACCCTATCTTGACATCATGGCAGATCCAACTTTCCAACAAGATAATGCCCGACCACATGTTGCAAGAGTCACAATAGACTTCCTTCAACATAATGATGTCACATTATTACCATGGCCACCAAGATCTCCCGACTTATCCCCAATTGAGCACGTGTGGGATATGATGGGTAGGAGATTGCTCAATTTGCAAAGTCCTCCTCAGACGCTAGAAGCACTTCGAGAGGAGTTGGTGGTTGCCTGGAATGAGATACCACAGGAGGACATTGACCACCTGATCAGAAGCATGCCTAGCCGCGTTGGAGAATGCGTAGCACATCAGGGTGCATCCAAACATTATTAAAGGGCTTTAAAGCAGTGCAATCATTTTGAAATTTTTTTCATTTACTTATTATGCTTCATTAAGTACTTATACAAAATTTTATTAAAATAAAACCATTTAAACTGGGTGTTCGGATTTATATGTCACTTAGTATACATTCCTATAAAATCTAAATGACTGGAAATAAAAAATAATCTAAAATGTAATAACCTTTCCGCGTATCAAGTGAACAACAGTTAGTTCTAGGAAACCTACATAATGTCATAAAAAAACCAATATCATTTCAAAAAACCGACATAAATTCAAGACACGTAATACCACTGCCGATCTCTTCATTGGGCAAGTATCATCTAGCCAATGTTGCCATTTATAGTACCTACGGGGACCGGCTATGTAATAATGGTGGTAACATTTCGACATTTGAAGGATCAATTTAACTAGTACTTATTTAATATATCTATAATATAAAATAAACGATTTCATTATTAAAAGATAAGTCTGTCGGCAGAGAGAATTAAATAATAATGCAAATACAATAGGGTGAAAAATGACCTGGAGAAGGGTAGTTCTCACAACGCATGATCACGTCGCATACCTTTGATTAATGAATTAATGAATTAATTGAATACATGTTATCCCCAATTTCCTCATCCTGACAAACCCGCAAGCGCGGATCCAAAGGGGGGGGGGTTATGGCAGTCATAACCAACCCTGGCCGAATCTAGTTTGACCCCTAATATTTATGACTTTCGAATCTCTTTGATGAATTTAATGAAATAAAAATATGTAATGGATACAAACGGGTAAAAACTCATCATATTTGGTGAAAAATCACCACACCTGGCAACCGTGATCATTTTGTAAGCGCATCGATGATGGCGTGGAAATAAGGAGGTTGGGTAAGTCTGGTTGTCTATACGTTTAGTTTGATGCAAATATAAATAAAATAGTGATTCTGCATTTTCGGCTTGGTGTCTGCCGTTGTCGTACGTGACAAAGACCAGGTCTGGGTTGAATTCCCATCTCCAGGCAGCTGATCTGAACGTGTGTCGATCCTTATCATCAAAAACAAAGTGTTCACCTTGCATTTTTATATTCACTGTTGGATAACAAGATAGATAGTATGCACCTACTATCATTGTTGAATGTCAATAATACACCACCATTCAGGCTTAGGTCGTACCCATATTTCGAGTTAGATCGCAGCAATACAATTTTAATATTATGAGAAACGTGTGTGAAGTCGCTGAACGATATGATCAGATAAATTACATTGTTTTTCTTCTTTTTTTATTTGCTACAGATATGTAGATATATTCTTTGTTTAGTTTTGCCTGTGAATGGAATGGACTTCTGTTGGTCAATAAAGCATTGTAGTCATAGTACTGTTGTTATTGGTCGCTGGTTTCCGCTAGTGACGGTCAAAAGGTAACAAACAAATATGATAAATTATATGGTAGATATTCAAAAAATAATTTATTACAATGTATAAACAATACAATACCTTAAAATAACAATACAATCTAAAAATATTCCGCATGCTTCCTTCATATTTCACTACCGGAAAAACAATGATAAAAATATTTACATATTTTCAACAAATGCAATTCTTTATGGTCAGTTTGGTATTAGCCTTTGTTAGCACATTTTTTCATTAGAAATAGAAGTGAACTATAATGAACTGCGACATATTGCATAATTCCGTATTCTCATAACATCCATAGCACCTAAGGATTCTATTTTACCTATTAACAATGTTTTGCACTTCTGACCAATTATCAATTGCTCCTACCGCCATCTGTGGTACGTGACTGACCCCTTCCACAATATTTTGTTCAGTCGGACCTTCAGCAGCAGTTATTTTTGCTTCTGCTTGTCGATCATGCGTTTTCATATGGCGTGCCAGGTGACTAGATTGGGTGTACCTTCAGAAACAGAACATGGTGAAGAACATTTTTATTCAACAATCTAGGCAAATATTATAATAATATACTGAGGTTCGCTGAACGCTTGCGGATAGCTTTATTTTGTAGTATTTGTAATTTTGAAAATATGTTTTCATTTGCTGTAAACAAAATAGTTGAACAACATAAAAAATGGGGAAGAATTATGGTGTTATACGTATTTTTTTTGGTATAAACAAAAAGGTATCTTGGAAGCCCCTAAAAAAGTGGTCGGCCTAGAAAACTAAATGCTAGATCAGTTAGATTAATAAAAGTAATTTCGTCCAAAGATCAGTTTAAAATCCCAAGACAAATAAAAGCCGAAATCGAGACAAAGGGAATTGTCAGGGTTTCTACGAAAACTATAAGTAGAAGATTAAATGATTTGAAGTTATTTGCACGCCGCCCGAGTACGAAGCCGCTAATCTAGAGGAAAAACCGTAAGGACCGATTACAATTTGCACGGTTGCATCTTGATTGCAGCATCTGTGACTGGGAGAGGGTATGTTTCAGTGACGAATCCAAGTTCAATATGTTTGGATCAAATGGTGTTCATTACGTAAGACGTCCTAGTGGACAAAGGTTAGACTCCAAGTACACTTTGCCCACTGCCAAATATGAAGGCGGGTCTGTTATGGTTTGGGGGTGCTTTTCGGGGTTTGGGATGGGACCTTTACATAGAATAGATGGCATTATGGGTAAGTTTCTATACACAGACATACTGAAACATGTCATGTTACCCCATATGGAAGACAATATGCCCTTAAGATCAATCTTCCACACTTCAAATCTCGCAAAGAAATTCTCTCTGGATGAAAAAATACCAGTTCTCAAATGGCCTTCACAGTCTCCCGATATAAACCCCATTGAAAATCTATGGGAATACTTAGATAAGCAAATACGAGATAAAAATTATTCAAACAAGGATGAACTTTTTGCCGCTTCAGAGCAAAAGTGGAGACAGATTGATTAATCTTATGTCAAGAAACTTCTACAATCTATGCAGAGACGATGCCAGGCGGTGATTGATAATAATGGTTATGCTACAAAATATTAACACAAACATGGTTGATTTTCTATAATTCGGTGAACTTTGCTTCTTTTTTCTTTGATTGTTTTGCTTTGTCTATATATTTTTGTCCTTCACAGTTCCAGTTTTTTCAAGTAAATTTTATTAAAATAAAACCATTTAAACTGGGTGTTCGGATTTATATGTCGCTTAGTATATAATTTACAGACCTCGTATTAACGGTCAAAGATTTGTCTGTTTTGCAGGGAAACATTTCAAAGATGGACTTAAAATACCAAATGCGACTTACCTTTTAGGACAAACCTGGCAAGCATGTGGCTTCTGTCCAGAATGTATAACAAGGTGTCCTTTCAGGTGTTCGCTGCGTAGGAAAGCCTTGCCACAAACTACACATTTATGCGGTCGCTCTCCGCGGTGTTGCCGAAGATGCAAGTTCAAATGGGAAGAGGTCACGAAGCGTCGATCGCACAGTTTACATACAAAATTCCGCTCATCTTGATGGAACCTTTTTGATGATATCACAATACTGAATAGGTCATAGCATTGATTAATATATTCACCAAAAGGATGCCCAGCATCATGCTATGATTGGAAATTCACATACAATTCCTTTCGAAACAGCCATGTTGCGAAGTCATAAAAACAGATTCCATTCAGAAGCAAACAGCTGGTTTCAATAATTTATAATCATAGTATTCATTATAAAAGTCTACTATCATTAGATTTAACTCCAAAAACAGTAACTTCGACAGTAAACTAATGAATCGTATGTTTTGGAAATGAAGCACTGTCTCATAAAGCGACAGTACGCAACTTGGGGATCGTATTTGATGAAAATCTAACGTTCCACGATCATGTCACGGAATCTTTCTGAACTTTTAAGTGAAACCTAAAACGTTTTACAGTTATAAAGCCGTTCTCCCACAAAAAAAAAAAAACGAAAAATAGGCTTTCTGATTCTGACAAAATACATTATGGAGATTCGGTTTTTGGTCCATGCTTGACACAGGCTGAGATGTACAGGATTCAAAAGGCTTAAAATAGTTCTGACGAGCTTCACCGTAAACTAACAACATATCGGCGAACTCTTGATTCGAGAACATTGTAAATAAACACGACGACGTACGCGAACAATAACTTACCACCGTTACCGTTTGCGATCGATTGCCGGTTCGATTAGAATGATGAATGACCGACGCGCTGTTGTCATGTGTGTTTTAAATATTTAATTTAATGAAACTTACTGACTACAAATTTTGGCTTAACTTAGAAAAACTTAATGCCATTTATTTGTTAATTACCCAATATAAAAACGTTTTAGATTAGATTATAAAAATTAGTAAGATTGTGGTCGATATAAAGCACTTAAAGTTGTAAACTATAAAGCCATTTAGACAAAAATCTACCATGGGTCATATGAACTTTTTGACTTGCTTTGACCCCCCCCCTATTACCCATTTCAATAATGACTACCATAACGTTTACACCCTGTATATGCTCGTTTTCGCGCAAACACGGCTTTCAACTGAATTGGGTAACTTCTGGTGAAATATGTCAATCAATGGTTATACATATATACATATAGTTACTCAACTAAAAAAACACTCTGATTGAAAATTCATGGAAATTATAATAAATCTAATAGGGAATATGCACGTGATTCAAATATCGGTTGTTTATTTTTATTTGCAGCCTACATTGCTACACAATGACACCTTCTACATTATTTTATGCTTAAGCGCTATAAAGTTACGCGTATTAGTTATTAAAAAAAAATCTCCGTCGGGCACGTGAGCTCATCTTCGGACCTAGTGCTAAGTATGGATGCATTTGCCTTCCTAAGGTTGTTGGTGAGAGTGTTGTCTGGCCATAACACTACATTACATGCAAAATATATTGGTGTCCAACCCTTTAGATCCCCATAATGTTAAGGAGCTGGAACTCAGGGCTATATTCAACTTCGCTAGAAGGGCGGAGCTTGAGGCGTAGGGAATGTAGTGGTGCATAAGGGCCCGCCATCTGGCCTATGGCTGGTATGCCTCTAAATTCATTTGTTTCATTCATATATGCTGAAAAGTTTGTTTTCCGTCTCTGTAACCACGACCAACCGTAGACAGTGCTCATTAGCAACTCGTCAGTACGGTATAGGTCTAGTCTTGGAGACGGACGAACAGGAAGTGGGTATGGTATTTTAACAAACTCAAAATCTTGTGCGCAAGTAGGTGCATATCCCTGAACGTCAAGCAGTTGTGAGCCAGAAGGCGTAAGGGTCTTCTATTATCTTCATGGTATGGGATGATAATGAAAATCAGCTTGATAAACCATTGGTAGCTGGCATTCATCACCTACTTGCCCAAAAGATTGAGTTTTTTCAAAGGCCATATTCACTTGTTTAGACGGAAAACAAACATGTCCTTTTAAGCATGTGCCTATTTATACATAAATGCATAGAAAGCCATTGCTGGTTTGCTATGTGAATACTTAGTATTTTGACTTCTCGACGAGTAGACCGACGATTGGTTGTGCGACACCTCCTGTGCATAATACAGAACGTCAAGACGTTAAGAGCCAGAAGACGTAAGGATCCTCTGTCTTCTTCATCGTATGGGACGAAGATTAAAATCAGCTTTACAAACCGTTGGAAGGTGGCATTCGTCTCCTACTTGCGCATTCTTTATCTGGTGCTTTCTATATTGTATTTTTGTACATACGTACACTACAGTACTTAAAAAGTTTCCACTCTTCAACCATGCGGCGATGAAATCAACGTTAGTGGCATTGCAATTTTGAATATTCAATTACATAAAATAAAGACATTTCCATAAAGGAAATATAGGTTTACGGTATTACATCAACGTGAATAATCGACAGGAATTACATAAAAAAATCATGCATATTCCCCACTGTATGACCAAAATACTAATTTTAATTATGGAATAATGGAGTTGAGTTGCTGATACATTTTAGATGTATGTAAGTATGCTGAGATTACCTGATGTGAATTTTCAGGTTCCCAGAATTCTTAAAACCTTTACCACAAAGGGTGCAGTGGAAAGGGGTTTCTCCAGAATGAGTTCTTTGATGGTAGACCAAGCTACTAGGCTGACTGAAAGCTTTACCACACGTAGGACATTGGTGAGGTCTTTCTCCAGTATGTGTTCTAATGTGGACCTTCAATGCTGCATACTGAATGAAACGACGAGAACAGATCAAGCATTTATGTGGACGTTCACCTATAACACAAGTAAGCATTTTTGAGTTAAGAGGGGTATCGATGGGATTCTTGTTCGTTTGCTTTGTCCCGGTATACCATTATGTATGAAATGAGTCCCGCCCCAGGAGAAATTTTTCTCTTGGCTATGGATGTTGTGATTGTCCGTAGTGACGGTTCCTGACTGTCGAACGTGGAGGTACCACCCGGCGGATCTCGTAGGCGGAGCCAGAATGTGTGCATGTTGCATGCACACGTGTTCCCTCGCCAGAGTCCGTGTGGCGTTCCCCCTTTCCCCTGTATCTATCCCCCGGTACCCAATGGGTGTTTAGGCCTCAGGCCTTCGTGCTAGTTGGAGTATAAAAACAAAAAAAAAATGATGTAAATATGTCCTCCGCGACTTTGCCTAGAGATAAAGATCTGAGCAGCTCAACTTGCCGCGTAAGTCCGGCTATTTAAATTATCTGAATAGAATTTCTGGTACTGTACATGCACAATGAGATGCTTACGCGGATTTTGGGCTGATTGCTTCAAATATATGTTTTTCAAATGCAATGGTTTCTATTCACAAAGAGGCTTCAACCATAATGTATTGCTCAACTAAAAATTTGAAAATCTAGCGACGTTAAATCGGGTGATCTAGGAGGTCAAGAAACTGCTCCACCTCTGGCAATCCAACAGTGCCCAAACCGCTGATCCAAATACTCACGTACTTGTACAGCAAAGTGAGCCACATTTGCTGTCAAACGTTCAATGGAACATTTTCAAGAAGTTCTGGAAGAACTTCCTCCAAGAAACGCCGGTAAATAGGTCCTATTAACCACTCCGGTAGAAGGTATGGCCCAATCAAATAATCATCAACAATGCCTGCCAATACGTTGACAGACCTACGTTGCTGATATTTTCTAGGAAAAATTGCATGAGGATTTTCTTTGTCCCAAACATGGCTATTGCTACTATTAAAAATACCGTCTCTTGTGAAAGAGGCCTCATCGGTCCATAAAACATAGCGTAAAAAATTTGGTTGTGCAGCGATTTGATGAAGAAGCCATTGACAAAATTGAAGTCTAGGATGATAAACGGCTGCAGTCAATCCTTGAACTTTCTGGAAGTGGTAAGGATAAAGTTGTTGCTCGTGTAGCAGCTGTGTTAAAGCTGAAACCTTTTGTAGTGCAAAATATCCCACAAGTCAATCTGTTTACTTATTTTGTGAGGCATTGTGACATAACAACTAAAAAGCATGGAAAGGAGGACTGTATATTTTAGATGATTAAACTCTATCTGTCAAGCCAGTATTAAAAAAGTTTTATGTTGTATGACACTACCCATGAAATAGCACTGCCAGTTAGCAGCAGTTTCCACCTGACTGTCAGAACTGATTGTTGACTGTCCCAAAATGAGTTCCCTTGAGGTGTTTTTCAACTTTGAGAAGAGAAAAAAGTCACATGCTCTCAAGTCAGGCAGATAAGGACACTGAGAAGCCTCAAGAATGTTTTTACTGGCCAAAACTTCATTTATTGACATTGCTGTGTGACAAGAAGCATTATCGTGATACAACACCCAGGGGAGTGAGTCAGATTCTGTTGACATTTTCATTGGTTCTTGAGTATGAAGGCCTTCTGCTTTGTGGTTCATCTTCTATTGATTCTCTCCCTTCTGATAATGCCTTAAACCACTGAACAACCTGGGCTTTTGGCAAGACACTATCTCCATAATCAATGTCATTCATATTTAGATCACTATAGCAAAACCTGTTACCACCAAGAAAAATTGCTATGGAAATGACTCAAGAGAGTCCAAACTTGTACTGAAGGCAGATCACATGTTCCCCTGTCACCCCCCAAGCCCGGCGCCTCCAGTGTTGCCAGATCAAAAGCTATGTTGCCAGTCTTATCACTTAATTAAAAGACTTTATATGAGCCTATGGAATAAAAAAATAATTTCCTTAATACCACAGACAGCTCTGTTGGAAAAATGTTAAACATATAATCATAGCATTTACAGTAAAGCTTAAATAAAGCATTAAACTTCTCACCTGTGTGTATTCTTTTGTGAATTGAGGCATGTTCAGCTTTAAAAAACTTCTTTCCGCATACATCACAAGCAAATGGACGTTCACCTGTATGCCTCCTAATGTGCTGTGTTAAATTACTCTTACAACTCAAAAATTTACCACATATTTCACATTTATTAATGGGTATTTTTTCTCTGCTTTTGTCCTCGATCTCTGCTTCTGATTCTGAACTATTATATAGTGAGTCATCTCTTACAGATATTTCATCAAAATCAAAGTTTTCTGCTTTAATAGGTTCTACTATGGGAACAGTTGCGTTTATCACTTCAGAGGGGCCAATTTTATGGTTAGTGTTTTCTTGATCAGCCTTATCCTCTTGAGCAAGTATTTCATGTAGCCGTTTATCGCTTTCAAGTACTGTATTTTTAAATTTGTAAAAACTGACTAATAACTTGATACACTTGAGGCATATCTTTTGAGGAAAGTCTTCTGCATCATCTACCTACAATTATGTCCTGAATCCATAAAATTTTTAGAAACAATAAACACTGAAACTTACCTTGAGAGAAAGGCAGTTTTCAACTATGTAAGAGTATTTTTTTGATGTGCTTTTGTTCATCGAGTTAATACAGCTTGTAGCTTTAGTTCCTAAACACAGTCTACATGTTTTATCAGTTATTTCTATATTTGTTTGCTCCATTATTTGTTTATATTTTGTTTATGGTTAAGTTGACAAGTTAGGTTAGAATAACTCACTCACAAAAATCCCTACACAGTACACATCCTATTTCACGAGTATCATCACGGTGGAATGACAGCTGATTATCGGCACAGGACATATGATTCTGACGGATCCGTCAACGTCAGGTAACCTGAGCTGTATTTTGTTTTGTTGTTTTCTACAGATTCATTTTGTACTTGTTAACAGCTCTTTTATTTATTTAGAAAAGTTCATTTGCATGTAAAAAACAAAAGGCTACAAAGTTTTACTAGATTTACGCTCGACTCACTATTGCCAGCGTCGCAGATTAACACAAAAATGTCACTTGCTGATCAGCTGTTCATATCATTTTACGTTAAAGCGTGATGGATACTCGTGAAATAGAGTGTATTTCACGAGTATCACGCTTTGACGTCTACCGAGGTGAACAGCTGATCAGCAAATGACATTTTTGTGTTAGTCTGCGACGTTGGCAATAATTAATCGGGTTGTAAATCTAGTAAAACTTGTTTGTAGCGTTTTGTTTTTTGTATGCAAAATAAACTTTTTCTAAATAAAAGAGCTGTTAACAAATACAAAATGAATCTATAGCGTACAAAAAACCGAAACAAAATACCGCTCTACCTGAGGTTGACGGATCCGTCAGAATTCTGTCCTGTGCTGATATGGGAAATTTTGAGATATTACTAGATAATCAGCTGTCATTCTACCGAGATGTATACTCGTGAAATAGGGTTCTATGCACTGACATAACTTTGGAGTTCATTTTATACCACAGAACACAAATTATAACTAAATAAAATACGAACGTAGGGATGTACGACTCCGTCTTGACATCCTCTAGAAACTAGGGATGGGCAAAACTAACCGGTTAATTGAAAATCCGTTTTTTTTAATTTTGTTAAATTCAACATCTGAAAAACAGGTTATTTTTACATACAAAAATCACCATGAATACGGGCGTCCTGAATAGCTCTTACTCTTCAATTTATTACTATTTAAGCATTTATTATGATTTAAAAATATTAATAGAACGAGGTTATAAAAATGTTTATTCTCCAAGAAATTGTTATCAAGTTCTTAATATCCTAGGAATTCTTCTGGAATGACTACTTTTTGCTTCATAGAGTGCCCTTTCTAGCTCATCAGCAAGGTGCACCAGGTTGTTAGGGTCTGTTTGTAACATCACTTTTTCACATACACTTCCCAATGGATTATTTGGTGATTCGTTTTTCAATGACAATTCCATTGATATTAAAGGTGTTGCTTGTTCTAACAAGCATCTTGATGCTACCTAAAAGTACATATAAATTTGAAAGTGTATACAGGTTCTATAATAGATCAAGTCATAAATTATTCTGTGCTGATCCTACTTACCTGAGCCTCAAACCTCCACCTCAAGTCTTTGTAATGTAATTCTGGAAGATGCTGATGAAGTAATTCTTTAATTTCTTCCGACTTTGATTTGTAAAACTTGTTCAACACTAACAGTTGATCTTCAGAAAATCCCAATGCTAAAACTGATTCTTTGAACTCACTATCATCTACCTAAAAAGTATCTCCTTAATCATAAAATACTGGAGTAAATATGCAAGCCAAACCTGATGTTTACAACAGATAAGAAGCAAATTAACTAGCGCATAGACACAGTTCTGAACTTGCTCAGGCTCCAAGGTAGTCCTCTGGACATTCTTTGGAATCGAGGCCCCTTTTTGCATGAAGTTCAAGGCTATCTGGCAGAATTCACCCAGAACTTCAGCTGGTAAAGGCTGCAGCAATTGAATGTGTGATTTGTGATCTTCACGAAGAACCACCAACATAATGCAATGGTTTCAATTCAAAAAGTTTCTTAATGAACATGTAAGGAAATACAATGAAAGGAAAGCTTTGAAGATACTTTTAAACCAAGCAACTCGCAAGAGATACAAGCAATAAAAATGTAAGATTTTTGTTTACAACTATCTTTGACAGGTTGACGATGACCATTGTGAGACGAGATGGGATTAACAAAATTATCAGTTCATTTTATTGATTCGGTTTGAACACCCATTTTGGAGGTAGTCACAATTGACTGGGAAATCATTGCCCATCCCCTTACAGTCCTGACATAGCACCCAGGGATTTCCATGTTTCCAAAATTGAAGGAGCACCTGGTCAACAATTCGAGGAGTTTCAAGAAGCACTTACCAAGTTTCTAAAGAAGAGGCGGCGGCAGACTTCCTTAAGGTGGAAGAGCGCGGATTGACAACTAATGGTTGTCAATCAAGCGAAACTTGCCGTTTGCTCACTGCATAAGATTTATGTACTTTTCCTTTATTTACATGAGCAATAAAAGCAATTTATTATTATTATACCGCTGAAAAAATGCGTAGAAAAAAATGTCGACTTTGTATACAAATAGCTTGAAAATTAACGTTTCCAATGGTTTCAAGTAAAATAATCCTTGTGTCTGTGTGAGAACCCTATTATTGAAACAACCCTCGCATATACACAATACGTTTTTGCGGTTTAATTGCTCCGTTAAAAAAAAACATTTTAAAAACTGAATATTTATTCGAAACTTCGGTATATTATACATTGGCAAAACGACAGACAATTCATTACATAATTCTCAAAGATGATGCAGCTGAAAGAAAACCATGATCAAATGTAACTGGATCAAATCACAGCTCTTTCATTGATTACGTTTCACAAAACATGGAAAAATATGCTAGTAAAACTAAATTAACTCATATATTTATCTTTGTTCTCCTGTAGAATTTTGGCGGACGATTTCGCATCAAGGAACAGAGAGCCAGTCTCTTCGATGTCTTCAAGCGCGATGTGGTTCCTGCCATTGATCTTCGCGGTCAAATGTGCAGGAGTAAGCAGCTGAACGGCATACCTGATAGCATTTTGGTTAATTTATTATAATATAGAACAAAAAATTAAGATTACGTTCTCGTCTGGTAGCGTTCAAACAAATTACAGCAGACGCTCGATAACGTAAACATGGGATAATGAAAACTTGCGCTAATGTAAACACAAACTTCGTTCTGTAGGATCAAACGGAACGCGCGATAACGTAAACAATGTGTACGCTCGATAACGTAAACAACTCTCGGCGCACGGAAACAGCGCGACGGTAAAATGCTGAAGCCTCGATGATTTATGTCGGGCGTCGATTTATGATGTAGAGTGTAGGGGATTCACCTCTGCGATAAAATACGACAAAGTCGGTCAGTCGTATGATCGTTTAGGATACGTTTATACGAACGTATGTATTTCATTTTTGAACTTAAGTGAATACATTGCACGCGTTAATATATTTTACGACTATGGCATCCACATCCTATAAAAGAAAGTGTTTAAAGTTGAGTGAGAAAGTGAAAATTTTACAAAGAACGTGCAATACATTTGGAGGTCCGGGAATAAGAAAAACTTAAAAAAATGCGAAGGCACCTAAAATGAAAAATTCCCTGTATAAGTGGTTTTTAAAACAACGGGAAAATCATGTCCCAGTTAGTGGCGAAGTAATTAAACAGAGAGCGAGACTGTTAAATGAAAAACTGAAAGAAACTGAAAATTTCGTAGCTAGTGATGGCCTGCTACAACGATTCAAAACAAGATATGGAATTCGAATGCTGTCTATATCTGGTGAAAAATTATCTGCACAACCACAATTAGTGCAACCATTCAAAGAAAAATTGATGAAAACGATTACCGAGCTAGATTTAAGAATGGAACAAATTTACAACGCAGATGAAAGTGGCCTTTATTGGAAAATGTTACCAGAGAAAACCTATGCTGCATCATTTGAAAAATCTGCTCCAGAGAAACAACGAATAACGTTTCTAGCCTGCACTAATGCTAATGGTTCACACAAAATAAAGCCACTGGTAATTGGGAAAGCAAAAAATCCGCGGTCATTTAAAAATGTTAATATCCCTGTTGATTATGACTGTTCAAAAACCGCTTGGATGACTAGCAATATATTCCTGAAATGGTTCCACAGGTGCTTTGTGCCTCAGGTATGACAATCAATTATCACAAATGCTCTATTCATAATTTGAAGATGTGTTTTCAATTTGTAGGTAAAAGGTTTCCTAAAACAACAGAAGCTTCCAATAAAGGCGTTGTTACTATTGGATAATGCACCAAGTCATCCTCCCGAGCAACAACTGAGGAGCAGGGATGGGTCAATTTTCGTCATGTACATGCCGCCCAACGTAACACCGTTAATTCAACCGATGGACCAGAATATAATAAGACTCACCAAACTATACTATAGGAAGTTTCTACTTTCGTCTGTCTTATCAAAGAATCCTGAAAACTTATCTGAGGTTTAAAAAAAAGTAACATTACGAGAAGCTGTTTTAGATTTACATATGGCCTGGAATGAACTTAACCAGCAAACTATTCAAAAATCTCTTTTGTACCAATAATGAAGATGATGAAGAAGACGATGTCCTCTTAAGCGTAATTAGAGAATGTTTGCGATCCAATAATGATAATGTTATTAGTGTGTCATTGGATGTTGTTGATTTATTGAAAACAGTGAATCCCAACATTGTTTGTACTCCTGCTGATATTAATTTATGGAACGAAGATAAGCAGACGAATGATGCTGATAAGGAGGAGGATATGGACAGTGAGGATGATGAGGACGATCCCATTGAAGTCAGAAGTGTAGTGACTGACGCGCAAGCTATACAAGTTTTTAACCAAGCTTTAGATTGGGCTGAAAGAAAAGAAGTTTCATACACGGATATTTTAGATTTTCGTAAATTACGGGCGCAGGCATTGGAAGACAATGCTAAGCGCAAATTTACGCAGACAAAAATTGTTAATTATTTTTCTTCTAATTAAAAAAGTACTTATCGCTGTTAGAATATTTGTTTATTTTGTTATAAATAGTATGTATTAAACGTTTCTTTTAATAAATTAAATATTATATAAATCACGTTCGCTAATGTAAACATTTCGATAATGTGAACCACACTTGGATTAAATTAGTTTACATTATCGAGCGTCTGCTGTATTTATAAACTTTCAGAAAATGTTTGGTTAGTTACAGCATCATGATAAAAAGGCGTTATCATATGATACAGTAATTCATAGTATATACAGGTTCGGCAGAAAATCATTGAGGTCCCACATGTAATGTGTACAAGGTTTGTAAATTAAGTGATGAGACTGGCAACGTAGCGTTGATCTGGCAACACGAGAGGCGCCAGGTTTAGAGGGGGGACAGGGAAACATGTGATCCGCCTTCAGTACAAGTTTGAACTCCTCGAGCTATTTGGTTATCTTCAGCAGGCCTTCAGTGATAGTGTTTTGTCAATGCCCCAGGTTTTTCGGCGGTACAATAGGAAGAGAGTCGATTAAAGATGAACCACGAACCGATGAAAATAACGACAGAATCCGGGATCTTCTGCGTTCAGATCGTCGGTTGAAAGTCAGATTGATCGGGGAAGGGTCAAATTTGACTCACGCCACCGTTGATCAGATCAAGAACAACTGGATGTTGCATCATCATAATGCTTCTCGTCACACAGCAATGTCAATAAACGAGTTTTGAGTTATTGGCAAGTAAGAATATTTCCGTGGCTCCTCAGCCTGCTTATTTGCCTGACTTGAGTACTTGTGACTTTTTTCTGTTCGCATCAAGGCAACTCGTTTTGGGACAGTCGAAAACATTCAAACGGCTGTGACCGACCAGCTAAAGGTTATTCCAATATCGGAGATCGATCACTGCTATGAGGAGTGCAAGAACCATCTCCAGCGCTGTGAGGCTGTTATTTTGAGGGAGAGAACATAAAATTGTAATTCCATTTGAAAAAAAATTAAAAAAAAAATCAGTCCTATCACTCAATTTACAGACGTCGGATGAGCGAGATAGAGAGAAAAACATGTATCTTAAAGCAGATCGCGAATGAACCGTGCTCGCCAACGAAAACAACAAACCTGTGGACGCTTCATTCACGCTCTCGCTCTAACATACGTGTTTCTCTATCTCACTCGTACATGTTGAACACGGGACCTCAATGATTCCCTGTCGATCTTGTATAAGATTTTGTAACTACAAAAAATAAAAACCATGGCCACATACTTTGTAACTGACTTAGTTATTCGTCTATAAAATCTGTGAATCGTGAGTGATAGATAACAATAAATATGAATCTTGAACCATATCCAGCATTCAGAATTTTGGCCTGATCGAAAAAATGTCGACGAGTACGTGTCAAAAATATCATTGTTTAAATAAATACGAGTATTATCCTTAAGCTATGTTACCTTAGCGTTGCTTTGGTACCAATTCCTCCTAGTGCTGAAATAGCGTCTGGATCTATTTCCAGGCCTTCTGTGTTTGCGCGCAGTTTCAATATTTGCTCCATGTCAGATCTGGTATTACAAAAATTAATTTGAAACAAACAAAAATAATACAAAAAATGGCGTCAACTAGATTGACTCTATACTTTCTATGTCTTCGTTGAACGTTTTAAAGAAAAGGGATTAGTCAAGTCGTTCCAAAAGGCGGAATATAACCGTGTCTAGATGGGTTCACTTAGGCCTAAACCCATGGGGTACCCTGGGGCTATAGGGGATACAGGGGAAAGGGGGGACGCCACACGGCTCTAGCGGGGGAACACGTGTGCATGCAGCATGCAAACATTCTGGCCCCGCCCACGAGACCCGCCGGGTGGTACCTCCGCGTTTGACAGTCAGAGATCGTCTACCACCTACGAACAATCACAGCCAAGAGAAAAATTCTCTTGGGGCGGGATTAGGAGACCGTAGCGTCTACTACTACGCCACCGCTGCTGCCTGTGTGGCTCATTATGTCTAACATGTGCATAATATTACGGGGATCAGCAGCTTCTCAATAATATGTTTTTCACTGACACCAAACATGCAACAGTTTATAACCATTTTCAAAAACTACAAAGCTTTTGCATCTTTCGCATAGTAGAAACATTATGTAAAAATTTCATCAAAATCTGAGACGACTTCTCAGGTTATAGGCGGTTAAAAGATTAGCGGACGGACCGACAGGCAGACAGACCAATGGAAATGAGGTTTTTCGTGATGTACATGTCACATAACGTCCAAAAAACATAATATCTCATTTTTCGCTATCACAATACTTCCTCGCTCAGTTGCTTAGGAAGTAAAATCGATAACGCAGTTCGGTAAACATTGGCTATAGAAAACTAAATAGAATTGCACTTATAATTATACTTTTAGTGCGGCGAGCACCAACCAAGAGAATACAAAACTAAGTTTTTGTTCAAACAAAAATTAGGATTTTATGGCGGAAGAACCTTATAGCCTCCTAATGAAAAATATCATCTCATTATGTGTACACAGAACTCCACAGGTCACCAATTTTATGCAGTTTCAGCAACACGCTAATTTAGTTTTGTTAAGTGAAAACTACCCTTGATTCTACCCGAAGATAGCCAAACTGATACTGTCTTTGCGTGTCCAACAAATTATCAGAAATGAAATGAGATACCATGGCGTTATAATTAGAATTTTTCACAGCTATGCTTCTTCTCTCTGCAATAATGAAAAATCTACCTTCTTTTAGATAAGATGAGATAATATTAATACATACACTGAAAACCAAAATTGTCTGACGGCTTGAGTTCAATGTGAACGAGAAGACACGTAAGTTAAAAAGAGATATAAGCCGACTGGATAACGAAGCTCTTCACCGCGTTGCCTAGCAACGTTGACGAGGCAATCTGCCGCGTTGCCAATATGTTACAACAGTTTCTTGAATTAAGATGCATATTGAAAATTTGCCTTGGTTTATTCTCTACACCTAAATAATGGTTTTATTTTGAGCATACACATTTGTGAATTATATATATACAGTGTGAGTCTTCATAAAGTGCACATAGCAAAATCAAGGAAACTACACCTTATTTTATTGACGGAAAAATTATCAAAAAAAAATTAAAAACAATAATTGATTTTTTATGAATATTTTAAAATTTTTAGAGTCAGCTGCTAACCCTATTTAAATAAATCGTTACAACTTTTAAACTGAATGTCCTATCATATTGGAATAAATTTTGTAGTGATTGCAAATAATAGGCCGTACCAGTAAAGTGAAAATTTCCACGTAAATTAAATGCTATAAATTTAAAATAAAGAGGAATATGCTGAAACTCACTATTTTTTTCAATGATTTTTAAAACAATTGCTAAATTTCAATAAAAATTGCAAGTTTATTACTTAGATACAAGTTTTTAAATCAGCGTTTCAAAAAGCAGTGAACTCAGTTCAACGCCAGAGTAGGAATAAAACAACCTACATGAATCATTCATTATCTTTAACAAATAAAATCAAATCGACTTGTCTATAGGATAATCGTTTTGGCTTAATGCATCAAATGTTCAAAATGGCCACCCCGTTGCTGCAAACACATTGTGGCGCGAAGTGAAATTTGATGAGTTGCCCTACGAGTCATCTCGGGATCATTTTTGATTTCGTTTGCAACACGCAAAACTCTTTCTTCAAGTTCCGCTTCGCTGTTTATGGAACTGTTGTACACCCTTTGTTTCATTGTCCCCTATAAAAAATAGTCGAGAGGTGTGAGATCTGGGGAACGCGCCGGCCACCCAACAGGTCCTTGTCGACCGATCCAGCGGCCTGGATAATTTTCATTAAGAAAAGACCTGACAATCAGCGAGTAATGGGCAGGACATCCATCCATTTGAAGCATCATTCTTCGACGGGTTTGCAGCGGCACTTCTTCCAACAGCAAGGGCAGTTCAGTCCGCAAAAGCTCCAGAAATCTCTCCCCGTTTAATGTCCTCGGGAGTATTATTGGACCAAACAAAAAGTTGTCAATCAGTGCGGCCCACACATTTACAGAAAATTTCACTTGAAATGTTGAAGCCCTTTTCAGCCTAGGGTTTTCATCTTTTGGGCACCACTTATGTAAATTACGACAGTTCACGATGCCGTCTCCCGTGAATTGAGATTCATCTGTCAACAGAATTGTTTTCGGGAATTCAGGATTGTCTCTTGTTTTTATTAAAATCCATGTAGACATAACGCACCTTGGACGCCAATCCACATCTTCATGCAAGTGCTGCACCCTTTGATAATGGTATGGATGCAACCCTGCTTTCCTCAAGATGCGCCAAACCGATTTCTGGGATACGCCATGACGTAACGCCAAACGTCTCGTACTAGTAGTCGGCTCAGCAAAAAAAATCATCCAAAATGGCTTCTTCGATAGCAACATGAATAATAACACCTGGTTCGCGGCGATCTCGAGGCAAACAAAGTCCAGTGTTAGCCAGTCTTCTATGTACTTCTTGGAAGTTACGGGCTGATGGAACAGGGTGTCGATTTGGAAATACAGCTATATAAGCTGTGCAAGCAGCTCTAGCACTCCCTCGGTACATTCCATAATAATAATGGATATCGGCAATGTGTGCCGGAGGGAAATCACTTATACGTGGCATCGCGACCAAAAAGCGAAAGCGTGATATGTAGCAAAAGAAACTGATAAAGTTGGCAGGAGAAACACAAATAGCTGCCTAACTGCCCAACATTCAATTGTTTTTCAACTGGACCCGCCTCCCCACTCGTACTTCAGCCTGCGCGACTCTACATTGAATCACCAAAAAAAGGTATCTACATGATAAACAATGGTGCCTAGCAAGACGATGCGCATGGGCTTTTTTATAAACACTCATAGAAACTGTTACATTTGAGTAATAAACGTGCAATTTTTACTTTTATAAAGCTGATAACATGTAGAATAACTTACAAATAAAAAAGGTAGGGTACAAGGGACGATATTTATAGAAAATTTGAAATTATTGTAAAAATGATGAAAAAAAAAACAGATTTTCATCAAAATTTTCTTTATTCTAGGCACGTCCTTTTACCAGCAATCACTATAAAATGTATTCCAATATGACAGGACATTTAGTTTAAAAGTTGTAACGAGTTATTTCAATATCGTTAGAAGCTGCTACTAAAAATTTTAAAATATTCATATATTCATAAAAAATCAAATTCATGTTTTTTTGATGATTTATCCGTCGATGAAATAGAGTGTAGTTTCCCTGATTTTGATATGTGCACTTTATGAAGACTCACACTGTGTATATATATATATATATAATCGTGTCGAATCTGTTTCGGTCGAAATGAAAGGTCAGCATCGCCACAAATCCTGCAATATTGCATCATTGGTTCGCTTGGCAACACCGCATCTCATACATTCCAAGGCAAAGCTTCCATCAACATGACCGCTCGCTGTCACAAAATGTAACAATAACTGAGGTTGTGTTGATTTAGCACCATCGGTGGAAATGAAAGATAATTCTAAAGTGGAATAAAACACTAACTCGCATCAAAATTGAAATAAATAATTCTAATCAAAATGAAAACGAAATATTAAATTAAGTGTCCGAACCTCCTTCTTGAGTTTGATAGTAAAGTAACCTATTGTTAGGTGCAGATTGCTCGACCTGCAACACCGCCGCTAGGCAATGTGGTGATGTCCTTCGCTCTTCAGCCGGCCTCTATCTCTTTCTAACATGTGTTGATACACACTTCTCGCGCTTCTCTCTCGTACACTTCGAACTCAAGCCGTTAGACAAATGTGGTTTTCCCTCTATACAGTGTATTATAAAACGTATAAACTACAAACAGATTCTCTATAAGAACAGACCTGTTATAGGGCATGGTCCTAATGATAAGCAGCCGGTCTAATAGGTCCAATGGAATCCCGTGCGGAGAGTAAACGTCATCAGTACCTCTGATCAGACAGCGACCTCTGTTGGTGGCGAATATCACAATAGGTGCTAATGCGCTCTCTAAAGCTCGATGTAGATACGTGAAGGTCTCGATATCCAACATATGCACCTTGAATAATGAAACAGCCAAATTGAATAATTTTACAATACATAAGAAAATCGATCAAATGGAATTTATATCAAAACAGTTGGAAGGCAATGTTTTTTGGAATAATTATTACGCATCTTGACACAGACATCTAAACCAACAAACAGTGTTATTTCCAAGATGTAGATAAACAGCTGCAACTGGCTGGTAGTACACAAGTTTAGTGTAACTCATTGTGGAAGAACTTTGATATAAATTACATTTAAACCATATGTTTATTGGGGAATTAAATGTGTTATGCAATCTGGGCCTATGTTGGATTCTGTAGAGTCCAAGACTAAAGTTATGTACCTCATCAATGAACAGGACTCCAGGCACCAACTCAGCTACACCTTGATCAATGTATTTGTCCACAATTTTGTTGATCTCTTGTCGTAGCTTATCAGTGATTTCTGTCTTTTTTGGCTTTAGAAGTTGTCCCATCATGGAAAGCACGTCTTGACCACCCTGGGGTTTTGCATTTGCAGCATCCAAATCATGGAGCGTTACATCCTGGAAACCATACCATTTGCATTAGCCCTAACACAAAATGGTTCCGATATTATCTAATTTAATTTTTTTTTGTTTTAGTTACAAAAAAATTTTTGTGTTATAAGATATACGTATATTGTTTCGACATCATATCAACAAAATTATTATCAAGTATGTAATACGATATTAAACTATAAAACTAAACTAATATTGATAACAACATTATTTGGCCAACACATAAATGTTCGGGCGAATCATTTCAGTAGCTCGTTACATCTGCCATTGCCTTAATAACAGCATTAATTCTGGCTTGCATAGTTTTAATAAGGTTTCGCAGTCTTCTGTCCTAAAAGAATCCCATATATTTTGTAATTTTACTAGTAAATCAGAGATGTTTCATGGAAATATTATCCTTTAACCATTTTTTCGTGGTTTTGACCATATGACATGACGCCTCATCTTGTTGAAAAATAAAGCTTCTACCAGGTGATAAAATTGGAACTGACAAATTGGTTTCAAGGATATTTTGATATTTAGCTGCATTTAGAGTTCCATCTATGAAGTGAAGTTTTCCAATGTCAAAAGCAGATATGCTTCCCCATACATTAAGCCTGATGGAAACTTTACTTTTATCTTTTAGTTTCTGTGAAAACTAGTTGGTATTAGCTTCAAGAAAAAGAGCAAAAAATATTTATTTGTAGAAGAGTGTAGGCAAACATAGTGAATTGTGAATATTCATGTTATAATAATGCTTCTAATCTTATTGTTAACATTTTGCACTTTATTTTCTTCATTTGTATAATTTTATTTCAATTATGTTTCTTAATATGTAAGGATTTATGTCATAATTAAAATACTCGGTTAAGTCTAACAGCTGGTCTTGGCTGAGGATGAAATAAAGTCTTTTATTATTTATTATAATGAATTCCCAATCTTGACAACTAGTCAACCAGTGTAGTATGTGGATTCTTTGTTGCATTTCAACTGCTGCAGAAATCCACAATTTAGTTTTTGAGATATTGGAAAATCCATAATTTTGTCATACTGGTGGTTTTATGTTATTTCCTTTTACATATGAAAATCATGATAGAAATACCTAAAAAAACTGACCCTATGAAACTCAAGTTGCATTAAATTCCATTTCTAGTAAGTGTGTTGTTTGCCCATAAATTTGTGAAATGTTACAGTTGCATCAGACCTAATTCAATACGATATAAAAATTGCAAAATGACAACAATGAATCTGGATGGTATTATTGTATTCTTTCCTTGGTTCAACTTTAGTTGAAAATTGCAATCAAGCATATATTTCTTGTTACAAAATCTGAGTTCAATCCAACGTGATGCATTATGTTACCTGCACCACTTCCTTCTTCTTGTGCACTTCACCCTTAGGAAGGGGTACATACTCCTCTGCCTCCAAATCGAATTCAGTGGCATAAGCATCAGATCTGCCCTGTCTTTTTACTGCACCACTGGTTGCCTCAATGTAGATGACATCACCCACTTCCACTTTTTCCTTCTGAAGTGCTTCATATATACTTGGATCTAGCTTCAGTTGTTTGCTGCCCTTTGCTGTGCGTAGGGTGATTATGACATGGCTCACAGTTTTCCCATAACCTGTATCAGTATCAAAATAAGTCTTATGCAAGGCCATTGAACACACAAAGGAAATAATTACCTCCTGCAGGGCTTTCAGTTTCGACAGGCGTAAGCTCGCTAACCTCTCCTTCATACACTTCTTTGGTCTCTCTGATTCTCAGTCCTATGGCCCTTCTGAAGTTCTCCATTAGCACCTCAGTCTTTTTGATTTCAGAGCTGTATACTTCGGAGCCAACCATGGGACAGAAAGGTACTTTATTGCCCAATTCCTGAGCAGTAGCAAGGGCTATGGCAGTCTTGCCTGTGCCTGGGGGGCCTGCCAGTAAAATGGCCCTACCTGCCATCTTCTTGCTGCGAATCATATCTACTACTACGCCAGCCGCCTATTCAGTCAAAATAAACCACTGATAGAGTGAAACATTGAAAAAGTATGTCGAAAATTAAATATGAAAACTTGATGTTAGGCGTATCATATTTTATCAAAATTGTTGTACAAAGCACTAGCAGGAAAACTCATAAATTTTACCTCTCTAGCCTGTTCTTGCCCGACTAGACCGGCAGCTGCTTGTATCGCGAATCCATTCTCGTCAAGCCCTAGACCTTTGATATGGCTGTGCGCACTGATCCTTTGTGTTTTTACGATGCTTTTTACCTCTTCAACTTTCATTTTTCTTGCGTTTTAAACTTTATTATAGGAAAACCGGGAACTTGTGTTTGTATCAAAACAGAAAACACGTTTGGTCGATAAAAACATGCGTTTTGTTGACAGTTGTGTTATGAAGTTGACAGATAAAGAAAAGATTCATTTAGAAGATTCTTTAACTTGATTCGGTTCACCTAAATTTTAGATAATCCCAACACCTTGTAGCTGTCAATTAATTATCAAATGTCAAATCACGAATTGTCGGGAGTTAACCTAAAACGGAAACAAAAATGTTTATCTGAATTCTGAAAAAAATGTTTATAATCATTTGACGATAATTAGTGTCTATTATTCAATTAAAACCTAGAACATTTGTAAAAACTGCTGAAAATGGCCTATAACTATAGCGCGAATAACAAATTGAAAAACATGCAAATGGTAAGCAACAACCGTAATGCTGGCAAATACAAACAAAAACTGTTGTACCTGAAGCAAATGATAAGGGAATATGTTCACGTAAGTGTATTTATTCTAATATGAATATATTATTTCATGATTGTAAAATGGCTACATTCACCGAATGAATATTTTTTCCACACATTGTCGAGCCAACAATCTTCTCTCTAGCGATATGTAATATTTTTCAAGTACTAATTTTGTAGGAAAATGCAGCCTTAGTGGATGAAATTGAGGAGATCCAAATGAAGATAATAATGAGGAAGGAAGAGAGAAAATTTCTGTTGAGAAAACTATGTGAATATGAGCCCCAAGTAGTATTGGAAGTACAAAAAGCTTCCAAAGATAGTGTATCTTCCTCAGGAACACAGCTCAAGAGCAGTGATAAGAAAAGAAAAAAGAAGATATTAGGGGGAGAAACTTCTGTAAATAAAACGACTGTTGTTCCAAAAACAGAACCACAATGATTTTTATATAAAAATGTTGTTTTTTGGATGAGTCTATTTGCTTTTTTCCCCATAATATGAAATGGAGGTGGATTTAGAGTCTCCCCCCCCTAGACACACAACCCTGATAATTTTTCTCAAGCAAATGTTATACATTGATGCCTACTATATCTTGGTATGAACATTATCCGACCCACTGCTCAAAAGTGTTTTCTTTATGAGGAAGAATAAGCCTGAGTTCGTGTTTACTGAGCATATGATGGGAAAGTCTGATGAAACTTGCAGATGTCTGGGTTTTATTATTAGGACAGTGAGCAATTTAACCATGATACAACTTTAATGCTGTTATACTACTCATTGGTCCACTCTAAATTAGAATTTATATATGAATTTGCTTTGTGATTCTTCAGACAATAAAGCATATTTATCTATCTTAATGAGAGTCAATGCAATTAATGTTTCTGAAATATATTTTAAAACAACTGGAGGTTATTTTATATCAGGATACAATCAGCAATTACTGTTAGTTATATTTAAGATGAATCCTTTTGGCAAATGTACACGTCAATATTTACTGTGATCCATCAGTATTTACCAAGAAACTTTATTGAACGTGTAGCCTAAGGTATTGATGCTGTCAGTATTTATTGATGCATAAGATTGCACAGAAATCCACTGATGCTGATGGTATGGACCACAATAAATACTGATCGTGTGATATTCGCATTAGAAGAAACGTAAATTTTCTAATATCATACAGTTCCTTTCAAAAAGAACCCTCCATTGATTTTTTGAACGTGTCCACTTCATTTTACATCCTGCGCCTACTGGCAGGCAAGTATTGTAATCGCGGAAATTATCGAAAATGAGATATGTTTTTTTGGATGCTATATGACGTACATAACGAAAAACTGTCACTCATTCCCGTCTGTCCGCTAATCTTATAACTAAAAGGCCTGTAACTAGAGGAGTACCGCTCGAATTTTGATGAAACTTTTACACAATGTTACTACTATGTCAAGGACGCAGTTTTTGAAAATCGGTCCAGTAGCGGCAGAGAAGAAGGCCAAAAGCGAAAGGGACTAAAAATTGCTCAAACTTCGTTTTTCGACGCTTTAGAGGATCCTGATATTTTAAAAACAAATGATCAGAGGTAAAAAATTTGGGAGTGAGGGTTGAGGAGGGTTTATTTCTCAATTTTTTGATGTTATGACCCTGATTACTTTTGAAAAATTTTTAGGGGTACGAAATTGGGGGCGGAAGGTTTTAGGAAGTGAGGGAGGGTTATCTCAATTTTTCTGATGTTGCTGAACATAATCCTTTATGAACTGATAATGGCGTTGCGAGGGGAGTGAAGAGTCTACCTACCTGACGCCGTTTGTTACGTTAAAATATAGTTTCCATGTGTCAATTTAATCCTCTTGCTAGCTTGACCCGTTCGACATATAAGTAGGGGAGGCTTTCTGAAAAGCACCGTATCAGCAACACGATGCGAGTGTCTGCATCCCAAATTCAACAATTACATTTTCGTGTGCCTCGTTCAAACTCTGGTCAGAAAGAACTTCCAATTATTGATGATTTTTGCATGTGATTTTTATCTTTTTCGTCTATGATTGGCGAGGAGATAATAAACAATATTTTTCTCTTCTGTTTTGTTCACTATTTCCTCTACAAGGTTATTGTTATTTACATATATATTTGTACACTGAAAATGTGATTTTTATTGTATCTTATCCTTTAAGTAGCGCCATGCTGTTGGGTTATATAAATAAATTAGATGTGAATATTCACAATCCACATGTATTAGTTCATAAAGTTGCAGGTGTAATATAAATAGCCAATCGTCAGAAATTTGTTTTATTATAATTTTTGCCAACAATTTACAACATAATATACAGAACTATAACAAATTATGCTACAAAGTAGAACACTGGTTGCTCTCAGCATAGATACCAGTTTGATATATCTACATTTTTTAGTACAAAAATATACTCGCAAAGATCCTTAAATATTGCTGTAACATATAAATTTTTCTTAACATTAAATTACTTTGAAAAGACATTTCCTCACAAACAACCAAAAGTTTCTTCAAAATGTGAATTCATGGAGTGTTCCATGTCAAAACAATCTACTGGAACAGTGAAACCAAAGAGGAGGTATATGCAAGAGAACAGGCAATGAGTAAAATCGAAAGAAAGTTGCCGGTTTGAAATTCAGTTTTTCCTAACCTCAATACCCTTTGCCTTAAGGTGGCACGTCCCTTTTTTAGTTTTTTTCCAACTACCTGTTTGCAGCAGTATTCTTAATCCTTTCCAACTGATCATTTCATGGTGTGTATAGAGATGACTAAAAAACAATGTTCATTTTTTTTTGTCAAAAAATGCATTTTTTCGTCATTCGGAACTTCTTAACAAATTTAAGTACAGCTCTGAAATTGTGTGTGAATATTCCTCTTTTATGGAAGAGTGGATCAAGTGTTTACTCTAGTTCTTATCACTTTTCTTTTTAGAAGAATCTTCGATTTTCTTGAAGCTTCGACTCGCAGCAATTTGAGTCTTCAAGAAAAGCAAAGATTTTTCAAAAAGGAAAAGTGATAAGAATGAAAGTAATCACTTGTTTCATTCATCCATAAAAGTGGAATATTCACATACAATTTCAGAGCTGTACTGATATTTGTTAACAAGTTACGATCGAAGAAAAAATGCATTTTATGACAAAACAAAATTAAAAACGATGTTTTTTAGTCATTTTTATACACATCATGAAGTAATCAGATGGAAAGGATTTAGAATATTGTAGCAAACTGGTAATTGAAAAAAAAAGCGAAAAAAGGGACGTGGGGCCTTAAAGGGACGAAATTAAGCCATTTGGCCACAATGAGTGCGGGTTTTGGCTTTTTGAATGAAATTACTGTCCATTAATTGAAGCGGAAGTTTGACAGTTTTCACCTGGACATACCATTTTAAAAACGAAAACAACCAGAATATTGCTATTAATTCACACTTTAAGCGACCAAGTTCAACTTTCTGCCTCCCTTATATTTCGCTTACATACTTAGCGCTGTTTTTGCTGCTGTTTTGGATTTTGTTTCTGCTGTTGCTTTGGCTTTTGTTTCTGCTGTTGCTTTGGCTTTTGTTTCTGCTGTTGTTTTGAATTTTGTTTTTTACTTTGTGTCTGCTGTTGTTTTGTACCATGTTTTTGTTGTCGCTTTGACTTCTGTTTCCTCGTGTTCTTTGCTACTTGCCATAGCAATTTACCGTACTTGATACCTTCTTTCAGCTCGTCGCAAAAAATGTAGCGGTGTGCGAGATAGTAGGCCATGCGTTGGGTCCGTGGCACGTTGTTCTTGTCCTCGGACATCAATCTGAATAGTGCGCTCATGTGTTTATGGCCAAAGTGCAGACGATGTACACCGAATAATAACATATTGGCACGCCGGTATCTGCAGAATAAACGGTTCATTAGTACTCCAGTAATCATGTATAGGGTGTTCTAGAAAGACGCGACAATATTTCTAGAAGGGTAGAAGGTACATCATCAAAAATAACAAAAAAGATTCCTACAAATATGGGTCCAAAGATGCTCCCCTACCGAGGTGCGGGGTGATGAAGTTTTATTTACGAAATTTTAAAAATATTTATCTACGGTGAGCCGAGCACGCTGATTTTAGGCACCATAAATTAGAACCATTTACGTATTTGTTCAATACACACCAATTGAAAAACGAGAATAAACCGAATCATATTTGAAACAATGTATATCAAAAATGGAGTTTTGATCTAGGTATTTATACTTCCTACAATTTTAGTAACTATTGCTATTATTTGTTTAACTCACAAGTCTTTGCCTTGTATTTCTTTTCTCCTCTGTTTTTCAGTAGGATTGCCATTCAGTTTGATAGCTCGATGATTTGTCACAGCTGAATAGATCGCGTTTCTCAGCCCTTCCGTGTTGGTGGTTCTGACTCTCTTTAATTTTGCTAGTTCCTTGCCGACGAAAAGTTGAAGTTCAACTAGCGGCGCTGTCAGGAAGAATTTCTTCAACTGAAATTAAAATCTCACATTTAAAATACATTTTAAGATTGTTACTGAAAAAAGTTTATAGAATACTGCCAAAAGTCAGGAAGACATTTAAATAGACTGTTAGAAATATGTGATTACAATTTTTATATGGTCACCCTATAAATAACTTCCTTCTCAAGACACACATTCAATAAATCAGCATCAAATCGGAACGAAGTTCGAACTTTTTGTAATTAATTCTGCACCTAGAAAATTTTAAATACCTGGGGGTTTTTGTTGACTCTCGATTAATTTTTGATATTCATTATGAAAAAGTTATAAATAAGATTAGTAGTAAAGTGGGATATTTATCGAGAGTTTCTGGATGTCTGAGTTCATATAGCAGAAAAATTATCTATAATACCATCATTCTTCCAAATTTCTTGTACTGTTCGACTATTCTATATTTAGCAAATAATTCCATTTTTGAAAGACTGCAAATTTTACAAAATAAGTGCATGAGAATAATACTAAATAAAGATAAATATACTCCAATTAGGCAAATGCTTAGCAAATTAAAATGGCTCAATGAAAAAAATTTATCAAATATCTTGTAATGATATTCATTTATAAAGTAAAAAATAATATATTTCCATCAAGTCTAACTAATTTAACATCATCAAATGTCGACCATCATTTACATAATACCAGAAATAAAGATGACTTCCATTTAATGACCAAAAAGTATAACATATGCTACAAATCTGTATTCCATCAAGGGTTGATTGAATATAATAAATTATACTCGGAGATAAAATACCAGAAAACTTTGACAAAATTTAAAGTAAAATTGAGAAATCATTTGTTAAATCTACAATTATAGGCTGCCCAGCATTTACATCATACACCATATGGCTTTAATTTAGTAGTACTAAGTTGTTTACAATTATTCTGTTTATGTAGCCAAATGTGCTAAATAAAATCTTTCTACTACTACTACTACTAGAAATACTTACCTGCTGCCCCGATTTTCGATCTAGTATATGCCTCAGATCTTCCTCTCCTTCACGTGGTATTTCTTCGAGGTGACCCTCAGGATTACGATTTTCGAGCCAATTTAGTTCTTCACTGGTAGGCAATTGATCGAAGCTCCCTATTTTTTTATAAAAAAAGTCACTTGAGAAAACAGATATTTAGATGTTAGAAAAATAAACCACCTTCTGATATTGATTAGATTACTAAAATATTTTATGATTTGATCGCTATTATACTTTTTCTCGTATCAAACGCACAAAGTGCGCGGCAACATTTCGAGAACTGCGCAAATACTTTGCGCCCGGACTGCAGATACAATTTTTCCACAGTCGCTGCAGTTTACCTTTTTTTATATCGGGTTTTCCAATAGGGACTTGACAAGTTTGAACTTTCACTGTGAACGAACCTTTGAATCAGTTTCCGAACTGTCGATGTCAAAACATTCAATAAAGAAAACATTTTCATCATGGTGAAGTACACCAACGAACAACGCTTACTACCGCTACATAGACACGTTATTTTTTTGGTCAATTGGATGGGCTAGACATTAATGATATGTGGTTTCAACAAGACGTTTCCACAAGCCACACAGCGACATATTGAAATCACAATTCGGTGCACGTATCGAGAAATGGTCCTGTCGAATGGCCACCTAGATCGTGTGATTAACCACCTACAGACTTTTGTGGAGTTACATTAAATCATTGGTCTATGCCAAGAAGCCGACGTCGTTAGAGGAGCTCAGAGCCAATATTGAACGAGAGATAGCGGCCGTTTCTGTCGGAATATGTGGTCGAGTGATTGAAAACTGACATATGAACGAGGTCGAATTAAATACATAAATGTTTTGAGTATACTTCAATCCGATAATAAATTTTTTTCGAGATATCTCAAATGGTTTGCGTTTTATTTGAAAAGACAGTTGTCAAGTCCTTAATGGAAAACCCTTTATAGATATGTCGTAGCAATATCAAATTGTCAACAGAACTCAATCATATCGTTAACTCGTCAACGTTTAACGATTTGGTCATCCACGGTTGACCACATCATAAAACAGGGGATCCCTAAAACCAAAACATCTAAATAGTCCACGAGTACTTTTTTGTCGTAACGATTTTGAATCTCGCTTTCTTGATCATGATCTGGCCAATGGATAATAATAGATTTCATGAAGTGCTCGATCATTTCATGAAATGGGCAATTTTACGACAGATACATACTATATCATATCAAGATTGTGGACAACTGGTTTATTTCAGCAAAATTTCAAGATGTAAGAAATATTATATATGTTGTACAGTATTTCAATATTTAAGAAAATCGAACAAAAATAAACTGTTAAAATATAGTTAATATGATTATTAGAGCTCGCAAAACAGTCGACCTAAATAATCTCCTAACGTCATACTCAGGGCGACATGTAGGTACATAAAAATAAGTACCTCCTTAATTAATGCGCATTTTAAAACTTTTCAAGTATTTTATGCACACTTTAGGTTATATTTTGGAGTAAAACAAAATCGAAAATAAATATGCGAAGTTGCACATATTTTGTTTTGAAAGGAAGTTTAGCGGTTAAGCACGTCAAGTTTTTTTTAATTCCAAATTTGGTATTTTATCAGAAAATACATAAAATATCATATACAGGGTGTTTCAGTTTATTGTTGCATAACTTTAAGATTCGATAGAACTTTTAAAATGAATGCATAAAGTCTATATAAACATGGGTCGAAAAATGCGTGGCTTCCGAAATACAGGGTGTTTAGATTTACTTTCTAAAATAGTTTTTTTTTAAATATTTCGAACAATATTTGATGTATAACAGTGAAAATTGGTATACAAGGGTTTTTTGGTACGACAAAACGAACCATGGGCATAGTTTTACTGTAGCCGCTAGAGGGCGCTCTCTACTGTACCTGTAGTGTATTAAAATGACCGAAATTTTTTTCTAGTTAGCCATTTTTGAGATATTTCGATTTTTAAGGTTCGATGCATTTTTAATTATTTATGATAAAATAACGTTAAAAAGTCAGTATCTCGATAATTTTTAGAAGTAGGCTGTGCCGGCAAATATTTTTGAAATTGAAAGCAGAATAAGGTTAAACGTCAATTAGTTGACAGTTAGTTTTGTTGTCTGTTGAAACCTGAAACGTTTTTTTGCAAGAATGCACGAAATTTAGTTTCTTTTACATGTTTTTTTTGTAAGTTTTATAAAAATGCCATTTTTATTCTCCAATCAAGAGTTAGCGGATATTCATTTTATGTATGGCTTTGTAAATGGAAACGCAGCAGAAGCAGCCAGAGAATACGCACGAAGATTTCCAAACAGACGACATCCAACTCGCTCAGTATTTGTAAGAGTGCATCGCCAAATAATTGAAAATGGTTTTGGAAATCTCCAAAGGGATCAAAACATAAATGTTCGTCAGCGCAGATTTACCCGTATGATTCTGCGTGAGTTTGATAGAGATCCGACCACAAGTGTTAGGAGAGTTTCTGGTGCCTTGGGAATTTCAGCAAGCCATGTTCACCGTGTTCTTAGAAATGGCGATAGACGTCCTTACCATTTGCAACCTGTGCAAGGACTACAGCCAGGGGACGGAGAACGAAGAATCACATTTTGTCATTGGATTCTTGATAGATCTGATAATAATAGGGAGTTTTTAGGTAACGTTTTATGGACCGATGAGTCATGCTTCACTAGACGTGGAGTGGTAAATTTTCATAATCAACATATTTGGTCGCATGAAAATCCGCATCCAGTTCGGGAAAGAAATTTTCACGTATGAATTTAGTGTGAACGTGTGGATTGGTATCTAACGTAATCGACTATTTGGACCCTACCTTTTGCCTGCAAGGTTAAATGCTGCGACCTTCTTGGAATTTTTAAAGGCTGAACATGCAAATATGTGGGATGATGTAATGTTAGATTTAAGAAGATTGGCCTGGTTCCAGCTTGATGGTTGTCCAGCTCATTATTCGAGAATAGTTAGAAACTGGCTGGACGAAAATTATCCAGAAAGATGGATCGGCCGTGGAGGACCAGTCGCCTGGCCTCCACGATCCCCTGACCTAAATCCATTAGATTTCTTTGTGTGGGGATTTCTAAAAAAAAAAAAGTGTACCAGACTCCCGTAACCACAAGAGATATGCTAATAGACAGAATCAGGAATGCATGTGATGAAATAAGGCCTTATTTGAATAATGCTATACCACGTTCGATCATTCGTAGATGTGAATTGTGTATTGAACAATTGGGTTTACATTTCGAGCAACTAATTTAGATTTTGTATGTTTGTCCTAACTATCCAATAGCATTTTAGTTGTAAATAGTTAATTTAATTTGTTAAAAATAATATTGGAAAATTAAACAAATTAATATTCTGTTTTTTTGTGTTTATTTGGAGTTAGGAATTATTGCTGGGTTTAAAAACACAATCTAAACGATCATCTTAATTACTTGTAATGCTAAAATCGAGAATGTAAAAAAAATATTATTTTCCCATAAATAATTAAAAATGCATCGAACCTTAAAAATCGAAATATCTCAAAAACGGCTAACTATAACGAAAACTCACAGGAGAGCTTTTTTATGCAGAAAAGTGCGTAGAATCAGTTTTTTTTTTATTCAAAAAGCAAAAAATTGCACTGAGAAAATTTTTTCGGTCATTTTAATACACCACAGGTACAGTAGAGAGCGCCCTCTAGTGGCTACAGTAAAGCTATGGTTCGTTTTGTCGTACCAAAAAACCCTTGTATACCAATTTTCACTGTTATACATCAAATATTGTTCGAAATATTTAAAATAAACTATTTTAAAAAAGTAAATTGAAACACCCTGTATTTCGGAAGCCACGCATTTTTCGACCCATGTTTATATAGACTTTATGCATTAATTTTAAAAGTTCTATCGAATCTTAAAGTTATGCAAACCATAAAAGCGTACCGCGCCAAGGCCTCTGTGTTTTAGAGTGAAACTTGTACAGCAAACGTTAATATCCGATCACCTCTAAAATCAGTTGAAAACAGGCATTTCTTGCACGCAGCAACTTACCCACATCAAACCTCGGCTGGAACTGTAACGACAACAAAGAAGGAATTGCGGCAGGTGGTCTTCCAACGTTCCGGTCCATAGGGAACAGTCCTTCATTAGCCCAAACGGGGTGCGTTATCGGGAAACCGGGAGTATCCAGAGGACCTGGAATCGGTCCAAGTACGTTTACAGGACTATGTACGGAAACAGGTAGGTTCGCGCCTCTGTCAACTGTCCCAGGTGCACTCATGGCACTGTGAATAGTTCCAAATGCATTGACAGTGCTGTGACCAGGTCCAGGTTGGTTCGCACCGGTCGGTGGAATCCCGTATCCTGCTATGTCGAACAATCTCATTTCAGGTATGCCTCTAGGTTGGATCCGGTAGCCCGCCAATGTAAACAGTCGATCTTCTGGCGGAATGCGAGGAGGTTCGCCAAAGTCGTGCATACGGTCCGTGGGGATCATCGACGTATTTTCATTCCTAAATGCGTTCTGTGGTGTAGTCGTTGTGCGAACGTTTCGTGGTGCATCTATACCCTTAGATCGCCTTTGAGCTGCGCGAGTATCTTCGCCACTATTTTTAGCGTTTTGTTCAGATCTGTCGGATCTTTTTTGTCTGGGAGTACGTTTTTTGGCAGTGTTTGGGGTGTCAGTAATAGTATTCTCCGCATCATGGTTTGTTACATCTTTGGGAGTGCTCGGCGCTGATGCAGCGTTCTGCACCTGATCCGGGGCCAGGACATTGTCATAGTTTACGATGTAAGGCAAAGCTGGTGGATATTGCCTGAAAATAATTAAAACTCAAATCAACGATTTCTGGCGTAGAAAGAGCAAGCATATGATTTATCTTGAAACAAAATTACGCAGTCAGTAGTAGGGTTGCAAGTTCATACTACAAGTCGATCAGGCTTATGCTGCCAATTTGATAGTTGTTGACATTTCCATTTAATTCGTATTTTTCTGCGAAAACATATAAAAGTGCGTCGATTTCCATACAGTCCTAGAGTTCCAATTGGAGAAAATTATGAAGATTTCGGTGGATTCCAAAAAGCAGTTTAAACTGAATAAGGGCAGATCTTATAATCGATAACTGTAATTATAGTCATCGGCGTTGCGACAGGGAATGTACCTCAACGATGATGAGTTTTTGCCTGGACAGTTGTGAGGTAATTTTGAGTTATTTCATTCCTTTTCCGATTTCTATGAGTGCTCAGTCATAATCTAAGGTCTACTAACAAATTTGTGTACCTCACGGAAACATAAAAAATGCAAAATATTGGACGGACATTTTTTGGTGGTTACTGAAAAGGACCAACCTAAGCTTCACCTTCGAGTCTTATTATGTACTTTATTTTTTTGCTAAAACACCGAAGGAGCCACGCAGACAGAATCCTAAATGCCACGGCACCGCGAATCTCAAAGAAACTTTGTTATTCCGATTTTTGAACTGTCTAAGGTTAGTAGAACTGGGATAAATGATTTATGCCATTTATGTATGAAAAATAACATCAGTCATGTGACCACCGCGGCTTCGTTTCCAGGCCAACATCCGAAGATCAAAATTTTCAATGACTTTTCCCAGAATAATCGGGTCTATGGCCGCAATTTCAGTCCGAATATTGCGCTTTAGGTCTTGACTTGTCCGGGGACCATTCGCATACTTTTCCTTTCAAAAATCCCCAAAGAAAATAGTCAAGAGGTGTTAAATCGCACGATCTCTGGGGCCAACTGACATCTGAATTTCGTGAAATTATGCGGTCCTGAAATTTCGTGTGCAATAAGGCGATTGTTTGGCGAGATGTGTGAGCCGTTGCTCCGTCTTGATGAAACCAAAGATCGTCGGCACCAATACGATCCAATTGTGGCCACAAATGGTCTGTTAACATGCCGCGATAACGTTCCCCGTTGATGGTAATGGCCTTTTCTTCGGCATCTTCAAAGAAGAATGGTCCAACGATGTCACCAGCCCATAATCCGCAACAGTCACTTTTTCAGGATGGCGAGGTTGTTAATGATATTGGTGTGGATTTTCAGCCCCCCAGAATCTGCAATTTTGCTTATTTACGTACCCATTGAGGTGAAAATGAGCTTCATCAGAAAAGAGCACTTTGGCCGAAAATCCGTCTTCTCTTTCCAGCATCCAATTAACAAAAACACGCCGCAGTTGATGGTCTGCCGGCTTCAATTCTTGTGTTAGTTGGATTTTGTATGGATGGAGGTGTAAATCAATGTGTAAAATGCGGCGTAAAGTGGTCTCAATAATTCCCAATTGTTGCGAACGGTGCCTAGTCGAGGTGGTTGGATCTTCTCGCACACTTTCACTCACTGCGGCTATGTTTTCACGAGTACGAGCTGGACGAGCATGTTGGTATGGTCTACGACCTTCAGCTGAACCAGTTTCCTCAAAACGATTAACAATCCAACGAATTCCAGGCTCTGTAGGGCGTCCATGTCGGCCAAAACTAGTGCGAAGTTTGCGAAAAGTATTTTTTTATATTTCGACCGTTTTCGTAATATGGATAACCAAAATGCGTTGTTGTGTTGTAAACGAATCCATGACTATAAATGGCATACCTTTGACAGTTCATTCATGCATACCACGACTTTTGACTCACATGGTAACACATATACTTATAGGTAAAACAAAGTAATAGTATTTAGTAATTCGAATATAGGTAAATTCTTTTACTATGTTATTAATAACGCACCCAACCACTTTTTAAATTCTGCATAAAAACAATGCATGACTTCATAGAAACTAATGTCATTGTGGTTTTAGAAAAATCGAATTAGCTATGGGTCATATTTATAACATAGAAATATAATAGCCAAAATAAGAACTATTTTGATTTTTTTCAAATATAGTTATGTATTCTTACCTTCCATAATAATAGCACTCGTGTTCTAAGTGTCCCTGCGCAGCGCAGCCAGAACACCATTGCTGATCTCGAGGCTTCAACTGGGGTCCCGCAGTAACTTTTATAGGTCCTGGCTCAGTCTGAAAATAAACGTCTTTTATCAAAAGCGTTTGCAATATCTGTACATATAACATCTAGCTGACATTGATTATCTAATGAGCTAGAAGCTAATTCGATAAATATTGTCAAGTTGGTTGCGATTATACAAAATGACCTTCAAAAGCTAAGCCATATTGGTAAGGATACGTATTGCCCGATAATTGATAATTAGGGTTGAAGACTTGAAGACAGGACAAATCCTAGTTTCTTTCAGATAATCGGAAAACTTAAAGTTCTCAGAATAAGATTGAAAATGATGCTCAACGTTTTGGACAATGCTGGTGAGCAATCTCTTACCAAAAATGATGGGATTCTGTCAGGACCTGCAGTCATTTTGGGCTTCAGCCTTTTTGATGCATACAAAATGATGACTTAACGGCTTAACGCGTTGCTGAGCTAATTGTAACTGTACACAACATAAAAAACACAGTAAACATGAATGATCTTACGAGAGATTCCACTTACCGTGATATGGTACCTTCGCCACAAATCAGGACAGACTGAAGCTAAGTGTCCTGGTTGCGAACATATATTGCACTGCAGGTCGCGATATTTGAAGCATCGGTAACAATAGTTCGTTGTATAGTCGCCCTTGTTACCACACTGAAACATACAAAATTATGGTTATCTTTCTAATAAAAAAGTGACATATGAGAAAACGTAGATGACCTTGAAGTGAGCTTATGCCTTTTTTTATATCGAAGCAGCCGCGCAGGCAGAAGCCTAAATGCCGGGACAACGCGGCTGCTATGATGATCCCAAAGAAATTTTGTTTATCCGATTTCAAGTTTAAGCTCAAGGTCAGATATAATGATTGAGTTTGTTATAGCAGAAAATATTGCATAATCCAATTTTTTTCTTCGGATACTTTTTATCATATTTTGAATTTTAGGAGTTTCAAATTCATCGCAAGTCAAAAACAAATATTTATCATTTTTGTTTGTAAAAGGGTACTTACGTTGAGGCATATTTTATTGGGGCACCTGGGCTCGGTGTGGTCCCCAGCGCCACACAAATAGCACCTGGGCGGCTCCGGTTTTTCAGTGCATTTCAAGGCCATGTGGCCAAAGCGACGACACCTGTTACATCGCGGACCCTTCGATCGCGGTCGCTGCTCAAGGGCCAACAATGTGGGGTGGTCTTTGCGGCTAATTTGCCATTTTGAAGGATCATCTAGGAAAAAAAATGGCGTCGAGTAAGTTGACTCTGTACAGGGGGAAATGTTGCATACACTTTCAAAATTTCACAGCGTATCATTGAATTATCTAAGAAAAAAGTAAACAGTTTAAAATCAAATAACAACTGTGCCGAAATCACTACTAAAAACGTGGTGAAAAACTGTTTCGAATTTTTCGGATATCCTGTATTAAATTGGATCAATTGTTCACTGAGAAGCAGTTCTTTTCCTAAAAATTTGAAATGCTCTACAATAACACCAGTTCCCAAAATAAAAAATTCTAAAAGATGCAGCGATATGAGACCAATAAATGTGTTACCAGACATTGAAAAATTATTAGAGTCCATAGTGCATGATCAATTAATGCAGTTTATAGAAGAAAACAAAATTTTAGTGGAGGCGCAAGCAGGCTTTCGAAAAAAATATTCCACAGAAACGGCTTTCCAGTTGGTAACTGAGAATTGGAGAAGAGCCATAGACTCAGAAGAAGTTGTCATAGCAGTATTTTTGGATTTGAAGAGGGCATTTGAAACGATTGACAGAGATATTTTGTTAGGTGAATTGAAGGCATATGGTATAGCATGAAGTGTTTTAGATTGGTTTAGAAATTATTTGTCTAGAAGGATGCAAGTTACAAAAGGTAACGACATTATTTCATCAAAAATTGAAAATACGTTGGGTGTTCCACAGGGCAGTATCCTGGGACCACTTCTTTTTATTTTATACATAAATGATTTACCTGCCATAGTCAAAAAATGCAAAATTCAGATTTTCGCCGATGACACTATGATTTATATAAGTACTAAAAATATTCAGTCTGGTATCTCTTATATAAATGAAGAGTTGAAGCTTGTCTCAAAATGGTTAGCATCTAACAGACTAAAATTAAATGCAAGTAAAACGAAAGCCTTGTTAATCGGAAAAAAAACAATGTACAAATGTTCAACTGATTATTGATGGTGAAGATATTGAATTCGTAGAAAATTTTAAATACCTGGGGGTTTTTGTTGACTCAATTAATTTTTGATATTCATTATGAAAAAGTTATAAATAAGATTAGTAGTAAAGTGGGATATTTATCGAGAGTTTCTGGATGTCTGAGTTTATATAGCAGAAAAATTATCTATAATACCATCATTCTTCCAAATTTCTTGTACTGTTCGACTATTCTATATTTAGCAAATAATTCCATTTTTGAAAGACTGCAAATTTTACAAAATAAGTGCATGAGAATAATACTAAATAAAGATAAATATACTCCAATTAAGCAAATGCTCAGCAAATTAAAATGGCTCAATGTAAAAAATTTTATCAAATATCTTGTAATGATATTCATTTATAAAGTAAAAAATAATATATTTCCATCAAATCTAACTAATTTAACATCAAATGTCGACCATCATTTACATAATACCAGAAATAAAGATGACTTCCATTTAATGACCAAAAAGTATAACATATGCTACAAATCTGTATTCCATCAAGGGTTGATTGAATATAATAAATTATACTCGGAGATAAAAGACCAGAAAACTTTGACAAAATTTAAAGTAAAATTGAGAAATCACTTGTTAAATCTACAATTATAGGTTGCCCAGCATTTACATCATACACCATATGGCTTGAATTTACTAGTTCTAAGTTGTTTGTGTGCGAATTGAATTTATGCTGATTGGATATGAGTTTGATCCCTAAAAATGGGAACTTCAAAAGTAAAAATCATGCACTATATTAGCCAAATACCTGCATAAACGTCTATCGATGAAATCAAAATTTCTAAATACATATTGATAAAATAACCAACACACGGTACAAATACCCAAATTTAAAATCATGCTAATACGAAATAACTTACTGGTAAGATTAGCATAGACTACATCCAAATCAACGGGAGCATCTTCAGTTGCTTTATCAGCCATCTCATCAGCAGCATTCACTTGCATATCAGCGTTGTCCTTTTTGGTATCTTCAACTTGCTTGATACTCAGCTGTATGTCTTCAACCTCTTCGTCGCTATCTATAAGCGGTATCACTTCCACGGGTTTCTCAATCAACTCGACATCGTCGTCACTGTCATCACCATCGTTCGATGAAGGCACGTCCACCGAGATCGGCGAATCAACTACTACTGCTGGTACCTCAGGCTGTGGGGGTGCCGCCGCTAAAAGGTGTGCAAAAATATTTGTTCAGGCCCTTGGAATAATGGTAAATTTCATGCTACTATTACTGGAGAAGATAAACCCACGGAAGGGTCAACCACCCCGATATTAATTATAAGACGATTACGGGGGAAATCCACTCACCTATCTCAGGTAATAAAGACCTTTTCCTACTTATCCCAATATGCTGTGCAGGGTGGCCAATATATGACTGATTTAAATTGCGCGCCATTTTTGATACACGATTTTAGTATATGGCGTCCAAACACGATCCCACAACGCCCAAGTATTGTTAAAACGTTTTACTTAAACAACGAGTCGATTGTTACAACGATTCGGAAGCTACAAGATTCCGGTCAAAATAATGTGCCCAGTGTCAACACCATGCGTCAGTTGGTGCATAAATTTGAACAAACAGGTGAAGTTAGACTTGCCAAGGTCGGGCCGTGTTTGAACTGTTCTTACTCCGGAAAATAACGAGAGAGTTCGTGAACGTGTAGTGGAGCGCCCTGACACGTCTACCAGACATCGTTCTCAAGAACTGGGTCTTCGTCGCACGTCATTATGCACTATTTTAGAAAAAGACTTGCATTTGCAGCCATACAAAATTCAGTTAACCCAAGAACTATAATATAATAAGCAGAATTGTCGATCTTGGCATTAAAGAAGCCTCGTGTCATTCATCAACGACAACTTCCTCGTCGAGTCACAGTTTGGTGCGGTGTTTGGTATGGATGCGTTATTGGACCTTACTTCTTTGAAGACGCTGCAGGTAATTATCTTACTTTCACTGGCGAGCGCTACCGTGATATAGTGTCTCCTCAAATCCAACAATTTAACCTGCAAAACATGTGGTTCCAGCAGGACGGAACATCATGTCACACAGCCAGGGAATCAATGAATCTTTTGCGAACAATATTTCCGGGACGTTTAATTTCTCGATTTTCAACTTAACCTTAACCTTAACAAAAAAATATATATATATAATAAAACATTCCACCAACAAAAATGTATCCATAATTCTCAATAATTACTAAATAATTAACAACACAGAACAATTACAAGAATAGTCCATATTTCTAGCATTTTGTACTCATCATCAGACCTCGACTTGTAGTTTTAGTTTAAGCCTCTTTTTAAAATTAAATAACGTATAGTTTTGGAATGTAACAGGCAGATCATTATATAATTTAATAGCATTGTAGCTGAATGATGTTTTGTAGACAGCCTTAGAATGTAAGGGTATCACTAATATATTCCTATTCCTTGTATTCAGTTGATTTTTGTCACTACATCGTGTTAACTTATTATGCAAATATTGTGGTTGTTTGGTAGCTAAGACCTTATGTGTCAGTGTCAATAAATGAAGCTTTTGCATGCCTTTAATCTGCAGAATACTAAGTTCATTAAATTTATGAGAAATATGATCAAACTTTCGTATTCCGCAAGAAAATCTGATGCACGAATTCTGAATACGCTGTAATTTGCTTTGTTCACTATATGACAGAGCTGCGCCATATATCCTGTCACAATAACTGATCTTTGATATAATTAATGTTTCACACAGTTTCAGCTTTACTGAAGTAGATATTATTTGCCTATGTGGATAAAACTGTTTCAAAATGCAGTATGATGCACTACATAACGAATTTACGTGTTTTTTGTATTTTAGTTCTGTGTCAATCCAGAGTCCCAGGTTTTTACACTCATTCATTATAGGAAGCCGGCAATCATACATTTTAAGGTTAATTTCCGTTTCGATCAATGTTCTTTTGTTTTTTGAGCCGAAAACCATAACTGAAGATTTAGATGGATTAATTTTCAGGTTATGCGAACACGAGATTTCTACTAGCCTTGTTAAGTCTTAGTTGAGCAATGCTTCTGCAATTTTAAAATCTTTGTGTTGGAAACTAAAATAAATTTGAGTATCATCAGCATAGTGATGGATTGTGCAATTATGGACATATTGATGGAAATCCGATATATATAGAGAGAAAAGTAAAGGTCCCAGTATGGAACCTTGGGGAACACCAAAACTTATAGCAGTTAACTGTGACATTTTCGAAGCTGTTAAGACCTTTTGATTTCTATTTGACAAATAGCAGCTTATCAAATTGACTGCAGCATCAGTAAAACCATGGTAAGACAGCTTAAGTAGCAGAATTTTAGGGTCTATCATATCGAAAGCTTTTGTGTAATCCAGCAGAACTAAACAAGTGATATTTCCTTGATCAAAGCCTCTTATAACATCATCAGTGACATTTTCTATTCTATTTCATTACTGAAAATATACTGAGATATTTGTATCTTCATTTCCCGTTCCAAAAGCTTCGAAAATGCGGGAAGTAAGCTGACTGGTCTAAGTTGCGTTACAGACGTGGGAATCGCTACTTTAGGAATAGGTATGATGATAGCCTGCTTCCAAGCATCAGGGAAACATGATGATGATATTGCGTGATTGATTATAAATGTAATATGGTCAAAGAGCAAAGTGAAAATGTATTTTATCATAATGAGTGAGATTCCATCAGCCCCTACAGCATTAGTTTTAATAAATGAGAAACTCTTCACAACAGATTCTTTGGCAACCTTTTAGAAACAGAATGACTTGGGAAACTTATTGTTTTGATATTTGTTCAGTAGTTCTAATTGCTTTTGTGTCTTGGTTATGATCGGAATATTTGAGAAATGTGAATTTATTTCATCTGCGTGATTGAAGCTATCTGGAAGAGTATTTATAGAGGACTTAATTATATTAAGTTTCCTAAGAGAACTCCATATTGCTTTACTGTTCCTCCCAGATAGGATATATTCCATATAAGCCTTTTTCTCTCTCCGCAGAGCAGCAGCAGCGTAATTACCGAGTTCTTTATAATAGTTCCAGTGGGCAGTTGACTTACTTCTTTTAAACCTTAGATACGCTTTATCTCTAGCTTTATTGATCATTTTAATATTGTATGTTAGCCAAGGAGCTGGTGGCTTAGTAACTCTAAGTGTTCTCATAGGTGCACAATTATCAAATAAATTTAGTATGTTGCTATTTAAAAAATTGACCATGTCATTAACGCTGTTTAATTGAAAAATATCATCCCAATGAGTCGAATGAAATAAATCATAAAAGGTATGTTCATTAAAGTTACGAAAGTCCCTAAGCGTGTAAAACTTCTGCGTCCGGTTGCTTAACGTTTTATGGAGGTGACAAACAACAGCTGAATGATCAGATAACTCTGAACTGGTACAACATTGCAGTTTCTTACATTTTCTCCATCTGAGCAGATAATAACATCTATCAATGTTTGTGAGTGGCTTGTAACTCTCGTGGGAGCATCTACTACCTGCTTCAAATTGAAAGATTCTAAAAAATTTAGCATAATATCCGTAGCCGATGAATTAATCAATAAATTTATATTGAGATCACCTAGAATTACAATAACATCCGCAGATGGTAATAATATAGATAAGGTATTTTCAATACTGTCAAATGTTTGCAGAATATTGGAACAAGGAGGTCGATACAATGCACCGAAGGTATACGTTTTGCCATCGAATCTGAAACTGATCCATTGCTCTTCCAAAAGGGGATCAATGATAACTAAGATACTACAAAAATTATTGAGGAACTTACTTTTCTTCTTGCCCCTTTTCCGTTTTTTAGGGGTCTTCTTCTGTGTAACTGGTTGTTGTTCGGACATCCGAGACTTCTTATTTTTAGCTTTTTTGCTCTTATTACCACGTTTCGACGTCACAGAGGTTTCCGTCGTCTGCTGTACAACAATAAAATATCAATCAAAAGCATATGTACATTCAAAACAGATAATTTTCAAATTGAAAAAAAACAGGAATCTAAATAACAATATAATCTTTCATCTGTATTAACAAATCATAAGCGAGATTCATTATAGCGAAATTTAGCTGAAGCCACTTAACCATATGAATACGAAATCAAGATGAAAAAAGAGGTATAAAACAATAAGTTTTTCTACTGCAATCTCACATCAGTATTCAAACCAGTTAGGTATATCGAACATCGAACTATGTATTAAGATGCCTACACACACAGCCAAGGTGCCCATAAACTAACTTGCATATATGTATATTGTTAACAAAAATTGGGCAAACAAAAGTAAAAATATTAGGCATAACAATGAAAAATAGTTTATAGTACTGAACGTGTTTAAAAATGCTTGAGTGTTAGTCAATAATTTTATCCAAATTTCACTTAAGCTCAACAAGATAAAGATCCATAGTTATTCAGTTTTGATATACTCACTGCTGAAGATTCATCATTATCTTGGGTTTCTTCAGCTACTGGGTCAACATTACTACTGACAGGCTCAGTAGGAGCTTGTGAGTCATCGCCAACTTCCTCCACATCTGCCCATAAAAATAATCATTCATTAATTCCGATATCGACTATCGATTAAGAAAATCACTTATTACCACCACATTTCGAACACTTCACAAAATTAAATTGTCATTATGATATCTATGAAACTAGAGGCAGTATAGATTTTCATCTGCAAAATTGTAGTAAATCTAAATTTCAAAAGGGAGTATGAATTTAACAAATTTAATAATGATATTGAACAGTGTTCGGATTTAAAAATGTTTAAGGTGAAATTAAAAAATCACTTTATGAATACACAAAATCCATATTGACTTAATGCTAATAGATAAGAATGTAAAGTTACTGAAAATTAATTAAGAAAATGTGTAAAAGAATAATCAAACACAATTGACATTGAAGCATAAATGCTAAATAAATCTTCAACAAACAAACAAAAATAGAGCGAATTACTTTGAGACATACTATCGATTTTCGTGGCATTCCATTTTGATAACTTCTGGTAATGGCAGGATCAATACCCATTGATTAGTCCGTTGGATTCGTTCGACACTTGGCTGATTGATTATCAGTGGAGTTCGAGCACATGCAGGGGCATTTATACCATTGACTAGTTCAAGTTCACAAGGTAACGGACCATTGATGTCTTGCAAGTTGGTCTTTTCGCAGAGAAACTTTTTAGGAGTAATGTCAGTACAAATGTCGCCGAAAAGTGCAAAGTGCAATTCATTTTTTGCCAAATAAGGCTATTTTGTGATGATAGTCTTAAATTGACCTTCAAAATATATCGGGATTGAAAAGAGACGATATAAATCAAATGACTCATAGTATGAGATTGGGAGTGATAAAACGAATGTAATTTTGTTGCCCACAGAATAACAGGAGATTTTTGATTATTTTTTCAAAAGTTGGTATGTTATCTAGTAAAATTGGGCTCGCAAATTTTTCCTGGCCCAATCTTGAACTCAATAGTTTCAGTTCTCCAAAAATTTCTTCGGTTGAAATAATGCTAGAGTGAATTGTTCCAAGACGTGCAAAAATTATTGAATTTTCAACGTCTTGTAATATTGACAGAGTTACTTCGTAGCTGTTCATACTTTGAGATACTGTGTCTACTATGAATTTATGCTGATCTGAATCATATATGGTAATAATTTTATTATTCAGCAATTGATCATTATGACTTGCTGAACAGTTTTATTGAACTTATCAATAAGAGACACTGACAGGGCATTATTCTGTGTGATACTGTTAGTCAATTCTCTTTGATTATTTTGAAGCTCTCGAATTAGATTTTCGAAACGTTCGCCATCATTGGCGTCAAGGTTTCCAGTTATTGATTCGAATATCCACCCAATACCATTTAATATGCCTCTTTTTCCTCGCTTTATATCGGGAAATATATTATGTACCTTTTGTTCTACCTGTCCCTGAACAAATTTTAATGTTCTGAAATAATTCCCTCTACTGAGCGAAGGCCGTGGCAAATGCTTGTTCCGGAAGTTGTTGTATCCAGTATACAACTTCTTCCCGTCGAAGTGATTGTGCACGCGTTAAGGAATACCTCAGTACCGATTGCCGGGTGGCGGTACAAGTCCGCCAACGGGCCACTTTAGGTCTATTTAACATCACTAACATGTAAAAAGAAGGTGGTAGACAAGGACCAGTCGACCGAGGGAGTACCACCCGCTAGCTTTTCCCAGGGTGTCTTATAAATGTCCGCATGTTTCCACACCTAAGCTATGCAGTCGGTTATCTACCAAAACAAAGAAATTAATGATGATGGATCCCTCGAGCACTAAGAACTCCGGACGTAAACTCACTCCACTCTCGGAATGTCCGGGTGGAGGGTGGGCTCGAGGGAACAACATCGAAGATAAAATTTGTTTTTCGAACATCTGCGGGATCAACAGCAACATTGATGCTGTTCATCACTACCTGCAATACAATCGTCCCGCCGTGCTTTTCATTTAGAAGCTATAATATTCTTATGAAAATTACGAATTTATTTTTAACTACCACTCACTTGTTTCAGCCTTCTCTTGTTCGTTCTCGTCTCTCTCAGATTCCTCTGGTTCTAGCATCAAGCTCAGTTCTGGTAATCTGCGCCGTTGTCCTTCGCTGCTTTCAAACTCACTTTCTGAACTACTTTCCTCTGAATCATCGCTATTTTCTTTAACCTCCTGATCCCTCTCTTGTTCTGCTCGAACTTTACTATTTGCCGGTGATTTAGCGTTTGCACGATCCTTGCGCGCACTAGCAGTCCGCGGCTGTGGTGTATGGACAGTCTTAGGTGTTCTAGTCTTACTGGTGCGCGGTGTACGAGCTTCTTTAGAATGCTGCTCATTTGATTCTGAATTGAAGTATAAAAAAAATATACTACCTATGGAATTATCGTTCAATAACGAGATAAAAAAAGCCTGGTTTGGACTCAATTTGTTACAAAGTCTTGATAAAGGCAGATGTTTGTACCAGTATTATTATCACCTAACTGGAACATAAGGGCTATGTAGAGAGTTTTTTGTGCTCTTATTATATTTTCAGTAGCGAGACAATACTTCGTTCTCGGTTATCGAAATCTGTTACTTATGCAAAAAAAGGAGAGCTTATTTCGTAAGGTTATGTTTTCCTTATTCAGCGTTGTTGCCGGTATTCGTAAGGATAGAGAAGTTTAATTGAAATAATTTCAAGTTATAAATATATATTGGTTGAAATCTATCATCATCTAACATCAATTTAGGCAGAGGTCTAAACGAATTAAGTTGTCCTGATTTTTTGTTATATACTGGGTGCGCCATCTATAACTTTTTTTTACCTATAAGTTTGTGTGTTACCATGTGAGTCAAAAGTCATATGGTATGCATAAGTGAACCGCCAAAGGTATGCCATTTATAGTCATGGATTCTTTTACAACAACGCATTTGGTTATCCAAACTTATTACGAAAACGGTCGAAATATAAAAAATACTTTTCGCAAACTTCGCACTAGTTTTGGCCGACCTGGACGCCCTACAGAGCCTGGAATTCATTGGATTGTTAATCGTTTTGAGGGAACTGGTTCAGCTGAAGGTCGTAGACCATACCAACATGCTCATCCAGCTCGTACTCGTGAAAACAAAGCCGCAGTGAGTGAAAGTGTGCGAGAAGATCCAACCACCTCGACTAGGCACCGTTCGCAACAATTGGGAATTAGTGAGACCATTTTACGCCGGATTTTACACATTGATTTACACCTCCATCCATACAAAATCCAACTAACACCAGAATTGAAGCCGGCAGACCATCAACAGCGGCGTGTTTTTGTTAATTGGATGCTGGAAAGAGGACGGATTTTCGGTCAAAGTGCTTTTTTCTGATGAGGCTCATTTTCACCTCAATGGGTACGTAAATAAGCAAAATTGCAGATTCTGGGGGGGCTGAAAATCCACACCAATATCATGAACAACCTCTCCATCCTGAAAAAGTGACTGTTTGGTGCGGATTATGGGCTGGTGGCATCGTTGGACCATTCTTCTTTGACGATGCCGAAGAAAAGCCCATTACCTTCAACGGGGAACGTTATCGCGGCATGTTAGCAGACTTTTTGTGGCCACAATTGGATCGTATTGGTGCCGACGATCTTTGATTTCATCAACACGGAGCAACGGCTCACACATCTCGCCAAACAATCGCCTTATTACACGAAATTTCAAGGCCAAATAATTTCACGAAATTCAGTTGTCAGTTGGTCCCCGAGATCGTGCGATTTAACACCTCGAGACTATTTTCTTTGGGGACTTTTGAAAGGAAAAGTGTATGCTAATGGTCCCCGAACAATTCAAGGCCTAAGGCGCAATATTCGGACTGAAATTGCGGCCACAGACCCGATTATTATGGGAAAAGTCATTGAAAATTTCACACAAAGTCACATGACTGATGTTATTTTTCATACATAAATGGCATATACCAACCTTCATTTATCAATAAAAAAAATCGATTTCACCTCGTAAAAAGCGTGTTGATTTTAGAAACAGAAAAAAAAGTAATAGATGACGCACCCTGTACATGCAATTTGTCATTCTGTCGTTCTATGATTCCAGATCTATCCATTTCTTGACCAGTTTGGAGCAATATTAGCACAAAAATTACCAAAACTTTTCCATAAACAAATTCACAAAGCTTTGTAATTTTGGAGTTAGCCTCACGCAAAGTGACCTACCATAATTGTCAGTAGTCAGTACTGTCAAATTAACACGGTTCACTTTAGTTTTCAACCATTGTTATTTGATGTCTCTGTCAAAAAAGTGACGTCAAGTAGGTTGGCTCTGCACTTCCCAAGCAACGTCGTCAACAGGCATGATTGTACGCGGATTGAAAACATTCAACAAGTTTTAAAGGTACGGGTAAATCTATGATGTGTGAAATATGGCTAATAGGTGCATATAATCATCGTGGTTGGGAGCGTATAGATATATTAAGATCAAAAATCATTTACCATGCCTCACCACCTACAATACCCAACCCCCCAATTTAAAGACCTACATTTTTTTTTTGTAAGATTCGTGGAAATATTTTCAATGCATTGCAATGTAATTTTTTTTCTATTTTCGGGACGTTTGTATAATTCCAGCATCTCTACTTGTCCAGAAAAAATAATTCTCAAGGCTATCTATTCCAAAACGTTAGACCACACATCAAGGCGAAAGGCGACCTTCTCAGGGCGATGACGTAGCGAACGTAGGTTGTTTGAGGAATTTAAATTTGACGTTTGACTCCCTTTTAAAAACTAAACTCAATCGTGACTTGTAGGTTTTACAAAAACTTCCATTTTCATGAAGTTATAGATTAATGTTTTCATGTGTCTGGTTGCCGTACCAGATTCGCAAGATGGCGACAAACAGTTCAGAAATCATAAACTCTGTATTCTGTTGATGATTCTATTTGTATTCAAATGCTTGTTTTTAAATCTGCTATTGAGATTTTTGTTTTCGTTTTATATTTTTGTACATATTTGTTTGTTTTTTTTTGTATGACTTACGACTCCTATGCATTATTTTTATTTTCGATTGGATAATAAAATAAATGAAATGAAATATGAAAAGGTTTCTGTCCAAATAACTACTGACCTTGATTTCCTCGTTGCGGCGTGATGAACTTTTCAAAGTTGTGCAGATCGTTATCGGCGAATATATCCGCCTTAGGGAAGTCCACCTCCTGGAAGACGATATTTTTGAGAGAGAACTCGTTGCTGCAATTCCGGTCGGTACCAGTGGTGGTGCTGCTGGTACTTTCACTCTCCGTCTCGTGGTGTTCTGCGGTAGCTGGGGCATCACCGGGCGGATCTGGAGGCTTCACGAACTGTTCGCTAGACGATCTTCGTTTGCTTCCACCCGAACTGTATACACAATTCTAAGTGAGATTTTGAAATTTGAACCTCCTCAGTTTATATTTTTGAACATGTCACACTATTTTCTACGATAATATGTATTCATTCAATGTACAAATAAAACTACATGAGTAAATAAATATAAAATAAAAACAGGCCCAATAGGACGCATTGTCTGTACATAGACCAATACAAATCGTAAAAGAGGGCAATAATTAGTCACAGTGGATTTAAAAATTACTTGTTTTTCATATAATTGAGTTTATGAATCTCACTCCTATATATAAAATGTAGCCACTTTTTCAAAATTTTCTTGAAATAATTTCAGAAATTTAAATCTTTTAAATCTTTAGGTATAATTTCATAAAATTTGCCACAAATTTTGTACCTTCTAAAATGATTGTATAATGTTTTAGTAGATGTTGACAAACTTATGGCAGTGAGTTTTTGAATATTATTTTTAGAATACTTTCTTGAAAAATATCGAAATTATAGATATGTGATGAACATGCAGATCCCCATGCTAATATATTACCATATGTGAGATGAGGCTCAGTAAGGGTATGTTTGGTACCCAGATACCTTTCTGTAAGTATATTCTCAAGGCATTTAATTTTATACGACACAAATCTAGCTTTCTTTAAAATATAATTGACATGGATGCCCCAACGTAAGTGAGGATCCAATACTATCCCACATTGAGCAGTTTTTGATCATTAATGTTGAAGGAGATATATTTGTAATTTGGCAAATGTTTAACATAAGATGCAAATGGTAAAAAAAGAGTTTTAAACCACCGAATAATTTGACAAAATCATTTTCAATAACATTTGTCAGATGAAACCAGTCATGGCCTTCATGTAATATTGCAGTATCATCTGCAAAACCAGTTATTTTGCCAACGCAATTAAATTGCGCAATATCGTTTAAATATAAAGGGTTTTCCATTAAGGACTTGAAAACTTTCTAATACAACAAAATGTATGTCAATAGGGGAACATTTAGGTGACAAAACAATTAGGCTCATGATTAATGATGAAAAATTTGAAGTAGTGGATCATTTAAATAACTTGGTATATACTTGGATAGTAAACTACTGTTTCACAAGCCTTATCAATACATTTCAAAAATATCAAAAAAGATGAATTACTTCTATAGATTAGAGACTAGAGATTGTGTATAACACTACAATTCTTCCCCATTTTTTATATTGTTAAACCATCTTGTTGGCAGCAAATTAAAACATATCTTCAAAATTACAAATTATACAAAACAAAACTATGAAAATCATTTAAAATAAAACCAAATATGCTAGGATTAAGTTTATGTTAGAAGAACTACAGTGGTTGAATGTAATGAAAAATTTCATGTTATTTAGTTCTCATTTTCATATACAAATTAAAAAATCATTTATTACCACCACATTTAGAAGACTTCATAAAATTAAATAGTCATTATCATAAATACAAAACTAGAGGCAGTATAGATTTTCATCTGCAAAATTATAATAGTAGCATAACTATACTGCAACTATTTAAAACTGTAATGACTCATACGCGTGATCAACACGTGAACAGAGCTCGATCCCGGCTTCCTTCCAGTACAGCCGTATAGCGTACGACATATGTCGTTTCTGTGGATTTGCGGTGGTCAACAGCACAGACAGAGATGGAAATAATGGCTGATTGTTCTCCGCCGGTAGAACCAATGAAATCAAAGACGCGCCTCGACTGGCAGACTCATAGGCGTCGGCAACGCATTGGAACGTGTTTCGTTGAGCGATCGCATATTGTGTGTTTTTATAAGAATTGTTGTGTGATTGTTATTGTTCTGGTTTCTGTGGTTACTGTTTTGGATATACTTAACCATGGAGAGTACAAATGGCACGAGTGGAAGTACTGAAAGCCAGGGAACAAGTAGACGGCTTCGTAAAGCACTGAAGAGGGACGCGAAAGAAATCGTGCTCAACGTGTTCAATTATCTGAACAGAACTATGTCGCAGGGAGATGCACTCGCGCGTTGTGAAAGTATGACAGCCGTTCCAGAGTGGACCATTCGCAGGGTGGTGCATGAAAAGAAGAAAACTGGAGCTACTACTGATCCAAAGTTTAATTATAATTATAGCAAGTCTGTATTTCTAAAGGGAGTATTTAAATTTAAAAAATTAAATAAAGATATGAAGTAGTCTTTGAATTTAAAAATGTTTAAGGTGAAATTAAAAAATCACTTTATGAATACTCAAAATGCATAGTGATGTAATTTTGATATACCAGAATTTACAATTACAGAAAATGAATTGAAAAAAAAATCTGTAAACGAATAATTTTACAAAATTGACATTGTAGCATTATTACTGCTAAATAAATCTTCAACAAACAAAAAACGCAAAACAATGATAATCTACATCCAGTTTGACTAATCGTGAAGTGGCTTTTTTGTGCATCTGCCGGTCCAACTGAATGTGATAAAGGTAAGTCTAATTTTTTTGTATAGCTTGCTCTTATTTCCATTTTTTCTTGGACTCAAAATAATCATTCTCTCAATATACAATACATGAGAAACCACATACCACTGATTGTACTCCGAGCCATGGAGCTGGAAATCAAATGAGTCTTGTGAATCCTGGACGACATCAGCATCTAGGAAATCGTTAGATTCGTGACTCTCATTGCTTCTTACATTTTTTATCACCTTCGGATTATCGTTGCTTGCCCTTTCAATATTAGTTTCTTTTTGAGCATTGTTTGCATCTGTATCATCTCCAGATTCAATATATTCACGGTTGTTGTACACATCAGTGACTATACCCTGCTCATTTACTTGTTGTTCTGTAGACTCATCATCAGAGTCCAAGTCTATAATAGTTTGACTTGTTTCAGTGGGTACATATAAAACGTCATCATCATTATAGGATGGTGCAGACGTAGTACTTCCTGAAATTTAATGAATTTTAGTTCATGTTTTTACAATGGTTTTTTGTTCGCACTTTTCAATGTTCAATATCTGATGTTTCAAATTGAAATGGTATTTCTGTACAAACCTGTAATTGGGAAACTACTAAATGGCTTTACACATATATAAACAATCATCAAGAAATTTTTCAAAATATTTCTTGTTATCTTAGATGTCACTCTGACTCACCAGTCTAAATACAGGGCGTCCAAGAAAAGTATCCTAAGCATTGCGAACTCAATACATGTGGGAGATACAGCTTAGGTTAAATTAGGAAAAAGCTGCGTTCTTTAGGGCGTGTATACATGCCGTTGACGAACATGTAAAAATTTCATGGCTCACTGAGGTATTTGGTAACAAAATTTGCCAAATAGTATTTTTGCGACTTTATTTTAAGAAGTATCAAAAAACTAATGCAACTTTTTTCATTGGCACTTTCTAGGCACTACATTATGGTGTTTCCTACGAATTAAATGATGTATCACATGTTATACTAAGTGACATATAAATCCGAACACCCAGTTTAAATGGTTTTATTTTAATAAAATTTTGTATAAGTACTTAATGAAGCACAATAAGTAAATGATAAAAATTTCAAAATGATTGCACTGCTTTAAAGCCCTTTGACCTTTAATAATGTGTGGATGCACCCTGATGTGCTACGCATTCTCCAACGCGCCTAGGCATGCTTCTGATCAGGTGGTCAATGTCCTCCTGTGGTATCTCATTCCAGGCAACCACCAACTCCTCTCGAAGTGCTTCTAGAGTCTGAGGAGGACGTTGCAAATTGAGCAATCTCCTACCCATCATATCCCACACGTGCTCAATTGGGGATAAGTCGGGAGATCTTGGTGGCCATGGTAACAATGTGACATCATTATGTTGAAAGAAGTCTATTGTGACTCTTGCAACATGTGGTCGGGCATTATCTTGTTGGAAAGTTGGATCTGCCAGGGTGTCAAGATAGGGTAAAAGATGGGGTTCTAGAGCTTCGTGGATATAACGCTGCGCGTTCATGTTACCTCTGATGAAGATTAAAGGTGACCTGGAACCATAAGCTATAGCACCCCAAACCATAACTCCAACAGTGTGATGAACATGTCTTTCAACAAAAAACTGTGGATTCCTCCTTTCACCACGTCGCCTTCTAACCCTGGCACGACCATCGTGCATGCCCAAACAAAACCGAGACTCGTCACTAAAGACAATACTGTTCCATTCCTGATCCCAGAGTGACCGTTGTCTGCACCACTCAAGGCGATTACGTCGGTGTTCTCGAGTTAAAGGGAGGACCCAGTGTGGCCGGTATGAAAACAAGCCAAAACTTCTCATTCGTCGGTAAACACTGCGCATGCCAATAGATCTTCCGTGATCTGCAAACCATTCATTTGCCATGGACCTGGTAGTGGAGAAACGGTCCCTTAAGGCCAATAATCTTAGGCGGCGATCTTCACGGTCTGTTGTTCTACGGCGGCGTCCAGTGCCCCTTGCTCTTTGCGTACGGCCTTCTCGAAGCCATGCCTGACAACACCTAACGACAGTGTCTACACTTCTTTGCACTCTAACTGCAATTGCCCGAAAAGAAAGTCCAGCTTCCCGAAGTCCCACTATACGGCCCCTATCAAACTCACTAAGTTGACGAAATCGTACAGGTCTCCGTACTCTAGGCATCGTAACCGATCGTAAAGGATGTCAAGAACCAAAATCCGCCAACGTTGATTCTATACTGCGGATGAAATATTCATTTTTAGAGCGTTAGTGAATTAAAAAAAAGCAGTATAAAAACCGGAATGTCCAAACTGATAAGGCTGAACATTTTTTCACTTGTTATTTACAGTAAGATAAATACATTCACCAACTTTTATTAAAATAAAACCATTTAAACTGGGTGTTCAGATTTATATGTCACTTAGTATACATTTTTCTTTTCTTGATTATAAAGAAAAATGTGTTTTTATTTTTTATTTTATTCAAATAGGCGTTGCAAACAAATGCTTGACGTAAGATTATGTGATTACTGATAGATCCAAAGTACATAATGATATGATGGGGTAAAATTTTATACAATGATGCTCAATCTGATACCGAGAGTAACAAAAACATTTTTTACATAATTTTTATTTTATTCACAACAGGTGTTCAAATAGGTTGCCATTATTTTCTAAACATCAATATGATCTAACAGTAAACTTTGGAATTGAGTTGCATATGATCCTTATGTTGGATATTGATAGGAATAATAGCACTGTCTTATTAAAATATATATGTTGCCCTTAAATTTGGTCAATATTCTAAATATCACTGTATATGAACTTACCCTTATTGGTTAGATCAACATCAGCCCCATCATGTGCTATGACTTGGCAGCTCTCACTAGATTCATCATCAGATATGAATATTACATGAGATCTATCCCTTTTACTTTTTGCTCTCGTTCTCTTTGCTAGTTCCTTTTTAATTTCAGCCCTCACCTTTTTAGGTGGACGTTTCCTTTTCAGTTTCTTTTTTAATTCATTCACTACCTCTGAATTATCTTCTTTGTCACTATCATATGCCCAGCCTAGAAATAGCACAATGTCAAATAAAAATGCAATCAATTAGATAGAGACAGCACTTCTCCCACTTGAAATAAATCTATTTACAACTTCAGGCATATGAAAATCCTAGCATCACTAATTATAAATGACATATACGAATTAATATAAGGGGGTTAAAAACGAAGGCTGGGATATTATTATAAAAATGTTGACCATTCCAAACATCTGTTTGGCATCGGACTCGAAAAACAATAGAAAACAAGGTTAACTCTGCTGCCACTAAACCGATTTCCAAAACCCACACAGTATTTTGTCCTTGGTAGGTAGTAAATTTTAGAAACACAGGCCTCCAATAAAATCATGAAAAGTTTGTAGAATTGAGATCTGTTATCATTAAGAAAATTTAGCATATGATCAATATTTAATCAAAGTGCAGGACTCCATCTGTGGCAATGACCAATATTTTTGGAATAATTATAATGTAAAAAATCAGTTTATGGCTGCCTATTGGAATGTTATTTAATAAGGGTACATACAATGCTCCAAAAGATATTGTGAATAGTTTTGCCATTTCTTTTTGTAGTGTTTTTGCTCACCTAGTTCAGAAGGTTGTAGTGTAAGTAATGACACTGTGAGTAACCATTATGGAATAAACTGATCTCAAATATCTCAACAAGAAATTATATTTGCCTCAAAAATAAACTAACTACTGGTCCAGATTTCACACTGTCAGCATAACTTTGTTGCAAAAAGATCAACGACGACAAATCTGATGTTATTAACACAATATGTATCAGATTGTGTTGATAAACGTGGCCAAGTAGATGTATATACTGATTTTGCCAAAGCCAGTTGGATCATGCAGTTCTTATAAACCCACTTAAAAATTATGGTGTAGATCATTCAGCTTTGCTAATTTAATCATATCTATATGAGAGTGTGAAATGGTAATGTTAAACATAGATACAATATGTTTATTTTGTATTTATATTTTTTCAAGAAAAAATGAGACTTAATTATAACAGTGCAACATGAGTATTTCATTTTGCATGTCTGTAAATTTCAATTAATTGAAAAGTTCATACCTGGAACATTATACACGTAATGATTGATAGTAATATTGTTTTGTATTGGACTTGTGGCAATAGGATTGTTCTGCTGCTGGTTTTTCTTCTCTGCACCCTCCGCATGCCATGATTTATCACTGTTCCCACTTGAAATCACCCTCTTAGCTGGCTTTTCAAAGTACCTAGGTTTGGTACTAGGAACATTATGTTTCTCATTTATATTTTTTTCCATTGGAATGGTATTAGCAGTAGTATTTGTTGGCTTACAGTCTTCTGTTTCTTTGCTATGGAACACTTGGCAATATAGCATAGTTTCTAATTCTGCTAATTTCTCTGAATCCAATTCCTCAATGTCCTAGAAAAGAGTAAAAAAACAGCTGAGTATTGAAGGACTGTTTAAGCTATTCTCCAAAATGCCCAAAAATATTTTGCATTTTGAGGTTCACATACAATTTCCATTTTCACAGCAATACTTATACCCATACAGGCACAGCTTTCAAATCTTCTGGTGGCATATATTAATCATTGACTGGAGGTAAATTACCAATGGTTTATGTCAATCAAGACCTAATCAAGGAAGACTTGATTAGAAACTTACATATACTGTTATAAATGGTGATGCTTCTATCGAGATTTAGATATTTAATATAACAGTTACTACCAAGAAATACTTTTGTTTAACTCATTAGTAGAGTCGTATTGTTAGATATTTTGATCTGTGAATATCAAGAAAATAGGATTTTGAACAATGGCCGGTACGAGTCCCAATGCGCTTTTGCATATCAGCAATCAGGATTATCTAAATAAGTGACACATAGATAAACCACTGATGCCTCACCATTTTATTCCTGTTGAGAATATCTTGTGAAACTAATCATATCGAAAACTACATATTTAAGCAGTGTTTTTAATTTACTGCAAAACCACATTTTCCAAAAATATTCACGTGTTGAAATGTCAGCGTCAGCTGTCAATAAATTAACAATTGACAAATAGAGATGAGTGAAGTGGAACGGTTCTTTATCTTTAACTGATTCAATTTTTCGGTCTCTCACATCCTCATCCGTTTTCAACTTGTCAATGTCAATGAGCTGCTGATGCGGCAAAATGAAAACACGAAATATTTGAAAAAGCCAACAAAATAAATCAAAATTGAAAATGGTATATTAACTCTTCATTATAACTTATTATTGGGTAATATTGTATATTTTTAGGATATCAACGTATTTTCCAGCGAGGATTTTGATACAAAAGCATGGGTTAACGAGATTTTAAAGAACCCTGAACACCAGAATGATGTGAGAAACTTTAAATTCTTTAACTTGATAGTGGTCGTTTGTTATTAGTATCTATAGGAGAATATCACATTTATTCCCTATGATTCACATTTTTGTTTTATTTTGTATTGTTATGATTTGGTTTTCTCACAGAAATGAGAACCTTCAACAAAATAATAATGTTTCATTCTTCAGAGCAACTACACAATGTCTCTTGTGACCAAGCTACAGCTGTATGTGCAGCAGTTAAACGCCACATTGGAACAGACTAGCCAACAGGTACTGGGCTCTTTACCCAAGATTATGAGGGACACGTCCTCTTTGCAGCAGGAGGCTGTAACACTGAAACATAAGATGGCAACAGTAAAAGGCGAGATAGAGCAAATTGAATATGATACTGGCAAGTCCATTGATACTATTGAAAAGTTGGACAGTCTCGTGAGCAGACTAAATGCAGCTAAACAGGGACTACATGAGAGTGACAACTGGACTATATCAGGTAGTATATTTCTCTCTTACCACAAATCGATTTCAATTTACTATATATAGGGTGTATGACAAGTTGATGTTAAGCTGGAAATGTGGGATAATAGTTATCAGAAAAATATAAAGAAAAAATTGGAAAAATCTATACCCTGTGATGAACTTTTAGTTCCCAATAATAAAAATTTGCCGAGTCAACATTTAAGAAAAGTTGGTTACATGAATCTATACATCTCACACGAATGGCATGTAGAAAATCCACATTTGATGAGGCAAGATCACATATACTAAGTGACATATAAATCCGAACACCCAGTTTAAATGGTTTTATTTTAATAAAATTTTGTATAAGTACTTAATGAAGCATAATAAGTAAATGATAAAAATTTCAAAATGATTGCACTGCTTTAAAGCCCTTTGACCTTTAATAATGTGTGGATGCACCCTGATGTGCTACGCATTCTCCAACGCGCCTAGGCATGCTTCTGATCAGGTGGTCAATGTCCTCCTGTGCTATCTCATTCCAGGCAACCACCAACTCCTCTCGAAGTGCTTCTAGAGTCTGAGGAGGACGTTGCAAATTGAGCAATCTCCTACCCATCATATCCCACACGTGCTCAATTGGGGATAAGTCGGGAGATCTTGGTGGCCATGGTAACCATGTGACATCATTATGTTGAAAGAAGTCTATTGTGACTCTTGCAACATGTGGTCGGGCATTATCTTGTTGGAAAGTTGGATCTGCCAGGGTGTCAAGATAGGGTAAAAGATGGGGTTCTAGAACTTCGTGGATATAACGCTGCGCGTTCATGTTACCTCTGATGAAGATTAAAGGTGATCTGGAACCATAAGCTATAGCACCCCAAACCATAACTCCAACAGTGTGATGAACATGTCTTTCAACAAAAAACTGTGGATTCCTCCTTTCACCACGTCGCCTTCTAACCCTGGCACGACCATCGTGCATGCCTAAACAAAATCGAGACTCGTCACTAAAGACAATACTGTTCCATTCCTGATCCCAGAGTGACCGTTGTCTGCAGCACTCAAGGCGATTACGTCGGTGTTCTCGAGTTAAAGGGAGGACCCAGTGTGGCCGGTATGAAAACAAGCCTAAACTTCTCATTCGTCGGTAAACACTTCGCATGCCAGTAGGTATTCCGTGTTCTGCAAACCATTCATTTGCAATGGACCTGGTAGTGGAGGCCAATAATCTTAGGCGACGATCTTCACGATCTGTTGTTCTACGGCGGCGTCCAGTGCCCCTTGCTCTTTGCGTACGGCGTTCTCGAAGCCATGCCTGACAACACCTAATTGAAGACATATAATTTTTATATTATGTTATGATAAGATTGCCACCTGATTCAATTGAAAGCTATCTATTTCACTAACAACGAGGATTACATATTCATCATCATTGTGCGACTATGAATGCGATAATGTGCCATGATGGTACTCTTATTGTAAAGCTATGTGCCTGTCTTATTATATTGCCTCTATCTTCCAGTGAATGATCTAGAAGAGGTATTTGATACAAAGAATATAGAGACAATATCTAGCAAGATTTTGAGCATGCAGAATTCTCTCAAGTTGTTGGTCAACATTTCTGACTATGAAGACAGGAAGCTGCAGTTGGAGGGGTTGAAGAATAGACTTGAGGCAATTGCCAGTCCTTCAATAGTACAGGCTTTCAACACTAATAACTTAGGTAATTTTTCTCATACGTTTTTGATGTTACACAAGCATGCTATACGAGTATATAGTAAAAGCAACATGTCAATTAATTCTTTCGTTTTTGTATGTAAAAGATTATGTTTCAGAACAATCACAGATGTACATGAAGATATTTGCCTCTATTGGCCGAATGCCTCAACTGATAAAGTACTATCATAAGTGTCAAAAAGATGTATTGTTGAAAAAATGGAGAGATCAATTGGAACTTGAACAGGACTATTCCACCATTGAATGGATTCATAATTACTATAGGTAGGTGTAAGTCAAAAGGCATAGATAACATGTCGCACCGCAATAGCAGTCGGTCTTTCTGGACGCTGACCAGGCAGATTGCTAGGAACTTCTCACAGAGTTGCCTTCTAGTACTTACGTGCCAGGGTGGAACTATTGTAACCGACTTAAAGGCTAATGCGGAAGTCTTGATTCAAAACGAAGTAACATGCATTAGACTGTAGATAAGACCGTAAGATGGGTGCTCTTGTCGTTTGACATCGACAAAGCTTCTGGTCTGGACTTGAGTTCTGCTGTTCTACTGAAGGGATGTGCAGTGGAGCTTCGAATTCGAATTAACAAAGGGTTCTGCCTGCACGGCTGCTTGGGTGTGGAAAAACATTCGCCTTTCACCAACATAAGGAAATGTTAAATTCATAAACTACTAATGATATGAACAATAAAAATGTTTAGCCGTTATTATTTACCAACAAGGAAAGATCTCATAATTACACTTTTGGATGCTGCCCCTAACTTCAACTAATATGAACTAACTAAAGCACTGATCTCACCAGAAGCAACTGGCATCCATAATTCCACTCGACGCTTGTCTTCAATTGTGGTAATCGAATAAAATCACGTTTTTAGGGTTCTTAGAGTGATTATGTTAAAGCAGCAGCTTTGAAAATCTCCCATAAAAGCTTGTTGCTACCAGAAGTGTGTCAGGCAAATAAATAGTGTATGAGGAATTATCAAACTCAACGAATATGTTTACATGTTACTTTCCGTAGACGCTCATGGCTTATATACAGACTTTTCAAAAAATGTACCCCTACTTATTTTTTGAACGGGTGAAGTTAGCAGACTGAAATTCAGGGCGATGTAATTGATGCACAAATACAGGGTGGTCCATAAGTCCTTTGAAATTTCAGATTTGAATAAAATTTAACGGGTGAGCGTGAGCGGCGCGGGCGAGGTGGGGGCAGTATCTTCAGTGTCTGGGAATTCAGTCGCCATGGAGTGTTTCACTGGAGCGGATCGTGCTTTTTGTGTGCGCGCGTTTTATCAAAATAATGATTCGGCAACCATTGCGGGGCGTAAATATCGAGAATACCACAATTTACACAATTTTACAAAGTGTCCAATAGCTCAAACGATTAAGAACAGGGTTGCTAAGTTCGACGTTAGATAAACAGCGGTGGGGTCGACCAAGGACAACTCGTATTGAAGAAAACATCAACATTGTGGCACAGTCTGTTCGTCAAAATCCTACCCAGTCTACTCGTAAGCGTTCCAGTGCACTAAACGTACCCAGAACATCTTTACAGCGGATTTTAAGGAAAGATTTACGTCTGCACGCTTACAAAATTCAGTTAGTGCAGGAATTAAAAGATAATGACGCTATTCAGAGACTAAACTTTGCGAATGAAATGTTGAATCGATTTTCTTCGCTCAATAATGTGTTGTTCTCGGACGAGTCACTCCATTTAAACGGGCATGTAAATAAACAAAATTGCCGTTATTGGAGCCCCGAAAATCCAAGGCGTAAGCATCAGAAGCCCTTACACAGCCCTAAAGTTACAGTTTGGGCTGCTATGTCAGCGCATGGCATCGTAGGCCCTTATTTTTTTGAGGACGACAGAGGCCGCGCATTAACTGTTACTTCGGAGCGGTATGTAGCAATGATAGAAGAGTTTTTGACAGCAGCGTTGCAGAATTTTCCAGGCTATAATACGCAGACCTGGTTTCAACAGGACGGAGCAACTGCCCACACCTCCAACACTTCTATGCCCGTCGTCTGTCAACTTTTTCCCAGCAAAGTAATTTCTCGAAGAGGAGACATTTCCTGGCCACCACGTAGTCCAGATTTGACCCCAATAAACTTCTTTTTATGGGGCTACCTCAAGAGTAAAGTGTACGACACCACTCCGCGATCAGTTGATGTTCTGAAAGAAAATATCCGAAGAGAAATGGCAAGCATTACAGTGTTGACTTGCCGCGCAGTCATCGACAATTTTAGACGTCGTTTATATGAGTGCCGTGATCGTAATGGATTGCATTTAGACGATGTGATTTTTAAAACATAATTCCCATTCAATAAAGATGATAACACAATATAATAATTCTTCATAATGTAACTAGTTTGGTTTTATTCCTTTTTTTCCAGCTCAAAGGACTTATGGGCCACCCTGTACTATACTTTGACGTAAAAGTGGCAGTGGAACCATGTAATATAAAATGTGTGTCTTCCAAAATGGCGAACTAGCAAGCTGTCAAAGTTGTACGTTTTTGTACATACAACTCGCTTCCTAAGAATAATAAAGACGTTCGTGACGGCCACTTTCCGGGCTCCTGCTGTTCAATTATTTCTCAAGAGAATATACTCTGAGTGTTGGACCTTCTCTGGAAAAATGGCCCCATTCTTTCTGAATTTTGAACAAAAGTTGTTTGAACAGAGGAAATATTTTATTAGCCCTTGGTGTTGAGAATCTGGAGAGCAGCAAAAAACTCTAGCTCAAAACTCAAAAATATATTGTTACTATAGAATAACACTTAAAAATGCTGGTTTTCTAAATTTCACTTTAAAATTCAATTTGTTGCTATTAAACTATACATATTTGTAATAGATTTCATGTTACATATGTTTGCAATTAAAACTCTTCAGTATTATCATTTAAATATTGCAATTTGAACTGCGAACATATCATACCACACCAGTCCTCCCTTGCTTTATCATCAACCTTAAGATAAGGCGGCCTGTTGCTTGACAATAGCTTCAGTGGGAACCCTGAAGCAACACAACCGAAGTCGAGATCGGGATGAAGACAAGTTGCCGTTGATTTTGGTGAGCACAGTGGCTAAGTGTAGCTATTTTTCAGCACTTTGTTATCGAGCTGGCACCAACAGAGCCGCTGGTGTAGCCAGGTATTTCCAAGCAACGTTTCATCTGCCAAGACCTTGCTTGACGTGTACGTTGACGTCCTCAATTCTCTGGATCCCAGTCTAAAAGAATGCTGTGATGCCGCTTTGAAACAAGTGCCTGACAAGTTAAACTTCCTCATCGAAGTCAAAGAGAGCGCCAAACATTTTGCAGATAGTTTGCTGAAGGTCATTGATCAGAGTCAAGGTAATTCATACATTAAATACTAATAGTATAAAAAGGTGAATTTTGTGTTTAAGTGAATAGAAAGAAATGTCAGCTCTTTTCTCAGATCAGCCGAAAATCGATGTTAATACATTTTCTGTAAACTAACGCATTTGTCTAAATATCTTCAGAAATTTTACTAAATATCACAATCGAAACCAAATTTCTTGTTTTTAGAAGCTCTATTTTGAAACTGTGTATATGGAAATACTATTAATTGCAGATAAAATGCCAAAAGAGAGCATTCAGCAATTGGAGCAAGCGATTTATGCTCATTTGGTGCCTTATGTGAGCAAATATAGTAGCTATGAACAGTCTGCTCTATTGAAAAAACTGTCACAGATAAATTTGAAGAAAGAACCTCCTGCCAGTGAATGGGTGCAGTCTCTCAGTCTCAGTATTCCACAGGTAGCGTGATAATCCCAATTCAGCTTCAAACAAACTGCCTTTAATCGATTCCTTTACATTATACATAAAACATACAATAATAAGCATAGATAAGCCACTATAATTTAGAAAATCGAATCGGTGGAGTATTACCATGATGGCATTTTTTTATTTCTGGTAACCAAATTATTGATATTTTCAAATGTGTTTATTCAAAAGATGTTCTGGTTTCTTATACACTAAAATTTTATGAACTACACATAAACGTTGGTATTTTTTGGAATTTTCCATGTACACATGGTTTATATATATATATATAAATTTCCGTATACCTAGAGAAAAACGATAAAAAGAATTGTATAATCGTTGTAACTTGTCTTTATCGCTTTTTATTACAGCTGGGCCATATACTCTTGAGCAGTATGAAATTCTTGAAATAATAAGAGCATCGCACAGTAGCATTTTCAGTTTACTGTTCAATATATCTCTTTGAGAATATATTTGCTTGCGAATATTTTATGATTATGAACAAAATGATTTAATATAGAAATCAGATTTTAATTCATTTTTGCTAATTGTTACAATTGCTAACGGAATTTTATTAATTGCTGGCTGACAAGTATAGATGAGAAAGAAAATATTGTAAAAATATTGTTAGACTTCAAAAGGGCATTTGAGACTATAGATAGCAAAAAATTGTTAATGAAATTGCGTCACTATGGCTTTAAAAGATCCTTATTACACATTTTACAAAATTATTCAGTAAATAGAAGTCAAAAAACTAAAAGTTGGAAATATTATGTCAAGTGTTCAAAATATATCAGTAGGGGTGCCACAGTGGAGTAAATTAGGGCCGTTACTATTTATTATTTATGTAAATGATATCTCTGATATTTTAGAACACTGCAAAATTCAAATATTTGCGCACGATACACTTATATATATATATATATATATATATATATATATATACAGGGTGTCCGCAAAGTTGGGGTTTTCCTTTACACGACGTGTAGATCTTGAAAACATAAGAAATTTTTCTTAGTACCATATACACCAATGTCTTGAGGGAACCGAGATAAAAGGCTCTGCAACATCAAAAATATCTTAATACCGTCCTGTAGCCGCGACATCACCGACTGGTACAAGGTCACTGGCTCAACTCGACGACAGAACTGGGTCGGGTCAGTGTGTCAGGTCAGTATGCAACCTTCAACCGACGGTTACGGTCACGCGTGTAGAGGTAATCGCGTAGTCGAGAATCCCTCAACAAGCACTAGAGACGTGGCTAGAGAAGTGCAAGTATCAAAAACTAAAGTCTGGCAAACGCTGCGTGAAGAGGGGCTGTATCCGTTTCACGTCCAACGTGTACAAGCCCTTCAATCTGACGATTTTCCAGCAAGAGTGCGGTTTTGTGAGTGGTTGTTGCATCAACATGACAATAATCTGGACTTTTTGAAGTGTATATTGGTGACAGACGAATCTACGTTCACGCGTAATGGGGTGAATAACTTTCGCAACACTCATGTTTGGTCAGTATAAAATCCGCACGTTGTCCGTCGGGCACATTTTCAGCAAACATGTTCGGTGCATGTTTGGGCTGGCATGGTGAACGGTATGCTCATTGGGCCATTTATTCTCCCAAATCGATTGGACGGGATGCAATACCTAGTCTTTTTACGCAACATTTTGCCTTCCTTGTTAGAAGATGTGCCATTAAGTGTAAGACAATCAATGTGGTTTCTGCACGATGGTGCACCGGATCGGAGGTAATGGACCCGTAGCGTGGCCTCCGCGATCTCCAGACTTAACACCATGTGATTTTTTTCTTTGGGGAGAAATGAAACGCTTAGTGTACAAAACTGAAGTGCATACGGTTGACGAACTTCGTCTCAGAATTGAACAAGCTGGTGCTTTCATTCGGGGGAGGGACTCCATTCTCAAAGCCTGCACAGATGCTTGGCTACGTCGTGCACGCACCTGTGTTTTTGAATCAAACGGCGATAACTTCGAACAATACCTATAAAGTACTTTTACCTAAAAACTGAAAACGCGGCAACGCCGTCTCATTTGTTACCTCTGTTCGTGGTCTGCTGATTTCATTTTCTGTTGGAGCGGTATGAATTCGGGCAGAGACGTACTTAGCCCTTCTCGGCAACTGGAGAGTGAGTACTTTTTCCTTTATTGTTTTTTACTTGGTCGCCCTCGTTTCACTACACATAACCTTTGTTATTTCAAGGGTAGTTGTTTCTGAAAAGGAAAACCCCAACTTTGCGGACACCATATATATATATATATATATATATATATATATATATATATATATATATAACACAAGCATTTGGTCACTGCTTTAGAACTGTTAAATAGTGATATTAAAAAAATTATGAACTGGTTAAATGTCAATAAACTTAAATTAAACACTAATAAAACAAAATGTATGTCAATAGGGAAACATTTTGGTGGCAATACAATTAGGCTCATGATTAATGATGAAAAAATTGAAGTAGTCGTGTCATTTAACTATGTGTGGATAGTAAGCTACTGTTTCACGAACATTATGAATACATTATTTCAAAAATATCGAAAAAGATAAATTACTTCTATAGAGTTTCCCATAATCTTAGTATGTATTCCAAAAAAATTGTGTATAACACTATAATTCTTCCCCATTTTTTATATTGTTCATCCATCTTGTTTACAGCAAATGAAAACATATTTTCAAAATTACAAATTCTACAAAATGAAGCTATGAGAATCATTTTAACACAAAAAACAAATATACTAGGATTAAGTCTATGTTTGAAGAACTGCAGTGGTTGGATGTGAAAAATTTCATATATTATTTAGTTCTCGTTTTCATATTCAAATTAAAAAATCATTCATTACCACCACATTTAGAGAACCTCATAAAATTATCATTATCATAACTACAAAACTAGAGGCAGTATAGATTTTCATCTGCAAATTTGTAATAGTAGCATAACTAGTAAATCTATATTTCCAAAAGGGAGTATTTGAATTTAATAAATTGAATAATGATATTAAACAAAATTCGAATTTAAAAATGTTTAAGGTGAAATTAAAAAATCACTTTATGAATAATCAAATTACATAGTGACGTAATTTTAATTTTAATAGACAAGAATGTAAAATCACAGAAAATAGATTGAAGAAAAATATTTAACCGAATCATTGTACAAAAATTGACATTGTAGCATTAATGCTAAATAAATCTTCAACAACAACATAGATTTTCATTATTTTAGATTAATTCGCATTTCGTGTCAGGTTATGGGCTGCTGATATATTGAAAAATGAGTCCAGATCGTTGCAGTATATTTGTGTACAATCTGCTTAGTGATGAATTTTGATATTATCAAAAAATGATACAAAAAAATGGATTTGTTTCTTCGTTAACAGGTGATGGACATGGCACGAGAAGCAAAGAAAGATTGTTCACTACTGACAGAAGGTTGTGGATATGCAGGCTTGTTGGTCGCATTGAGAGGATTCTTTTGGGAATATGCTTCTTTATTTCAAGCTGCATTGAGGCACATTGAGGTAATTGTGACGTCAGTGAATGACATCATTACAGATTGCCTTCTATAACGTCAACATATTGCACCAGAAGATACCCAATTCGGTTGGAAGCAGCGGCTAAGCGAAAACTTATGCTTACGTGTCGACCACCGTCTTTTGGTGCCAGTGTTGTCACCTCTCACTGTTCCGTAGGTTATAGAGTTGAGAAATTACGAAGTCTTAGGAATAACTACGATGGAGGTATTGGGGTAATCTCTCCTCGAAAGAATAAACAATTTTGGACATATTTTTGGATAATACGTGCATTAATGATATCTGCGAATTTTGGACGAGTTTTCAGTTTTCCCTCTTTCACCAATGTGTGCATGTTGTGAATATAGCCACTATTTTAGGCAGAACACGACAGTAGGAAGCAACAAGAAGACTGGACCACATTCCAGATATGTTTCAACTTATTGCAAAATGCAGGAGAGGTTCTATTGAAGATACAAGATCTGGAGAAAGACCTCACCGAAAGCATTCTAGAGTTGAACCAGCGAAAAAGTAGTGGTGACGTCGTCGATTTCAAGCACCTGCTTTTGAAAGATGCCGATTTGAAAGAATACGAATCCCTGGTGAAGTGCGTCACTGAAGGTATAATATGTTTGTTTACATTATCGAGAAATACCACTGAAGAAACGTTCATTTTCAGGTACCCAGCTTTCGTTATTGGACCATGTAACAAGCGAGTTCAGCAAGTTATGCTCGGCCATTCATCAAACCACCTATCAGGTTGTTTTTGCCCCAATCGCCTCAATTTTGGACGTGGTACAATCTCCAGATACCTGGGCACAACTTACAGCTTCACATAACGCTGATTTGCCAGACTATAGTTTCACGCCACAAGAATACATTACACAGGTAAACAAAAATATTTCTGGACTCAAGACCATACTCAACTTCGCTAGAAAGGCGAGGCTTGAGGTCTAAGGAATGTAGAGGTGCAAAGGGGCCGTTTAAGCGGCCTATGCGCTGGCCCCTTGTGGTGGCCGGAATGCCTCTAAATGCTCGACCATAACATTATTTCCGACTGTTTGGTTCTTGATTCTAACGGCATATCTGACCACAAAATGGTATCGTGCACTCTCTCCATTCCTGATTTGAAAAATAAACAACGGTTTGTAACTGTAAGGAACTTCAAGTGCTTCAACGAAGAATATTTTCTAAGTGACTTAGCTTCTGCAAATTTAGACGACTTATTTTTTATGAACCATATAGATGCTAAAGTTGAGTTCCTAACAAATACACTGATGAGAGTTTATGATAAACATGCTCCTGTAACTACTTTTAGAGTAAACAAACCACCTGCTCCATGGCTATCTCCCCGCCTACGTGACGTTCTTAAAGAAAGAGATATTGCCCATACTACATATAAAACAAATAAAACTGTAGAAAACCTAAATATTTATAAGCAAAAAAGAAATCACGCGCTCACTCAGGCGAGGAAAGAGAAAAGAGCATATCTACAATTTTTATCTGAACAGAATGACGAAAAAAAGGTATGGATTGGCTTAAAGCAGCTTAATATACATTCTCGGACATAAACCCCTCTTCCAGATAATCTATCTGATCCAAATGAAATCAATGACTATTTTATGTCCGTTTACAGTACAAATAATGTCTCGGAAGAATTATGTCACCTATACAAAAATCGTCACTTCTTTCCGCCTGATTCTTTTTCATTCAGAATCATTGATCCTTCAGAAATTCTACAAACTATTAAATCTCTTAAATCAGATGCCAAAGGAATAGATGGTCTTACGCTAACTATGGTAAAGGTAAGCCTACCCGTTATATTTTTCCACTTAGTTCACATTATCAATCTATGTCTTGAAACCGGTTACTTCCCTAAAATTTGGAAGCAAGCACTGATAATACCTATAGGAAAAACTTTGAAACCCGGTCTCCTATCAGATCTTCGACCAATCAGTTTACTACCTATTTTGTCAAAAATCCTTGAAAAGATTGTACAACTTCAACTTACATCATACATTGAAGTACATCAGATAATCCCACCTAATCAATCGGGATTTAGAAAACATTATAATACAACATCGGCTTTAATAAACATATGCGACAACATCTTTCGTGTTCTCGACAAAAAAATGGGTTTAGCTTTAATATCAGTCGACTACTCTAAAGCCTTCGATAAGATAGATCATAAACTTTTATGTGCTAAGCTACGTTCTGTTGGTTGTGATGAGGTTGTAATCAAATTTTTTGAAAGCTATCTTAAAAACAGGACTCAATGTGTTTCAGTGAAGGATATTACATCTGATGTCACTCGCATACCTTCAGGAGTGCCTCAGGGTTCCATTTTGGGACCTCTTTTGTTTTTAATCTGTACATTTGACTTATCTAGATCAGTTTACAACTCTGATATTCAATCGTTCGCTGATGACATCCAGCTCTCGCATTGTTTCGGTATAGAAGATATACAGAGCACTGTCCAAGTATTACAAGCAGATATTGATAGTCTATGCAAATATTCAGCAGATCACAACCTCAGTATAAACCCGGAAAAATCTAAGATTTTATTGTTTTGTTCAGACAGCTCTTAAATGTGAACATAGACAATACGCAGTTCGAGCTCACCAATAGCCCAAAAATATTGGGTGTAGAAATTGATACAAAATTAAGATTTACCGAGCATGTAAAAATCTGACTCAAAAAACCTATGCACGTTTACGCAGTCTTTATTCAAACAGATATCTGCTAGACTTCAAAATGAGGAAAAAACTTTGCGAAACCTTCGTTGTGTGTATATATATATATATATACACATGTATTGTATATATTATTTAATAAAGACGTTTATTTTTATTATTATTATTATTATAAAAAGAAACTGTAGGAGTTCCTGTCAGGGGGAGAAGGAAGGAGATTTAAATTTTTGTTATACATGTTCGTAGCTAAATTTTATTCTTAGAAGGGATAACTTGTGCTAAACATAATCCTTTACGAACTGATCGCAGCCTTGCGTGGGAAGTACATAGTCTTACTTGCCGCCATTTTTTAAACTTCATTCCAATGTTTTTCATGAATAATCCGATCCATTTCATCATCATTGGTCATTTGCAGATCGGCCAGTATTTGATGACTCTCCCCCAACACCTGGAACCGTTCCTGTTCAAAGAGAATCCGTCGCTAGCATGCGCTTTGAAGGCTACAGACCAAGAGTACGACGTGATATCCGAAAATAATGAAAGCTCGCTGGCACATACTTTCCTGGCGATCGTTGCTAGGGGTACTTGTCAAGGTTTCACTGACAGAATTTTGTCCATCTGTCAGCTAAGTCAAGCGGCCAGCAAGCAGTTGGCACACGATATCAGTAAGTGAATTTTTTTAAACTAATGGAAACACACGGCATTGAATAAAAAAGTAATAGTAGTAGAAAGATTTATTTAGCACGTTTGGCTACATGAAAAGAATAATTATAAACAATTTAGAATTAGTAAATTCAAGTCATATGATGTAAATGCTGGGCAAGCTGTAATTGTAGATTTAACAAGTGATTCCTCAATTTTACTTTGAACTTTGTCAAAGTCTTCTGGACTTTTATCTCTGTATTTTTCATTATATTTAATTAACTCATGATGGAATGAAGATTTTTAGCATTTATTAACTTTTTGGACATTGAATGGAAGTAATCTTTGTTTCTGGCATTATGTAAATGATGGTCGGCATTTGATGATGTTAAATTAGTTACATGGTGGACATAGGTATATTATTTTTTACTTTATAAATGAATATTACAAGATGTGATCAAATGTTTCAAACTGAGCCGTTTTTATTTATCAGCTAAATATAGAATAGTCGATGATAGTATTGTAATTTTTCTGCTATATGAACTCAGACATCCATAAACTTTTGATAAATATCCCACTTTACTACTAAACTTGTTTGTAATTTTCTCATAATGAATATCAAATTACTTTTATTAATCTAACTGATTTAGCATTTAGTTTTCTAGGCCGACCACTTCTCTTAGAGGCTTCCAAGATACCTTTTTGTTTATATTTGTTCAATATTGCCCAAACTGCTTTACGCTTCAGCTTCAAATTTTTGGCAATGTCGACTTGACGTTGACCATCTTTGTATAACTCAATGATCTTAGTTTTCCCATCGAAAGAAATTCCTGGACCACGCGGCATGGTCTTAAAATCACTCAACTCATGCCACAATACTTGATGAACACAAACTAATCCTCTTCTGACACGAAACTGTACATTGTAGGAAAAAAAACAAAGAATTTAGTTTTTCTACCAATAACGCATTTGGAGCAATGAAGTATGAATCCGTTTTCTAAATGTATTTAGGTAAATATTCATATTTGTCTGTACCTACTTTTGTCGATTACTGTATATCACGGAAAACCATGTCATTCATTTCCGTGCGTCCGTCTGTCTGTCCGCTGACAGCTATTTATTTTTTACAGACTATTTTAACAACATCCTGGAAGAGCTGGGAGTTCCGTTGACAGAAAGCCTGCAACAGTTGTCTGTACTATTAAAAATACCATCAGAACAGTATCAAGCTCAGAGCCAAGGTTGCTCTGCAAGGCTCGTGGCTGCCGTCAGGCAAATGAGGAATATTAAATCAGGCTCCACGTAACCACGATCTTAATAAGGTGCTTTGCATAATAAGATTAGAACGTAAAAACACGGTATTATTTTATATTTATATATGTTGGAGAAATTAATAATCCAATTGCAGATTTATTTATTTTATAAACAGACCGTGAATCATGATGATAGTTTGTGCATTTGAAAATATATTTCTGCATTAAATTTGTGCTTAGTTTCCATCCCCAAAGCTCGAGTATGAAACAGGGGCGTAGCTATCCTAGGGCAAACCGGGGCAGTGCCCCGGGGCCCCGGCTTATAGGCTATGCGCCTCAAGAATATTGTTTTTAAGCGCCGATCAGCAATTAATTCATTAAGTACTAATATAACCTAGGTATACTAAAAAGAAAAATGAATTATAAATATAATGATAAATAATGTTTATTTTTTAAAACGCTACATATTTGAGGAAAACGCTTGCGTTCCTAAATGTATGTAGCTATAATCCGTCGGACCGCGACGGGCTTGGCACCACCGCCTTAATATTACGTCTCGTCTTTGGGGATTCCCCGATCTATTGTTTTGATGATTTTAACTACCCAGCCTGCCCTATAAGATATTGATATGTGTCGTAGTCGTGCCGTGGTGCCCGGCGCGGTGTAAAATAACATTACTATATTTGTATTGTGACTATTGTATCTCGTTATAATAATGTACCTATTAGAAAAAAAGGTAAGTGTAAGTTATATTACTTAATGAATAAACGGCTCGATTTTAATTTGTGCGTAATTTTGTTTGTAAATGTACATTTGTCCATTAGCTTGCTCAGTAAAGGCGCCCGCAGAATTTCCGTAACGTAAGACTTAAGTTTCATTTAAGACAGATTAATAATTCTGATAAGGTGATTTATAAAGTATAGTCAAGACTTAAGCCTTAAGGCATGAGAAATTACGTTACAGCTTAAGGCTTAAGTCTTATGTTACGGAAACTCTGCGGGCACCTTAAACCCGACACTAAATTCGAAAAGTTTCTTAAAGACTAAAAATGATCTATTGACTGTTTCAAAAATATTGACTAATTTTTTTTCTCTTAAGTATATAGTATATCGAACAACTTGTTAGAAATGACGAAAAAAAATCCTGTAAAAGTTACAGCTCTTAAATATTAATATTTTCAGGTGCCGCATCGCAAATTTCAATTTCCCATTTGATTAACATGGGAAAAAATTGTGTTCAACTTTTGAATTTTTTTCTCATTACTAAATTATCATACGGATGAGTTCATAGTTTACTCTTAGGGAATTGAATGCTTTGCAAAAAAGGTCTCTTACAATTTTCCGATAAACCTACTCGTTCGAAAGTTTTTCGAGGCAAATTGAAATTTGCGATGCGGCACCACTTAATATTAATATTAAGAGCTGTTACTTTTACAGGATTTTTTTTCATCATTTCTAACAATATTTTCGACGTACTTGAGAGAAAAAAATAGACGATTTTTTTGAAACAGTCTAATTGATACACAACTATCGAACTATTTAATGCATTTAAAAATGGTTGTGTATTATTCTCTTTGCAGGATTAGCAGATTGCGGAACAAAACGCTAAAAAAATAAAAATGGAAGATAAGCGGAAATATCAGTCTGGAGCACAGAAACGAAAATTGAAATTAGAAAAAGAGGAAAAATTAAAAAAGCCTGCTAAAATAGAAAATTTTTTTAAAGCCTCTCAATGTTCTGAAAAAGAACAAGTAACTATCAATATTTCTGAGACACGTGAATCAACTTTTATTTCTTGTTCTACCTCTAAAGAACTTTTGCCTTGTACTAAGACTTTTACTTTTGATAAAGTTATTAGCAATGTCATGTTTACTACACCAGGTTCCTCTAATAGCAACATTACTGTATGTAGCGATCTTGGATTTTACATGGGAAAAACTCTTACTGATGAAGATAAAAAGATTATTATTAGTCTTGAACCCAACAGATCTAAAGGTCCATTTCCCAAAGATTAGAACCAAAATGATCGCAGTTTTAGTGAGAGTTATTATTTTTCTACTACAAAATACGGCCCTGTCAATCGTCATTGGCTGTGCTATTCAACTGTACCAGATGCAGCCTATTGTGAATCTTGTTGGATTTTCTCAAAATTGTGCAGTCACTGGAGTACGGGCTTAAGAGATTGGAAACATTTATCATCACGCATTGAAGAGCACAGTAAAAGCAAAGCTCATATTGAAGCTTGCGCTGTTCACGACCTTTGAAGAAAAAATCGTGCCATTGACAAGAACCTAGCATCCTTCTGGAAAATGGTGTTGCAAAGATTATTTAAAATTACATTACTTCTGGCAAAATGTTCCTTGTCATTTCGGGGGCACTGTGAACGTCAAGATGATTTTAGTGGGAATTTTATGGCTCAAGTGAAATTTTTGTCAGACTATGACGATGTAATGAAACAGGTGGTGGAAATGCGTTCTGGATCTGTGCGATATCTTAGCCCAACTACTCAAAATGAATTGATAGATTGCCTTTCAAAAAAACTTACTTTTGAATTAACAAAACAAATAAATTCCGCAACATTTTTTTCTTTGCTTCTTGATACAACTCAAGATATCACAAAGATAGATCAATTAAGTATAGTCATTCGAACGTGTCACATAATTCGAGATAAAAATCTGCTATCTCAAAAGTTTGAAAGCAAAGAAACTTTTTTGGGTTTTTTCCAGTTAAAAGATCATTCTGCTGGAGGAATGACTCAAGAAGTTTTAAATATACTAAAAAATCTAGATATTCCCATTGAAAAATGTTATGGGCAAGGCTACTATGGAGCCAGTGTAATGAGTGGGGCTTATAATGGAGTAAATGCTCAAATAACAAGAGTTCAACTAAATGCCGAGTATGTACATTATGCAAGTCACAACTTAAATTTACTAATAAATGTTGCAGTAAATTGTTGTAAAGAGGTCTCGCAATATTTGCCACTTTGCAAAATATTTATTCTTTTTTTGGTTTAAGATGGGATCTTTTAGTTTTTTTACCAGTGAATCCAAAACAACTTTAAAAATATTAAATCCAACTCGTTGGTCAGGAAGGATATTGTCTATTAGTGCTGTCAAACTTCGTTATCTTGATATTATTAAATCTTTAACAGAAATAGAGTTACAGTCTCATAAAAAAGAAGAAAGAGAAGAAGCTTCTTCCATTAAAAAACAAATGTGTTGCCTTGAATTTGTATTTATTTCAACAATGTTGTATAAAATCTTTACCCAGGTTAACTTCGCCTCAAAGGGTCCTTCAAAAGAAAAATATTCATTTAAGTGAATCTGTGACTGTTTTAGAACAAGTAGAAAAGAACCTTACTGAATTAAGATCTTCTTATGAAATTTTAATAATTGAAGCTACGGAATTGGCTAACAAATGGAATACTCAACCGGAATTCAGGCAAAAATGTCAACCTAGAGTTAAAAAACACTGACGAACTCTCAAGTGATTACAGATTTAATCATACTCAAATTTTATGTAAAATAAATGTTTTTAATGTTGTTATGGACCGTGTTCTGACACATATTTCTAATAGATTTAGGAGCATGAAAAAAATTAATATATTGTTTGATTTACTTCTTCCAAAAATTATATTAAGTTGCGATGAAACATTCATTAAAAATAAATGTACAGCCATTTATAACGAATATCCTGAAATATTTGATTTAAATAATTTAATATTTCAGTATACCAATTTGTTAAATGTTTGTAAAACAGACCTTAAGAATGATCTATCAATTAAGGAATATTTCAATATAATTTTAAGTAAGTATGGAGTACTTGAAAGCGACTTAAGTGAAGTTTACTTAAAGTTCCTTTTATTTTTTACTTTGCCTGTAACTACTGCAACTGTTGAAATATCATTTAACAAGCTAAAACTTATAAAAAACTATCTTAGGTCTACTACAGGCCAGATTAGATTAAGCGATCTTGCTTTGCTCTCTATAGAGAATGAAGAAGCCCAAAACCTTGATATAAATGATATTATCAACGAATTTGCAAATAGAAAAGCAAGAAAAAGGGATTTTTAGTTTTACTATTGTTTAATTTTTGACTTTTGTTATTTCATTATTTTAAGTTGTGTTACTTTTTGTTTTTATGACAATAAACAATTATTTTATTATAACATGGTATTTTTTAATCTTAAACATACTCATGAGGACCCCCAAAAAATGTTTGCCCCGGGGCCCCATGACTTCTAGCTACGCCACTGGTATGAAACCATGAATTTATGTGCCTTGTTAATATTTCATAAATTAAATAGTTTTCAGTTACATACAGTCAGTTTCCTTAACACTACTCTGGGTTTAACAACTTTCGAGATAGATATTTGACGAACGAGACTGTGCATTTCCTTTAAATTTTGTGATAAAATTTCAATGTTCCTAAAATTTCATAAGATCTGCTTTTTAAACGTGTTGGTGCATGTGCAATAATACGGGAAAATACTGGGTTTATCATCTCATGTAAATTTTATAGGAACTATGGATCTCAGGAACTGTCTATACATATTGAACATACAAAATTTTGAGGTATTTCCATGAATTGTGATCAAACGCAAAAAATACCTTAAATTACATGGTCAATTTCTTTAAAAAGCATAGGATATCGTTGAGATGGAATTTCTGAATCCCTCGAGTAATAAAACACACTGTGAGTTTTATTGTTCTCTTTTCGTAACACTTCATAAACATTCTAAATAAAATAAAAATCACCACTCACCACAGAACACATAAATATTATTCCAATTTCTATAAAAAAAAAATAGGATGTTTCTGAGATGGAATCAATAAATCCCTCTAAACATTTCAAATAAAATCAAATACCACTCCTCGCAGATCACAATTATTCTACTACAAGTTAGAGCCATTAAAAATCTTACACAGTATAAAAAGAGAACTGCATGTGCATACTTATGCATGAAAAGATGACCAAACCAATGACGATTACTATTGATTAATGTATTCCACCATTACTAAATAGTGTCAGACATTAAAAGCAAAATGATGTGATGTTAGATGTAGTACAAACGCTAGGAGCATTGGTGTAATTCATAGAACGAACGTTAATCAAGTTCAAAGTTGGTCATGCTTTTATGCTCAGAATTGTTATGATGTATTATTTACTCGCACAACTGATCCAGCATTCATTAAAATGTGCTGCGTGTACAGCTAGCCAAGTGATACAACCTCGCCTTATAGCTTTTACATCATTTAGGTTTCATCTGCTGTGCAATGAGACGTTATGTTATCAATTTGGTTATGAGAATGTTCAACAGCTACACGACTTCCCTTTATCCCGTTTGTTTGATGGATCTCCTAATTTGATGTTGCTTTCACTGACTGGGGGTTTCTGCAAGAACAACTTTTGGTGTTTCAACTTATGAGCTAGCGTCATAAAAATGGAGTCGATATTTTCCTTCTCACTTTCCAAACATGCGGAAGTTTCAAATACCTGTTGAAGAAAAATAAGAATAATATCTTGTACAGTAGCGGACAAAAGTTTGGAAACATTCTTAGTGATTTTTAAAAAGTGTGCTATTTTTATTCTTTATTATTAATGACTATTTTTTTCTCATATAGTTTGCTTCCAGTGTTGAGGATACAAATGACAATTTGTGTTTGCCATGGAACTACAGACTAGCATTAAAATACATTCATATTATTTTATGACCAAAAATGAGACAACAAAAGTATGGAAACATATTTTTTATTACAAAATTAAATACAATAACTCCACAAAAAGATTTAAAAGTTCTGTTTAGCTAATATTTGGTAGCATTGCCTTTAGCATTCAACACTGCCTGACATATGCTTCTCATAGAAGACACCAATTTTTTACAGACATTTGTTGGGATATTTTGCCAAGTATTTTTTACATAATCAAATAAATCGTTCGTTTTTTTAAAAAGTTTTTCTTGTCAGTTGTCTTTAGACATGCTCCCAGAGATATGCTATAGGGTCTAGGTCTGGGGATTGAGAAGGCCATGTAAGAACATTAAAAATTTTTAGTCTTAACCAGTCTCCTTTACGAATTTTGAGGTATGCTTGGGGTCATTATCTTGCTGGAATGTCCATCATAAAGGCATTTCTCCTGCAGCAAAAGGGAGCATGTGTTCACTAAGAATATCTTTGTAAAGTTCTTGATCCATTTTCCCAACAATTTTAACAATTGGACCCGTTCCATAACTAGTCCCAAACCGTGATGTCGCCTCCACCGTGCTTAACTATTGGCAACTGATACTTTTTGTCAAATGTTTTTCGTATTATAGACGTTTCACATATGCCGTACCGTCAGACCAAACAAGTTAAATTTGCTTTCATCACTCCATAAAACTGTATTCCATTGATGCTTCCCTACCGATATACCGGGTGATGAAGGTTTGTTCACGAAATTGAAAAAAATATATCTACGGAGCGGATAGAGATACTGAGTTGACATTTTGGACGACCAGTAAGTACATAATAAGCAATAAACACATAGAGTTTCCCGGTCCAAACTATATCAGGAATGTAGAAATTGGAGTACCTGTACCCCTATCAGGAAATATGTTCTATGCTACTGGCCCTTTCGGAGCATTTTATAAAATACCATTCATTTTCCATAAATTTTGTATTTTGAGATCACTCGTTTTGGTGATATTTAAATTTAAATATTTGAGGTGAAATCCTGAAATATTCTTAGCCTCCCCGATTCAGAAAACACGATAAAGCTTGATATTGGAAACACTATATGACATGTAAAGACAGCCATGGCACCTCATTACAACATTCATTGAATAATATTTGCGTCTCATCCTCAATCAGTAGCGTAGAAGCTTACCACTCATTAAACCTTTCCTGTCCACGCCACTGGTTTTCATGGTATATTTCTCGTCGTTTTAGGTCCCAGTTTTTTAAAATCATACGGCACGGGTATCACGTATCTTCAAAAGTGACATTATGCCGATTTTTTTTGTCTTTATGCTGTTTTTTTTTTTTGACATTATGTACGTTTTTCTACAAGATATTAACTTAGCACTTAGTTGTAGGTGTTGCCTAAAGTCATGAGGCTTGTAATCAATCTTTGGCTCTGATGTGATGTAAAATCTGCTGCTGAGATGGCATTACTGGAGGTCTAAGCTGTAAGTTGTATGTGTTGATGATAATTACATTGGGTTCTTGTCTCAAATACACTTAATTGAGATTCAAAGGTAGAAATTAGTTGCGCATCCACTTTTTCTGATCCATTCCGGAAATTACATATATAAATTTGCTGCATTTAAACAATAAGAGAGATAAGAAATAATTATATTCACTGTACACTGTCGAATTACAAGCCATACACATGCTAACAGTAATTAAACACAACGCGAGCGGGGTGATGATTTCCCGTAATTCTCCTCAGTTTTTCGGAATTTATAACTTTGAACATAACCTCTCTTCAGAAAGCACAAAATGTAGATAACCCGTCATATTCAGCATAATCAGTAATTATCTTCTCACACAGCAAATATCACTGATTCTATACACATGCAGACCAATACACATAATCATCCAGATGCGATCTTGCTATTCAACCAACTTTCTTCTGAGATAAAAACTACAGACACGGATAACTCAGCCTTACAAAACTATGCAACCAATAATGCGTGTAGTTTAGTTGAGTGATTCCTCCATAGGTGGACGTTCACAACGATCCTAGTGAGCAAACGTGGAATGACTACTTGCGCCCTAAAAACTACCTAGTCTGCAAGTTGACATCTTATAGTTTTTTTTTGACGTTTTGTAGGTTTTTTTACATGATACCCGTGCCGTGTTCATCATTACCATTAAATAATATAAATGTATTACATTATGTTGTTCCTCATTCGATGAGCTTAAACCAACTGTATGAACCAAGACACACGAAGTTTTATATCAATGTGTCCTATGTTATCATCTTTTATATTCTATGAAATAAATGAATACATATATGATAATTTCAAGGCTTACTCAAGAAAAACAATAACGATTTTTTGCAATAACCAATTAACTGTTGCAACGATCTAAACATACCCATTTTGAAGGTGTTTTCATCCCTTTTCTAATTCTTCTATAATCAACTTTTAAGTTTGATAAAAAAAAGTTACCTAGAATGTTTTATTTCAAGATGAGGGGGCCTTTGCATTAACTCTAAAGAATATATACCTAAATCCTTCTGCACATTTTTTAGAACAGAGTTCATATTTTTCTTGCTTGAATGTTTGAAAAAAATAATCCTAGTAGTTTTCCAGATTAATATGAATTGTCAAATCGTGGAACACTCACTATAAATGAAATTTTTTTCATTTGTCTAGAATTGCGTGGAAGTACAAAGTCAATCTATTTGGGCCATTTATATCTCGAAATCAATGTATACTGTATCTTATACTCACAGGCATACCATACTGATCAGCAAAGTGTTGCGTCTCATTGGTCGGTATGACCGAGTGGCCATCACATTTGTTGCCCACAAGTATTCTGGGTATATCGTCGAGACAGTTCTGATTGCTTTCATCGATCCATCGTTTCAAATTCTCGAACGTATCGCGATTCGTGACGTCATACATGAAGATGATTGCATGCGCGTTTCGATAGTAATGACGTATCATGGAAGCACGGTGACGTTCTTGTCCTGCAGTGTCCCACAGTTGTAACTGGAACACAAACAAACATATCATTGACAAAACGAAATGTACCAGAATAAGTGTACAGTTGTTTGACCTGGGAATTTGAGATTTTACAAAGGGTACATGGCCAGTCTTGGTTCAAAATAATGAAAACTGGATCCAAAGGTCTATTCGACGAATTTAGAGGCCCAAGTACAAATATATATTCCCGGTAAGGCTGGTCCATTTCCTTTATGAAAAAAATTAAATCTGTATATTTTTGGTTTAGGAAATCATTCTCATTGTCAGCCCAAACGCCACAAACAAGTTTTACTAGATTTATTATTGCCAATGTTGCAGACGAAACACAAAAATGTCACTTGCTGATCAGCTGTTCTCCTCTGTAGTCATCAAAGCGTGATGGATACTCGTGGAATGGGTTATATGTAAAAGTTTTCTAGGTGAAATGGGTATGTACTTTAAAAAATAATGAATAGCTACAAAAACAATGGTGAGGGTGTAGACTCTGAAACGTGAACTGCTACCATAAAATGCTCTTACAGTTATGTCCTCGCCGTCAATATTGACTGTTTTACTTCTAAACTCGACTCCAATAGTAGCTTCAGCAGCTTCAAGGAATTTTCCTTCGCAGAATCTGTAAGTGAGTGTTGTTTTGCCAACATTTGGATCGCCAATCACAATCACTTTAAAAGGCCTGCCCTTTCTTGTCGGCCTCAAACTTTCTACCATAGCTGAGGTGTTGACTGATGGTCGGCTACTTGTCCCTGCAGTCGACATTTATAACTCATTAAAATCTTTGCATAGACGCAAATACTGCAATATAAAATGTCTGGACAGATTTAATTCCTGTAATTGTATTTTATTCAGTGGTTAGATTAAAAAATGACTGGTTATGTCTTTTTAATACTTCTGCACAGAACGGCCACAACGTTTGTATTTTCACGCAATTGAAAACTGATAAATGGAATTGGAATCACAAAACAATACACTGGAATTTAGGTTCTGTTTTGACTCACAAATACCACAGTTGTGGACAGTGGCGGCGGAAAATTTTGAAAGAGGGCTGATACACGACTCATACGTTATTTCTGAACACTTACAGATTCTTAAACACATTTTCATTAGACATAGTTAATTCTAACATAATACAAAGAAACCCTATAAAACTCTTGGAAATAAAACATTATCAAAAATATCAAACATTTTCTAGTGCGGGACAAGTGTCCTCTCTGCCCTCCCTATTCGGCAGCACAGGTGTCATGTGTGGTCATGACACATATCAGCTGAGGATTGTTAGAGTTGGGAACTCCATAGGTTTTAAAGATTTGGTTATTTTACGAACTGGAACCAATTCAATGATCCGATTTGGTTAATTTTCCAGATCCATTTCTTGAAGCACGTGGTTTGAACTGTCATTCGTAGTACAAAAAAGTGTTTGTGGTACAAAAGCAAAAGAGGTTATGTGCTTGTGTATCTTTTTGAAAACTTATGTGAAGGTGTTTTGAAATTATTAATACCCAAAAATGACGAAAAAACGATATAATTGGAAGGCAAGGCAAGTTGTTAACACTGTAATAGACAACAGAGAAACAAAAAAGGTAAGATACGATTTGTACTTTGGTCTGTATTTTGTATGCACTGATAGGACATACCTACATTACAGGCAAGTCCCTTTTTAATTGATTTGTTTCATTATCAAGCATTTGAAAATATCATTCTACACTTGCTAAAGGTAATAAGAGGGATGAATTTCATGTCATATACTTTATGAGCTGATAGTCTCAATGCTGATACTGTTTCCTTCCAGATTGCGGTAGACTTGAATATAGATGGCAGTTATGACCAAAGCAATGAGTTGGTTCTACCATCAGTGAAGCGTAAAACCAAAGTTAAAGCTGAAAAAATTGGCCCAACAAGAATATTATCCAAGAAACAGAGGAAGCGATTGGAGAAAATTGTGGAGAAAAAAAAGAAAAAAGAAAATGTAAAGTATCTTTAATTCAAAGACTTTGGAAGTTAACGAATAAAAGTATTGTTGCTGTTTCAATGAAAATATTTCTTTAATATTTTATAGATTGAACAAAACTGATTAGAATATTTTCTTATGATAGAGAGCAGAACTCCTAGCATCTCTGCAACAATGCCGGGCAACAGAAGAGGAGATTTCACAGCTTACTTCACTAGCATCTATTCAAACAAAGGGCCTTAAAAGACATTTTCAAGAGGAGACTAGTCCCAGAAAAAAAGAGAGATCACATTCTGAAGAAGCTGCTCCTGCTAAGATAAACATTCTTTCTGGGGCAAAGAGAAAAAAACTGCTGGATTTCAGTGAAGCTGCCCCACAGGAGATTAGCACGAACCCCAATGTGGTTGGATTTGAGAGTAGTGGTTCTGAGGAGGAAGAGGATGATGAAGATGATATTGAAGAGGAGGGGGCTGACCAGGAATGTGTAAAGATTGATCAAGAGATGGCACAGGGAGATCAGCCAGAAGATCATCAGGATGCAGAACCAGAAAAGGTAAAATTACATCCTTTTTTTATTTCCCCTGTCAGAAGGATCCGGTAATCATTAAGAATTTAAAAATTGATCAAAAAAATTAATGCTTTTTCTAGATGTTTTGTATGAAAAACTATGTCACTTATTTCCATCAGTCTGTTTTTCTTTCTGTATGTCTAATCTTGACTTTATTATAGCTCTAAGCTCTAGGTTTAATAAAGTTTCCCTAAGTAAGTATTACAAATTGATCCAGTGATTGTGGAATTGAACAGAAAATCCACATTACATTTGATAGTACACCTTGTTTTTATGATATATTATGAGTTTCTGATGTTTCTTGGGACCCTTGACATTTTGTTTCATTTTCGTGCTGTTGATATCATTAATGATGCTTAGAATTTTTATATAGAATTTAGAATCCCTAAATATAGAGGTTTGATTTATAGCTTGCAGAAAAAAAATGAGACATGAAGGCATATCACTTATGTTAATATTAGATTAAGATATGGAGATTTTGGAGGTCAAAGCCAAGTAATTTATTTTTTAGGAAGTTGAATTAATTGTGCCTGACACAAAGCCTCCAATAGAGATTGAGGATGATACCAAAAAAGTTGAAGTCACCAATAAAAAATTGGAACAAGAACCACTGCCTAGGAAGCCAGCCGTATATGTAGATGTAATTAGAAGTGAAGAGATCCAACAAGCCAGAATGAAGCTGCCTATTTTGGTAGAAGAACAAAGTATCATGGAGATCATTAATGAGAATCACATTGTGGTCATTGCTGGAGAAACAGGTGCAGTAATAAAATACTGATATGTATTTTTGAATTAAATACAGCTTATTCCAAGACACTATTTATTGTCAACATTCAGATTGTTGAAATTGATGCTTGCATACTATTTTATAAAAAAATAACAGTTGGAACCAGGACTAGGCGCTATCTTGAAACATTTTTTACAAAAGAATAGGAGTCATGTGATACCTCACTTTGAAGTTCCTTATCATTACTTTATTAATCCAGAATATGTGGCATGTAATTAGATTCCAAGTTACAAAAAGCTGCAGTCCATGGCCTGGCAAGTCACATACACAATTATTTCCCTAAGATACATACAAAAGTTTATCTACAACCAGCTAGGGGCCGTTCAAGTATTACATAAGCAGATTTATTACAATTATTTACACCCCCATCCCCCTTGTCAGCATAAGTAAGCAAAGCTATTACCCCCTCCCCCCATACTTACGTAAACATTTGTCAATTATATATAATATTTTACTGATATGGTATTCAACATAGAGTAAAGGACAAAAATATTATATCTTACTAACATAACAAACTTATTTCAAATTTTTGGTACATATATTAAATTCAAATTAAGTCTTCAGTCCATGAAACCCGAATCCATAATTCTAAGTTTTCGATGACTTTGGATTGCTTCGATTGCTGCTCAGTGTTGTGAGTTTGCTCGCTCTCATCGGATTTTGGAATGTCTACGTCGTTCTCATCGAGCCATTCAACATCATGGTGCTCTAAATTTTGAATAATGCACATCGGTTCATTAGCACGACGAGCAGCGACTCTTACAGGTCTAACTTTCTTATCAGTGTGCGTGTTTACTTTTTTATGGATATTTTCGATGTGACGATTTAGTGACTTGACGGAAGCATGATAAAGACCACATGTTTTGCATGTTCGACTTGATAGCCTCAATTTTACCGTGGGACAAAAATAATCGTAGGGCATTTACAGGAAATCTTTGAGTGAAGCACTTAAGCATAGTGCTAAATTGACTGGAAGATTAAGAAATTTCCCTCCTTCATCCAAAACGAAGTCATCAACTGTTTGTTTTACTTGTACAGGTGGTGGAAGAAACCTATTGTCTAGTAATCTAAGTAGGCCACTTCTTGGACGACAGCATTCTGTATTTCTACATTTTACAATTTGAAGTATTGGCTCTCACGCACATGTTCTGAATACCATTTAATGTCGGGAAAATCAGGAAGTTCTTGTTCACCTGCTCCAACATATTTTGCATTAACATTATAGCCATCAATTTCCATTGAACTCCATACTTCAGCTAATACATTTCCTGCAAATTCGAAATTAGACATTTCTAAATGTTCATCAATTGTAACGCCACGTTCATCCAAATGAGACCCAAAATGGTCATGAGGCAATATTAAACCAGCCAGTTCCCGACTAAGAGGAGCCATTCTGCGCTCTACTCTGTTATACGCACTTTTTAGAGGAGCATTGGTAGCTAAAAACAATGCATCGAGATCATGTCGCTTAAAGTGTTATATAGCAAACCCTATGACTTTTTGATAACGTGGATTTTCACCTGGCCCTCCATCAACCGTCATGATTACCACTGGTTTTACTAGTCCATGGTCAGTTTTAACTAATGGTCGAAACTCTTCAAGTTCGAGAAGCGTCTCGAAATCCTGAGCATGAGTATTAGCAGTAGATGAACTATGCTTTCCACTTCGAATAGCGATGTATGTTGGTCCAGAATATCCAACGGCTTAATTACAGCCATTGTCTGACAACAAATAAATATGAACTGAGTTTGCACTTGGCATAATTTGAAGATAGCAGACATTAAACTTATTTAATCACCTTGGTGGGCAAAGAAGGCAGGCTAAAGAGTAGAACTGAATGTCTGGAAAACACAGTACAATTTATACCCTATTGTAAAAAAAAAACATTCACTTACGCCTGTCAGAATGACTGAAAGAAATACATATGTATATGTGAGTGTTCCCATTGCTATATAATGAACATTGTCCAAATAGATGTGGTTTGAAATACTTATCTGTTTTTTTGTCTTTGCTGCCCATATTTTATGTGAATAGCAATAGAATAATCTGGAAAGTGGTACTTGTTGTTAATTCTAGAATTACCTGGTGCAACCACTACTTTGTTGGTAGGATATTGAGATTATGCAAGCAAAAAGCTTGTTGCTGCTCAAGTATGAAAAAATAATGTTATTTCACACCATTCCGGTTCAATTACGTATCGAGTTGTTTCTTATGTAGAACCTAACATCGGTAATTTTAATAAACCTTTAGGTAGCGGCAAGACGACTCAAGTACCCCAGTTTCTTTACGAGGCCGGATACGCGCTAAAGAAGCAAATAGCTGTAACAGAGCCTCGCAGAGTGGCGGCTGTGTCCATGTCCCAGCGAGTGGCAGAGGAGATGAACCTCAGCCATCGCGAGGTCAGCTATCTGATCCGATTCGAGGGAAATGCCACAGAGAACACGAAAATCAAGTTCATGACGGATGGAGTGCTGCTAAAGGAACTGCAGACTGACTTTCTGCTCAGCAAGTATTCGGTCGTTATTCTGGATGAGGCGCACGAAAGGTTCGTATATTCGCCTAAATGTCAGGGCACCGCGGCTGCCATGAGGAGCTTAAAGAAACTTTATTAATCCGATTTTTGAATCGCCCAAGGTTAGTAGATCTGAGGAAAGTCTCCTCATGTAGATTGTTCCACAATATTGATACCCTAGGGACAAAGGAGCTGTCGTATCGGCCAGTTCTGGATGTACGAAGTTCGACAGAGTACGTAGGTGTAGCGGTAGAAGAAATCTGGATCGCCGACGGCCCGACGGTGCAAAAGGGTTCCGGGACTATCCGTTAGAGAAGAGTCATCGATCAGTCGAACAGCCCTCCTCCGTACAGCATCGAGCGTAGATAATATAGTCGGGGCGGCAGCACCCCAAACATGTGGGTAGTACTCGAGTCTTACCTGGGTCTTGTATAAAGTCAGGTCATGCGGTGAAAAGTGCTTCTTAGCTCTAAACAAATATCCTAGCTTTTTCCCAGAAGCTGTCGCTATCGACGAGATGTGTTCGTGCCAGATCAAGTCCTCGATGATCTGGACCCCGACCAAGCGAAATGAGCGGCTCTCTGGCAGCCATCGAAAGCAGATGAACGCTAGGACGCTTTTTGTTCGACAAGGTACAGTACTGTGTTTTGGAAGCATTAAACTGTATAATATTGTTGTGTCCTCAAGCAGTGATAACCTCCGGGCCTCTCGTCGCTAGTCTTCTTTTTTCCAGCTCAGCAGCAGAGATCTGCTTGTCACTCCGAATTGCTGCATGTAGAGTGCTGTCATCAGCAAAGTTGTGGATTGGGTTGATGTGTAAGAGGAACAGTCAATACAATGGTAGGAATCAAGTCCAAGCCAGAAGCTTTATTGTTGTCGAGTAACAGTAGCACCCGTCTTACCGTCTCATGCCTGAATGTTACTTCTCGCATAGTGTAGGGAACCCTTTGAATCGACCGCATTCGGGCGTTGGGTGGGGGGAGGTCCATGGTGGAGTTGGCAGCTAGGATGTTGGCCGCCTTTGAGTCGGTTACGGTAGGTGAGTGGGGGAAGGTTACCCCGCAGAAGTTCCTGCTTGGCCGGTATCCGGAAAAACCGACTCTATGCCTAATTTTTACATAGTGCTGGTCTTTCACATTACGGACCGTTTCGTTATACAGTGGACCTCCGGTATTCCGACAAACATTATGCAGGGCAGTGTCGGACTATCGAATTTGTCGGATTATAGAGCACTGCCTAAGACCCCCTATAGTCCGGAATTTTTTACAAAAGAGTACCTTGTAATCCGACAAATTACATATCCAATGGTAAGATTATATATGTTATGTATATGGATGTACTTTGAAGTACAAATCATACATAGTTTATGTATGTCGAATTTAGTAAGTTAAATAACAATAGAGAGCTTACGTTTTATTATAAAATTAAGCATAAATGCACATACACATGTACCAAAATAATCAAGAATTATTAAACAAAATCATTAATGAATTTATCAAATTATGAAGCTTGGAAATATTCATCAATTTTTTTTTGTTTAAGGTTGTTATAACGCGAGATCAGAGCTTTGTCCCTCAATCTTCTGAAAAGTAAAAGTTCGTTATAGGATGTACCATTCTCTTGAGCCCATTGTAAACCTGGCTCAAAGGCGTTAATTGCGTCTTGTGCTGTGACTTGTGGAGCAGTTGCAATCACATCGTAGTTATTTTCCTGATTGTTTGTTGTATAATTAGAAACCTCTTTTATAATCTCTTCGTCAGACATTTCATGAAAAACATTTTCCTCTTTATCCATTCCACGGCACCAGATTTCTAAATCTTCCGGACTTATCTGTGTTTCAGTAGCGACTTGTTCTATAACTTCCGAAGTAACACTGATTTGTGGAACGTTGCTAGGAGTGGTGACTATATTTGGCCACAACTTTTTCCAAGTCGATTTAATAGTTGATGACGGTAACGCATTCCACGACTGACAAAGAGCAAAAACTAAGTCCTTCATATTAAATTCTTTTAAAGTTTTTTCTATTGGTTGGTCTTTTGATATGGCTACCAGAAGTAGGCTTTTCTTATAGTCTTGCTTGACAAACTGAATGATATTCTGGTCCATTGGTTGAATCAGTGCAGTACAATTTGGCGGAAGAAACATTGCAGTGATGCATTTATCCTCAGTTGTTAGTTCTTCTTCAGACGGATGACCGGGAGAGTTATCAAGAAGTAACAACGCTTTTTGAGGAAAATTATGATCTGTTAACCATTTTCTAACTTCAGGTACGAAGCATTTATCAAACCACTTCTTGAAAAGGTCTTTTGTCATCCATGCACTTTTTTGTCCGTAATAGTGTACAGGTAAATCAATGTTTTGAATGCCCGTGGTTTATTAGTTTTCCCAATGACCATCATCTTAAGCGCGTGTGTGCCCGCAGCGTTAGCACACGCTCTTTACTTAATTTTTGTCCAGGTACGGATTTTTCGTTACAAGAAACGAAAGTTTTGTTAGGCATCACACGCCAAAAAAGCCCTAATTCGTCTGCATTCTACACCTGTGACGGGTCAAGATTTAAATCGTTCACCTTTTGCAAAAATCTTAATTTAAAGGGCTCGATGCAGGTGGCATCGTTACAAAGTTGTTGGCCACAAAATCGTCTTTTTTTTGTTATTTCCTTATAAAAAAGCTTAGCTTTCATGGCCAACATGGGACCTGAAATTGGTGCATGCCTATTTCTTTCCTGAAGAAACCACATGTACAAAGCTTCTTCCACTTCTGGATGTTCAGCTTTCTTGAGTGTCTGTCTCTTGCCTGGCCCGCAGTCAGTAGTTGACACGAACTTCTTGATCTTCTCGTGGTTTCTTTTAATGTCATAAATTGTAGATCGGTCTACGCCGTATTCGCTTGCTAAACTACTGAAAGTTTCATTGCGATTTAAGCGGTCTAAAATATCACATTTTTCTTTAATTGTCAATGTTTTGTGCTTTCGCTTCTGAGTTTGTGATGACATTACTAGGTACTATACTTAATACACAATGAATAAATAGTAAACAATGAACGCACGCTAGGCCGTATCGCTATCACCAGTAGTCAAATTCAAACTAAGTAAAACAATGCTTACGCGTCGAGCACGATAGCGGTTGTACTTACAAGTTGTAACCTGTTCAAACCTGCGTGATCTACATTAGCGAAGATTGTCAAATACGTATGTATCTAATACATATTCAAAGACATGTCGGATTACAGGGGCGCCGGATTAGACAGGGGCCGGATTATCGGGGCTCTACTGTATTTGTTTCTGGACTCGACGTCGGCTCGTCTGTTCTCTACAGTAGGGTTTGTTATGAAAAGTATATCAGTGCTTTTGATTTTTATCTCACCTTGCAATCTTTTACTACTAACTACTTTTATTACTGAGGTAATGCTGGTGGCGTTAGTGACCATTATTAATGTATTATACTTGAAGATATATTTGAATTGCATTTCATCGCTCAAAAAGGGATCTGAAAGGTCCTATCGCCGGGATAACTTATACCAAACAATCTTTTTATGAACTGGTGACAGACGCTGCGAGCAAGCTGTACTTGACGCGTTTTTTACTCCCTATGCCAAAATCAGCGAGGAAGTATTGTCATCGCGAAAAAATTCGAAATTGAGAATTATGTTTTCGAATGTTATATGACATGTACATCACGAAAAACCATGTCACTCATTGCCTTCAGTCTGTCTATCTCTCTGTACGCTAGTTTTATAACCGCTTATAACTTGATAGCGGATTTTGATAGCCTACTGGCCGCGGCTGCTCTGTGTGTTCGTTGTTCTGGTATGTTATTACACGTACTAGTGTTTCCTATGCTCTGACCGCGTTGCCACGTCTGACTGGGTTAAGTTCAGGGCCTTGCGTGGGAAGTGCAGTCAACCTATTTGACGTCTGTTTTTTTTCTTCCAGGTCGGTTTATACGGACATTCTGATCGGTCTGCTATCAAGAATAGTACCATTGAGGCTGAAAAAGGGTGATCCCCTCAAATTGATCATTATGTCGGCTACTTTACGCTTAGCAGATTTTATCTCGAATGAAAGACTTTTCAAGGTATGTGCGAATATGAGTTAAATATATATTTTTTTTGTTATCAGGAAGGAAACTATAAAATCTCGAACTGTCGTTTTTTTGAGGATATCCAGGGTGTTCCTTAATGATATGCGAATATTTAAGGGTGTGAATCTACATGAAAATTAATGTTAGTTTGCTTTATAAGCTATGGTCCAAAAATGTTTCCTTACAAAAACTCGGGGTGTTGAAGTTTTAGGAAAAAATTTAAATTAATTAATATTTTCAGAACCGCTTCAGATATTTCATTGATATTTAGTACGTAGTGACAGTCAATAAAGATGCATATTTTTCAGTGCAAAAATAATTTTTAGCTTTAACAGTGGAGTGCGTTCCTTGTATTGACTTCGATATTTTTTAAGAAAAAAATGGTACGCCAATGGTTTATTGCCAAATAAAAATTTGTTGTGAATTCCCCGGTCGATGTAAAACAAATGATCTCTCTTGAATTGTTTTCCTTCGATGCGCCATTTTGAGTAAAAAAATAAAAACCGTTCTATTGTCTAACTTGCAAAATTATTATTAATTTAATTGGAAAAATTAAACACATTAGGGGTAATGAACAACAACAAAATAACATTAAAACTAACGAAATGATTACAAAAATTGTTGAAAATGGCCCCCTTCACTTAGTATGCATGCTTCCGTCCTCCTCATGGAATTGCGCACTCGTTGAACTATCCCTGGAGTGTTTTTATTCTATCACCAGCTGCAACTATTCTTTCTCTTAATTCCTCTACAGTGTTAATGGGACTTGTGTACACTAGTGTCTTAAGATAGCACCACAAAAAGAAAACTAAACGGTCAGGGCCTGGGGACCTTGGTGGCCATTCTTGGACCCCACCGCGGCCAATCCAACGATTTGGATAAACAGTTTGTAAATAATTACGAACCGCTACACTGAAATGCGCTGGTGCACCATCATGCATGTACCACATATTGTTTCTTATTACTAACGGAACATCATCAAGCAGCAAAGGCAACTGTTGTTGAAGAAAATTGAGGTAAGTCTGTCCGTCAAGTGGTCCCGGCAAGAAGAATGGGCCAATAAAGTGGTTGCCAATAATTCCTGCCCATACGTTAACCGAAAATTGGTGTTGGAAATGGGTTTCGGTTACGGCATAAGGATTTTCTTCTGCCGGATTCAAATCTGGTGACCGGGCTGGCCACGGTATTGTACCAGACCGCCCTATCCATCTGCCTGGAAAGTTTTGATCGAAATACTCTCTCACTGAGAGTGCATAGTGCGCTGGGCAGCCATCATGCTGAAACCATTTGTCCCTGTAAATACTCAGTGGCACGTCCTCCAATAAATTTTCTAAATGATTTTGCAAAAAACCTAAATAAACCTCAGCAGTCAAAGTCTCTGGGAACTCAAACGGACCGATTATTTTACAATTTAAAATTCCTGTCCAATGGTTTATCTTGAAGCGATATTGAGATTTACCTTCTCTCATCAAATGTGGGTTTGCTACGTGCCACTCGTGTAAGTTATGCAGGTTCATGTACCCATCTTTCTTAAATGTGGTCTCATCTGACCATAAAATTTTTTCAAAGAACCGTGGATCTTCCCTGTGTCTTTCTAACATTGTGCTACAAAAAGCAACTCGGGGCTCATAATCCCGGGGCAGAAGAGCTTGAACACGCTGTACGTGGTATGGATGGAGCACGTTTTTTGCAAGATTCTATGAGTTGTACTTTTGGGCACACCTGTTTTTAGTTCTATTGCACTCACTGAAGTACTCGGGTCTTCTTCGACAGCTCCTAGCACCACGTCTTCGTAAGGAAGGTAAGATCTTCCCTCACCGTGTGATTGGTTTGGTAGTTGGCCCTCTGAGAACAGTAAGCGGTGCACATTTGTGAACACTCGATGATCTGGATGACGAGCTGCATTCGGGTACCTCTCACAGTAAAGTCTCGCTGCAGCAGTAGCGTTGCATCCCCCATAAATGAGGTGCATGTTAGCATATTCGTGTACGGTGTACACGGACATAGCGGCACTGCACAATCACACTATCAAAGATAGTCTAAGGAAAGCAAATGTTGTTTTGAAGAGCAATTAAACAGTCCAAATCCAAATCACAAGCGATCAACAGTCCTGTTCACGAATCCAAAATTAGTAACAGTACGAAATCAATAAGCACGAACATGTAAAGATGCGCAGTAAACGAAGGAGTACTGATCGGTATCAAAGTGTGCAATAGCAAGTAAGTGATGTGCTTCATCCATACCACATACAGCGTGTTCAACCTCTCCTGCCCCGGGATTATGAGCCCCAAGTTGCTTTTTGTCGCACAATGTTAGAAAGACACAGGAAAGATCCACAGTTATTTGAGAAAATTTTATGGTCGGATGAGACCACATTTAAGAAAGATGGGTACATGAACCTGCATAACTTACACGAGTGGCACGTAGCAAACCCACATTTGATGAGAGAAGATAAATCTCAATATCGCTTCAAGATAAACCATTGGACAGGAATTTTAAATGGTAAAATAATCGGTCCGTTTGAGTTCCCAGAGACTTTGACTGCTGAAGTTTATTTGGATTTTTTGAAAAATCATGTACAAAATTTATTGGTGGACGTGCCACTGAGTATTTACAGGGACATGTGGTTTCAGCATGATGGCTACCCAGCGCACTATGCACTCTCAGTGAGAGAGTATCACGATCAAAACTTTCCAGGCAGATGGATAAGGCGGTCTGGTACAATACCGTGGTACCGTGGCCAGCCACCTGATTTTAATCCTTTAGATTTTTTTACTGGGGAACTGTAAAAGAAAAAGTGTATTTCAAGCCGATTCAAAATGTAGCTGAGCTACGGCAAAGACTATTGGAAGCAGCTGAGTTTGTTCATAACCGTGGATTCGCTCGTTTAATAACCCGATCTTTTTTAAGAAGATGTCGAGCGTGTATTGCGGCTGAAGGAAAACAGTTTGAGCATTTGCTGTAAAGGTAAATCATCATCAGCAGCATTTTGACGCCCACTGTTGTGCAAACAGTTATCCTTAAGGGTCCTTGTGCGTTTTCATAATCGCTGTTTAATTAGGAAATTTTGAAAAATTTTCATCAGTTGTTTTTCAAATAAAAATTGTGCATAAGTTAACGAGTAATCTTCTAAGTGTTATACCATTTTGGAATCGTTATTAAATGCGCCAACTTTTAAAGTTACTTGCCAAACTCTCGTAGTACATTTTTTTTCAGTACAGCCAGTTAAAGTTGAGCAAAGTTTTACTTTGGAATACTTGGTTGGGAAATAAGTGGCAATTTTCCCTGAACGAGAAAAGTTAGCAGTAAGGTTGAGACACCAGTTTGAAGATGCATTATTCATCATTACATTGTAAAAATAAAATCCAAAAAAAGTTTATATTTGTAGTAACAGGAGTTGACAGACTGCCGTAGGGTGTGAAATTTCTATATCTTTTTCAAAGACCTATAATTTTCAAAACACATTACATAAAATTTTTTTAAATATTTTTCTGATAGCTGTTATGACTTTGCCTATCACCCGGTTTCGGCTTGACGTCGACTTCTGGGACACCCTGTATAGAAATCAGTTTTTCGTTTTCAAAGATATTTCATGTTTGCATACCGACATAAATATGGCGCACCCGGTAGGATGTCACATAATGTAGAAGTTCCTTACCTTCTTCAGGTGCCTCCTCGTGTGATAAACGTCGAATCCCGTCAGTTTCCGGTGATCGTGCATTTCAATAAGAGGACTCCTGACAACTACCTGAAAGAGGCTCTGAACAAGACGCGCAAGATACATTCTAAGCTGCCTGAAGGGGGCATTTTGATTTTCGTCACTGGACAAAGGGAAGTCAACTGGTTAGTGCAGAAGCTGAGGAAGGTTTTCCCATTCAACAAGAAGCACGCAGTGAAAGAGAACGGAGCGAAATCGACGAAAAGTCGGGAAAATGAAGGAGAAGAAACTGTAGACGATGAAGATGACGACGAAGGTGAGAATTCCGTTCTTGAAAACTGAACAATCTCATTTGTCAAATTTTTCTCATGTGAAGCATATTGGAAAAAAGAGAAAAATGCATGTTGTAGCTGAAGGGTTGGGACGCTGCTTTGATGTTAGTCAACTAATTAAGTACTCCTCAGATTATAATCTACTTATTAAACCACAAAAATCTAAGACGTTATTATTTTACGTCCAAAGGAAAAAGAAAATGATAAATGATAAATAACCAAATCTTCCAATTTTCTGATTCTGCTAAAATTCTTGGTCTTGTTTTTGATACAAAGCTAAGGTTTATATAGCATGTCGGGAAACTTATCTCAGGATATAGCAATATAGCATATCTACTAAATTTTACGTGTCAAGCGTTGGTCATACCTAAACCAAATTATTGCAATATTGTATACATGTTTAGCTAATTTCACCAAAAAACATTAATTAAGTTATTCAAAACAATTCCATGCGTTACATAAATTTGATCATACATCAACAAAATAACCTGTTCTAAACTGACTAAAAACACTGATCAACAGGCAAAAAATATCCTAAATAAAATCAACAAAATATTACTATTTTTAATGTGCTAAAACCGGAATGAAACTTATTTTTTCAATATTAGTTCAAGTTTTAGAGATACGGTAATTATATGTGTTCCTGCTGTGACAGTGTTAATATACTGTAATTCACAAGAATGCACGTGATACATTTTTATATTCGGCAAGGAAAGATGATGTAATCGGCATGACTGTGTTACGTTATACATACGTGTACATTATATTGTTTTATATTAGCCATTTTTTCCTCAGTTGGCTGACAGCGTTCATGCAAGATGTCTCGAAAGTGTGTAAACAATCCAGATCAGTTTTGTTACGTGTGTGGTGATGTGACTTTTGCGTCTCAGAGACGGTCTATTACTCCACTAATAACAAAGGCATATCAGCTTTATTTCGGTTGTTAACTAGGTGATCAAGACAAACAGTGGGCACCCCTACATCTGCTGTAATACATGTGCCTCAAGTCTGAGGAGCTGGTTAAATGGCAAAAAACGGTCTATGCGCTTTGCTGTCCCAATGGTTTGGAGAGAGCCTACAAATCATATTAATGATTGTTACTTTTGCATGGTACCTTGTGTTGGACAAGCCACTGCCTGCGATGAGACCTGTGCCTCACAGTGACGAAAATCCTATTCCAAAACCCCCAGAATTCTACACTTGCGAATCAGAAAACGAATCGGATCAGGGCGATCGAGTGATTCGTCAGGAAGAAGATATGTCATCAACGTCAAGAGATCCTGATTTTATACCGAGCACGTCATGCCACCAACCGCACAAAATAACACAGTCAGAATTAAATGATCTTGTAAGAGATTTAGAACTTCCAAAATGTAAGGCAGAGTTACTTGGATCAAGACTGCAGCAGTGGAACTTGTTAGAAGACGATGTTTCGGTATGTGTTTTTCGCAAACGGCACAAAGACTTAGAACCATTTTTCCATATGGAAAATAACTTGGTTTTCTGCAGTAACATTAACGGCTTGCTGGCGGCTTTAAATATAAACTATAACCCAGAAGAATGGAGATTGTTTATAGACAGTTCAACATTGAGTTTAAAGGCAGTGTTATTGCAAATTGGAAATATGACAATATGAAGTACCTATTGACATGCATAAAATACGATGAGCACCAATGGCATATTTGTGGCGATTTGAAAGTTGTTGCACTTTTACTTGGGCTGCAGCTAGGCTACACAAAGTTTTGCTGTTTTTTGTGTGAATGGGACAGTCGGGCAAAGGCACTTCATTACACCAGACAAAACTGGACTGTTCGTCAATTCCTAGAGCCAGGTCAAAAAAATGTACAGCATATGCCATTAGTAGATTCGAAAAAAATTTTATTACCACCACTGCATATCAAGTTGGGCCTAATGAAAAACTTTGTCAAGGCATTAGGTAGAGATGGGTCAGCTTTTCAATACCTGCGTCAGAAATTTCCAAGTCTAAGTGAGGCAAAGGTTAAAGAAGGTATTTTTGTTGGGCCACAGATTCGAAATATTTTGAAAGATACACAGTTTGAAAACACTTTAACAGGTATTGAAAAAACTGCTTGGAATGATTTCCGTCTGGTGGTCACTAATTTCTTGGGAAATAGAAAAGCTGACAACTATAAAACCCTTGTCAAAAATATGCTGTCATCGTATCAAAAGATGGGCTGTAATATGTCTCTTAAGATACATTTCCTACACTCACACACCTGGACTTTTCTCCTGACAATTGCGGAGCCGTAAGTGATGAGCACGGCGAACGTTTTCATTAGGATATTTCAACAATGGAAAAAAGGTACCAGGGAAAGTGGAATCCTTCCATGCTTGCAGACTACTGTTGGACTCTTGGTAGAGATGCTCCAGAAACGATCCATAAAAGAACAGCAAAAAGACAGCGCATATAGTGATTCTTATAAGTATATGAATCTTGTTACTTTTTTTAATGTATCCTTAAAAATAAAAAGTTTTTTTTTCTAAACCGCAACTAATTTTTTTATTTCATTGTCATTTTTGGATTCAGCGCCCCAAAATTAACAAAGAAGTGCACTTTTCCCTCAAGATACAATTAAAAAACTAAAATTTGTTGTCCAGTTAAATTAATGACTCTGTCAGCTATCACAATTCAGTTTTTGTACACAAATTACTAATCACGTCAAAACCCTGTTACTTCTTTTTTCATCCATTGATTTATTCAGGTTAATAATCTTTGGTATACTTGTGTTTGGAAAGTATGCCTTTTTCTTTTTAACTTTCGATGCAACTAACTAAATCTGCTGTGAACATGTACTAGCAACTATATGGTTAAGTGTAAGAGTAGCGTTATGCTTGTCCGGAAAATACGTATAAAAAGTTCGGGGCGTCGGATCAAGGCGTTGTGAAGGGGTGGCTCGGTGGTTCCCTCACTCTATGCAATCCCCTCTGTGCTCAATTCGAGCCGGAGTGTTCTGCGAGTAAGTAAGATTTACGTGTGCTTCCTGTTCCCAAAATGCAAAATGGTGCTTCGGGGGCGGCAGTTGGGGGATGTGGAAGCCATCAGGCCGAAACTACACGGCAAATGAAGAGCCTCACAATTGAAGGCTTTCAGCGATCGTATCGACAGAGGAAACGGCATTGGCAGAAGTGCATCTTGTCTCAGGGGGAGTACTTTGAAGGAGACCATATTGAAATACCTGAACAATTTTAAAATAAAGTTGTTAATCCACTTTTATATGTATTTGCCGGACAAACCTCGTATATGTTTCACATTTGACTATACTACAATGTAATTGTAGGTTAATAATTATTATTGTTATTGATAAGGTTTCCATGTTGAGAAACTGGACATTGAAGTGCCTTTTGGATAACTAAACTTGTACTATATATTTTTGGCACATAGGGGTGAAAAAAACACACCGTAAGCGCAGAAAGGTAAAAATAGTGCCTCAGATCGATCTAGATGACTACAGTATTCCCGGAGATCTAGAATTTGACTCTGAAGAAGATGGTGAAAGTGATCAATTATCTTCTGATGATGAACAAGATGCTGCGGAGTCCGAGGATGAAAGTCGAGTGACAACTCCGCCCTTGTGGACGTTGCCTCTTTATTCCATGCTATCTATTCACAAACAACGGAGGGTGTTCCAACCTCCCCCACCAGGATGCAGGTATAATTGGAAGCAACTTTATTTTTGGTCATAGATGTTTAGTGAATTGATTTTAAAAAGCAAATAATATTGTTTGTTTCTGTGATAGGAATAATCGAGCGAATCATACTTTAGTTTAGATCAGTTCGATAAAGAAATGGGTTGATATCCGATATTTTTCAGTAAGAGAATGTAAATAATAATAATTTGTATTCCGACAGGTTTGCATCCAATCACAGAAATAACAATAAGGAATTCAGTAACAGTTTGTCTTATTAACAATAGATATACTAAGTGACATATAAATCCGAACACCCAGTTTAAATGGTTTTATTTTAATAAAAGTTGGTGAATGTATTTATCTTACTGTAAATAACAAGTGAAAAAATTTTCAGCCTTATCAGTTGGACATTCCGGTTTTTATACTGCTTTTTTTAATTCACTAACGCTCTAAAAATGAATATTTCAGCCGCAGTAAAGAATCAACGTTGGCGGATTTTGGTTCTTGACATCCTTTACGATCGGTTACGATGCCTAGAGTACGGAGACCTGTACGATTTCGTCAACTTAGTGAGTTTGATAGGGGCCGTATAGTGGGACTTCGGGAAGCTGGACTTTCTTTTCGGGCAATTGCAGTTAAAGTGCAAAGAAGTGTAGACACTGTGGTTAGGTGTTGTCAGGCATGGCTTCGAGAAGGCCGTACGCAAAGAGCAAGGGGCACTGGACGCCGCCGTAGAACAACAGACCGTGAAGATCGCCGCCTAAGATTATTGGCCTTAAGGGACCGTTTCTCCACTACCAGGTCCATTGCAAATGAATGGTTTGCACGGAAGACCTATTGGCATGCGAAGTGTTTATCGACGAATGAGAAGTTTTGGCTTGTTTTCATACCGGCCACACTGGGTCCTCCCTTTAACTCGAGAACACCGACGTAATCGCCTTGAGTGGTGCAGAGAACGGTCACTCTGGGATCAGGAATGGAACAGTATTGTCTTTAGTGACGAGTCTCGATTTTGTTTAGGCATGCACGATGGTCGTGCCAGGGTTAGAAGGCGACGTGGTGAAAGGAGGAATCCACAGTTTTTTGTTGAAAGACATGTTCATCACACTGTTGGAGTTATGGTTTGGGGTGCTATAGCTTATGGTTCCAGGTCACCTTTAATCTTCATCAGAAGTAACATGAACGCGCAGCGTTATATCCACGAAGTTCTAGAACCCCATCTTTTACCCTATCATTCGTCTTACGGTCTTATGCCTGAATGTTACGTCCCGCATAGTGTAGGGAGTCCTATGAATCGACGGCGCTTGGGCGTTGGGTCCATGGTGGAGTTGGCAACAAAGACATTGACAAGCCTTAGCTTTTGAATCGGTTACAATCGCTCCATCATGACACATAAGTGTTGGAAGGCCCCTCTGTGAGAAGTTCCTTGCAATCAGCTTGGCCAGCGTCCAGAAAGACGGACTGCTATTGTGCTGCGACATTACCCTGTGCCTAACTTTTATAAAGTTCTGGTCGTTGACATTTGCGAACCGCTTCATTATATTTGTTTCTGGACTCGACGTCGACTTATCTGTTCCCTACAGCGGGGTTTTGTATGAAGGTTCCGCGTGCCTTGATCTTCTGCTGGCGAGATTTGTTGAACCAGCCGTTGGACTCTCGCTTGGGTACTTTCACTGTATGAGGGATGTGTTCCTCCATCCAACGTGTATAATTTCGGTTATCGAAGAAGAGACGCATCCGCGACAGCGAAACAAACAGCTCTTCAAGGAAAGGTGGAGAACCCAGTCGGCATGTCCGTAATGCCAATTTTTGCGACCTGGGCGAGTTTCTGCTGCCTAAGCTCCACAACACCGTGGTCTGAGTTACCCAGGGGAGAGGAGCGGGGCTGTAAGAGACAGGATACGAGGTCAGAAAGAGATCCAGCAGGCTACTGACTTATGACGAAACGCGGGGAAAAAAGTAGTGCTCGTCACCAGCTGGGTCTGCCCTTGATTAGGGGACGGTTCAACTGCAAATTTTAATTGTATGAGTCTGTTTGACTAACTTGATCCGTTTAATTTTACTCTTATACATGTTCGTAGCTAACTTTTTTCTCAGAGGGGACAACTTGTGCTGAACATAATACGAGGGATGTCTTTTAAGTTTTGCATATGGAAATAAAACAACACGGTAGGTAGTTTTAAATGACTTTATTGTTTTTCGAAGTATTCTCCATGAAGATTAATACACATCTGCATGCGCTCGAACCAATTTTCGAAGCACTTATTCCACTCGTTTGCTGGCAGATCCTAAACGGCATTTTTGAATGCGTCAACTGCTTCTTCTGGTGACTGGAACCTTGGACCACAAAGTCTGTTTTTAATTTAGGGACTATATGGAGGATGGTCCAATCATTCCACGTTTTCTTCTGTTAAATACTGCCTTGTTTTGTGGGCTGTGTGCGAGCTTGCATTGTCTTGGTGGAGGATGATTCTTCTTTCGGGGTTGATTTTTCGAAGCTCGGTTGATGACTTTTGGCAAACAAATGGTGGTATACCAATACGCAGTAACAGTTCTTTGCTCATTAAGAGGTATTGTTGCAATATGACCCGCTTTTGACACAAATGTCGCGACCATTTTTTTCGAAACACTTCAAAAACGGCTTTTCTTCACCTTGGAACACCCAAACAGCCGACTGTCGTCTATTTTCTGGTTCATAACAGTAAATCTACGATTCATCACCACTAACAATGCTGTACACATTCTTTGAGTTTTCGGAATTGAAACGGTCAAGCGTTTTTTGACACCAATTAACCCTGGCTCGAAAATGTTCTCGGTTGAGTTACATTTTTCTAATGTCTTGGTGACACTTGAAAATTCACTGTAGTGAGAACACTGCACGTATTGTTGTGAAACTTTGAATTTAAGTTTACTAAAGAGTGAGATTAAGATTCAGTACTGACGTTCGATCCGCGCGGCCTAATATGTTTCTATATGCAAAACTTAAAAGACATCCCTCGTACTTCATGAACTGATGACGCCTTGACGCCTTTTTTCGTTGATATTTTCTCGCACATTAGCTTTGTTGTTTCAAGCAGTATTGTTTCTAGAGAGGAAAGTGTCAACTTTCAAAACACTGTATTTATACGCCATGAGTTCTGTCCCATGATAATCTCATGATAAAAATGAAACAAGATAAGATATATTTATATGAAAGATATTATTTATTCGACAACATTTTTAGAATTCATAATCAAACAGTTTTATTCAAAATGTCCCCCCTTGGCCTTCACACACTGCTTCAATCTCGCGGGCCACTCATCTATCACTGCACGCACAGCTTCCAAAGGAATAGCTGCCGCTGATCGGATCAAATCCGCTTTCAGGGACTCGATATTACGGTGGGCTTTGGAACAGGCCAATTGCTCTAGCAGGTCCCACAACTTGTAGTCTAAAGGATTGAGGTCCGGACTCCCTGAGGGCCAATCTTCCGCAGCAATGAACTCTGGCACATTGCTTTCCAGCCAGCGCTGCGTACTCTTAGCCTTGTGAGCGGGGGCGGAATCCTGCTGGTAGACCCAGTGTTGGTTGGCAAACAATGTACCACTTAAAGGCTTGACGATAGGATCCAGTATGTCGCTCTGATAGTTTGCCGCTTTTGTTTTCACGCCCTGTTTACAGAAATGGAGCTGAGTGACCCCTTCGTAGGACACCCCCCACCAAACCATGACTGACGCAGGGTGGTGGCCTCTCTCAACTCTCGGAATGATCTCCGAAGCTTCCTGTGAACTCCTTGCATACACTTTGTCATTTTGTCGGTTGAATTTTTCTTCTATGGTGAAGATTTTCTCATCCGTGAACAAAATCTTTCGGAATCCCCCAGCTGCGTACCTCTCCAAGAGCTTCTTGGATCTTGTCGCCCTGATGTGTCGCAAGGTGGCCGTAAGTCGCTGGCCCGTACGTCTCCGGTAAGCCCCTAGCCCTAGGTCTTGTTTAATGATGCGCGACATCGTCCGGACAGGAATCTTCATTTCCCTGGATAGGATCTTCTGCTTCCGGAGTGGATTCCTTTGAATCCTGGCTTTTACGGCTTTGATGGCTGCTGGAGTCCTTACTTGACGAGGTCTTCCGCTTCTTGGCCTGTCATCAACAGAGGACGTCTCATTGTACCGCTGAATGGTCCTAGACACAAATTTACGCGATATTTGAAGGCCGCGTAAGAGTTCAAAAATCTGACTAGCACTGTGATTACACTTATGTAAAGCTATCACTGCAATACGGTTCTCTGCCTTGCCCCACTCCATCGTTATGCTTCGAGAGATCAATACAAACTGAGGTATATGTAATTACCCGAAAAGCGCTTAATCAACTGACACCACAATGTAAACAATCGGACAAGTATTAACAGGTCTACACTTGTTTGAAAACGAGGGACAGAACTTATGGCATGACTACGTAGATGCTTTTCAGAAAAGTCAGATTGAGAAAAGTATCTAAAACGTATAATTCTTCCAGTGTACGATTTAATAGATAATTCGAAATTTAGATTTTTGTTTTGTGTAATGTTTTTCTTTAAAATTGTGTGCAGGTTGTGTATCGTGAGCACAAACGTGGCCGAAACGTCGTTGACGATCCCGGACGTGAAGTACGTGGTTGACACAGGCAAATGCAAGGTGAAGTTGTACGATAAGGTAACGGGTGTGACGGGTCATGTGGTACACTGGTGTAGTAAGGCGGCCGCAAACCAGAGGGCAGGTAGGGCGGGTAGGACGCAGCCAGGACACTGTTATAGGTGAGAATTTTGTTAGACAGGCCATTGTTGGATTACCGTTGTGTTCTGTTTACCGGTTGTTTCAAATTCCACTCTCACTCCATTGTGACCCCGGAAACGGCAGCAGATACGAAGTCTATTAAATTTGGGCAAAGTTGCGCTTTTATATAACACTGGTGAACAAAATTAAAATAATTTTTTGTGACATGTACAGAGCAAGGTGGTTATTGTGTAAAACGTACCCAAAAAGCCGGAAATAGCAATCGATTTTTTCTATCACCCACGGTTTTCTTGCAGTAAGACATTCTATTTGCTGCTTATACTCATAAAACATAAGGATATGTGTGTAAGAGTACTAATAAATATTAATCTCAGAGTGTTGTCGATGTTTTATGGCGATATGTTGCTCCTGAAGTATCTCTTAACAATGTCCAGCAATAACCAGCAAGCAAATTGACACTCCATTTGCATGGATACCGTTTTTCCATAGCAGAAATGTCTTGGTGGAATCGTTCGCCATGTTCATCAATTACCGCACCTAAATTTTCAGGAAAAAAATCGAGATGAGAATCCAAAAAGTGAATTTTTAGAGACATGTTACATCCCATTCTTTTATAAGCATTAATTAGTTTACTGACAATATCTTTATATTGCCTAAAAAATTTGCAGTAACTGATTTAAAAGCATTCCAAGCTAGTAATTCAGTTTCATTTAGAGCACTGTCAAATACATCATCCTTCATGATTTTCCGTATTTGTGGACCCACAAATATGCCCTCTTTAATTTTTGCCTCACTAAGTCTCGGAAATGTTTGTTTTAAATGCAGAAACCCTCTTCCATTTCGATCCATAGCTTTCACAAAAATTTTCATCAGTCCCAACTTAATATGCAAACGTGAAAGCAACACGTTTTTGGAAACAACTTGTGGTTTATGAGCAATGTTTTTGAGGCGCGGAGTTAATACCTGACGTAGTGGCCACTCCTGTTCATAATGACGATCTCGCGCACGACTGTCCCATTCACAAAGAAAACAACAATATTAGGTATATTTCACTTGCATTCCAAAAAGAAGCGCTATTACCTTTAAATCTGCACATATGGCCCATCCATATTTATTATAACGTATCATATTTTCATATGATTCCTTCATATGAACTGCGTGCGCTATAGGTACAGATAGATATTTATTACCGTTGTGTTCCAATACCGCTTTTAAACTAAGCTTAGAGGAATCAATGAACAGACGCCAATCATTTGGATCATGTTTCTGTCCTAACGCGTCAAACAAATTGTTGACATCGGAGCAATATATCAACTCCCTTTCTTGATGGAAACACTGTGTGAGGTCTTGTTGCCGTTCTCGGTAAAAAGTAGTGTTAACATCACCATGGAGAAGATTCCATCGTTTTAATCTTGACGCTAAAAGTTCTGACTGGGATTTTGACAGAGTAAATTCTCGAACTAAGTCATTAAGTTCGCCCTGTGATCAAATGCGGCGCTGTTGAACAACCTGGCAGGTCAAACGAAGGATCGGAAATTCTTACGCTTTCTGTAACATCACTTTCAGAATCGGTGAATTCGACTTTTTCATCCAAAGACCAAGATTCTGGTGGAACTGGGACAGAAAGTTCATCACTATGTTTAAAGGGCCGCAAAACTGATGGTAAATTAAAATAGTTAACAGTATGTTTCGATTTTGGTCCAATACCTCTAATATTTGTGAGGCAAAAATAGCAATCAGTAGTATGGTCTCTCGGTTCTCTCAAAACGGGACCTCGGCTGGCCGCGTGGGTCAGAGTGTCGTGCTACTGATCAGCCGGCCGGCCGGGCCGCGAGTTCGAATCTCGCCTTCGCCATGGATGTTGTGTGTTTGTTTTAGGCAGCAGCGGTGGCCGCAGTAGTAGACCCTTCGGTCTCCTGATCAGCCGCCGTGCGCTGTGCGGGTTCGAGTCCCGTCCCAGGAGAAATGTTTCTCTTGGCCATGGATGTTGTGATTGTCCGTAGGTGGTAGATGGTCTCTGACTGTCGAACGCGGAGGTACCACCCGGCGGTTCTCGTAGGCGGAGCCAGAATGTGTGCATGTTGCATGCACACGTGTTCCCTCGCCAGAGTCCGTGTGGCGTCCCCCCTTTCCCATGTATCCCCCATAGCCCCACGGTACCCAATGGGTGCTTAGGCCTTGGCCTTCGTGGTAGTTGGAGTATAAAAAAAAAAAAAAAAAAAAACCATTGGTACCGCAAAGGGCATTTTACGATTGTCGTCTCTTAACCAACCTGTTAACAACGTTACACAAGACTTACAACATATATGAGGGGCCCATAGTTTATCTTGGTCGCCAACTTTAATTCCAAAACAAAGTTCGTATAATTTCAACACAAGGGGAGTAAAAGTACGTTTTTGGGATTTAAAAGTTAGCTCTTCGCACACATAACTAAAACTGTTCGCACTATTTACACAATTTCTAGGCATTGTCCATAAAGCTAGTCTCGATCACAATAAACTAAAAACAGTCTACTAAAAAACATAGAGCTCGCATATAATAAACAGGAATAGACAGGTCTTAACATTATATATGTGCGTCATCGCATAAACGCCGAGAAATGCAGCAATATGAGATGCTACGTATTTTAATTCATAAAAGTAGATGCTACCGAATATCTGTGGGTGATAGAAAAATTCTGTTTTTAGATTTGATTTAAGGGTCTCAAAATAAATAAGATACACCCAAAAATTGTCATGTCACACAATCCTGTGTTTATCAGTGTGATTAAAGTTCCGTAATTCCGAACATTTTCGAAGAAACCGGATTTTCCCAACATCGTTTTTAATTTTTCCCGACTCTAAGATGGTTCTTCAAAATTCGACTCTCATTATCAGTGAGGACAGTATCCATTTCGTGAAGTCGTTCCTCCAAGGCAGATTACAAATAGTCAAGGCTGCTGGGGTATCATCAGCAAAAAGTAGGGTGGAGTATGGTGTCCCCCCAAGGGTTTTAGGTTCCATTCTCTATATTTATAAATGACCTTCCACTTATCGACTCAAATTATAGATACACGCTTTTTGTGGATGATACAACTTTTTGTTCTACTGCAGATAATTTTGAGAAATCCTACAGAAACATACAGGTGGTGCGCCTTAACTCTGACGAGTGGTTTACTGCTAATAAGACGCTGATTTTTTGTTTTAGATTTATTTATAATGATTGCTACACTTATATTTTTTTTGAAAACTAGAACAATTACATAACATACAGATATTTAGAACAACAAAATTTGCAATTCTAAGAATTTTCATTGTCCATGAGATATTCCTTTAATTTTATTTTAAACATTTTTAAATTACAAGCAGACTTTATATCATTGTTTAGTTTGTTAAATTCAAGTAATCCTTTCTGAAATATTGATTTGCTAGTTATATTACTATCGCAATTTTGTAAATAAAAATCTATATTTCCTTTTGGATGATAATTGTGGTAATGATTATTCAATTCTATGTAGTGTTCTAAATGTTGTGGCAAAATGATTTTTTATTTTAAATATAAAAATAAGAACCAAATATCATATGATTTTTTTATACTTAACCACCGCATTATTTTGCAGGACTTGTAATTTTCAGAATCCACCTTCATTGGCAGAAAACAAAATAGTTGAATGTAGTAAATGCGGTAGAGTAATTGTATTATAAACCGTTTTTTAAGGCGATTCTCAAACTTTAGTTTACTATCAATATATGTGTATATACCTAAATGTCCAATTGATTCAATTATTTCAATATTTCTCCAAACTGTGGTAGGTATTTCCCTATTAGCATACATTGTGTTTTAGAAGCATTCAATTTTAGTTTATTTACATTTAACCAATTTATGATTTAGCATTTAGCATTCTTAAAACAGTGTACAGTGAAAGCTCTCCTTGCGGACAGCTCCTATAAGCGGACATCTCTTTTAACCGGACAAAGTTCCTGGAACCGAATTTCAGCCATCAATTTTCAATGTTAAATGCATTCCGATAAACGGACGCTCTTATAAACGGACCCGGACACTAGATTTTCCTGTATGTGATCAAAAAATCTCCCATAAGCGGACGCGAAACTCTAATACCCGGACGATTTTTTAGTTCCGCTTATTGCAATGCACATATCTACATACATAAAATTCGGTAATTCCCAGATTTATATTAGGTGATTCCCCATTTACGCATTTCGTTGGGTAGCCTGTATGTAATCTTGTGGCTTGTCTTCAGTTCAGGCAAACTCGTAGTATTATTATTTTATTATTACGTATTTTATTATTGTAACTGTAAAATGGCACCAAAAAAAAAAGAATGCTCTCGTTAAAGGAAAAGATGGAAGTTGTTAACGTATTAGACAGAGAAAGTGTTTCAGTTCGTCATTTGGCAAAGAGGTTTAATATTGGGAAAACGCAAGCAGCTGAAATTGCCAAAAATAAGGAAGATATCAGGAGTAAATGGCAATCAGGAACTAATATAAATCAAAAGAAGGATTTTTTATAAAAGGAAGGTTTTGCTATGGACAAAACATGTTTTGAGTGGTTTGTGAAAGCTAGAAGTCAGAACATTCCAATCTCAGGGCCGTTAGTGAAAATGAAAGCTAAAGAAATCGCCACTACTTTGGGCTATAATAATTTCAGTGCGTCCGACGGGTGGCTGCAAAAGTGGCGCAAGAGACATAGTGTGAGTTTCAAATGCATATCTGGCGAAGCTGCTGCAGTAGATCAAGTTGATGTGTCACAATTTTTGGAGAAACTTCCGTCCATGTTGCTTGGCTACAAACCAGAAGATGTGTACAACGCAGATGAGAGTGGACTTTTTTTTCGCGCATTGCCCGACAAAACTCTGTCCTTTAAAGGAGAAACATGTGTGGGTGGAAAGTTGTCTAAAGATAGACTAACCATTTTATTCTGTGCAAATATGGCCGGTGAAAAATGCGATTTGATTGTGATCGGGAAAGCGGCTCGTCCCCGTGCTTTAAAAAACGTTGCTATTAAGGATCTACCAGCGACTTGGAAATCCAACAAAAAGGCATGGATGACCCGAGAAATCATGTCTGAGTGGTTAGTCGAATTCGACCGGAAAATGAGAATCCAAAAAAGGCAAGTTCTTTTATTTTTAGACAATGCATGCTCTCATCCTCGTGATATGAAAATGAAAAATGTGAAAATTATATTTTTACCGCCAAACACAACTTCTGTTTGTCAGCCCATGGATCAAGGTGTCATACAGAACTTTAAATTTTATTATCGGCACTTGATTTTGAAACATATTTTTACAAAAATTGACGATGGTCAAAGCTTATCTGAGCTTACAAAGTCTGTCAATGTGTTAGAAGCTTTGTATTTTATAAAAACAGCATGGAATAAAGTAAATTCCTCTACAATTAAAAACTGTGTTGGCAAAGCTGGATTCAGAAAAAGTGAATGTAGCTCAGAATTTGCTGAGCAAAATTATTGCGATGCTGAAGACGATCTGCCCTTAGCGACACTTGCTCAGTTACTGCGACATGCCAAACATTTAGGAGTAGCAGATCCCCAGAAAGTAGATGATTTCCTGGCCATAGACAATAACATAACAACAGAAGAAAATGCCATTGGCAACTTTTCGAATTTGGATGTAGAAAGCCCAGGCCAACTTGAATATGGTAGTCCAAACAACTCAGAAGAAGAAGTGGAACTGGTGGACTCACTAAGCGGTTCAAAAACGATAAATTCATATGGGGAAGCTCTAAATCATATTTCTATATTGAAAAAATTTGCTAAAGATGATTTCACTGCATTTCAACATTTGAAAAATTTAGAAAGTTATTACGAAAATTGTCTCCTTCAGCAAAAGATGGTGAAATTTCGTCAGACAAACATTTTAAACTTTTTTCAACAAGCTAAAGAATAATGTTTTTTTTAAATTCTCGTACCATGTATTGAAGCATTTATGTTTTTGTATGCGTATATGTACATATATTATATAGATATAATAGCATAAATACATACTTTGAAAATGTGGCGAGTTTCTGTTTCATTTTTCTCATGATTATAATACCTCATTTCCTCATGATTATATATCCCGTTATTTATACTCTATACTTACATACTCTCTTTTAAACGGACACCTCCCATAAGCGGACAAAAGTTACGGAACCGTGAGTGTCCGCTTATGGGAGCTTTCACTGTATATACTTTCATCTGATATGTATATTAATGGTGTTATCGCTGTCCATCGGACCATAACTGAGATGTCCTATTTGAATACCTCGCTGTCTCAGAAAATCCAACTGTTGGAAAAAGTGTAAAAAATAGTGAATGTATGATGAACATATTCTGAGCATATTTCTAATCAGATGATCGATTTCCTCTTGACGTATCTCATTCCAGACTACTTGTACCTCGTGACGAAGTACCGAGTTGATTGTCTCCAAAATAGGCCAGGACGAAAATTGGAGAAAACATGGGCATGTTAATGTACTTTTTTTTTGAAAACCGTACCGTTCCGAGGTCGAGAGTCGAATTTGAAAAACAAGGCACATGTGGCTATTTTCCAACCTTATACATCAAAATTACTGATCAAATACTTTTTCTAACCTATCATCGTAAGCCTCCAGGGAATGTTGACATCTATGAAAAGATAAGAACTTTGGCGTGTTTGCTGGTGTGTTTCTACTTAAGCGCGAGTACTCCTACAAGCGTACAATCAATTCCGATGTTACACTAATATTCCTATCCAAAGGAGGAAATCTATGCAAAAGAAATAGTAGTAATTTTTTCAGGTTTGTCTTTTTTCCTTTCGCGCATCTACTTCATCGCCCCTGGAGGGCCTCTCACGGGGTTACCATTATTTCCAATAATACACTGGTATTCCTTATCATCGCGGGAATCAAACGCGTCATAATATACGAAAAAAAATGACTGTGGTTTGTTTTATTCCCTCTAATCTGTTCGTGCACAGGTTGTATTCCAGTGCAGTGTTCAACGATACATTCGCTGAGCACTCTCCACCTGAGATCCAGCAGAAGCCCGTGGACGATTTGTATCTGCAAATGAAATGTATGAACATCGATAAGGTAGTCAACTTTCCCTTTCCCACCGCTCCGGACTTGATGCAACTGAAGACGGCCGAACAAAGGCTCAAAGTCTTAGGAGCGTTAGATGAAAAAGGGAACGTCACACTATTAGGTTAGTCCTCTAAGACGAAAGTCATATTCATTCAGAATTTTTTTATTAGCATCTTATATCAAGGTTTGTATATATTTAAATTACTATGAATCAAGTAAAAGCTCTAACTGCACCAGGAATTTGAAAAATGTCAAGTAGGTTTACTTTGCACTTCCCACGCAACGCCGTTATCGGTTCTGAAAGGATTATGTTCAGCGCAAACTTGAGAAATGTCATTTAAACAGCCCTATACAATATTAGTCCGTAGACATTCTCCCTCTCTCTCCGATACTTCACCCAGTCAGACGTGGCAACGCGGTCAGAGCATAGGAAACACTATGCTGTGCCGCGGCAGAAATACGTGTAATACGATACCAAACAACAGTGATATAGTCTGGAAAAAACAATGTTGAAATCGCTTTAAAATAAACTAAGCTCCAAATACTTTCCAAGGTCTTGTAAAGCAAGTCTTTAATTGTAATTTAGATACATGGCGACTTAAAAAATCATAATTTTTAACCGAATTTTGAAGCATTGAATAGACCCGCACGGTAACCCGGATAAAATTTTTCTAAACAATTTTTTTAAATAAATTACCTATTTCGAAATTTTGGGATATCCTGTATTAAATTTGATCAATTGTTCACTGAGAAGCAGTTATTTTCCTGAAAATTTGAAATGCTCTACAATAACATCAGTTCCCAAAATAAAAAATTCTAAAAGATGCAGCGATATGAGACCAGTAAATGTGTTACCAGACATTGAAAAATTATTAGAGTCCATAGTGCATGATCAATTAATGCAGTTTATAGAAGAATACAAGATTTTAGTGGAGGCGCAAGCAGGCTTTCGAAAAAAATATTCCACAGAAACAGCTTTCCAGTTGGTAACTGAGAATTGGAGAAGAGCATAGACTCAGAAGAAGTTGTCATAGCAGTATTTTTGGATTTGAAGAGGGCATTTGAAACGATTGATAGAGATATTTTGTTAGGTAAATTGAAGGCATATGGTATAACAGGAAGTGTTTTAGATTGGTTTAGAAATTATTTGTCTAAAAGGATGCAAGTTACAAAAGTTAATGACACTATTTCATCAAAAATTGAAAATACGTTGGGTGTTCCACAGGGCAGTATCCTGGGACCACTTCTTTTTATTTTATACATAAATGATTTACCTGCCATAGTCAAAAAATGCAAAATTCAGATTTTCGCCGATGACACTATGATTTATATAAGTACTAAAAATATTCAGTCTGGTATCTCTTATATAAATGAAGACACTATGATTTATATAAGTACTAAAAATATTCAGTCTGGTATCTCTTATATAAATGAAGACTTGAAGCTTGTCTCAAAATGGTTAGCATCTAACAGACTAAAATTAAATGCAAGCAAAACGAAAGCCTTGTTAACCGGAAAAAAACAATGTACAAATGTCCAACTGAATATTGATGGTGAAGATATTGAATTCGTAGAAAATTTTAAATACCTGGGGGTTTTTGTTGACTCTCGATTAATTTTTGATATTCATTATGAAAAAGTTATAAATAAGATTAGTAGTAAAGTGGGATATTTATCGAGAGTTTCTGGATGTCTGAGTTCATATAGCAGAAAAATTATCTTTAATACCATCATTCTTCCAAATTTCTTGTACGGTTCGACTATTCTATATTTAGCAAATAATTCCATTTTTGAAAGACTGCAAATTTTACAAAACAAGTGCATGAGAATAATACTAAATAAAGATAAATTTACTCCAATTAGGCAAATGCTTAGCAAATTAAAATGGCTCAATGTAAAAAAATTTATAAAATATCTTGTAATGATATTCATTTATGAAATAAAAAATAATGTATTTCCATCAAGTCTAACTAATTTAACATCATCAAATGTCGACCATCATTTAGATAATACCAGAAATAAAGATGACTTCCATTTAATGACCAAAAAGTATGACATATGCTACAAATCTGTATTCCATCAAGGGTTGAGTGAATATAATAAATTATACTCGGAGATAAAAGACCAGAAAACTTTGACAAAATTTAAAGTAAAATTGAGAAATCACTTGTTAAATCTACAATTATAGGTTGCCCAGCATTTACATCATACACCATATGGCTTGAATTTACTAGTTCTAAGTTGTTTACAATTATTCTGTTTATGTAGCCAAATGTGCTAAATAAATCTTTCTACTACTACTACTTTCCAGTTTTTTTGATTATTTCGAACAAAAAAGCTTCCATTAACTTCTTCAAAGCTGACCATTTTCGAGCGATAAGCGATTTAATGTCTGAAAAGCCCTAAAAATGAGTATATTCAATGCCTAAAAACTCGGTTAAAAATTATGATTTCCCCATGTATATTTCTATATTTCAAAGCGTTTTTTAACCTTATGTATTAGTCCAAAATCGGCGAATTTTTGGTATTCGCAAACTGTACATGCCATGTAACATCACAAAAACATATCTCATTTTCGAAAATCTTCACGATTACAATACTTGCACAACAGTAGACGTGGGAAGTGAAGTAAAAAAAAACTGGCGTATGACAAAATATAAAAAAGATTGTATCAGTTATTAACTGAGGCAGAATGAGAAAACATTTAGTTTTTGTTAATGATTTAATTTATTTTTAGGCAGAGCAATCTCGAAATTCCCAGTACTGCCTCGTTATGGGAAAATGCTAGCTTTGAGTCATCAGCAGGACCTGCTCCCGTATACGGTCTGCTTGGTAGCAGCTCTTTCTGTGCAAGAGGTCTTGCTTGAGGTTAGTATTTATCATCCTGTCAGAAGGTACAATTTGATTGGGGTTTCAACTTCGAGCGCCAAAGTGATCACGTGGCAGAATTGGGGGGTTGAAGTCGACGAGCATGCAGAACGACTAAAGAGCCCGCGCCTCGCCTATAAACAGTGACAGCAGTCAAATTTTTCAGTAGAAATCAAGGAAACGATGACTCTTCTGCTCTTCCGTCAGACTATGCGATACCCAGAGAGAACAAAGTTTCCTTACGTGTAAATAATCATGCAGAATTGAATGAGTTGCTGGTGTGAAGGTGTAAGTCTTCTCTATCTGTTGGTATGTCAATCTCCGGTCTTCGTCAAGCATTTTCGCGGCCTTCCTTCCCTCTCAGCGTTCTCCAGACTGAAATTGCCCCTTTGGGATTCTCTGTACCACCTGAATATAGTCGTACGATGGGGACAATCATTCTTTAATGCAAGTGTCATTTTTCTAAGCACTGGTCTATGCGTAAACCACGCGTAAACTTTCATGGACATGTCTCAACATACAGTCTCGTGCGTCCGTTTGATAAGTCGTATTGCAAAACTTTTCTAGTACCCTTTGTGTTACTGGATTTTGAATGGTGTAATCCAGGGGAGTATCTAGAACATATTTTTGGGAGGGGTCCATCTGGTGTAGTTCAAATTAACCGCTTAAAAAGTTCTAGGCGGGTGCACGATTCATGTTCAGGAAAATGCCCATCTCGGAGGGGTATTATTGGTGATTGAAATTTGCGGAGCGGGGGGGGGGGGGGTTATCGGCGATTCAAAATTAAGCGGGGGGAAAGGGGAAGGTTGAAAAACACGTTCGAAATTTTTTTGAACTAAGAAACCCCACCCTGGATCCATCAATGGTATAACCTCTACCCATGTTGACAAGTGTCAAACGATTCGAACGTCAATGCTCATGCTTACACTGTAGGTAGCCAAATGTTTATAATTATTATGCTACGCACATAACAGCATTTATGCAATGAAATATGGTGTTCTGTGGCTATCTAAGCTCTTGGCTACCTACAGTACAAACACGGCCAAGGTTGGAACACTTTATCTCCATTGGAGCTTGACGCTCTCATGAATGTACCACTTAGCTGGTACAGCATCGAGTGTAAATGTTAACACTGTATTGAAATTTGCAAAAATAGGGTGCAAAACTGGAAGTAAGCGCTTCAAGCCATAATCAGGGTAACATCTACCATTTTTATTTAAATTTAATTTACTCTAAAAACTAGTAGTAGTAGTAGAAAGATTTATTTAGCACATTTGGCTACATAAACAGAACAATTGTAAACAATTTACTAGTAAATTTAAGCCATATGGTGTATGATGTAAATGCTGGGCAACCTATAATTGTAGATTTAACAAGTGATTTCTCAATTTTACTTTAAATTTTGTCAAAGTTTTCTGGTATTTTATCTCCGAGTATAATTTATTATATTCAATCAACCCTCGACATTTGATGATGTTAAATTAGTTAGACTTGATGGAAATACATTATTTTTTACTTTATATCATTACAAGATATTTGATAAAAATTTTTACATTGAGCCATTTTAATTTGCTCAGCATTTGCCTAATTGGAGTATATTTATCTTTATTTAGTATTATTCTCATGCACTTATTTTGTAAAATTTGCAGTCTTTCAAAAATGGAATTATTTGCTAAATATAGAATAGTCGAACAGTACAAGAAATTTGGAAGAATGATGGTATTATAGATAATTTTTCTGCTATATGAACTCAGACATCCAGAAACTCTCGATAAATATCCCACTTTACTACTAATCTTATTTATAACTTTTTCATAATGAATATCAAAAATTAATCGAGAGTCAACAAAAACTCCCAGGTATTTAAAATTTTCTACGAATTCAATATCTTCACCATCAATATTCAGTTGAACATTTGTACATTGTCTTTTTCCGATTAACAAGGCTTTCGTTTTACTTGCATTTAATTTTAGTCTGTTAGATGCTAACCATTTTGAGACAAGCTTCAAGCCTTCATTTATATAAGAGATACCAGACTGAATATCTTTAGTACTTATATAAATCATAGTGTCATCGGCGAAAATCTGAATTTTGCGTTTTTTGACTATGGCAGGTAAATCATTTATGTATAAAATAAAAAGAAGTGGTCCCAGGATACTGCCCTGTGGAACACCCAACGTATTTTCAATTTTTGATGAAATAGTGTCATTAACTTTTGTAACTTGCATCCTTTTAGACAAATAATTTATAAACCAATCTAAAACACTTCCTGTTATACCATATGCCTTCAATTTACCTAACAAAATATCTCTATCAATCGTTTCAAATGCCCTCTTCAAATCCAAAAATACTGCTATGACAACTTCTTCTGAGTCTATGGCTCTTCTCCAATTCTCAGTTACCAACTGGAAAGCTGTTTCTGTGGAATATTTTTTTCAAAAGCCTGCTTGCGCCTCCACTAAAATTTTGTTTTCTTCTATAAACTGCATTAATTGGTCATGCACTATGGACTCTAATAATTTTTCAATGTCTGGTAACACATTTACTGGTCTCATATCGCTGCATCTTTTAGAATTTTTTATTTTGGGAACTGGTGTTATTTTAGAGCATTTCAAATTTTCAGGAAAAGAACTGCTTCTCAGTGAACAATTGATCCAATTTAATACAGGATATCCCAAAATTTCGAAACAGTTTTTCAGCACGTTTTTAGTAGTCATTTCGGCACAGTTGTTATTTGATTTTAAACTGTTTACTTTTTTTCTTAGATAATTCAATGATACGCTGTGAAATTTTGAAAGTGTATGCAACATTTCCCACTGGAAACTGATTTTCATATAGTCAGGTGCAGCATTGGCAGTGCCCACAATATCAACAATACTTTCCACAAAATATTCATTTAGTTTGTTTGCAATCACCAAAGAATTTGTTTCAGTACCGTTTTCGAATTGAACTTGATTTACACAATCATGCGGCTTCGAATTGATCAGTCTTTTTAAAATCTTCCACATCTTTACACTGTCGCACTTGTTATTATCGATTTGTTTATCGTAGAATTTCCTTTTTTCTTCTCTAATTACATATACACATTTATTCCTAAGAGTTTTATATACCTCCCAATCATCATTTGATTTTATGAATATACATTTATTGTATTGTTTGTCTCTCAAATTTTGAGCTGCCTTAATATTCTTGTTATACCAGGGTGTATTTTTTGTCGAGCAAATCTCTTTTTTATCAGTTGCAAGATCTAAACAAGTTTTTATATTTCGTATTATGTTGTCATATATTTTTTCCATATTCTCACCAAAATTCCAATAGCAGCCAGCAAGTTCTCGTTCAAGTTTTTCGTACTTAATAGTATTTACGATTTTCTTAATTTTTTTATCAGAAAAATGCCCTACCAAGGGCAGCATTGTCCAACTGTGATCGCTAACTTTAGGTGTATGTACAGCTTTAATCCCTGCACATTCGAAATTTACAATAACAAGATCTAACAAAGTCTCTGATAATGATGTAATTCTGGTACTCTCTTCAATTTTTTGCTTGAACCCATAATTGTTTATGGTTTCTTTCAATTTTCTTGTTTTCATGCTTTTACCATAATAATTTAAATAAAAATCACCTAAAAGTATTATATTGTTTCTAAAATTCCACATTTCTTCGCATTTTTCTTCAAAAAACGTTAAAAATGTATCCGCATCACTGTTTGGTGAACGGTAAAAAGTACAAAGATCATAACGTTTCCCAAATAATTTGAACTGTATATGTGCATACCAGTATGCATAGTCTAAAGTGGTACAATCGAATAATGTGATCTGTATTTTGTGGTAAACATAAATCACTGTGTTTAAAATTCACTAGAAGTTTTAAAATGGGACGCGCTACACTGGGGAGTTCTACGAACAAATTAATTTGAAACTGTTTTGTGCGCAGGTTCCCATAGTATCATCGGGCAGCATTGAAGACGCAAAATCAGCGAGACAACGATGGACTGCGACCAGGCAACGTTGGGCTGGGCAAGGGCAGTCTTTGATGTTAGGAGACAACATGGTGTTGCTGAAAGCAGTAGGCGCAGCCGAATTTGCGGCTGCTCGCGGCAAGTTAGAACGGTTCTGCGAGGAGAATGGACTGCGACACAAGGCGGTCGTGGAGATCAGGAAGTTGCGTATGCAGCTTACTTCGTGTATCAAAGACAACGTGCCTGATGTAGACGATATTACGGTCGATCCCGAGATGCCTCCACCCACTGATTTACAGGTATACAGGGTGATTTAAAAACAGTGGTAATGTTTCTAGGGCACATCCAAAAATATCAAAAAAAAGTTTATAAAAAAAGTATAAAATATGAGACTTTTTTCATCATTTGTATACTGTGTGACAAAAAAGGTATGTTTATTAGAATTCAATAATTTTTTACATTTCGATTTATCTTGCCATGAGCAACAATTGGTAAAATGGTCAGGTGTTTCTATTAAGTTTTTGTTTAGAAGTTTAGAAGGAATCATATATGAACAAGTCATTCAATATATTGAACAAAATAAGACATTGACAAAATTCCAAGCAGGATTCAGAAAAAATTATTCTACTGAAACAGCAATTCAAATGGTAGTAGAAGAATGGAGGCGAAATATGGACGAAAAAAAGTTTACTGTAACATTGTTCTTAGATTTCAAGAGAGCATTTGAGACTATTGACAGGAAGAAACTGCTAACGAAATTGCATTGCTATGGACTTCAAGGTTCAGTATTCAACTTATTACAAAATTATTTAATCAATAGAAGTCAAAGAACTAAAATTGGCAATACATTCTCAAACATTAAAAACATTTCGGTAGGTGTGCCACAGGGTAGCAAATTAGGTCCATTATTATTTATTTTATATATTAACGATATTCCTGATATTTTTCAACACTGCAAAATTCAACTATTTGCTGATGATACATTAATATATATATATATATATATATACGTATATCAAATAAAGACATTGAAACTGTAATAGAGCTGTTAAATAATGATATGAAAAACGTAATAAATTGGTTAAATGTAAATAAATTTAAACTAAACACAAACAAAACAAACTATATGCTAATAGGGAAATCTTTAGATCAAAATACGATAAATCTTACAATTAATCATGAAAAAATTGTGTCAATCGTTTCATTTAAATATTTGGGTATATATGTAGACAGTAAACTAAAATTTGAAATAAACATATTATTTCAAAAATATCCAAGAAAATAAATTACTTTGATAGAATTTCGCATAGCCCGAGCATTTATTCTAAAAAATTGTGTACAACACTATCATTCTTCATTTGTTATATTGTTCGACTATTTTGTTCACTGCAAATTAAACTGTATTTTTAAAATTACAAATATTACAAAATAAAGCTGTGAGAATCATCTTAAATAAAAATAAATATACTAGAATAAATTTTATGCTGAAAGAACTACAATGGTTAAATATTAAACATTTCATAGCTTACGTGGTTTTCATTTTCATATTCAAGTTAAAAAATCACTTAGAAAATTTTATTGTATTGAACAATGAGTGCCACAATTATTCTACTAGAGGAAGTCTAGACTTTCATTTACAAAACTGCAGTAGCAATATAACGAGCAAGTCAGTATTTCAAAAGGGATTGTACGAATTTAATAAGTTAAGTAATGATATCAAGATGTGTGTCAGTTTGAAAATGTTCAAAGGGAAATTGAAAAAATATCTCATGGAAAACCAGAATTCATAGTAGTGAAATTTTGTATAAAAATATGTAGTCTTGAAGACATAATATATTTTGTGATATACTGCGTAATATGGATACTATGGACATTGTAGCATTAATGCTAGATAAATCTGAAACAAACAAAGCATTACTACTATCAAATTTTATTCTTGAGTTCAAAATTATACCACCAAGACCCTCGGTAGTTTTAGGAACGACGTTTACAGGAACATTGCGTATTATTTTTGGATCTACCTACTATCTCAGAAACGTTGCCGCTGTTTTTAGACCATCTTGCATGTCCACTGTTGATGCTGAAAATAAGATGTCTGGACATGTGAAAATTTCAGGCTAAGCTCTTACGACAGATCTTACTAGCTGGTATGGGAGATCAGGTCGCGAAGAAAATTATGCCAGATGAGTTGAAGGAGGGTGAGGAAAAGGCTAAATTCAAGTACGCCTACAGAGCCAACAACATGGAGGAACCTGTGTTTCTTCATCAGGGGTGCGTAAATTTGCGTCTAAATTATTAAATCTAGTAAGTCTGGGGTGTGGAAAACTGAGTAAACGTTTTTGCTGTAAACATACAGGGTGTCCGCAAAGTTGGGGTTTTCCTTTTCAGAAACAACTACCCTTGAAATAACAAAGGTAATGTGTAGTGAAACGAGGGCGACCAAGTAAAAAAAATAAAGGAAAAAGTACTCACTCTCCAGTTGACGAGAAGGGCTAAGTACGTCTCTGCCCGAAATGATACCGCTAAAACAGAAAATGAAATCAGCTGATGCGCTACCGAGCAGACGCAGAAACGACATTGATTGTCTTACACTTAATGGCACATCTTCTAACAAGGAAGGCAAAATGTTGCGTAAAAAGTCTAGGTATTGCATCCCGTCCAATCGATTTGGGAGAATAAATGGTCCAATGAGCATACCGTTCACCATGCCAGCCCAAACATTCACCGAAAATGTGCCCGACGGACAGCGTGCGGATTTTCTACGGACCAAACATGAGTGTTGCGAAAGTTATTCACCCCATTACGAGTGAACGTAGATTCGTCTGTCACCAATATGCACTTCAAAAAGTCCGGATTATTGTCATGTTGATGCAACAACCACTCACAAAACCGCACTCTTGGTGGAAAATCGTCAGGTTGAAGGGCTTGTACACGTTGGACGTGAAACGGATACAGCCCCTCTTCACGCAGCGTTTGCCACACTTTAGTTTTTGATACTTGCACTTAGCCACGTCTCTAGTGCTTGTTGAGGGATTCTCGTCTACGCGATTACCTCTACACGCGTGACCGTAACCGTCGGTTGATGGTTGCATACTGACCTGACATACTGACCCCGACCCAGTTCTGTCGTCGGGTTGAGCCAGTGACCTTGTACCAGTCGGTGATGTCGCGGCTACAGGACGGTATTCAGATATTTTTGATGTTGAAGAGCCCTTTATTTCGGTTCCCTTAAGACATTGGTGTATATGGTACTAAGAAAAATTGCTTATGTTTTCAAGATCTACACGTCGTGTAAAGGAAAACCCCAACTTTGTGGACACCCTGTATATTATTTGAAGAAGAAAGACGCTTTACCTTAAACTTTTCAACTGGGCCAAAAATATGACATACAGTGCAATAGGGAATGAACACTGACTAAGAGGACATACGTTAAAACTGCGAAAGTCTTGTTTTGCGAATTAATTGATTATTTGCGTATCCATTCATTATGTAATTCTATAAAATCGAAGGAGCATTTAGATGTCATAAATTTGGTTTTATTACAGAAACGCTATTAAAACTTATGTTGTATTTAAAGGACGGTAAACACCTCTGAGAGTCCACCTAACATTGTTATTATGGAACATAATTATGGTCATTCTCGATGCAGGATGATCGTAACAGCCAGCTATTTACGTTATCTTGAAAATATGTCTTGTAGGTGTGTCCTGCGAAAAACCCTACCAGAGTACGTAGTATTCCAGGAGATTTACGAAACGAACAAGATGTACATGCGCGGGGTTGCAGCTATTGAACCAGAATGGCTGCCCATCTACGTTCCTCAATTATGTAACCTATCTGATCCATTGCCTAGTCCCGAACCCTCGTATCGTCCAGATACTGGTAAGAACAAGGTTCGCAAATAAAGCCTCGGAGCCTGAAATAATTTTTTTCTGGCCGTAACACTTCTAATGTCACTGAGTCTACGTAAGATTTGATTTTTATCTTATATCAGCTCTTCTACTAAAGAACAAATCATATAAACTTTCATCAGAATTCATACATTCTGAATTCTCGACTTGTCTTGATTACTAATGTTTTTCAGGTAAGATCCATTGCAATGTGACAGGTACATTCGGTCCACAGGCTTGGCCGCTTCCACGAATCGAGCTAGCTCATCCTGACGGTGCCGCTGTTTACAAGTGGTTCGCTCGATACTTGCTAGAGGGCACCATCTTTCCTAAACTTGCCAAATTTCAGCCAGTGCTCCTGAGTCGACCTCAGGTCAGTAAAATTTTGTCTATTGATATCGATAGTCTATTTGATTTTTCTATACAGGGTGTTCCTTAATGATATGCGAATGTTTAAGGGTGTGAATGAAAAATTAGTGTTAGTTTGCTTTATAAACTACGGTCCAAAAATGTTTCTTTACAAAAATTCGGGGTGTTGGAGTTTTAGAAAAAAATGGAAATTAACTAATATTTTCACACAATATATTCACACCCTTAAATATTCGCATATCATTAAGGAACACCCTGTGTATTTGTTATTGTACTATAATAAAATACTTTTATTATTATACGTCGATAATCAGGGAAACTGTTGTGATCACGATCCCTGGCAATTGAATTAGAAGACAGATCTCTTCAATCTCGTTAAGTTTTATAACTTATTACTATGTGATTCCGATATTCCAGTCAAAATGAAAATTAAGTTTGTAAAAATGTATACAAAGCTGAAAATTGGTACATACCTTAAATACACCATTATGAATAATATATAAAAAGCCCTTATCAATACCTGGAGCAGAACCTTGTTTTTTATGGGATTAAAAGTCAAAAATATCACGCCTAGACATATTTTTCAAAAGAGGAAGTAGATATCACAAGAATATCTTATACAAAAATTATAGAGATGCAATTATCTATAAAAGTGGCTCAGGTAAATTTATTCCTTGAGTGACATTTACTTTATTTTATTCATATATTTCTCAACAGATAAAAGATCTGATTATAGAAAACACTATACAAGTAATGAAATACAAATAGACACGCATACTAAAAAACCCTAGATGTGTGCCATAGGCCCAAATTTGGCGCCCCAGATTACTAAAATCGGGCTCTCATAAACGATGACTCAAGGAATAAAAGTACCTGATCAGCGTTTATAGATATGTGTAGTCTTTACAATATTCGTATAAATGTTTGTGCTATCGCTTTCCCTTTTTGAGAAATATGACAGCCTGATATTTTATAGATTTAATCCCAAATAAAAGAAGATTCCACTCCAGATATCGATGAGGACTTCTGATAGATTGGGCATACCAAATTTTAGCTTTTTGGGAATTTTTGCAAACTTGCAATATTTTTTGCTGTATTTGTCTGGTCTATGAATCTTTTGGCTAATGTTTAATTTTAGGTAATGGTGAAGTCATGGTCAACCCTACAGCCTAGAACCCAGGAGTTGCTTAAGGCACTGCAAACTCGTCGATGTTGTACCAAAACAGAACTGATGAATATTTGGTCACAAGATAAAAGACGTGAGTAGTTCTTACATATGCACCAAATCTTAGCTAATGTATCAGTCTGTTTGGTTCGACATTTATAATAACAACAATAATTGATTTTGTCTTTGCTACTATAATCTTTACGTAACTTGCGTTAATAGTCAAAAATAATATAATTCATATACAGGGTGACGGGAAAATAGATGCGGAGCCGGTGAGGGGAGATAGTACAAGCCAATCTGAGTCGATTTTACTATAGGAACTACTGTCCGAAAATTAGCCGTTTTCGAATTATACTAATTTTTAAGATTTTATAAAATTAACGTCCTTTATACGTTAACCAAGTCATAAAACTTGACAATTGGGTGTTTCATTTGATTTTTATTTGGTTTTACAATAAAAATATTCTAAAATACGAAAATTGATACTCAAATGTACATTATTGACGTTATCTCATGCAGTAAGATTCAAAATACGAGTAGTTCGATTTTTGTCAAAAAAATCTTCGTTCATCTCAAAAGCTTCAGTTTACTAGAAAAAGTCGCATACAAATTTTTCGTACAAAATAATTAGAAAATATCTAAGTTTCATTACCTTTCAACTGAGGTATAAAAATCATAAATCAATTAAGAATTGGCTAAAATATGACTATTATAAAAGGAGGAAGGAAAAAGCAATGAAAATACTACACTTACAAAATCATACCTTAATACAGGATCATTTGCTTGAAACTACATTCTTTTATTTTTATAATACATTTTCAATATGGGGCCCCCTATTTCTAATGCACACACGTGCTCTTCTTATGACAGCTGATTTTACTACCGCCGAATTCCTAAGAGAGGCTTGAATTTCTTGTGCTGCATGTATTATCCTGTTTCTGAGGTCTTCTATTGTGGGTACAGGATTTTGATCAGAGTATACTAAAGTTTTCATGCGACCCCACACAAAAAAGTCCATAGGTGTGAGATCGGGACTGCGTGCTGGCCATGGGATTGGTCCGCCTCTACCGATCCATCGAATCGGAAACTGCTCATTTAACCAATTTCTAGCACTTAGTCTGAAATGTGCTGGGCACCCGTCATGCTGAAAAATCATTGTGTGTCTTGTGTGTAGCGGCACGCCTTCAAGTAATTCAAATAGAACATTTCTTAAGAAATTTTCGTAGGCTTCTCCATTTAAGTTGTCGGGTAGGAAATGTGGTCCTACCAAACAGTTATTTATAATGCCCATCCAGACATTCAGACAAAATCGCCTTTGAGATCCTTTTGGTCTCTTCATATGAGGATTTCCCACTGCACGTTCACGCCAATAGTGAGCGTATGGTAGTTTGTTATGCCGTCTTTATCAAATTTTGATTCATCGGTCCATACTCACGACGGGCTTCTACAGCATTGCCTCTGGAATCTACATAGTAGAAAAGGATATCGGCATATTCTTCGAAACTGAACGGCCGCCTCCTTTGTTCATCAGCCATTGTCACACAGCAGCCAAGTCGTAAGGAATCACAGAAAACAGGGTACAGTCTAGGTCGTCAGGAAAAGAATCACGCACGGAAGTCCAACAAGAGCCAAGTCGTTAGAAATATCAAAACAGCGAGCAAACAAACACATCCGAACGCAACCAATCGCAAGAACAGATTGAAGCGAGGGAGGGAGGGGCGTGACTAGTCTTACTTATCACACTATTCCGGTGGTAAAGTCCGATGTTCGCGGCTCTACCTGTTTCTTTCACTCATATCTTTGTCATTTCTAAACCGGTTTGTGACTTTGATACCTCATTTGAAAGGTAATGAAACGTAGATATTTTAAAATTGTTTTGCAGGAAAAATTTGTAGGTGATTGTTTCTAGTAAATTGAGTTTTTGAGATGAACGAAGATTTTTTTTACCAAAAATTGAACTATTTTGAAGCTTACTGCATGAGATAACGTCAATAATGTACATTTGAGTATCAATTTTCGTATTTTAGAATATTTTTTATGTAAAACCAAAAAAAAAAATCAAATGAAACACCCAATTTTCAAGTTTTATGACTTGTTAACGTATAAAGGACGTTAATTTTATAAGATCTTAAAAATTAGTATAATTCGAAAACCGCTAATTTTCGGACAGTTCCTATAGTAAAATCGACTCAGATTGGCTTGTACTATCTTCCCCTACCGGCTCCGCATCTATTTTCCCGTCACCCTGTATATGAAAAATACATAAATGGAGATGCAAACAATATTTTTACTTGTAATGTTTTCAGATTTGCTTACTGAGTATTTGAAGTGGTTGCCGGAATCAGCTCATAGCGAAATATGTCTCATGTGGCCTCCTGTTTAATAATTTCATAGGGTGAGCATGTTTTTAAATTACGTCAAAATATCTGTTCCTGTCTACTTAGGTGATTTTGGAGTATAGGAGGAAGAAGGTGATGCAACTACGAATCGGCATTCGGGCGGCGTGTTCCCAGCTGATGGCCACTGATTCGTTTTAGAGCACTTACGAAAGTTATTTTTTGTAAATCCACAAATAGAATTAAATAAATGTATATGACTTCAATTAAAGAAAGTTGGTGTTAAGCTTGTTATTTTTCATCGACGAACGTGATATTAAGCACATTGTTAGTCAATGTAGTAGAAACATTTTCTCCAGTTTTGTCAGCACAGCATTATGTAGGCCATGTGCAAAACATTGCAGGTCCGATAAGCATAGCCCCACTCTCGCCCGGGAAATATTCCTGGATATGAATCCTGGACCACTATTCTTGAAAATGAGGGAGAGAAAAACTGAGAGGTAGTAGGCGTGGGTCTCTTCCCTGGGGAATGATCCGGAACTCTGACAGCTGTTGACATGTGTTAGAGAAGTGTGTGAATGCATCGATTTTCGCCAAAAACAATGTGTTCCTGGGTTCTTCATATCATTAAACGTGAGAGTGATGGACGACGGCGAGACTTCCGCACTTTTCTCCCGAGAATAACTCGAGGAGAGACTGTTCTATCAGTGTTCAGGAATACAGTTTCCCGAAAGGTGAGAGAACCACACTTCCTTTCTTCCAGTTAATCTACTTCCTCATTTCAAGAATCATCCCCCAAGTTCTGTGCTGTTCTGTTTTTATGCTGGGTTGTGAATCCAGAGTTGGTGTCCACTGGTTTTTGGTTTGACTTTTATGCTCCTGAACTGCTCTAGGAAATGGACTTTGGAAAATGGAGTATAGTGGAGCACGCTGAGATACTGAGTTACTTCCAGTGACTTAGGCCCATATCGTCAGTCGTCCCTACAATTGTAGGGCGCCTTTATGGCCTCCTTGATTGTCATAGTTTTCTACTTCTCCGTGTCAGCGCTCTATTTTGAGGTTATGTCACAAACACCTATTTGCATCAAATTGTGCATGCTTTTGAGTTATATCATGTCTTATCAGCCTGAAATTTCCTACAGTTTAAAAAGAAAACATATCTTCACAATAGGAGACAGCTGATGCTGACACGGGACAAGTGTAATCTAGAAATTTCCTACAATTGTAGGGACGACTGACGATACGGGCCTAAGGGTCGTATCGTCAGTCGTTCCTACATCTGTAGGACGCGTTTATGGCCTCCTTGATTTTCATAGTTTTCTACTATTCCGTGACAGCGCTCTATTTTGAGGTTATGTCACAAATATCTATTTGCATCAAATTGTTCATGGTTTTGGTTTATAACACCTGCTTTATTAGCCCGATATTTCTTACAATTCAAAAAGAAAACATAACTTCGCAATAAGAGAGCGCTGGCACTGACATGGATCAGTAGAAATCTAGAAATATCCCAGCCTTTTTGAAGGAGAGAAAAACTATGAAAATCAAGGAGGCTATAAAGGCGTCGTACAATATTGTAGGAACGACTGACGATACGGCCCAAAGGGCTAATGTCAAAAACCGACATTATGTCACTTTTCAAGATAAGTAATGCTCCTGCCGCTGGGTTATTACTTAAATAAACCTATATAATGTCAAAAAACCGATAAAATGTCAACTTGTATGCAAATAGTTCATTCCGCGCCTGCTACAGTGAACATGAGTGAACGACAGCTAGTTCCTAGTTCTAGGAAAACCTACATAATGTCATAAAAAACCTACACAATATCAAAAAACCGATATAATGTCACTTTTCACGATACGTATTGCCCCTGCCGTTCAGCCTTTTTTGCATAATTTAGTAACAAACATGCATACTTTCTTATAATTAATAGTCATAAGATTTATAATATTATATAGTAGGCAGGGGCGGATAGGGTCCATCAGATGAATTTGAAATACTTTTGGGGGATAAGGTGGAGGGTGGGGGCTTAAGATTTTATGTCCAGCAACATGCCCGTCTCGGGGTAAGGGCGTATCGGCGATTGAACATTGAAGAGGCGGTGTAACAGTGATTGAAAATTCAAGAGCAGGGGGAGGGTCGTATGAAAATTGAAAAACAAGGTGCAATTGTTTTACACCGCCCCTGGGTCTGCCAGTGATAGTAGGGATTTGAAGTAGAAAGTGTTGCGAATACATACATGTATGTGCTAAAATATTTAGATGAAAAAAATTCATAGATGCGACTAACTTAAAATGCCAGTTATTTTCAGGGCCAAAAACGCGCCTATAGGCCCTTATCTTTTTAAATCTTTTCACTTTGAAATAGTGGGTCTGCCAACTTAACAACTCACTTGGCAACACCGATAGGCACAAATCGCACATCGAAACGTTACCTGTCAAACTGTCACTCGTCAGTTTTCCGTGGCAAACTGGCAATTGGTGTGTAGTAATTTTCCAAAAAAATCTAAAAACCAAATAGTGAACAAAACTGTAACCATTAATTGAGATCTACCTAATTTTAATTTCTGAGAAAACTTGGTAATCATCTGATAAATCTACCACTCATTACGACGAATAATTGACCTCTTTCAACAACAAAAAATGCTAAAATGATTATGAACGTATTGTGGATAAACTATTACCATTGCAAATACCATTAAAGGACATTGATAACTCAAGGTATACTCTTGAACTATAGAAAAACCTTGCTATTATTAGCTGTGTATTGTCGAAGTTCGGTAGATTTTTATTTTTAGAACTCGCTACTTCTATTGTCATTTAACTTCGTGCAAATTTTGACTAACCGTCGTTGAAAAAAAGGATATGTCCTTAAAACCGAGACGAGTGGACTTTCATGCAACCTGGGGGGCCATTAAGGACACTATCAAGGGTGTAATTACTCTGGATCATGTGCCGAGATCAGTTTGGAATGATAGGTTTTCGTAAGTATATTTGTAGGTTAATTTTTCATTGGTATTTTTTCTGCTGATTCAGATACTTTGTGTGGGCATTGGTGATTTCCAAAACAATAGCTGATTTGCAAATGATATCTTTTATTCATATTCCTATTTGTAAACAAACCTGTACATAAGGTAATGATCACCTCCTAATATGTTTACTAAAAATGAGGGATGTTTTCCAAACACTGGACCAACTCCTTGAATAATATATTGAGAAGCATAAACATTACAGGAATTACATTTTCTTTTGGACTGTGGCTTCTAGTTTTTTCTATAATTTGAGGAAGATATCTAAATTTTCAAGCATGCTATTTCAAATCAGATTACTGATGAATAAGTTACTCTCATCAAGAAAAATACAGCAACTTGTAACAATTCAAGGACTCCTCACTACCCCTGAAAAGGAGCTGAATGTGTTTTCGATAGATATACAAACCAAAATTGATATTGAAATAAGAAAACCCTGAAGTCCTTGAGAAAGATACATACTTAACAGCTCTCCTCTCTTTGGTATGTTTCAAAACTATCAAGGCAGATAAGGCATCCTCAGAATCAGAAGTAATAACTATAACTATGTTGACTGGTAATTCTAAAGCTAATAAAATATTGCCACCTAGTGTTCTAAAAAGTAAACAGGAATTCTATAAAAGAAAGGATGTTTCAATTATTTAGATTAGAAATGAGTTGTGTAATGTCAAAAAATTATGCTGATTGAAATTATTTCAGTGATGTATACTCTTTATGTGTGGCCCACCCTGAGCCAATGGCTGATCGCTTATATGCAGAAACAAAGCTTTACCTTATTGACCATGTTGGTAAGCTGTTAAGTAAAGTGCAAGAAGATGGTGAGCAGAATTTACTAAAAAACTACTTTCTGTATTGGTCTCAATACTCAGTTGGGAGTCAGTATCTTCATAGCTTATACCTTTACCTCAACCAACAGCACATTAGAACACAGAAGTTGAGTGATGCAGAGATCATTTATGGCAGCTCAGATTCATCTGGAGGTAAGTGTGATGCTACAAACCAGTCTAAAATTACAAGTTATACAAAATTCCACTAATATTACACAACCTGAGCATCATCTGATTAGGTGCCTCATCAACTGCTTTACCAAAATGTATGCAGTACCAAGATTTTATACTGATTCACAATACTTGTATCATCAATAAACCTGTAGGTTTGACTGTCAGTAGTAATCAGCCAAAAGTGAGCTGGCAAGTAGATAACTTTATTATCCTCTTATAAGCAAAGCTTCTTCACTATCATTGAATTCACTATTAATTTGGAAGCTGTATAGGTATGCTCAAACATACTTTAGATTTGTCATGCTGCGGGAGTGTTCTGAAATGTTGCATGAAACTTAAGTGCATTATTGTATCTCACAAGTACTTGAAAGTACTTACTTTTTTCTTTGTTATTGACCATTTTTTCCAACACCCGTCTACATGCATGAATTCGGGGTGTCAAGCTGATCTCTGCCAGTGATCTGAAGAAAAGAAGACTAGCAGCAACTTCCTCTCTGACAAGAGACATGAAGGTTATCACTGTTTGGGGATGCTATAATCTTGTACAGTTTAGTACTTCCAAAATATAGTACTTGCATCTGCAGATGCTAGGAAAAGCTGCTATTTGTTTAGGGCTAAGAACTACTTTTCTCTACACAATCTTCTCACTCTGTACAAGGCCCACATAAGACTTGCTCACATGTTTGGGATGTAGCCACCCCAACTGCATTATCCAGGAGGGCTGTTCAGCTGATGGATGACTCTTTTCTAACGGACTGTTTTGGAACCTTTTTATACAGACTGATCGTCTGGAACTGGTCGATATGACTGCTCCTTTGCCCTTAGGTTATCGAGATTGTGGAATATTCTTCCTGAGGAGGCTTTTCCCAGTTCAGATGAACAAAGTTTCTTTAAGCTGCTTGCTGAGTACCGCAGCTGCTTCATTACATACAAAAATCATCACCCTTGCAAATAATTATATTTACAGATACTGCATTTTCATGCAGTAAAGTCCTTCCTCGTTCAAACATCATTTTATTTTTTTTGAAGAATTATTACATTTATTTCGCATTTTTTTGAGCATTATCCATTAATTTGATGAACTTTTTGCTGAAAATTAAGCTATTCCATTTTGGTTTTTAGCAGTTTTTTTAAACATTGATTGTGTATATACTTGTTTAAGCAAGTTTATCCATTATTGTCATTTTGTCATATAATAATGCTTAAGGCCAGATACAATTTTGTTGGGAAAGAAACAGAAAACTTAATTTTTTGGAGTAGCTGTTTTTTTATTTTGTGTAGTTGTGATATTTTGTCTCAAGTCAGAAGTGTGAACAACAAAAACTAATTGAAGTATCATTTTGGGTCTATTTGAACTCAGTAATTCAGTTTTTATGTGATTAAACTCTCATTAAAAGGACTCAAATACAAAAAATACAATCAACCTCTCTATGACCAATGTATAGTAATGCACAGTTAGTAAAGTTGACTGATAATTTTGTTATTACTTTGGCTTATAGATGAGTCAGGTGATGAAATATTATATTTTCCTTGTAATAATCAAAAAGGTAAGCTTTTTGTTAACTCTACTAACTGTGCATGGGTTGGGTTCTGTAAGTTTCCCTGTGAATGTGCTTCATACACATTTTGAGTGTTTAAATTTGAAAATTTGGAGAATAAACAGAAAATAATTTATCACATATAAAGTTATTTGAAATTTTGCAGGTCTACAAATATTAGTACAGTTCGAAAAATCATCATGCAATGTTTGCAAAAGATACACTAAAGTTTTACATACTCTTTCTGATATTTATCGATACAATGATAATAGCTTTAATTTGACTAAAGTGCTACTACACATAAAAGGTACACTTTGTGTGTCATCTATATCTAGTAATGGTGACTTGTCATTGCTGTAAATGTTTTTTGAGCACATTTCGTCATTTCATAATATACAATTAATCTAATAAATTCTTAATCCAGAAATTTGAAATATGAACATTTTTTCATTTTCATGAACATATTGTTATCTCTGATTTTTTGATGAAAGATCCAATAATAAAAAATTTTTAGGTTTGCAAGTATTAGCCTTGTTTGAAAAGTCAGTATGTAGACTCTGCAGTCAGTGTTGTAAGATTTTGACTAGTCTTTTTGAAATTTGTCCATGTTCTGACACGATTTGTAATATTAACAAAGTCCTAATCCGTTTTAAAGGTACATTTTGCTCGTTTTATTGAAGGATGCGAATAGACGGACCACAATTTATACTGTACAACAGCATTAAGATAAAACCGCATTGGGATCACATAAAAAGCTACATCCTTCGAGATTTTTCATTTATGCATGCATTAAAAATATGGCAAAATGTTGTGGCTTGTCGAAATTCTTAAAATCGTCCAACATTTGAAACAAAAAGATGTTCTGATTAAAATTATATCTTGGAGAGTATTACTGAAAAACAACTTCCTATTCCTTTTCTTGCAGGATAGCTTTATAGTCAATTGTAGATAAACCAGAGTTGATATATTATAAACAGAACTATATTATGGATACAGTTGAAGAGCAAAAATGCAAAAACCGATAAATCCACTTTTTAAGATTTTTGAGTTAGGCGTGGAATTCAGTTAATTTCGATATGCTCTATCCGTTTTTAAAGCCAGATATGAGCAAAAGTCGGTAAATCCTCGTGAAAGATGGTATTTCAAAAAGTTTTAAATTTGACGGAGATTTTTCTCTAGAGGTTTTTGCCGTTATTCTCAGAACTAAAAAATGGATTTATCGATTTTTGCTCTTCAGTTATACTTTGGACGTTATACTTGATTTTAGCAGTGATTTAACCATAAAGATAAGGTTTTGCCTGTATGAATATAGAGTGGCCCGTCACTTCAAGTCCTAATTTGCTTTCTGCTTTCATTTGTTGGCTGCTCTTTTTTTGTGTGAAATCATCTGATAGATGTAAGAGCTATAAGAGGCAGGAATTTTTCGTTCAAATTCTGTAATTATATAGGAATTGAAAATTAATAAGGTGAGCGCCGTATGTACTCAGATTAACAAACCAACGTTGTTATGTACTTCAAAACTTTTACTATATTTACTTTGTAATAATAATTAAAATGTTTATTCCGACAGGTTTTGCACCCAATCAGAGAAATAAGAATAAAGAATACGGAAAACAGTTTATATATATATATATCAAAGTAAGAGTGATAAATTGAATAAGAAAACAAAAAAGCATAACTAAAATAGACATATAAGATGTCCTAGTAAGGTAAAAAATGAAATGAAAAGGTTTAAGATGAGTTACATTCTGTTCACTATCATATAATTTCATTTGAAACTGCCTAAGCCCACTTGGAAATTATCAAAGCTAATTTCACATCCTTGACAATACTTATCAAAACTATTACACATTTTATTTATTGGAGGCAGGTATGCTAGATTTGTTCTTCCAGTTGGAGTGTAAAAAGTCGAGTTGAAGCGTTTCATTTGTGAGGGCACTGCAAATTTAATTTTGACGAGTAAGCCCGGACAGTCTAATCCATTATTGACTATATTATACAGAGTTGTAGTATCCTTAGTATGGCGACGGTAAAATATAGTGTCAAAGTTCATATTTTCAAGAAGCATGGTATAAGGAAAACCTCTTACATGATAAAAACTATAATCTTTGTAGTGCATATATTTTAAGTTTTTACGATTCAACTGCTGAAACAGAACTCTGAAAGACTGGATACCAAATAATTACTCCACATTCCAGCTTACCCATTATATAAGAAGTATACAGTGCTCTCACACTCATGTCAATAAAGCTAGGTCAGTTTCCGACACACTATCCCAAAACGATCATTTGCTCAGAAATTGTAAGCTTACTATCAAAAATCACCCCAAGACCTTTGAATGGCTGCTATCAAGCCATAGCTACATTATCAATCTCATAGTTGAACAGTATTGAATTGGTTTAATCAAGTTTACTAATCACACACCAGTAACTCAAACTAACAAGGACTCGTTATAATATTTAAATTCACAGAAAATGTTCACGTCGTCAGTAAAAAATAGGAGGTTTGCTTTGTTAACTGTGATGCTAGGTCATTAATATAGATTACAAATAACAAGGGTCCTAGGTTAGATACCTGAGGCATCCTCGAAGTGGCAGTAAAAGAAAATAATGTGTGCTCTCATACTCAACCTGAGTTCTGTTTGTAAATCAAATTCATTGATGTGTCTAGTGGACTTCATGACTTGTTTGCATTCACTCAAAAATTTCATATAACAAACCAACTTTCTTTTTTAAAGCTAGAATAAAATACTGACTGATCAATAGCTATTGATTTTTTAAGAAACTGCAAAACTGTCATTTATTGGCATTTAGCACTAAATTGTTGAATTGATGTTCGGGTATATTTTTCGAATGCATGACTTTAACAATCTTTTCCATAACACATTATTTCTTTAGTTTTAAAAGAATTATATCGTCTTCAAGTACTAATAATAATAGTCTTAACAAATGATTACCAAAACATACAATTCTTGAGGGCTTCGCTGAAATATCTGAGTCGTATTTTTGGACATTGTGAGCCACCTCTACTGCATTTATTGTGACGTTCCTATATTCTGCCTTATTTGCTCAGATTATATGAGCCCCTGCCCACTTCAGTTGGCCCACTTCAAGATTTGTACCAAAATATGCCATTATAAACTAAACATGACGAAACTACTCGTATTTACTTCTAAAACAATTTATTTTCTCAAAAACATTTTAGATACACTCTAGTCGTAAAAAATATATATTTGAAATCAGTTAGACCTATAACTAATAGAACATCTGAACAAATAAACAATGTGCGAATAAATGCGCGAAGTTAACAAAGCAACAATTGAAAGATTACCATTGGGTAACATCACCGTTATTTTTTATTACGGCTGAAATTCTTTGTGGAGCATAGTGTCAACCAAGTTTTGGCCAAAATTTGGTGAAAAACAATCGCATATTTCTTGAAGCTTTTGTCTCAGTTCGGTGATTGTACGAGCAGGATGTTGTCGTAGAACCTTTTTCATCTTGTGCCACAAAGTTTTAATAGGTGACAGATCTGGACTGCTAGAAACCCATTTAAAAAGTGGTACATTATTTTCTTCCATCCATTTTGTAGCCTTTTTTGAGATATGGCACGCTGCACCATCTTGCTGAAACACAAAATCTTGGCCGGATGTCTAACATTCTTCCATCACTGGTAAAAGCGATTCTTCTAAAATTGCCAAATATTTCTTTGTATCCACATTTCCATCAATAAAATGAAGTTTCCCTACTCTTTTTGATGACATACTGCCCCAGACCATAATGGATGCTCGAAATTTCACTTTTCTCTTCAGACAGTCAACATGGAATGCTTCATTTTTTTGCGAATAACTCTACTGCGACTGTCACCAACACAAACTTCGAATAGGGCCTCATCACTCCATTGTATTGCACACCATTGTTGAGGTGTCCATTGTCTATGTTCTTTAGCCCATCTAAGCCGATTTTTCTTTTGCAGTGGAGTTAATAGTGGCTTTTCTTTGGCCTATAAACAAGTTGTGCAACTTTAGGGTTTTTACTTCACTTTTTTTTATAAGAAAACTTACCTTGCAAGTGCTAAATCCCAGTTTGTGGGCCTCTCTATGAGTTGTGGACCTCGAAATTCTCCTTCCAACAGCGTCACTCCACAGAGCACTTAATTGTAAATAATTGGCACGCCTGTTTTTCACGATTATTCTTCTTAATGCTGTTCGGTCGGCATTTGTGATATTACTTTTTTTCACATATCGTGGCTTAATATTAACTGAACCAGTTACGTTATATCTTCTAACAATATTTCTCACACTGTACCGCGATAAGTCTAACAAAGTTGCAATTTCTGAGTTTGATTTCCCAGAATTAAAAAATTTAATTATCAGTAACCGAATTTTCTCACTAATAACCTTTCCTCTAGCCATTTTGAAAACCTTAGCTACCCAAAACTATTTTAAACGTATTCTGACAGCTGTGATTAATAAAAACAATTATCATGACTTTTATTTTTCACAGCCACCTATCCGATATAAACTTATTTTGCATTGAAATGAAAATAGGTTGATATGCTGTAATTGCAACATGTGTTATTTTTATGCTGCAAATTTGATTAGGGAGTTATAAAGTTGGTGTTTTCTACTATATATTATCAAAATATTCATTGTTAATATGTTAAACCTATAACACCCTGCTACATTTTTATTGTTTGTGTTTGGTAAGAAAAAAACTAAGATTTCAGTAGTTGGGCCAATTGAAGTGGGAAGGGGCTCGTACCAGGCTACAGAGCAAATCGACTCATTTGTTGGAATGTTGAGGTATTGAGTGTCAATATTTTCTAGGTGAGCAAATGGAAATAGGGGAATTAGCACTGGAAGTTTGGCAAAGTGGTATGATTGCGCCTTTAGGTCAAAAGTTAGTCAAATTATTATTAGAAGCCATTGATCAAGATCGAGCCGGGCAGACATTGTCGACATCTATAGAAGCTGTTAGAGGAACAATACTGAGCTTTGTTGAGGTAAGTATTCTGAAAACTTAATTTTTTACGATATTGTAGTTTCAATTTTCCAGTTGTGATATTTTATTATCATGAATTGAGATGTTTTTGTTTTGTTTTTGAGAACGGTGGTTAAAATTCCTCTTTGTTGTATTTCGGTTTTAATGGTTACCTCATTCACTTGAAGGGATTTGGGATTATGAATAGTTGCAGACCAGTAAAGTTTACCATATTAAGCACAAACATGTGCTGGAATCACATACCATCATTGTCGTGATTTTTTTTGTGGCTTTTTTACCACAGCTGAGTTTCCGAATACTTTTCAAATCATTATTTGGGAATATTCCAATCAATAATCACCCAGCATTAGATTTTGAAGGTGATCAGTCTGGAACAAATTTAGTACCTTGTGCGCTAGATTTTTGCAAAACAGACGTTTCCAGTATCATTGTGCCTAGTATTACCTGAATGTAACAGAATATGTTTTTTCTGCTTTCCCATTAAGGTGCAAGGTTACAGGAAAAAGGGTCAATTGCAATTGTACCAGGAGCTGTTTGAGGAGCACTTTCTGGACGCGAGTGGTGAACATTTCAAGAGAGATGCCGCCCGGCTCTTGCAGGAGAAGAACGTCAGTTTGTACATGGAGAAGGTCAAAGCGAAAATCGAAGAGGAACTGTTCAGGGCCAGGCGATTTTTGCATGTCAGTTCGCTGGCAAAGGTGAATTGAGAAATGATTTTCGTTATTCATTGCACTATACAGGGTGTTTCAGTTTATTGTTGCATAACTTTAAGATTCGATAGAACTTTTAAAATCAATGCATAAAGTCTATATGAACATGGGTCGAAAAATGCGTGGCTTCCGAAATACTTACTTTATAAAATAGTTTTTTTTAAATACTTCGAACAATATTTGACTTATAACAGTGAAAATTGGTATACAAGGGTTTTTTGGTACGACAAAACGAACCATGGCATAGTTTTACTGTAGCCGCTAGAGGGCGCTCTCTACTGTACCTGTAGTGTATTAAAATGACCGAAAATTTTTTCTTAGTGCAATTTTTTGCTTTTTGAATAAAAAAACTGATTCTTCGCACTTTTCAACATAAAAAAGCTCTCTTGTGAATTTTCGTTACAGTTAGCCGTTTGTGAGATATTTCGATTTTAAGGTTCGATGCATTTTTAATTATTTATGATAAAATAACGTTAAAAAGTCAGTATCTCGATAATTTTTAGAAGTAGGCTGTGCCTGCAAATATTTTTGAAATTGAAAGCAGAATAAGGTTAAACGTCAATTAGTTGACAGTTAGTTTTGTTGTCTGTTGAAACCTGAAACGTTTTTTTGCAATTGTGAATGCACGAAATTTAGTTTCTTTTACTTGTTTTTTTTTTGTAAGTTTTATAAAAATGCCATTTTTATTCTCCAATCAAGAGTTAGCGGATATTCATTTTGTGTATGGCTTTGTAAATGGAAACGCAGCAGAAGCAGCCAGAGAATACGCACGAAGATTTCCAAACAGACGACATCCAACTCGCTCAGTATTTGTAAAAGTGCATCGCCAAATTGAAAATGGTTTTGGAAATCTCCAAAGGGATCAAAACATAAATGTTCGTCAGCGCAGATTTACCCGTATGATTCTGCGTGAGTTTGATAGAGATCCGACCACAAGTGTTAGGAGAGTTTCTGGTGCCTTGGGAATTTCAGCAAGCCATGTTCACTGTGTTCTTAGAAATGACCATAGATGTCCTTACCATTTGCAACCTGTGCAAGGACTACAGCCAGGGGACGGAGAACGAAGAATCACATTTTGTCAGTGGATTCTTGATAGAACTGATAATAATAGGGAGTTTTTAAGTAACGTTTTATGGACCGATGAGTCATGCTTCACTACACGTGGAGTGGTAAATTTTCATAATCAACATATTTGGTCGCATGAAAATCCGCATGCAGTTCGGGAAAGAAATTTTCAGCATGAATTTAGTGTGAACGTGTGGATTGGTATCTACCGTAATCGACTATTTGGACCCTACCTTTTGCCTGCAAGGTTAAATGCTGCAACCTTCTTGGAATCTTTAAAGGCTGAACATGCAAATATGTGGGATGATGTTATGTTAGATTTAAGAAGATTGGCCTGGTTCCAGCTTGATGGTTGTCCAGCTCATTATTCGAGAATAGTTTGAAACTGGCTGGACGAAAATTATCCAGAAAGATGGATCGGCCGTGGAGGACCAGTCGCCTGGCCTCCACGATCCCCTGACCTAAATCCATTAGATTTCTTTGTGTGGGGATTTCTAAAAGAAAAAGTGTACCAGACTCCCGTAACCACAAGAGATATGCTAATAGACAGAATCAGGAATGCATGTGATGAAATAAGGCCTTATTTGAATAATGATATACCACGTTCGATCATTCGTAGATGTGAATTGTGTATTGAACAATTGGGTTTACATTTCGAGCAACTACTTTAGATTTTGTTTGTTTGTCCAATAGCATTTTAGTTGTAAATAATTAATTTAATTTGTTAAAAATAATATTGGAAAATTAAACAAATTAATATTCTGGTTTTTTGTGTTTATTTGGCGTTAGGAATTATTGCTGTGTTTAAAAACACAATCTAAACGATCATCTTAATTACTTGTTTTGCCCAAATCGAAAATGTAAAAAAAATATTATTTTCACATAAATAATGAAAAATGCATCGAACTTTAAAAAATCGAAATATCTCAAAAACGGCTAACTATAACGAAAATTCACAAGAGAGCTTTTTTATGTTGAAAAGTGCGAAGAATCAGTTTTTTTATCCAAAAATAAAAAAATGGCACTAAGAAAACATTTTCGGTCATTTTAATACACTACAGGTACAGTAGAGAGCGCCATCTAGCGGCTACAGTAAAACTATGTCCATCGTTCGTTTTGTCGTACCAAAAAACCCTTGTATACCAATTTTCACTGTTATACATCAAATATTGTTCGAAATATTTAAAAAAAACTAGTTTAGAAAGTAAATTTGAACACCCTGTATTTCGGAAGCCACGAATTTTTCGACCCATGTTTATATAGGCTTTATGCATTAATTTTAAAAGTTCTATCGAATCTTAAAGTTATGCAACAATAAACTGAAACACCCTGTATAAGAAAAGTGGAAATATGAACTAGTGTCGTTGATTTTACAAAAAAGCGTTTTGAAAGCCAAGCCTCGTGTATGACGTCATTATTTGCTTTCACAACGAGTAATTTTTGGCAGGTCGCTTGACATTTTAAGTAATTTACCATATGGATGTTTCACTTCATCGAGTTGATCATTGAAACAAAAATTACACGTCGAATCTGAAATGAAAGTTGTACGTATTTGTTTCTAGGTGTCGGCTCGTTGCGAAATGCATATGGTGGCCGAGCATTTGCAGTTCCTATATAGTGAGTGTATGAACATGGTGCAAGGGGAACGGTGTAAAGATCTCTCCAATATGTACGACCTGCTTAAAGGCATCCAGAATGCTATTACCGTATTGGTCGACACTGTTTTAGACCATATCAAAACTCAGGGATTGGCGGTAGGTACTCAGTGCGCGAATATTGTTGAAAAATTATTTTATAATATTGGTAATATTCATATTTGATCTACAATGTTTGTTATGAAGTATACAATGTGTTCTGAATATTGGGACTTTCCTTCTCAGAAGCAACTACGCTTGAAATGTCAAATCTGATATGTGCTGAAACAGCAGCAAAAAATAGAAAAAAAAAACACCTAATGAAAGTACTTACCGTTAATTTGATAGGAAATTCCAACACCGTATCGACAAGTTCGTTATTTCAATAGGATAGTTTTTGGTTTTTTTAAATCTTATTTGTCAACAGTCTCTATTTTACCGACTCGGCGTGTTATTTTTGGACCTGATATTTTGGTTATTGGTTTATGTATCATTATCCCAAAGAAGGTTGGTTCAATATTTCCGCAGGATTATCGCCCCATCAGCCTGATGTCCGCTCCTTATAAGCTCGCCGAAAAGGTGGTTTATGTTCACCTTGAGAATTTTTCGTATGGTCTCAAAAGGATTCCTGACGTTTAATTCGGTTTTCGGTGCGAGCATAGTACGGAGCTACAGCCAGGCGGATTCACCCAGCAACCCTTCGTTGCGTGAAGCAGTCGGGGAGTTACACAAACATTCCAGGCCGCGACTCGCACTGTGGATAAAATTAAATTCATGTTTAGACCTTTAAAAACCAAACACCCAAAAATTCATATAGTACAATGTAACAGTCCTTAGATCTATCACACCTCAAATATTTACATGAAACATTTTTTTCTCTTCTCGCTCCTACTTCCTTCCTTTCTTTCTCCCACCCCCTTTCTTCTTCTGGTTTCTGGACCATCAGATCTGACAAACTGACGACAGACACTGTCATTACCGTGACTATGACCTAAAGTTAGGCTTAGCGGTCCTCCGAACCGCTTTGAGAAGCAACGCCGAGTAGAAAGAAACTCCATGTGAAGGAAATTCCCCTTGTATTTTGCACACATATCTCTTGCTGCACTAGTTTGTACAATATTTTTTTTTTAGGCGATAGGTAACCTACAAGGCGAGAATATCCATATAGGTTTTGTAGAAAATCTTCTAGCTGTATATAAGAAATATAAGAAATTGATCCAAGATGTATTCAAGTCGGATCAGAATTTCATGGGTGCTTTAGACAAAGCGTGCAGTTCTGTGATCAACCATCGGCCTAATCAGGGAAAGTCTCCGTGCCGGAGCCCTGAACTGTTGGCCAAGTACTGTGATACATTGCTTAAGAAATCTAGCAAGGGCATCAGTGAATCGGAGGTGAGGGGATGTCGATATATTATCCTTTGCACTTGATACATCGTAGGTAGTAAGAAGCATGTTGGGATATTGAATATCTTAATTTTTTTCGAGAATGATTGTGAATGTTATTTTGTACAGATAAAGGATACTGTTAGTGTAGTCACCAGAGAACTATACTAAGTGACATATAAATTGGAACACCCAGTTTAAATGGTTTTATTTTAATAAAATTTTGTATAAGAACTTAATGAATCATAATAAGTAAATGATAAAAATTTCAAAATGATTGCACTGCTTTAAAGCCCTTTGACCTTTAATAATGTCTGGATGCACCCTGATGTGCTACGCATTCTCCAACGCGCCTAGGCATGCTTCTGATCAGGTGGTCAATGTCCTCCTGTGGTATCTCATTCCAGGCAACCACCAACTCCTCTCGAAGTGCTTCTAGAGTCTGAGGAGGACATTGCAAATTGAGCAATCTCCCATCATATCCCACACGTGCTCAATTGGGGATAAGTCGGGAGATCTTGGTGGCCATGGTAACAATGTGACATTATGTTGAAAGAAGTGTATTGTGACTCTTGCAACATGTGGTCGGGCATTATCTTGTTGGAAAGTTGGATCTGCCAGGGTGTCAAGATAGGGTAAAAGATGGGGTTCTAGAACTTCGTGGATATAACGCTGCGCGTTCATGTTACCTCTGATGAAGATTAAAGGTGACCTGGAACCATAAGCTATAGCACCCCAAACCATAACTCCAACAGTGTGATGAACATGTCTTTCAGCAAAAAACTGTGGATTCCTCCTTTCACCACGTCGCCTTCTAACCCTGGCACGACCATCGTGCATGCCTAAACAAAATCGAGACTCGTCACTAAAGACAATACTGTTCCATTCCTGATCCCAGAGTGGCCGTTGTCTGCACCACTCAAGGCGATTACGTCGGTGTTCTCGAGTTAAAGGGAGGACCCAGTGTGGCCGGTATGAAAACAAGCCAAAACTTCTCATTCGTCGGTAAACACTTCGCATGCCAATAGGTCTTCCGTGTTCTGCAAACCATTCATTTGCAATGGACCTGGTAGTGGAGAAACGGTCCCTTAAGGCCAATAATCTTAGGCGGCGATCTTCATGGTCTCTTGTTCTACGGCGGCGTCCAGTGCCCCTTGCTCTTTGCGTACGGCCTTCTCGAAGCAATGCCTGACAACTCCTAACCACAGTGTCTACACTTCTTTGCACTCTTAACTGCAATTGACCGAAAAGAAAGTCCAGCTTCCCGAAGTCCCACTATACGGCCCCTATCAAACTCACTAAGTTGACGAAATCGTACAGGTCTCCGTACTCTAGGCATCGTAACCGATCGTAGAGGATGTCAAGAACCAAAATCCGCCAACGTTGATTCTTTACGTTAGTGAATTAAAAAAAAAGCAGTATAAAAACCGGAATGTCCAACTGATAAGGCTGAAAATTTTTTCACTTGTTACTTACAGTAAGATAAATACATTCACCAACTTTTATTAAAATAAAACCATTTAAACTGGGTGTTCGGATTTATATGTCACTTAGTATACATTTTTCTAACCTTATTACAGTGATAGTTTGATATGAACTGTATGATCGCATGCATTTAAGAATTCTATGACTTGGTAGAATGATGTGATGAATTGTAAATAGTATTGCGAGTTCGTCTTTCACTAACATTAAGATTTATTTGTGCAAGCACCTCTGGGCAAGTAATTTCTCTAATGTGCGTTTTAAAAGTTACTTTTGTATCAAAAGTTATACCTAAATCCGTAACTGAGGTGACGGTTTTAAACTTTATTTTCAACCCTTAGCGAATTTGAACTACGGCTGAAAGTTATCAAGCGGCATTTTTAATGTTGATCTTATAGAGTAACAATTACGAGATCTCTTTCTAAGATTTCCGCATCGTGGATATTTCTCACTGTTCTAAATAATTTAAGATTATCTGCAAAAATCAAATAACTGCTATTTGATCTAGCGGCTGCAACATCGTTAACAAATAAATTAAATAAAACGGTACCAATGTGGGAACCTGGGGGTACACTTGAAAAGACATTGACAGAATTAGATAATGAACCAGCTTATCTGGCATACTGGGTTCGTCCTGACAGGTAGCTTCTAAACCAGGATAGTTGACTGCTTGATACTTGATTTGTTTCCAGTACACAGGAGAATCGATGAGGGCGAAGTGCATCATCAGTGAGATATATTTCACATATTAAAAATACACTTTTATCTAGGTGAAAAATACCCCAAAATGATTCAAAAATTAACATCCGTCAGTTAGCACCACATACTCTATTTGGAAATGTATATTACGACAAACTGACTGAATAATCTACTTTTGCAGGTGGACGAAAAGCTAGCAGAAAGTATAATAATTTTTAAGTATATCGATGATAAGGACGTGTTTCAAAAGTTTTACTCTAGGATGTTAGCAAAACGACTTATTCACCAGCAAACACAAAGTATGGATGCTGAGGAAGCCATGATCAATAGGTTGAAACAGGTAGGTCAGCTATGACATGTGAACCCAAATATCGCGATCAACAGAAATACAGTATATTCAGATAAGAGATAGACCGGACATAAACAAGACCACGTGATCATCGAACGCTGTAACATTCGGCAGGGACGTATTAAGAGTCACGCAGTACATATTTTAGATAGTAGATGCTGCTTTGCGTAACTTTGTAGTAAATTAGCACAATTCGATGTGTATACGATTGGTGATGGATATAGGATCATGTGGGGGTGGGGTAAGAAATATATAATGATGTAAATATACATAAGGGTTTCAAAATTTTCGCTTCGATTTCCAGCTTCGGATGCCGCCTGATGTTTGGTGAAATACAGTCGAATATAATCTCAAAATGGCGTTTAAATTAGCCTAAATTAAAAATAATCGTATATCTCTTAAAATTGCTTTTAGAATATTGATTAGTATATTTTTTGATTTCTAGGTAAATATGTAACCAAATTAAAACGTTCAAAACGTAAAAAAATGTGCATGGTTGAACATTGTCAGAAAGTAGATTCTTGAATAGGTTTTGCCAAAATGGGTTCAAAAATGTCAATAATTAATTAAAAAATACAGTAGCTTTATAATTACTTATAACTTACCGAATTTGATGAACGACATCTTTTATTGGAAAGATGAGCTTGATGAGCTTTCATCATCGCTACTGCCTGAAGCACCAACGTCAATAATGAATGGCTCGACTTGTTCCTCTAAAATATTGTCCAGTTCCCACATTCTCTTTTCAACTTTGTCTTTCACGTGCTTAATACAGTTTTCCCATTTTTGCGCTGTTATTAATTCTAGTGCTTCTTTGAAAAGTCCTTTGAGGTCACAAAATTTAAAAGTTGTATTGTGCTTAGCTATATAATTTTTAACCTCTGCCCATATGAGCTCAATGGGATTGAGCTCGCAATGGTATGGAGGTAAACGGAGCACAGTTTTATTTTGACTTGCTGCCATTTCGTCAATGGCGTATTTTTGATATTCCGCCTTGTGATCCTTGACAATTCTTAATAATTGTACTTTCAGCGTTGCTTCTTCAAAGTTGATATTTTTCGAGCGGAGCCAATTTTGAACATCAACTTTCCTTGAAGCCGTTGTTGGGACCTTCTCCATTCTTCGAGAATGATAAGGCGCATTATCCAACACAATTACTGCGTTTTCCTCTAAGTTCGGTAAAATTTTTGAAAACCACTGTTCAAACGATTCGCCATTCATTTCCTCGTGGTAATTTCCAGTTTTCTTAGACTCAAAGCACCACAGACCGTCAACAACAAATCCATCCTCACTGCCAATATGGCAGATAATGAGCCTTTTCCCTTTACCTGGAAATCGAAGTACTAACTGGTGTAGATTTATTTCAATAAGCGAACCTTTTTCAAATGTTTTCATCACATTCAGCGAAAAAACATTGAGACATGAGTATCAGATTGCTATAATTGGGATTATTTAGTCATATTGAAAGAAAGAATATTGAACGTCGTATGATTACTCAGCGCTTCACAATTTAATTTAAAGTTATAAACCTTTAAAAAATGAATGATCAGGAACCTGAAATACGCGCAAATATTAATATTAACAAATTATAACTTTATAAAGCTTAAAGTATGAATTAAAATGATTAGAAATATTAGGAACGGTACACAATATAAAACTTAGTAACTTTTTTTAAGTTTATAATATTCGACATATTTTAAGATTATATTAAAAAATTATTGAAATATCGAAAACACATAAAACATGGCTTAAAAAAGTTCTAACAAATGAGAATGACAATAAAACATCCACGCATTTTATCGAAAGTTATAAAAGTTTTGTTACTTGTAATATGTTTTATCTGCCCCCTGGAATTAATGTTTAGAACCTTGTTCCCAAGGTTTGAAAAACATCCGATTGTTGTCTATTACTCGTATTTACCTGCTGGATTTTTTAATCCGGTGGACAGTCCATCTAGAAAGGCCCTCCTGGATGAAGTTACAGAATCATCAACCCATACTTTACTTGTAGTGTGTCCTGCGTTTACCTACGTTTCATCAAGGTAATAAATCTTCCTGTTTTGATTTCTATATTTCCCAATTTTTGTTAAATAATCCCTCCTCCATAGCAGAATTTCTTCTCTATCCAGTAGTAAACTATTACGACCCCGTTTTTTCCATTTGAAATTTAAATGCTTCAGTAACGCATGGAAAGTTGATCGTTTGAAATTTGGCAACGTTGTATCTCCATTTACCTCCTGCAGTACTTTATCTATAGTAGGTATTTCATTCCTAAAGAAGAATTCATGCACTTTCCTCCTAATCGCATGCTTATCAGCTTCATCCAATGATTTAACAATACTTTTGCGATGTTTACTGGTCATTGGCTCAGAAAAGGTGTGATTTTTTTTGTATTGTCTTAACACATTAAACACTGATGCGCGACACACCCCAACTTTGTGAGAAACCTTCACAACAATTTCTTTGATGGTTGATGCCTCGTTCTCCTCGCGCTCGATCTTATATATATTCAAAATGACCTCTTTCATTTCTGCACTCAGGTGTCTTTTTTTAGAGCGTTTCCCAGGTGGACTACAGGAGTTTACAACTTCATCGGCAGTATCTGTACTACTGGGCATTTTGCGCAAGCAGTTGATAACAATAACAATCAATAACAAGGTATAACAATAACAACGACAAACTCAACAACTTAATAAGATAACAAACGAAAACGTCCAAAGAAATATCAAATTGCAATGATGCACACGACATACGTAACACGTCTGAACCTGAATGTGACTCTGCCTTGATACGACTGCTCTGCCGCTCGGCATAGGCATTTAATTGCGAATTGACCAATGAGGGCTCCTGTTTTACGTCGAGACGGCGGCGTTAGCGTGAAAATCACCCGAACCTTTTGTTTACATCCGGTCTATCTCTTATCTGAATATACTGCAGCTAAGTTACATTACCAGGGGTTTTCGCAGAACTCCGTAAATCTAATAAAAACATACTTAAGCAACCGTTCAAACTATGTTATGTAGGTACATATGTTTTCAGTTACAGCCAATATTTAAACGCAAATTGTTTGAAGCAAGTAAATTTGGTTTAAACCAACAACCTGTTTTGTTTTTCAAAAAACCTGGGTTTTTACCGACCCTGGTCGTAAGTCCATTCGACGTGTCGGTTCTGACAAAATTTACTTGATCACATTCTTTCCAGGCTTGCGGTTACGAATTCACGAGTAAACTTCATCGGATGTTTACTGACATGTCAGTTAGTTCGGATCTAAACAACAAATTCAACGCCTTCCTGAAGCAGGATAACATTGACCTGGGCATCAACTTTAGCATTTACGTACTCCAAGCGGGTGCGTGGCCATTGGGACAGGCTATCGTTACGCCATTTGCTTTGCCCCAGCAGTTAGAAAAAAGTGTACAAATGGTGAGTAGCAACTATTGTATAATTTATAGATAAGATTTCAGTAATTCGAATGACAGTAATGCTAATAGAATGATGAGTAAGTAGTATCTTTTTGATTTATCTAAGGCATTCGACACTATAGACAATAACATAATGGGTGATTTTTTTGCTAGTATCTTTTTGGCAACACTGTTTTTGACAGATGACGCGTGAATCGTGTCTTGTGTCATTGTCAAACTTGTTCAGTTTGGTCTATAATTTAACCATGAATCGACTTACGAACGAATAACGCTTGCAAATTATTGAATTTTACTATTAAAATTCATGCTCGGTTAAGAGAGTGCATCGAGCACTGCTTCCAATTTATGGGCAATTTGGTCGGCCTACTGAGGGAGCTATTCGGAAGTTTGTGACTAAATTTCGAACCCAGTTTACATTATTGGACATTAAATCACCAACACGCAGACGTAGGGTGAGGACTGAAGAAAATATTGCGGCTGTATCCGCCAGTGTTAGTGATGACCGTGAAATGTCGATTCGCCGCCGTTCGCAGCAATTGGGCCTCTGTTACTCCACTACGTGGAACATTTTGCGACAGGATTTGGGTGTAAAACCTTATAAGATACAGCTGGTGCAAGAATTGAAGCCACACGACCTCCCACAACGTTTCCAATTTGGTGAATGGGCGGTGGCAAAGTTGGAAGAAGACCCACATTTTTATCGAAAAATTGTGTTCAGCGACGAAGCTCATTTCTGGTTGAATGGATACGTTAACAAGCAAAATTGCCGCATCTGGAGTGAAGACCAGCCAGAAGCATTGCAAGAGCTACCAATGCATCCCGAAAAAATCACTGTTTGTTATGGATTATGGGCCGGTGGCATCATCGGGCCGTACTTCTTCAAAGACGACAATGGCCGGAACGTAACTGTGAATGGCAAGCGCTATCGTGCGATGATAACAAACTTTTTTTTGCCCAAAATGGAAGAGCTGGACTTGGATGACATGTGGTTTCAGCAAGACGGTGCCACATGCCACACCGCACATGAAACAATGGGCCTATTGAGAGGCGAGTTCGGTGAACAGTTTATCTCACGTTTGGGGCCCGTCAATTGGCCGCCTAGATCGTGTGATTTAACGCCGTTGGACTTTTTCTTGTGGGGCCATGTTAAGGCTAATGTCTACAGAGATAAACCAGCAACGATTGACGCACTGGAAGCCAATATTGAAGCATTTATTCGTGAGATACCGGCCGATATGTTGGAGAGAGTGTGCCAAAATTGGACCTTGCGCATGGGCCATCTAAAGCGGAGCCGCGGCCAACATTTGCATGAAATAATCTTTAAACATTAAATTATATCGACCGTTCTATCGACTCAAATAAAGATTTAATCGTTTTTTCAAATATTTTGTGTTTTTTTGAAAATCAAATCCTATACCTTTTAAAAAATCACCCCTCACTTAAGCAAAAAATACATCCTGTGGGCATTAGGGGCTTCTTTTTGAATTTTGTCATCTTTTGCATGAAGGACAGAAACCGAAAAGTTAAACTTGGAAGTACGAACTTTTTGGCTTTTAGCCTCACTGAATAGTTTCATATCTAACACCAGCCAATGAGGATAAAAGGCGGAACCTTGTTAAAAACCCTTCTAAATAATAGTAACAGAAAAGTAATGATTTATTCAACCCCAGTACAAAACCCCCAGGCGCTCTACTAACTACTATATGGGGACCATACAATAATAGAAAATCCAATAGGTTTTGTCCAACAGTGAATTTTGAAAGTCCCAAATGAAAACATGAAACCAAGAAAAATGTGTCCAAAGTTTGAACCTCTGATTTATTTGTGCAGATATGTCAAACTTACCCATAGATGCGGAATTTCAAATGAACCATTGTATGTTATGGCCAAAAACTTTGCCAATGAGTTGGGAAAATTACACTGATTTACTGAGAGTCGGTAATCAAACATAACCGAAAATTGCAGATAACGCTATTTCTAATTTAATTTTTTTTTACAGTTTGAATCCTTCTACCACAATCGGTTCAACGGCCGCAAACTCACGTGGTTGCACCATTTGTGTCAAGCAGAGCTAAAATTGGGCTACTTGAAAAAACCTTACGTTGTTACTGTGCAGACCTTCCAGATGGCCATCCTTTTACTTTTCGAAAATGCTGACAAACTAGCGTGCCGCGAGATTAAAGACACGTTACAACTCAACCCTGAACAGTTCCAGAGACATGTTGTTAGTTTGATCGAGTCCAAACTATTGCTGGCTGATACCGAGGTAGGCATTAAAAATATCACTTTTAAATATTACATTCAAACATGAATTCATTCTGTTGAGAATCATGTCGTTAATGCCACCTGCGTCCAACCCAAAAAAGTAGGTACTATAATTTATCCGACGAACGACGGAGTAATAAAACACGGCACAACTACCTGCAAAACCGATGCCAGTGGCGTGTAGTTTTTAAAATTAATTGAGGTACCATTTAATTTATTTTCACTGTTTCTTCTACCTTTTCATTACTTTCAAGGTGCTGTAAGGTTTATTACATTGATATATTAAATATGCTGCCCCACGTTATGATTCGTTAACTTTACATATTTTTTATATTACAAAAATAATTTTAAAACAGGAAAAAAAAGAAAAAGGGTTCAAAACTTAAATTCTTTTTTAGATTGGATTCTGGATCTTCTTAATATAATACCTAATAATGAATCTACCTGCATTCATTACCACGTTTATTTCGACGGCTCTATCTTTAAAGTGGATTATCCCAATCATGTGTAATCATGAGTCAAACCAAAACTGATGTCAAAATCTTGGACAGAGGTCTCCTGTGAAATTAGCGGTCAGGATTAACACAGGATGGGGATAACCTACTTTGAAGTCTCTACGGATAGAGCCGTCAAAATTAACATGGTAATTATACAAGTATGTTTAGGGATTTAGGTTCTTCGTCATTATCCAGTAAATATACAAAATACATTTATTAACTAATCACTATCACTATAATCTGAAGATTCTGAATCGTTTCCTAAGTTAATCATCCAGTGTTCAACCACTCTTTCCATACATTGGTCAGTTGTCCACATTTTTTCTTCCTCCTTCTCAACATGTTCGATTGCTTTTTTCCAATTTTCCGGAGTTACATTTTGTACCGCGGTGTAAAAAAGCTGCTTTGCATCTGCGATCTTGAAAGTTGTGTTTCTTTCCGGAAACTTCGTTTTTAATTTGCGCCCAAATTAACCCGATTGGGTTAAACTCGCAATGGTAAGGAGGCAGGCGTAAAATAGGCCGATTGGTAGATTTAGCCATTTCGTCGATGACATACTTGGCAGCACTTTTATTGCCCTTGACCAGATTTTAAAGTTCTGCTTTGACCATATCGTTATCAAAGGGAACATTATGCCTTAGTAGCCATTCCTGTATTTCCTCTTTTCTGTTTCCACTGTTTGGTGCTTTATCAATACGACTACTGTGGTATGAAGCATTGTCCATAACAATGACAGCGTTCTCTTCTAGACGGCTTATAATATTTTCAAACCATCCTTCAAATAAATTGGCATTCATATCGGCGTGGTAGTCTCCTGCTTGTTTTGATTCAAATACCAATAGTCCGTCTTCCACGGAGCCATTATCAGATCCGATAGATAATTAGCCGTTTTCCTTTCTCTGAAGGATTTTTTAATCCCGTGGAGAGACCTTCCAGGAAGGCTTGCCGAGGATGAAACCACCCATACTTTGCTAAGCATTAAGCCAAGTCTCATCTAGGTAGTATATCTTCCTACCTTCTTCTCTGTACTTCCAGTTTTCGCGTAAGAATCTACGTCTCCAACATATTATCTCGTCCTTTTCTTTCAAGATGCTATTTCGCTTTCTTCCTACAAAACTAAAAATAACATTAAATCTTTAAATTCGTTGATTCAACAAAATTGCAAATTTAGTCTAGTCATAAAGTAAATATAAAGAATGATAAAAAACTCTAAACTATTTTTGTGTGTGAAAATTTTACGGAAATTTTTAGTTTTGTATTTTACTTTCAAGGAGAAATAAAAAACAAAAGTTTTTTGTACAACACGTACCGAAAATTAAGTTCCTTCATTAATGTAGCCAACGTCGATCTTTTGAAGTCTGGCAAGTCGTCGTCATCGTCGTTTATTTATAATATGTATTTATATACTCTGGTTCTATGGGAGGAAAAAGACTGTTGCTTCTTTTGCCAAAATTTTATATACACTGCTAATCGAGGCTCCGGAAAACAAACTAATACATTTTGCATATACGATACATACATGCATAAGTAATAAAAATAATTGAAAATAAGTTTTAAAAATCAAATTGTATGCAATAGAAGTAGCTATCATATTAGTGGATAAGATATTTAACAGAAAATAACTATTATTTAGAATAATACATCAAACTACAAAACATTTTAAACTATAGTTCAAAGCTAAATCCTCACCTGATGCTCTTGAAACAAAGGCTACACGTTCTGTCTGAGTTTCAGTTGGATAGCGCTATATAAATATTTATAACAGTTTCTTTTTCACTAATAAGGCACTCATGTCGAAATATCCTTTTGAAAGTTGTCTCACAAACATGAATGAAGCACACTAAAAAAAATTCAACGGCACGCCACAGACCTTCGGAAATTCTTCTTCGGAAGTGCTATTGTGATCTTGGCGGCTTATCTACCGAAAACGGACCAACAGGAACGAGGCGCGTGCCGGTCAAATTATTTATTACTCCGTACGTTCGTTGGATAGATTATAGAGCTACTGCAAATTGAAAAATACATTCTAATTTTTTTAACTCGAATATTTTGGGGGACCAGGACACCCTCCTTGGATGCGCCACTGATGCATTATTGATCTTTAATTTTCGATTTAGAGACAATTCAATATGTCTTTGTGGAAACGTCCCGAAAAAATGAGAAACATGTGCAATCTATGAAAAACATGAGTATCGTAAAAAATAATGAGAAAAATGAGTCTGTGGTCACCCTGTTGAGAATGGCAATAATCTGTGTTGTTTCCGGTGTTACCCACACGTTTTAATATAATGGGACAAGATGTGTTCTGCTACTTCACTTTGAATATTGTAGGAATTGACACCAGAAACTGTACTAAAATTGAATATGGAGTACTCTAACAAACGAACAAAGTTCAGGATAACTGCTGCTGTGCAGAAGGAAACTCCTCATGAGGTGGAACAAACCATGAATTCTGTCGAAGAGGACAGGAAGATGTACCTGCAGGCAGCCATTGTTAGGATCATGAAGTCCAGAAAGGTGCTCAAGCATAATTTACTTATACAAGAGGTTAGTACCTAGAATTCCTTCAGTGCAAAATGATCTGCCAACGACTAAAGAAAAAATGTAATCTTTTACAACTAAAGGACCATGCATAGGATTCATATGAGAAGAAATAAGATGAAAACTACTTCTTTATATTTACTTTACAAGTGGTGTATACTGTGGAATTTCTAGAAGTTATTTTTTTATTTTCAGGTGTATGCTCAGTCAAAAAAGTCTTTTGCCCCCAGTGTTCAGCTGATAAAGAAAAGTATTGAATCGTTGATTGACAAACAATACATAGAACGGACACCGCATTCTAGTGAAGAATACAGTTATATTGCTTGAATATACAGGTAACATTCAGTAGTATGCTTAGAACAATTTCTGTTTATTTCTATTAAAAAATGTTTATTTCCTGAAACACATATTTGCTAGAGTCCCTATATAAATTTTTTCGCATCCAGGGACAGTGCATTATTCTGGCTTTGCAGATCATTATTGTCTTACGGATAATCAGGCGTCAACATTTTTGTGTTGTCCCAGCAATAATAGTAGCCCTGCATTACAGGATAATCCCACACGTCAATAAATATCATTCAGTGACAGATTGCGTTTCTCGGACTGCTTCGTACTTCCTGACACACTGATTCTTTTATGCGAGTTGTTTTGCATATTTAGACGAAAATACCCCTGGTTTGCGAAATTATTGTAAAGTCTGGTTTTATTGCTGCCAGTTGTTCAAAGGAGGTACTCAAAACATGGACGCTTAAATGGGTACACCAATTTTTGCGGGAAAACTTTTTATTCGACAACAAAGAATGAGAAAACGTGTTTTTTGAGATTCAATCGAAAGTGTTGGCAGGAACGAAACAATTCTTCATATAAGATTTTTAATTATTTATGAGACCTACAAAATGAGACCATACGTAAAAAGATCCGACTAATAGCAAAAAAGTTATGGCCGAAAACCGAGACAAAATGCAGGTTTTGGCACTTGTTGGTAATGCAACGATAATTTCACGCAAATACTTGAAATTCTTTAAATCCGTAGGATTCATACTTCTAAATAACCACAACAAAATTGGAGTAGATTGGTCAAGTAGTTTTTGAGAATTCCTAATTGTTTTTCCCAAAACACCTGTTTATGTTCGTCTAAACCAAAGGTGTTTAAAATAATAATTGTAATCCAGAAACCCATCAATCTTTTTTTTTCAATTTGGTTTTGAATTTAGTTCTATCATGTACAAGGTACATTGTTGATCCGAATCACAGGTTTTATCTGCGGATCAAGTGGAAAAATATGTTTTTGTAGCTAAACCAGGTGGTTTATAAAGATTTTATTAATTTAATATGGGGATTAGAGGCCCTTGTTTCACACATATTTTTTCGCCAGTTTGACAGATATTTTAGAGGAAATAGACTTTATTCATTTGATCCATTACTACAGACGCCTTCTCATTGTTCTATTTTATTTTGATCCGGATCAGGATTTCAGCTCCCGCGGATCAATAGTAAAATCGGGCTAGAGACCTTAACATGTAAATAAATTTGATTTTATTTACTTTTTTCCAGATTTACTTTAATTTTGATGATGGTTGTCCGCCGTTTAAAAGACAAACTGATTATATGAATTTATTTTTGTAAGCAGGCGATGGAATGTGAAGAATCGACTGATCAAATTTGTTTATTTTCATAGTTCTCATCTTTATATTGATACCGTCATTGGTTATTATTTATTGCGCTTAGACCTTATCATGTAAATAAATTTGATTTTTTGGATAGGTTTCTTCGTTATGTTGTTGAATTTCTGAGAATACTCTGTTGAAATGCGATGTGTACCATACATGTAAATATTTAATTTAATTTTAGGCTGAATAATGTTCAAGTGATTTATATTATAATGAATAAATGTTTTCTAATAATTTATGTTCACTTGAAAGTGAACGATTTTTTTTGTGATTACTTCCTTCCTGGCACAAAATCCTAGCCAATAAACTAAACTATAGGTTGAAGAAATAACTATACTAAATGACATATAAATCCGAACACCCAGTTTAAATGGTTTTATTTTAATAAAATTTTGTATAAGTACTTAATGAAGCATAATAAGTAAATGATGAAAATTTCAAAATTATTGCACTGCTTTAAAGCCCTTTGACCTTTAATAATGTGTGGATGCACCCTGATGTGCTACGCATTCTCCAACGCGCCTAGGCATGCTTCTGATCAGGTGGTCAATGTCCTCCTGTGGTATCTCATTCCAGGCAACCACCAACTCCTCTCGAAGTGCTTCTAGAGTCTGAGGAGGACGTTGCAAATTGAGCAATCTCCTACCCACCATATCCCACACGTGCTCAATTGGGGATAAGTCGGGAGATCTTGGTGGCCATGGTAACAATGTGACATCATTATGTTGAAAGAAGTCTATTGTGACTATTGCAACATGTGGTCGGGCATTATCTTGTTGGAAAGTTGGATCTGCCAGGGTGTCAAGATAGGGTAAAAGATGGGGTTCTAGAACTTCGTGGATATAACGCTGCGCGTTCATGTTACCTCTGATGAAGATTAAAGGTGACCTGGAACCATAAGCTATAGCACCCCAAACCATAACTCCAACAATGTGATGAACATGTCTTGCAACAAAAAACTGTGGATTACTCCTTTCACCACGTCGATTCTAACCCTGGCACGACCATCGTGCATGCCTAAACAAAATCGAGACTCGTCACTAAAGACAATACTGTTCCATTCCTGATCCCAGAGTGACCGTTGTCTGCACCACTCAAGGCGATTACGTCGGTGTTCTCGCGTTAAAGGGAGGACCCAGTGTGGCCGGTATGAAAACAAGCCAAAACTTCTCATTCGTCGGTAAACACTTCGCATGCCAATAGGTCTTCCGTGTTCTGCAAACCATTCATTTGCAATGGACCTGGTAGTGGAGAAACGGTCCCTTAAGGCCAATAATCTTAGGCGGCGATCTTCACGGTCTGTTGTTCTACGGCGGCGTCCAGTGCCCCTTGCTCTTTGCGTACGGCCTTCTCGAAGCCATGCTTGACAACACCTAACCACAGTGTCTACACTTCTTTGCACTCTAACTGCAATTGCCCGAAAAGAAAGTCCAGCTTCCCGAAGTCCCACTATACGCCCCCTATCAAACTCACTAAGTTGACGAAATCGTACAGGTCTCCGTACTCTAGGCATCGTAACCGATCGTAAAGGATGTCAAGAACCAAAATCCGCCAACGTTGATTCTTTACTGCGGCTGAAATATTCAGTTTTAGAGCGTTAGTGAATTAAAAAAAGCAGTATAAAAACCGGAATGTCCAACTGATAAGGCTGAAAATTTTTTCACTTGTTATTTACAGTAAGATAAATACATTCACCAACTTTTATTAAAATAAAACCATTTAAACTGGGTGTTCGGATTTATATGTCACTCAGTATACGTTTCAGCGTAAAAGTCAAAAAACTTTAAATACGTAAAAGTGATATGTCATTTATTGGCTGGAACAATAATACTGAAATGGGTCTGGAAATAAAAAAAAATCAGTTACATTGATACATTTATTGTACTTAATTTCATATATTTTTTTACAATTAATGGTCCATCTTCTACTATCACAGATTAAAAAATCATCAATTTAATTTTTTGATTCAGAAATATCTTCACCTGGCATTTTTCTGACTCTCTCCTACTTGAAGATCATATACATATATAAAAATTTCTACAACTACTAACACTGAAGAAGGTTTCTGAATCTCTTTATAAGAGGAGCTCATCCAACTTTTCGAAACCCTCAAGACGAAAATATACAACATCTACGGACTGATGAACATAAGGTACGGAATCTGTAGGAGCAAGCACCACCTGATAGATCAATACGATTCATAAATCCATACAGGAGCAGCCATAAGCAGCTGCTGTCTCAAGTAAGGGGAGCCTCGTGGAAACTATAAAACACTAATAAGAAAACAGAATACAAAACTAAGTTACTGTGAACCATGGTAAAAAAAAACATAGGCTTGACATATTTCACAGATTTGTCGCATCACACCATGAACTATATTTAAAAAGTAAAAAAAATCCATTGACAAAATGTTATTTACTTGGCTCCCATGTCCTTAAAAATTCATATACACAGGGTGTACAGTTATGGTTGGATCAATGGTAGTCAGATGATAGGAGGGCCTGTTTACCTATAGGTTGAACCCCTGTATATAATATTTTATAGTTCATCACATATTTGCAATTTTGTGAAATTTTCGAAAAAAAAAACGGGATTATAAATTTTCAAGCTAAACTACTAGCTCTGATGCTGCGATTTTTTTTCTGACAATTTTCACATTTCGAATATGTCCTGAAGTTTAAAATATCGGATCATAATACACAGGGGGTTTCAGAAAGACACGTCAATATTTCTAAGGAGGAAAGAATATTCAAAAATAACAAAAAAGTTCCTATAAATATGGGCCCAAAGAATGCTACCCTACCGACATACAGGGTGATGAAGGTTTATCAGGTTAGGACCTTAGACATTCTGTGAGCATCATAAGCAGAGTTTCCAGGCCAAAACTAAACCGTGGACGTTGAAACGGGGGTATATGGAACGTCTAACTTGGTACCTTTACGCAGTCGTGGATATTTTTTTAAATTTCGTAAATAAAACTTCATCACTCTGAATCTAGACAGGGGAGTATCTTTGGACCCATATTTATAGGAACTTGTTTTGTTATTTTTTTGGATGTGCTGTCTACCCTATAAATATAACCCATAACTTTACAACCTGTATAAAGCTTTTTTGCTAATGCTAATTCCACAGATTTTGGTACTATACAAAATTAGACTGTCCAAAGTCCCATCAGAAGTTCTACAAACGTTTTTTTAGGTACACCAAACCAGAACAGGGAAATCCAAAGAAAATCGATCTACCTTATTTTTAACAATTCCTTATTACCCTGACATAAAATAAACAAACTGTGTCTTCGTCAAAATTATGCCAAGGGTACTTAAATAGAAAACTTCTCAACATTAATCATTTCTCAAATTTTAACATTCTCTTATTTTTGGCAACATACTCATACATGTACAGTATATTACAAGTATTTACAAAATATACAAAAACGAAATTACACCCCTACACACGTATAGAAGAAACACAAAAGTCTACATCACAATGGGTACAGTATCTGGTGGAAATTTAGACTCGCGTATAAGCCAATATCAAAGTTCAGTTGAACTATCGTGAATCAATTCAAAATTATTTTATTTAACGATTGAAAGAAGCATCGTCTTTCAAAACTATTTTTAAGTGAAGGTTGTAAAGGGACTAGATACTGGAAATACACTTTCCACAATCCACAATTTAATCTAACACAAATTCTAATTTTACAGAACCATTCACAACTCTATATACCAAGAGAGGAAGGCTGACGTTTTATAGCGAAATGCACATTTATCACCATGTGTAAAAAAATATTTGATCATTCCTAGAATCCTTTAGACTCCCAGGATGATTAACGTGAGCTTTTTATTATGTATCATTGACAGCACGACTTCATTCCTTTAAACAAGTTGAATAAAAGGTATTTTTTAAATAAAGGTGTCTAACAATGTAATAATAATTTTTTTCAGTTTAAATAAAATCTAAAATTGTTGTTGTATGTAAAAAATTATCTTGGTGGTTTCTAAGAAACAAAACTGTGTAAAAAGATTACTGTTTCATATAAGTTGAAGCCTGGAAAAAACTCGCTCACCTCGATGTGAAAGAAGTTTAAAATGAACATCTTTTTCCTCATCTAACTGACGCTAGGGCAGTTTCAGAGATCGTAATGTTATCCCATCATCTTAAAAATCTGCAAGATGAACCACAAAACCTTGTTCAAAATACTTTTTGAAAACTCAGGTTAATCATCCCGAGCAAAGAAAAATTGTGCTTTTGTTCTTCAAAGCCAGAATCCTGCTGAAACTAATTACAAAACAAAGGCCAATCTATAGCGAAATGTTCGTTTCACAGGTTGAAATACGTATCTCTTTGTACACATTGTCACCTCTAGGAGATAATTATTGTATTATGTGTGCGCTTTGAAACATTTACGATAAAAATGAATATGTCCAAATTATGCCGTTCTGCCATAATTATTTTTTATTTGTACTGATGCTTAGAGGATAAGTCATATGACGATGGATACATTTGAGAGTTTTGTAATTACTTTGCCTTTATTTAATGAAATAAAAGTTGTTCATCTTTGAACGAGAATCGATCATACTATAACAATTAACTAGACATAGGAATGGTGCTTGGTTCTTTGTTCATTTATATTCTAAATTGGAACTATTAACTGCTTTCTGTCCACCCCTTTCACCAGTCACAGATGACGTCAATTTGTTCTCAGAGCGTCTTCCAAAATAGGAATCACTGAACATGGCTGTTAAAAATAGCAATATTCAACATCATCTGACTCACCTCTGACACCCAAAAACCTGACTGGTAAGCGTATCGATTTCATTACTTTGAAAACAGTACAAAAGATGATGGAGCTTCAAACTCTATTTCGCCTGTTAGCGATTGTGCTTACTGTAAAATGCTCCACCCGCCTTACGAAATGCCGACAAAGCTTCAAACACGTTACTGCTCACAACGTGCGTGAAGCCAAAGCTTTTCCAGGTCTTGGTCTTCTTGTTAACTTCAGACGTGTCCGTTTCATTTGTATCCCATGCTCTGACTCTACGTTCTGACGTTGCTTTTGAAGTACTGTTGAAACTTCTGGAAGCAGCTGTGTGCTGTCGAGGTATAGGTTTTGTACTCTCTCGACAGACACGGCCACGGTGCCTTCCATGCAGCTCAAAAGGAATAATACCTCCACTCGAAGAAATAGGTCTTTGGTGAGGTTCAGAGGTTTCTCTTTTCTTACTTTTCATGCTATCATTTGATCGAATTTTTCTCTATACTAATTAACTGGTGACACTTCTATTTGTAGATCAACACAAATTTGTCTTTGCTGATCGTTCTCCGTCATCTAATAAGCTTTCTTGTCCAAGTTCCTTTCAATTTGTTCGCTATATATGATTTTTTTCTTTCTAAACGGGAACATCTTCGTTCGATTCTACCATTGCATCCAATGTTTCTTGTGGCTTGCGTCTTTTTTTCACATTCTTGGTATTCCCCTTCTTACCCTCTGATGATTTACCATCATGCCTTACTTCTTTTACCAGCCTTGCTTTTTGATAACACCAGTCATTCACCTTACACACCCACTCTCTTTGATGACGTGACATCCTTTTTTCTAATCGTAAGAATTACTGGGACTTTTATTTGAGTTGTAGATTTATTTCGGCCGTCACCACATAAGGGCTACGGAGATAAAGTTTTGTCAAGAGCCCAGGTTTTTCGGAGGTCTAAGGCATTTTTAGAAGGGGAGAGTTGATTGAAGATGAACCACGAAGCGGAAGGCCTTCACCTTCAACAACCGATAAAAATATCCACAGAATCGGGGGTCTTTACGTTCAGATTGTCGGTTGGCAGAATGATCGGGGAAGAGTTAAATTTGACTTACAAGAACAACTGGGTGTTGAATCACGATAATGCTCCTTGTCACACAGCAATGTCAATAAACGAGATTTTGGCCAGTAAAAACGTTCATGTGGCCCATCGGCCTCCTTATTCGCCTGAATTGAGCCCATGTGACTTTTTTCTCTTCCCGAAGTTGAAAAATGACCTCAAGGGAACTCATGGGACAGTCGAAAACATTCAAACGGCTGTAACCGACCAGCTGAAGGCTATTTCAGTATCGGAGTTCCAACACTGCCAGGAGGAGTGGAAGAACCGTCTCCTGCGCTGTGTGGGTCAGAAGAAAGTTATTTTGAGGGTGACAATATTAAATTGTTTTTCGTCATTGTCATCAAATATCCCCGTTACATCTACTTCATCGGCACCTATGTTTGAAGCTCCACCTTTTTGTGTCACGCAAATATTCCCTATTTCGCAATCAAAAACACTTTCAATCGATTGCGCCTCTTTTATGGCAATAGATTTGCACGACGTCTACCTATCCCTACATTTCTCTCTACGGAAGCTCCGCCTTTTTTAGTAGTAATAACCTTATGGGAAGTGTACGTCGTCACGCCTTCTATGTCTGGTCCGTTCGTGTTGCTCCTTCCCCTGAAATAGGGGGCGCATCATTATGTGGTTGTCGTGTTCGGATACTGGAACATGGTACCGACTGTCAGATCTGCCGATCGTACGGCAGATCTGGGCGGTAGCTGTGGTGTACCGGCAGAGGAACCGCTCGAGTTAGGGTCCTTGGAGTAGCGCGGCGAGATGTTGGGGGGCGCTAGAGGTGGTATGCTGAAAATAATAGCAGATTTTGAGCAAACATTTTTATAGATTAACTCAACATGCTATGGTATGTTATACAGGGTGTAAACGTTATGGTAGTCATATCGTATACACGATTGGAGAGCGCCCATCCGCGGTTACAGCGGCCCAAACAATAATTTGTGGCGCGTGCTGCTTCCGGGTGACCAACCGGTGGCTAAAATTCAAAGAACGTTCGTTCGAGTAAACCCTATCGTTTTGAGAGTTTACAGATTGCACAATTAGAAAAAAAATTTCGACAGAAAACACGATGTTCAATTTCGGCCAAGCGAAGCAGCTCCTTAGCTCTCTCAAGTCTCACTTGTCGCTGCTTCAGAGTAAGATCGTGACCAACCGTCTCCACATCGAGATCTGAGAGTAATGTTGAACGAATTTGGGGCTGTGTTCTTAAATTCCAAAACAATCGTCCACGAAATTTTGACAGAAAAACTTGCAAAAAATGTGCGCGAAAATCTTTCCGAACCTCTCGACTCGAGAAGAGAAAGCAAGGAGGGTTGATTGCTGTGAGCATTGGTTAGAAGCAGAGGAAAGGGGAGACTTTCTCAATCGGGTCATCATTCTAGACGAATCTTGGTTCTACGATTCGATGTGGAGCTGAAATCTCAAAGCATGGAGTGGAAGCAAGCAGGGGAACCTAGAAAAAAAATCCGAAAAATCAAGGTCCAATGTGAAACCAATTTTGATTGTTTTCTATGATTCTTGGGGCATTGTTAACCAGCAATTTGTCCTTCCCGGCGAAACAGTGAACGGAAATTTCTACATTGAAGTTTTGCGTCATCTAAAAGCTGGTGTGACCCGAGACCGGATTTGGCACAAGGGGGCAGGTGGATCCTTCATCACGACAACGCGCCTGCTTACATGTCTCTCGTTGTGGGTGAGTTTTTGGCTCGAAGCTCAATCACCGTGACGAACACCCGATTTAGTCCATTGCGACTTCTCCCTGTTCCCAAAATGCAAAATGGTGTTTCGGAGGCGGAGCTAACAGTGGAAACGGCGTTGGCAGAAATGCATCTTCTGCACTTTGAGAGACCATACTGAAATACCTCAACAATTGTAAAATAAAGTTATTATTCCACTTCCACAAACCTCGTGTTGTTTGTTGCTTTTACTTACGCTTTATGTTCTCCTGTAACCGATCTGTGATAAACCAATAAATTAATTATAACACTAACCTGGTTCCTCCGTTGTGTTGCACCTTAACATGCCCGCCAGCACCGGCCTGCGCGGCGCTTCGTCCAGCCGCAGATGCATGTCTACGCATGTGCAGCTGGCTGGTGTGCGTCGGATTGAGGCGTGGCAGAGTGCCCGCATGGCCGATAATTGGATGCGGCGGCAAGTGGGCGTGCCCTGCGCTGCCGCCAGTCGGCGACGGTCCCGGCTCGCGTCGGGGCGGTAACGGTGGAGGGGGCGGAGACGAATCCCGGCCGGAACCGATCAGTGAGGACGCTGCTGGTGGGGGTAGAGGAGGCGGCATTTCGCGGGGCGGTAGTAGAGGTGCTGTCGGAGCTTGTTTTGACTGGAAAAGTAGAAAATGGTAATGATAACAATGATAACGTAGCCATCCACAGCACTTGCTTCACCCTATATTTATTCTAAAAATATAGAGAAATGCACAAAAAAACTGTAAAATATAATCGGCATTGTTATCCGATATATGAGCGAACCACCATTGGTTTCGCTCACAGATGATTGAGGATTTGCTTAGGAAGCGCCTATGCAATATTTAGAAATTGTTATATTTATACTGAGCATTATTAGAAAAATATTAAGTTAGCATGCAATTTATCGATGGGATTTGCTAAAATATGAATGCCAGATCTAATAATTAATTAAGCTTTAAAGAATACCATTTATTATGACAAACGTCCCACGGTACTCATGGGTGTTTAGGCTTTAGGCCTTCGTGCTGGTTCGAGTATAAAAAAGGTCCAAAAGTAACGTGAAACAATCATTAGTAGATATCTTTTGTGATTGCTCTGATCGCTATACTGTATGAATATTTTCTAATGTGCATTGTACACAATGAATGAAAAATACAGGGTGGTCCGTAAGTCCTTTGAAATTTCAAATTTGAATAAAATTTAACGGGTGAGCGTGAGCGGCGCGGGTGAGGTGGGGGCAGTATCTTCAGTGTCTGGGAATTCAGTCGCCATGGAGTGTTTCACTGGAGCGGATCGTGCTTTTTGTGTGCGCGCGTTTTATCAAAATAATGATTCGGCAACCATTGCGCGGCGTAAATATCGAGAATACCACAATTTACACAATTTTACAAAGTGTCCAACAGCTCAAACGATGAAGAACTAGGTTGCTAAGTTCGAAGAGACTGGTTCGACGTTAGATAAACAGCGGTGGGGTCGACCAAGGACAACTCGTATTGAAGAAAACATCAACATTGTGGCACAGTCTGTTCGTCAAAATCCTACCCAGTCTACTCGTAAGCGTTCCAGTGCACTAAACGTACCCAGAACATCTTTACAGTGGATTTTAAGGAAAGATTTACGTCTGCACGCTTACAAAATTCAGTTAGCGCAGGAATTAAAAGATAATGACGCTATTCAGAGACTAAACTTTGCGAATGAAATGTTGAATCGATTTTCTTCGCTCAATAATGTGTTGTTCTCGGACGAGGCTCACTTCCATTTAAACGGGCATGTAAATAAACAAAATTGCCGTTATTGGAGCCCCGAAAATCCAAGGCGTAAGCATCAGAAGCCCTTACACAGCCCTAAAGTTACAGTTTGGGCTGCTATGTCAGCGCATGGCATCGCAGGCCCTTATTTTTTTGAGGACGACAGAGGTCGCGCATTAACTGTTACTTCGGAGCAGTATGTAGCAATGATAGAAGAGTTTTTGACACCAGCGTTGCAGTATTTTCCAGGCTATAATACGCAGACCTGGTTTCAACAGGACGGAGCAACTGCCCACACCTCCAACACTTCTATGCCCGTCGTCTGTCAACTTTTTCCCAGCAAAGTAATTTCTCGAAGAGGAGACATTTCCTGGCCACCACATAGTCCAGATTTGACCCCAATGGACTTCTTTTTATGGGGCTACCTCAAGAGTAAAGTGTACGACACCACTCCGCGATCAGTTGATGTCCTGAAAGAAAATATCCGAAGAGCAATGGCAAGCATTACAGTGTTGACTTGCCGCGCAGTCATCGACAATTTTAGACGTCGTTTATATGAGTGCCGTGATCGTAATGGATTGCATTTAGACGATGTGATTTTTAAAACATAATTCCCATTCAATAAAGATGATAACAAAATATAATAATTCTTCATAATGTAACTAGTTTGGTTTTATTCCTTTTTTTCCAGCTCAAAGGACTTATGGGCCACCCTGTATATTGCATGCACACGTGTTCCCTCGCCAGAGTCGGTGTGGCGTTCCCCCTTTCCCCTGTATCCCCCTATAGCCCCACGGCACCCCATTGGTGTTTAGGCCTTAGGCCTTCGTGGTAGTCGGAATATAAAAAAAAATATTTTTCTGACTATACTTCTTTTTGTATCTACAACATTTTTAATAACTAAATTCTGGAACTTAATGGTGCTTAACAATAACGTCTTGACTATTCAAATTTGCTTGTAGCGTATTTTTTGTATGCGAAGAAACTTTTGTAAATAAAAGAGTTGTTAGAAGTTCAAAATGAAACGGTAGCGTACAAAAAATACGGCTCTGTCTACCTGGCGCTTCTTTGCCGATATGAGGAATTTTGAAATATTACTAGACAATCAGTTGTCATTCTCACATAATGAATACTCGTGAATGGACAGTAATAAAGTAACTTTGCATACACTCACCTGTTGTGGCGATCCAACCTCAACACTATCCCTGCGTCTCCTAGGTGGCAACGGAGGCGGTGGAGGGGGCGGCGTGGGAGGCGGTCTCGGACTGGCCGGTTCCCCTACAGCGACTCCCGCTACTGTCGAAGTGGGCGTAACGTGCGGTCCCGGGGAGGCGGGGCTATGAGGCCCGCCCGGGCTGCCGGTACCACCCGCCGAAGAGGCTGCTATCACCGAACTCTGGCTGGCGTGCGAGTAACGAGTCGTGCTGCAAGAACAGACATAGTATCAGCCAGAAAAAAATATTTGAGCAATTTAGAAAAGGACTTTAGCAAAAAAAAACTTGCCTCAAATTTGGATTTTAAAATTGAACACCATAAAGGGCATTTCAGAATAATGTGGCAATTTTTCGGATACATTTGGTGACGGATTATATTAACGCTAGAAGAATGTGTGCATGTTGCGTCACTATGCCTCTAAAGGATCAGTATTACACATTTTACAAAATTATTTAGTAAATAGAAGTCAAAAAACTAAAGTTGGAAATGTTATGTCAAGTGTTCAAAATATATCAGTAGGGGTGTCACAGGGGAGTAAATTAGGGCCGTTACTATTTATTATTCATATAAATGATATCTCCTACATTTTAGAACACTGCAAAATTCAAATATTTCCGGACGATACACTACAAATTACAGAAAATGGATTGAAGAAAAATATGTAACCGAATCATTATACAAAATTGACATTGTACCATTAATGCTAAATCAATCTTCAACAACAACAACAACATATTTTCTCGATAGAGTCTGTGTGGGGTCCCCCCTTTCCCATGTATCCCCCTATAACCTCTCGGTACTCATGGGCGTTTAGGCCTTCGTGGTGGTTTAAGTATAAAAAAAAAATTATAATACATACACATGTTGTGATGTAATCGAATCCGTCCTGGACGGCCTGAATGATGTTGTGGACATAATCGAACTAACACTGGGACTGCGAGTATGATTGAACCAATTCATTATCGAATTCGAAGCAGCTGGTGATACTGGACTTAACGTTGGGCTGTTCTGACCGGTTCCCAGGTTCACCTGAATAAAAAAAAATTAAGCATATTTGTCAACATGTTTTAAAGAAATATATTTAAAACATATCGGTACAATCCGAATGTCGAGTCCTTATGAGATATTAGAAAACACTCATGTTGATTGACAACTATGCTTGTGCTTTTTCAAAATTTAACTTTCAACAAATATATCGATTGAGCATTACATTGCGTCTGGTCACACCATCTTAATATGATTTAACGTTTGTAATATTTTAGATTATTGTAAACTTCAGATATTTGCAGATGATACATTAATATACATATCAGATGAAAATATAGACACTGCTTTAAAAATGCTAAATTCTGACTTGGCAAAAACTGTAAATTGGTTAAATGTTAATAAACTAAAATTGAATACTTCTAAAACAAAATGCATGCTAATAGGGAAATACCTAAATGAAAATACTATCACATTTAGGATAAATGGAGAAATAATTGAAAATGTTGAATCAATTAAATATTTAGGTATATATATATATATATATATATAGGTGAAAAATTAAAGCTTCCGCCTTTTGTTGGATACTTCGACAAAATTTAAGCAAAGAGGACTCTTTATACTTTTTTAATTCTCTCTAGCTTTCAATGGACTTTGCCATCATCATCAGGAGCTGCAATTACAATGATAACAGTAGCAACAATAGTGTAAAATGAATTTAAATTGACTTAACTTACAATTTAAATAGCTTAAACGTAACATTTCGCTCATAGCTGTGATGAAATTCTAGCGCGTCGTAACAAGTTATGTCAGAATTTTTTAGAATGTCATCTTGCTACTATCAAGCACGTTAGGCTTCTATCAGATGGAAAGAAACGAAGTTTTATTCTCTGACGTTGAAAGTTTTACATCAAAGATTTACAAAATTAAACATCGGGGGAGCGATTACTAAGGCATTTTGATTTTTGGGCATTTGGGGGCTCTATCAAGCCAGGGTCCTGTTGCCGGGCCCCGTTTGTCATAGAGTATAGGTGTAATAGAAGGTACTTTGTATATTATGTACGTTCCAAATGGGAATATGCTTCGACTTAGCCTAAAAATATCTTGCAAGAATCATGTGCATGATGAGCTTCAACAGAATATGAAGTATTTGTGATATCTTGATGTGTAATCTTCCTCAACTCAAGAGGGTTTTATGGCAGCACCTTAAATATCGTTATACACGTTATATTACTGTTTGTTTATCCTCTTAAATTTCAACAAATTAGTATTGTTTTTTATTGTTATGCCAGATTTGAAATCTTTGTCCTATAAATGCTATTATTATAGTATTTAGAGCAATAATACCTTTCTTATCTTTGACGCAGTAGCACAAATTAGTTTCAACTGTTATAGTATAAGTTTTTTGTTATCCCAACACGTGTAATTTGTTATAACATCCACCCACTTTCTAAATGAAATGAAATTCAACACCAATAAATTATTATTCTAGTACAAGAATACTTACAGGTGCAAAAACACTAAAATCATTCTCCGATTTCACCTGCTCATCCGTTTTATTCTCATCGCCCTTCAATGTAGAGCTCAACGTCTGGTTGATGGTGTTAGCAACCGCGCTGGGCACGTTTCTGCCTGCAGCTCGCATTGTCTTCGTGCCCGGGCTCTTAAGACTCAAATGAGGCCATTTCCGAGGGAACTTGGGGACGAGCTTTGTATCTCGCGGTTCTATTTCTAGTGATTTTTGATACAGGTAGTTGCTGATGTCATTGTCGTTCATGTCCTTGAAGGGGTTTAGGTTTTCCAAAAAGTGCTGAAAAAGGAGCTTTTATCAGGTGCATTCATGAAGAAATTTCGGTTCCACCTGAACTTTTAAAAAATTTCTCAGCAAATTTCGAAATTCATGTCCTGAGTCATTGATGCTAAGTTGCATGGATTTATCGTCAATTTAACATGTTTATTATATCAATAAGTATCAAGACTAATATTTCAAAAGAAAAAAATCAGATAAAATACTGAGCGCGGTGACGATATGACACTTTTGGATTCTGGGCAACGCTGTCTCTGACCGCTTCAACCAATCCATTGGAACGTCTTGGTCGTTGATGAACGGTATGTTGACGATCTCCCACTATCCTGTACTCAAGAAAATTCGAAACCAAACGACGGGTAGTGTTGTCAGACGGTGCCTGTTTGCCACGATATTTTCGACGATATGCACGTTGCGTTAACACAACTGAACGACGATTTTCAATGCACATTGTGACTATTTTGGCGCGTTGTTTCGGTGTAAAGCGATTTATGACTAAAATTGTAGTAAATTGACGTTTCAGAAACACGTATAACCAAATCACTCGGTTGGTAAATATCAAAGTCATTCGAAGTTTCAATACCGACATACCGCACCCGTTGTGAGTATTCTCTAAAATTACAACTTCAAACATTCACATTAAAACAACAATATCATTACAAGATCACACTCCAAAAATAGCATATCCTCCTTTTTTAAGCATGTTATTTTTTTATAATATACAAGTGGAACTACTTACCCTTATACTTTGTTCTACACTGAAGCAATATGGTTGGTTCTGGTACTGTTGAATTTCCCCTGTGATTTCAGCGACTTTTCTCCTCTTGAAAAAATTGATGAGTTGCGTATTTGGAAGGAAGTCTGGGTTGCCCTCCTCTATGTGGAGAATATTCGTCAGATACATACCAAGAAAAGGTACGCATGGCGGATTGATGCTGCGCAGTTTTTCTTGGTACTTTTTCAGGTGATCGTCAGCCCGGCATTCTTCAAGAGCACGTCTATTTTGCTGAGTCAAGTTCTAGAATGAAACAGATACAGTTCAAAATTGGGCACTTATTTTTTCACACCGAAACAGCCACGCAGGCAGAAGCCTAAATGCCAGCGCGTCGCGGCTGCTATGAGGAGATAAAAGAAATTTTATTAAACCGATTTTTGAACTGCACAATCAACTACTCAAAAATAATTTTATACTTACGGCGAAAGTAAACTTCAGCCTATGCACAGACGCTGATCCTGTCGCAGACACTATGGCGAGAACACCATTGAAATTGTTGATTTCGTTTAAAGATATCATTATCTCTATGACCCTGTTTAGTATTGCAACCCGTTCCTCAAAATTCTCTGCTTCCACTATGTTTTTCTCTAACCACCTTGTAAACTGAAAAACAAAGGAAAATATCGTCAAATATAAAACTACTATATTCTGCAAGGTTTTCATCATTTTTATCTATTTGTTATCTCTAAGATTTCACCTACATTTGTTGTATGTTTGATCATCCTCAACAAGTTTGGACTACTAGTTTCTTTGTCCCTTTTTGTCCATACTGATCCAACCAACTCTGAAGGCTTAATAGTTCTGTAAAGATCAAATTCTAAAATGGTTAACTGCCTGGCTATCTCTATCGGGTGTAACGTTAAAATTCCATACTCCTCTTCTGTACAATTTATGTGCCTTTCAATTGGTGGTGGAGGTTCATCAAAGGCAAATTTTATATGCCTTTGATTATCGTTTTCCATCTGAAATAAAAAATAAATACAAAAATAGTTATAAAAGAAATGGTCACTCAATAATGAGCAAGAACATTAACAAACTACTAGAATATTAAATGTTGTACTCAAATCTATGCAAAATATTTATTGTTATAGTCTATATATATACTTCGAAGTTGAGTCATTTATTTTAACAGTGAGTATGTATGTTTTTACAATTATTTCATTCAGTTGTAAACAGTCAGTGTCAGTCGGTAGTGGATAGTGGTGTCTGTTGCGTGGCTCAAACGAAATAAAAAATGGCACATGTTTATGCGGATCGGTTTCCCAATCGAGTGCAACCAACCCCTCGTGCCTTTGTTAATGTAGTACAACGGGTTCGTGAATCATTTGACTTAAGACCTCACATATGGACGGCATGCCGGTGCTCCAAGACCTCACGATCAAATACAGGTCCGCACTGAAATACTTGTCGGGAGGATACTTTATAAAACAAGGTAAAATTTTTTTTTATTTTTACACACATATTTTGGTTTATCTTCCTTCTACAATCATTATCTGAAAATTAACGACTCAACTTCAAAGTCGTGTTTCAAATTTGACCCTCACGATTGAATCTCGGAAACGGTAAGAGATACGAAGTCGCTTAAATGGGGGCCCAGTTGCGTATTTAGGTAACTAACAAAATGCCGCTTAGAAAGTTTCATAACTCGAAGTACTTTCGGAATGAAACGAAAAAAGAAAAAACAGGAATTTTCCCAAATCCTTTTTTTTCTTGATTTTTACCACTAACATTGCCACTTTTTCTCATCTACAAGATCACATAATTAGAATTTCAATATGACTATTCGTTTCTTGTCCTCCAGCGTCAACTTTATATATTATTTCTTCTGAACGCCATATTGGATTTTTGCACAGATGAATAGGGTTTTCAATTATGATTTCAAAACTGCATAATTCATACATTGACATTGCCAAACATAAAGTTATTCCAGAACAAACAGAAGTTCCTAGGCGGGCTTTGAAATTATCAGATAGTCATATGTTTTGCATACCAGACTTGACCTCAAACTGAACATGGTAACAGAGTTTGGAAGAATGAGAAGAGAGATAAATCGAGCAGTGAAAAATGTAGAGTGAAGAGACGGGCTTTGCCTACACAAATAGCGGACAACATTTCGAACATCTGCTATGATTAATCTCTGCTTATTTATGAATATTATTGTTATCACCATCAATAACATTTTCATTTGTGTCCAAGTTATATTCATTTATTGGTCACCTTGGACCTGACCTTGACTATGACCTTCAAGCTCATTTGAAGATCAAGACAGTTTCCTTAAGTGGAACCCTCTATTTTTGACACCGGAAATAAAAAGAGCTAGAAACTTTATGTTCGAGTATGCCCATGACCTTGACTAATATGACGCTCAAGGTCATTTGAAGATCAAATGAGTTTTTAACGGGAACCACTTATTTTTAATTCCTAAAATGCGAATTGCGGACAATTTAAAGTCCAATTATATCCTTGAAAATGAACCTGACCATGACCTTCAAGGTCATTTTAAGATCAGATAAATTTGCAAGTAAATTCCTTACTTTTTATCGAGCATATAAGAAAGCGAAACATAAAATTAATTTATTGCTACGTTAAAATGTTGGATAAAAAATGTTTATTGTCAAAGAACTATTGCATTTCTTTCAAACGACATATACTTTACACTACTTCGGCGGGTTGTCTAGTATTATAATAAATGAAAAAACTATCCATCTAAGATCATCATCCTAAACAGGTATCTTACCTTTCTTTGTACTATTTTTATTACACTATCTACCCATTTCCTCATACTCTTTCCATTTACAGAATCTAGGAATGCTTGTAGTTTCGCCAATAAGTTAGGATCCCTCTCAAAGTCATAGAAGTGATGGTCCACCCAGTGTTTTAATACGTTAAGTACCCTGAAATATGAAATATAATTTTGGCATTAAGAAAAGTACTAAGTAGTGGTATATGGGAATAAATCGCAACATATTTTTGCACATACCTGAATTGCACAGGTTGACAGTACTCTTTCCTGTACTTCTTCCAGTCTTCCCTTTGGTTGTTCTTTTGCATTTTGTCCGTGTCGCAGCAGTCTTGTTCGTAAACTAACGACGGATCGGGAATCTGAAACCGTTCTATCAGGAGATCCAACAGCTCCTGGGGCGAACAGAAACTCCGAAACGTCGTCAAAAAGGTACGCACGAACTTCGGGTCGGCGTATATGTGATAAGTCAGTCTTTCCACTAATTTATACAGAGTTGCTCCCTGAAACATTGTATTCGAGTTTAGAAATGCGTGGCCAGTGAAGGATCCTTCAAGATGCATGCGCGTTCGCGTCGCTCCAACGAGCGGGCTCTTATTTGATGACGTCTAAAGGAACTCAGCGGTTGAGTTTCACTTCTCTCCTATTTCATTCCAATCAATGGGCACGCACCTTTAGCATGCGACTAGGAGATAGTCGAGATAAAATCTATCACCTTACACAACGTAGCAATGAAAACAACCTGTATATGGACAGTATCCAGTTTCCATACCAAGAGTCAAATACTTCAGAAAAGAAACGGAAAAATCTATAACCATTTTGAGATAATGTTTCAATGACCTTGAGGCCTCAACCGATCAATTTTAAACATTTATTTACATTTGGGTGTTATAAAAATAATACTATAAAATATGAAGTTTCACAAACAAGACCATATATACAGCAGCGGACAAAAGTGTGAAACACATATTAACATTATGAACTATTTCATGTACCTAAATTAAAATTGTGAAGGAACACATAATATAAATATTAAAGTCTACCTTTGGCTTCTAACTAATACAAGGTTTATCTTACCAATATTCAAATTCTCTGACAATAAAAACACGCGTTTTTTTTTTAAATACCACAGCTTTTGTAATGACAAAAGCATGGAAACATTTCAGTTTTGCCGTATTTATTCGTTCTGCGATACTATGATATTGCGTGCGGTAAATATTAAGATAAGTGAGGATGGCAAAACTTAAAGAATTTTCAAAAGATTTAAGAGACAAAGTAATTCAATTATTTAGAAGTTTCGGAAATTTTGATATTTCTCATAGATTAAAAATGATTTCGGAAATTATTAGCAAATATCAAGAAAACAAACGATTATTTTTTGGATCGCTACATTAATCGTTTGTCGCAGATTTACAACAGAATCGTAAAAGACAACTGACAAGAAAAGCTTGGGAACGATTTATTTGATTATGTAAAAAATACTGTCTGCATCGTAAAGGCATTTCTTCTTCAGCAAAAGTGAACATGTCACTAAGAATATCTTTGATATCAATGGCTACGTAAATAAGCAAAATCGCAGATTCTGGGGGGCTGAAAATCCACACCAATGTCATGAACAACCTCTCCAGCCTGAAAAAGTGACTGTTTGGTGCGGATTATGGGCTGGTGGCATCGTTGGACCATTCTTCTTTGAAGATGCCGAAGAAAAGGCCATTACCGTCAACGGGGAACGTTATCGTGGCATGCTAACAGACTTTTTGTGGCCACAATTGGGTCGTATTGGTGCCGACGATCTTTGGTTTCATCAATACGGAGCAACGGCTCACACCTCGCCAAAAAATCGCCTTATTGCACACGAAATTTCAAGACCGCATAATTTCACGAAATTCAGATGTCAGTTGGCCCCCGAGATCGTGCGATTTAACACCTCTTGACTACTTTCTTTGGAAATTTTTGAAAGGAAAAGTGTATGCGAATGGTCCCCGGACAATTCAAAACCTAAAGCGCAATATTCGGACTGAAATTGCGGCCATAGACCCGATTATTCTGGGAAAAGTCATTGAAAATTTTGATGTTCGGATGTTGGCCTGTAAACGAAGCCGCGGTAGTCACATGACTGATGTTATTTTTCATACAGAAATGGCATAAACCAACCTGCATTTATCAATAAAATTCCATTTCACCTCGTAAAAAGCGTGTTATAGAAAAAACAAATAATAGATGACGTACCCTATATTTACCGCACGCAATATCAGAGTATCGCAGAACGTTTAAATACGGCAAAACTGAAATGTTTCCATACTTTCGCCGTCACAAAAACTGTGGTATTTAAAAAAACGCATGTTTTTATTTTCAGAGAATTTGACTATTGATAACATAAACCTTGTATTAGTACGGGAGACAAAGGTAGACTTTAATATTTATATTATCTGTTCCTTCACAATTTTAATAACAATAATAATGTTAATATTTGTTTCCAAACTTTTGTTCGCTACTGTAAATCCTTTGTAGTCTTCTTGCACACACTTGTGTATGCTTTATTTAATTTGCAATTGTCATTTAAATTCTGGAAGAATATTTTGGTAAGATTGTTTTATATATTCTAGTAGTGCTAATTTTTCAAGGGTTAAGTTAAACTTCGCCCCAAATAAAAGTCGTTTACTATTATCATTTCATTGAATCCTAGCAAAATCGTGAAACTATCATCACAATGCCATGAGCTTATATAAAAATTTAAGTATTTTTATAATTCATGATCAAAAGCAACTGAACTATTCACCTTTATAAGAGGTACGCCGCCGTTTTCTCGCTGTTCCAGGACGATATTATCTTTTGAATCAGGTTCAGCAAATTTATACAATTCTGGCGGTGGCAATTTCAAGGGATGTTTTCTTTCAATGTCTGATAATATACTATCTAATACCCTTTCTAACATTGACCTGAAATAAAACATAATAATGTAAGTATGCATCTCACATAACTAAAAACTTCAAATCGATTAAAAGTGTAAAAATAACGCCTGAAATAAATTTCTTGCTATACCTATTATTTAACATAACTAAATCAGCCATCCATGAATTCTTCTCTTCTTGCGATTTTGCACATAGCACCACAGAAGGTGCTTGTCTAGGAGATATCTCGAAAGAATACTTCAATTCTTCTGCATCCGGATGATCAATGATCTCTACTTTTCTGATGAAATATCGTTCCTTTAATCGACAATCATTATGCTGTGCTGAGCTTTGTCTCCGAGAATTCGGTTTACAGAGTATCATCAGGCCATCAAAAAGGAACACACGCCGTTCTGTCAGTCTTTTGCTGGAGCTTACTTTCACTAGTACGTCCTCTGAAACAAAAATATATATTAATTATTAATCTGATAAATCACCATTATTGACTGCAATCCTCCAATTAGACGAGACTTTCACAAAGTAAAGAATGACAATTTCAATGAGCTACTTTAATAACTGTTCTTTATATTTTGGAATATTAGAAAACTACCCGTACAGTCTAGTACCAAAACGGAACACATCGTACACCATTGTTAGCGTGGTGTGTGTCTTTGAATACGACAAGATCCTCGCGCGCGAACTTTGCAGGTACAAAGATAACAATGTTAGACAGTATATCACATAATATTTTATATAAAATTTCATTACTACGAATTCTGGTTTTCCATGAGATATTTTTTCAGTTTCCCTTTAAACATTATCAAACTGGCACACATCTTGATATCATAAACTTAATTTGTTAAATTTGAGATACTAATTTTTATGTTATTTCGCTACTATAATTTTGTAAATGAAAGCCTGTACTTCATATAGTAGAATAAACATGGTACTCATCGTTGTAAAAGATTCGGTAGAACATGATTTTTTAACTTTAATATGAAAATGAAAACCAAGTAGGTTATGAAAATTTTGATATTTAACCATTGTAGTTCTTTCAGCATAAAATTTATTCTAGTATATTTATTTTCATTTAAGATGTTTCTCATAGTTTTATTTTGTGATATTTATAATTTTGAAAATACACTTTCGTTTGCAGTGAACAAAATAGTCGAACTATATAAAAATGAGGAAGAATAATAGTGTTGTATAATTTTTTTTTTGAATAAACATTTAAGCTTTGCAAAAAATCCTTTTGAATATTTTTGAAATAATATATTCATGTCATCAGTTATGCCAACTGGCAAGAATGAATGGATGCAGTCTTGAAAAGTATAGTAATTAAGAATTGCAGAAAATGTCGCACCATCTTCAACTGGAAATATAAACAGAGTTATAGATTTTTTTCGAAAATATCTGTGAAAATCATTTTTATCGAAACTGCATCACGGTACATTTGGGCGATTTTAATACAAATTTTGATAATCAAGACTTCTACGCAAAGAAATCTAAACAGGTACTCAGTTTTTATGGTCTATGGCAAAAAGTCTATGATCACACCCGAATTACAACTCAATCAAGAACAATTATAGATTTGATAATAACGTACGAACAAAATTTAATTGCAAAAGTTATGCATACTCCTAAGATCAGTAATCATTCATGGATATGTTTTGAAGTTGAAAGTAAATTTGATGCTAACAAAGTGGAACAAATTACTAATATTAACTACGTAAAATTACGAGAAGCTCTTTTACTGCAAGATATGACTGAAGCAGCCAATAAATGTTCTGCCAGATGTTGAAAGTTTTTGAAGAAATTATTTACGAACAGATCATCGAATTTATTGAGGGAAATAAAATTTTAACCAAATTTCAAGCTGGATTCAGGAAGAAACACAACTGAAATGGCAACACAAATGGTTTTAGAGGACTGGAGAAGATGTATGGACAATCGGAAACATACAGTAACAGTGTTTTTGGACCTCAAAAGGGCGTTTGCGAATATTGACAGAGATAAATTACTTACAAAATTGCATCACTACGGATTTAAAGGATCTGCATTCAAAATTCTACAAAACTATTTAATTGAGGGAAGTCAGAAAACCAAAATTGGATCTACATTATCAAGATCAAAAAATATTTCTGTTGGTATACCACAAGGTAGTAAACTAGGTCCACTACTATTTATTTTATACATTAATGACATTTGTAATATTTTCGATTATTGTAAACTTCAGATATTAGCAGATGATACATTAATATACATATCAGATGAAAATATAGACACTGCTTTAAAAATGCTAAATTCTGACTTGGCAAAAATGTAAATAAACTAAAATTAAATACTTCTAAAGCAAATTGTATGCTAATAGGGAAATACCTAAATGAAAATACTATCACAGTTAGGATAAATGGAGAAATAATTGAAAATGTTGAATCAATTAAATATTTAGGTATATATATTGATAGTAAACTAAAGTTTGAGGATCGCTATAAATACATTATTTCAAAAATTGCCAAAAAAACAAATTACTTTTATAGGGCTTCTCATAGTCTTGGTACCTATTCCAAGAAAATAGTTTATAATACAATTACTCTACCGCATTTACTATATTGTTCAACTAGCTTGTTCACTGCCAATGAAGGTGTATTCTCAAAATTACAAGTCTTGCAAAATGAAGCTATGAGAATAATATTGAATAAAAACAAGTACACCAAAATAAAATCTATGTTACAAGAATTGCAGTGGTTGAATAAAAAAAATTCATATCATATTTGGTTGTTATTTTTATATTTAAAATAAAAAATCATCTTTTGCCAGAACATTTAGAACACTACATAGTATTGAATAATCATTACCACAATTATTATACAAGAGGAACTATTGATTTTCATTTACAAAATTGCAATAGTAATATAACTAGCAAATCAATATTTCAGAAAGGATTAATTGAATTTAATAAACTAAATAATGATATAAAGCCTACTTGCAATTTAAAGATATTTAAAAGAAAATTAAAGGAATATTTCATGGACAATGAAAATTCTTAGAGATGCAAATTTTGTTTTTTTTTCTGAATGTCTTTATGTTATGTAATTGTTTAGTTTTTTAGAAGAATGTAATTGTAGCAATCATGCTAAATAAATCTTAAATAAACAACAAACCTCTAACAAATTCATTGCAACACTGTCCTAAGTCCTTAGAATCCCAGTTTTCCACAATTTTTTCTAGCTCATGAATTTTCAGTAGGGCAGCTTGTCGACGTGCTCTAACTTGTGGCAATGTAGCACAACTCCTTGAAAGACTTTGAGTGGGTACACAATTTCCTAAAGCTATTTGTAATGGTTTTAGTAACCCTTCTACTTGTGTCAACGTTTCTCTGTCTTCTGATGATGGAGACAGTCCTCTTAGCAATTTTATGTAGTCTGCAATGAAATTGAATGCTTTAAATTCGGCAAAGAGAGTCCCAGAAAAGATTTAGGATATCTAAATATAATAAAAAATACACACTTTAGCAAAATGTTTTCAATGAACATAAAGGTTAGATGTGTGGATTTATTTCTTCCCACCCCTGCTGGCGCGAATGTATTAAAATTGCGAAAATTTTCGAAAATGTGTAATGTTTTTTGGATGTTCCATGACTGTACATCACGAAAAACGATGTCATATCATTTCCGTCAGTCTGTCTGTTTGCTAAACTAATAACCGCTTATCGATTTCGATGAAATGTTCATACAATGTTACTACTAAGAAAATCAAAAACGAAAGAGAATAAAAATCGCTCAAACTTCGTTTTTTGATGCCCCAGAGGATCCTGATAATTTTTGATGTTTGTATACTTATTCGTCTCCGACCTTGGTAATTCCACGCACCTATTAGATTTATTTTACACATCATAGACTTCTCTGTAAAAAGATCCCAGACATGTTCAATTGGAGATAGGTCAGGCGATCGTGGTGGCCAAGATACGTAGCTGTTTATTTCTTTTTGTCACACAGTATACAGGGTGTTGCAGTTTATTGTTGCATAACTTTAAGATTCGATAGAACTTTTAAAAATTAATGCATAAAGTCTATATAAACATGGGTCGAAAAATGCGTGACTTCCGAAATACAGGGTGTTTAAATTTACTTTCTAAAATAGTTTTTTTCAAATATTTCGAACAATATTTGATGTATAACAGTGAAAATTGGTATACAAGGGTTTTTTTGGTACGACAAAACGTACCATGGGCATAGTTTTACTGTAGCCGCTAGAGGGCGCTCTCTACTGTACCTGTAGTGTATTAAAATGACTAAAAAAATTTTCTTAATGCAATTTTTTGCTTTTTGAATAAAAAAACTGATTCTTCACACTTTTCAACATAAAAAAGCTCTCTTGTGAGTTTTCGTTATAGTTAGCCGTTTTTGAGATAATTCGATTTTTAAGGTTCGACGCATTTTTAATTACTTATGGGAAAATAATATTTTTTTTACATTTTCGATTTGGGCATTACAAGTAATTAAGATGATCGTTTAGATTGTGTTTTTAAACACAGCAATAATTCATAACTCCAAATAAACACAAAAAACAGAATATTAATTTGTTTACTTTTCCAATATTATTTTTAACAAATTAAATTAATTATTTACAACTAAAATGCTATTGGATAGTTAGGACAAACATACGAAATCTAAAGTAGTTGCTCGAAATGTAAACCCAGTTGTTCGATACACAATTCACATCTACGAATGATCGAACGTGGTATAGCATTATTCAAATAAGGCCTAATTTCATCACATGCATTCCTGATTCTGTCTATTAGCATATGTCTTGTGGTTACGGGAGTCTGGTACACTTTTTCTTTTAGAAATCCCCACACAAAGAAATCTAATGGATTTAGGTCAGGGGATCGTGGAGGCTAGACGACTGGTCCTCCACGGCCGATCCATCTTCTGGATAATTTTCGTCCAGCCAGTTTGTAACTATTCTCGAATAATGAGCTGGACAACCATCAAGCTGGAACCAGAAGGTCCAAGAAGGTCGCAGCATTTAACCTTGCAGGCAAAGACATTTCAAGGCTCTTGAACAATCTAAGCATATTGGTATTTTCCTGTGGTAGTAATGTAAAATGCTCGTACGGTAGATACCAATCCACACGTTCACACTAAATTCATGCTGAAAATTTCTTTCCCGAACTGCATGCGGATTTTCATGCGACCAAGTATGTTGATTATGAAAATTTACCACTCCACGTCTAGTGAAGCATGACTCATCGGTCCATAAAACGTTACTTAAAAACTCCCTATTATTATCAGTTCTATCAAGAATCCACTGACAAAATGTGATTCTTCGTTCTCCGTCCCCTGGCTGTAGTCCTTGCACAGGTTGCAAATGGTAAGAACGTCTATGGTCATTTCTAAGAACACGGTGAACATGGCTTCCTGAAATTCCCAAGGCACCAGAAACTCTCCTAACACTTGTGGTCGGATCTCTATCAAACTCACGCAGAATCATACGGGTAAATCTGCGCTGACGAACATTTATGTTTTGATCACTTTGGACATTTCCAAAACCATTTTCAATTATTTGGCGATGCACTGTTACAAATACTGAGCGAGTTGGACGTCGTCTGTTTGGAAATCTGCGTGTGTATTCTCTGGCTGCTTCTGCTGCATTTCCATTTACAAAGCCATGCACAAAATGAATATCCGCTAACTCTTGATTGGAGAATAAAAATGGCATTTTTATAAAACTCACAAAAAAAAACAGGTAAAAGATACTAAATTTCGTGCATTCACAATTGCAAAAAAACGTTTCAGGTTTCAACAGACAACAAAACTAACTGTCAACTAATTGACGTTTAACCTTATTCCGCTTTCAATTTCAAAAATATTTGCAGGCACAGCCTACTTCTAAAAATTATCGAGATACTGACTTTTAACGTCATTTTATTATAAATAATTAAATGCATCGAACCTTAAAAATCGAAATATCTCCAAAACGGCTAACTATAACGAAAATTCACAAGAGAGCTTTTTTATGTTGAAAAGTGCGAAGAATCAGTTTTTTTATTCAAAAAGCAAACAATTGCACTAAGAAAAAATTTTCGGTCATTTTAATACACTACAGGTACAGTAGAGAGCGCCCTCTAGCGGCTACAGTAAAACTATGCCCATGGTTCGTTTTGTCGTACCAAAAAACCCTTGTATACCAATTTTCACTGTTATACATCAAATATTATTCGAAATATTTAAAAAAAAACTATTTTAGAATGTAAATTTAAACGCCCTGTATTTCGGAAGCCACGCATTTTTCGACTTTATGCATTAATTTTAAAAGTTCTATCGAATCTTAAAGTTATGCAACAATAAACTGAAACACCCTGTATATCCATCGCGAAATTAAACCTGCTACTAATCAGCATGGTACACAGAAATGATGTAAGCTTAAAAGAAACCACTGATCTGGCGGTTAATTTTCAATAAAAAATCATGTTTCCTAAAATGTGTAGAAATATTTTTGAATCTGGAAAGCCTTAATTTTTCCTGGGATACCCCGAATAACTAGGAGAAAGCTATACATAAATATAAAAAACCCAAAAACGATTTCATTTCCAGGACTAAATTGTAAAATGTCGTCTTACCTAAATACGAAAAACAGTGCCACACAGGAGCAGTCAACAGAGCTGGAAGGTAGTACCTCAAAGCTAACCGCATACCCTGTCCTGCAGTCGCTAGAGTCGTTTGCACATCCGGCCTTGACAAGAGAGCATTCAAGGTATCTCGACATTGCGGTGACGTAACGTCACGAGCGTACTTTATATAGACATCAAATTCTGCCGCCTCAGCCAATTCTAGAACAAAAAGACAGCTAATGGTAACAAAGAGGAACTAATATAATAGCTCATATTTTATCTGTGAAGTACTATGTGGGTAATCAGTTAAATTGATCAGTTTCACCTTCAAAACAACTTCCTATATAAGGCATTTGATCCTGAGCCATCTCAATAACGTCTTCCAAGCTCCCAGAGAGTGTGTAGGTTAGTTCGTATATATCCATAATGTTTGAGAATATTTTTTCTATATCCTGAGCAGCTGGATTTAATTTGATAATTTCTTCCCTGGAAAATAAGTAAAATTAGTCGCTTATTCGCTATTTTATAGCGACATTTACGCAAGTCTTTTCAACAGGAAGAGTTACCTAAATACTTTTATGAGCATATGTAGTTCCTTTAAATAAGCCTTTTCTGAAGTGATTAGTTCTCTAACTACTTCTTCATATGTTAAACTGGTCCTGGAAGCTGTAGACACCATGATAGGTGTCTCGTTAAGGCTGCTGGCCCCATCATCTTGATAGAACATGTCCATCAACGCCTAAAACATCATTACTTATACCATACTTTCCAGGAACATACTATTTACTATTGTCGTAGCAGTTGAGTACTACTGGTTTTTGTTTCCAGAAAAATACTTGGAACGCTTTGAGTCAACGTGTCAATTTGAAAAATTTCTATTGCTCACTATAGTATGGTAGCAGAAATCACGTACATTAATACCTGTTTTCATTGCTCGCTTTGTAGGTTTTATTATATAAGCAATAGTAACTGTATCGATGCAAATATTTTTTTTTAATACATCACACTTTTTTTGTATCCTTCTACTAGCTCCACATCATTTGGATGTAGAAAATATGAATAGTACATACAGGGAAAACCAAATTTGTCTGACGCAGAAGGTCGTCAAACCCAAAAAGGAGGTCTGTTCGAACATCTCATTTAATATTTCGTTTTCATTTTGATTAGAATTATTTCTTTCGATTTTGATACGACTCAGTGTTTTAATTCATGTTAGATTTATCTTTGATTTCCAGCGATGGTGATAAAATCAACACATCCTGAGTTATTGTTACATTTTGCGACAGTGAGCGGTCGGAAAATGAAATAACCATTACGCAATATAAATGATCACTGCCCGCCTGTACGCAAGAGAAAACCATTTCGAACCAGGACGACGCTCCCCAATGAGCGCTAGATGGGTACTCTCCAAAATCGCACATCTATGATCATGGGAAGGAAACCTTGCCTTGGAAAGTACGAGATGCGGTGTTGCCACGTGAACCAATGATGCAATGTTGCAGAATTTTTGGTGCTTCTGACCATTCATTTCGCCCTAAAAGGGAGCGCCGTTAGGACCGATCCGGAATCACCTAAACAGATTCGACACAAGTCACAATTCAAAAATGTGTACGCTCAAAATAAAACTATTACTTGGGCATAGAGAATAAACTAATGCATATTTTCAACATGCCCGTTGATTCAAAGAATTGGTGCAACATACTGGCAACGCGGCACGTTAGCGTTGCCTGCCAACGCGGTGATGAGCTACGCTATACGGCTGGCTTTTATCTCTTTCTAACATAATGAGTCTATACACACTTCTCTCTCGTACACATTGGACTCATGCCGTCAGACAAATTTGATTCTCAGTGTATATATAAACAAATACATACATACTACAAATAGCACTATCTAAAATTAAACTAAAAATCCATCCCATGTAGCAACTCTCCTCATTTCGCATTTATCCTGCGATCAGTTAACATTATGACAATGACAAAAATATCATCTGCAAGCCCTTTGGAAGGCCATCGGATGGAAGCTTGCATAGCGATTATTTTTCTCTATAATTCTGCTGATTACAGATATAGCTATAGACCTATAGTAGTTGTTTGGATATTTGATCCTTTTTGAGTATGGGTTGAAATTGTGCAAATTCCCAGTTCCATAGGAAAATATCAGAGATATGTTATACTAAGTGACATATAAATCCGAACACCCAGTTTAAATGGTTTTATTTTAATAAAAGTTGGTGAATGTATTTATCTTACTGTAAATAACAAGTGAAAAAATTTTCAGCCTTATCAGTTGGACATTCCGGTTTTCATACTGCTTTTTTTTAATTCACTAACGCTCTAAAAATGAATATTTCAGCCGCAGTAAAGAATCAACGTTGGCGGATTTTGGTTCTTGACATCCTTTACGATCGGTCACGATGCCTAGAGTACGGAGACCAGTACGATTTCGTCAACTTAGTGATTTTGATAGGGGCCGTATAGTGGAACTTCGGGAAGCTGGACTTTCTTTTCGGGCAATTGCAGTTAGAGTGCAAAGAAGTGTAGACACTGTGGTTAGGTGTTGTCAGGCATGGCTTCGAGAATGCCGTACGCAAAGAGCAAGGGGCACTGGAAGCCGCCGTAGAACAACAGACCGTGAAGATCGCCGCCTAAGATTATTCGCCTTAAGGGACCATTTCTCCACTGCCAGGTCCATTGCAAATGAATGGTTTGCAGAACACGGAAGACCTATTGGCATGCGAAGTGTTTACCGACGAATGAGAAGTTTTGGCTTGTGTTCATACCGGCCACACTGGGTCCTCCCTTTAACTCGAGAACACCGACGTAATCGCCTTGAGTGGTGCAGACAACGGTCACTCTGGGATCAGGAATGGAACAGTATTGTCTTTAGTGACGCGTCTCGATTTTGTTTAGGCATGCACGATGGCCGTGCCAGGGTTAGAAGGCGACGTGGTGAAAGGAGGAATCCACAGTTTTTTGTTGAAAGACATGTTCATCACACTGTTGGAGTTATGGTTTGGGGTGCTATAGCTTATGGTTCCAGGTCACCTTTAATCTTCATCAGAGGTAACATGAACGCGCAGCGTTATATCCACGAAGTTCTAGAACCCCATCTTTTACCCTGTCTTGACACCCTGGCAGATCCAACTTTCCAACAAGATAATGCCTGACCACATATTGCAAGAGTCACAATAGACTTCTTTCAACATAATGATGTCACATTGTTACCATGGCCACCAAGATCTCCCGACTTATCCCCAATTGAGCACATGCGGGATATGATGGGTAGGAGATTGCTCAATTTGCAACGTCCTCCTCAGACTCTAGAAGCACTTCGAGAGGAGTTGGTGGTTGCCTGGAATGAGATACCACAGGAGGACATTGACCACCTGATCAGAAGCATGCCTAGGCGCGTTGGAGAATGCGTAGCACATCAGGGTGCATCCACACATTATTAAAGGTCAAAGGGCTTTAAAGCAGTGCAATCATTTTGAAATTTTTATTATTTACTTATTATGCTTCATTAAGTACTTATACAAAATTTTATTAAAATAAAACCATTTAAACTGGGTGTTCGGATTTATATGTCACTTAGTATATAAGGCAAGAGACGCGAAAAGATCGGAGCACACCTCTGCGATTCATCAGCAAGAATCGTGTAGATTGGCTATTGGTGCTGGGTTACAGCACCCTCTGTTATGTCTGAAGGTATGTAGTTTTTAGCATACCCTGAGAAACTCGTGGCATCAACGACCTTTGGAGGATTTTCCTGGTATAGAACGTCTTGAAAATTTAGTACTTCAGCCTTAGACTTTGTTAGGGTCAAGAAAACCCGACTGTCTTCGGACTGTGACCTTAGGCACCTCTGCTGGCTTTTGACATTCTGACTTGTTCGAGGACATGATATAATCTTGTCAGATTTTGTTGTGTACACTGACTTTCTGATGACAAACGTCACATGACTTTAAAGCTGTTGACTTCTGCCTCGTCCGAACAAACAGCCGATGCATTCGAGTCAGCAAAAAAGCCGCTTTCCAATCACCATGAATGTTGTTTTGTCCGACTCTTGTAGTAAATTATTCATACACAGATAATGTTTGAAGGAGAGAAAAATACATAAATAAATGCTACCTGCTATCTCAAAATTTAAACAGAAGACAGCAAATCAAACAAAACCAGGCAGTATGCAACAAAAAATAAGCAATGGAAGTAGAGTAAAATAAAACGGAAAACAGTATCAACTTTTCACGTCATACATCAGTTTTATTGTGAAGAAAATAATGTGGTGCTTTGTTATGTCTGTATGCATTCTCTAAACAGTGTGATTACATTATATTCATCAGGAAACAATTACGAAGTTTGTGATTTCTAATTTGGGGGTGTAGTAAAAATAGCTACGTACCATGGATGTGGGCTGAACGCAGCGTGAAAAAGCAAAAAGCAATGTTTTAATAACAAAAAGCTGTCTAACTAAATCTAATCTAACAATATTCATCCCTATCAATTTGTAATGTTAATGAAAAGAACTTAATAAACTGGTTCACAATTTTTGTTTACTTATGCAATAACGTGTGATTTATCATTTCACATAGCTGATGTAATAAACTTAATCATATGTGATAGGCTGATAGGTAATACTGAACTTTCTTAAGTATCGGCTTTTCCAATATGGACTTGACAACTTTGAATTTTCACCTTTAAATCAATTACTGAACTGTCAATGCCAAAACATTCAGTAAAGAAAACATTTTCATCATGGTGAAGTACACGAACGAACAACGCTTACAAATAATTAAAATTCACTACCGAAATTCCGAGTCGGTGACTGCAACTTTAAGAGCGCTAACGCAATTTTTGGTGGTATTTCTCGTCCCAGTAGACAAGCAATTCATAGTCTAGTACAAAATTTGAGTGCACATATTCCTGAAAATGACCGCCACGTTACAGTCAGCGGAGATCGCTACAGAGACATGTTGCAACGTTATTTTAGTGGTCAATTGGATGGGCTAGACATTAATGATATGTGGTTTCAACAAGACGGTGCCACAAGTCATACAGCAGGTGAAATAATCGATATATTGAAATCAAAATTCGGTGAAACGGTCCTGTCGAATGGCCGCCCAGATCGTGTGATTTAACACCTCTAAACTTTTTTTGTGGAGCTACATACATGGTCAATGCGTCGTTAGAGGAGCTTATAGCCAATATTGAACGAGAGATAGCAGCCGTTTCTGTCGAAATGTGTGGCCGAGTCATTGAAAATTGCCCGTGGTGGACATATGAACGAGGTCGAATCCCACACATAAATGTTTCGAGCATACTTCAATTCAATAATAAAATTTTCGAGATATCTCAAATGGTTTGCGTTTTATTTAAAAAGAAAGTTGTTAAGTCCTTAATGGAAAACCCTTTATGTATATGAAATTTGGACTAACATTGCAAAAAGATCTTTTTTACAATCCATAAGTTTTTTTCATAGAAAATTGTTGCACTTTATATTATCTCTTGAAATCATTAACTAGTAAGAAAATTTCAGCATACCTATATTAAGAGGAATTTTTAGGTGGAATACATAATATAATACTTTTGAATGTTTTACCTTATCAACTTTCATGGAGATCTGTACATCTTGGTAAGTGATTTCCATATGCTTAATGTTCTTAGCATAATTTCCTACCAGTTTCAGAATATCTGCAGAAATATATTCTAAAACTGCTACTAGGAACAATGATACTGTGGCATCAACTTTGTACAACAGTAATTCCTAAAAAAGTATATGAATTCAAAATGGTAGTTGAAAATTTATATATAACAATACACTAACTTTATTTAGCAATGAGAAAACATACACTCTGACAATATGATACAAATTCTGAATATCCTAAAAATACAGGGTGTAAACGTTATGATAGTCATTAATGAAATGAGTAATAGGGGGTGTCAAAAAAAGTCAAAGAGTTCATATGACCCATGGTCCAAAAGTCAATAGATTTTTGTCTAAATGGCTTTATAGTTTACAACTTTAAGTGCTTCATATCGACCACAATCTTCCTAATTTTTATAATATAATCTAAAACGTTTTTAAATTTTTTAATTTTTAAATAGCGCGTCGGTTTTTCATCACTCTTATCGAACCGGCCATCGATCGCAAACAGTAACAGTGGTTAGTATGTTGTTTTGGTTTTGTTCGCGTACGTCGTCGTGTTTGTTTACAATGTTCTCGAATCAAGAGCACGGCAAAACATCAACGCCTGCTTCTTGAGGAAAGTCCGTAGTACGACGAGCAATAAGGGGACGTGTGTTGTGTTGCTGGAAAAGCACGTGTGGACAGAATCGCGATTCGTCGCTGAAGATGACATTATGCCATTCTGCCTCCCAATGTTGCCGTTCTCTGCTCCAGTTCAAACGTTGACGACAGTGGTCCGCAGTCAGAGGAAGCACTTACGGTGGACAGTATGAAAAAAGTCCAAAGGCTCGAATGCGGCGATAGAGTGTACTCATAGTAACAGGTCTACCTTCTTAGGGCTCGTTGACTGAAGCGCATATCTTGTGGTACGCCTGGCTGTTCCTCTACCTTCTTCTATCCACACACGACACACACGCATTACCGTCATTGCAGTAAAATTAATACGGCGGCAATTTCGCGTTAGGACAAACCGACATTCTCATTTGATCTATTGACATATGTAAACATATTTTATGTATTGTGACATGAATAAAGAATTTGAATTTGAACATCTCGATAGTCAATAATTCGACCCTGTCGAAGTCGCTGACATGGTGATAATTTGGACGTCCTCGAACTCAAGGCATTTTGTTATTATTAACGCTAGTAAATGAAAGGGCAATAACTAAAAATATCTGTACTACTCAAGTCTCAGAAACTGCATTTTTTTCACAAAAACTAAGAGACAACATTTTAACAAAGGTAATAAAAAAGAAGATAAAATGTTGACATTGTTGCCACAGCATACTTTAAATATAGTTGTTAAATTGCAAAACAAAAAAGGTGAATAAATTATTTTTTCTGGTTGTAACACTTCTAATGTCACTGAGTATATTTTTCAACTGCATGTAGGTGTATGTAATGAAATTTGGAAAACAAATTATGATACCCGTAGCAACATTTCTAAGGTACAGAGTAGGTTAAAGAATAACAGCACAGAGATGTAACAATTCAATAATTTTGTACATGAACTAGGGAAAGCATAACTGATACAAACATTTTTGGAGATTAAATGATACTGATTAAATAGAAACTGGGGAATTTTGGCCCCTAGAGAAGAAATAAGAAAAAATATATCCTACTTCACTTTTTTTTTAAAACTATTTCATTTTTGAGATTTCATGAACTATCTTACTTGAGAAATCTTTATTAGACTGTTCCTTTTTTAGAAAATTTGGATTGTATATTTAAGGTGAAATATTGTTGAAAACATTGATTTCACTGAAGTTTCTGACAAAGTTGATAAAAATGCATACAGTTCATATATAATATAAATATACTGGGTGCGCCATCTATTACTTTTTTTGACCTGTCAGTTTATGTGTTACCATGTGAGTCAAAAGTCTTGTGCTATGCATAAATGAACTGTCACAGGTATGCCATTTATAGTCATGGATTCGTTCACAACACAACAACGCATTTTGGTTATCCAAACTTATTACGAAAACGGTCGAAATATAAAAAATACTTTTCGAAAACTTCGCACTAGTTTTGGCCGACATGGACGCCCTACAAAGCCTGGAATTTGTTGGATTGTTAATCGTTTTGAGGAAACTGGTTCAGCTGAAGGTCGTAGACCAAACCAACATGCTCGTCCAGCTCGTAATCGTGAAAACATAGCCGCAGTGAGTGAAAGTGTGCGAGAAGATTCAACCACCTCGACTAGGCACCGTTCGCAACAATTGGGAATTAGTGAGACCACTTTACGCCGGATTTTACACATTGATTTATACCTCCATCCATACAAAATCCAACTAACACAAGAACTGAAGCCGGCAGACCATCAACAGCGGCGTGTTTTTGTTAATTAGATGGTGGAAAGAGAAGACGGATTTTCGGCCAAAGTGCTCTTTTCTGATGAGGCTCATTTTCACCTCAATGGGTATGTAAATAAGCAAAATTGCAGACTCTGGAGGGCTGAAAATCAACACCAATATCATGAACAACCTCTCCATCCTAAAAAAGTGACTGTTTGGTGCGGATGATGGGCTGCTGGCATCGTTGGACCATTCTTCTTTGAAGATGCCGAAGAAAAGGCCATTACCGTCAACGGGAAACGTTATCGCGGCATGTGAACAGACTTTTTGTGGCCACAATTGGATAGTATTGGTGCCGACGATCTTTGGTTTCATCAAGACGGAGCAACGGCTCACACATCTCGCCAAACAAGCGACTTATTGCACACGAAATTTCAAGACCGCATAATTTCACGAAATTCAGATGTCAGTTGGTCCCCGAGATCGTGCGATTTAACACCTCTTGAATATTTTCTTTGGAGATTTTTGAAAGGGATGGTCCCCGGACAATTAAAGACCTAATGCGCAATATTCGGACTGAAATTGCGGCCATAGATCCGATTATTCTGGGAAAAGTCATTGAAAGTTTGGATGTTCGGATGTTGGCCTGTAAACGAAGCCGCGGTGGTCACATGACTGATGTTATTTTTCATACATAAAATGGCTTAAACCAACCTTCATTTGTCAATAAAAAAATTCGATTTCACCTCGTAAAAAGCGTGTTGATTTTTCAAATAGAAAAAAGTAATAGATGATATGAATCAAAACATGAAAGTTTCAATATTCTGCTACAACTTTTCTTTATTTTTTCATCTATCTTATTGTTAGATATTTGCCAATATACTGACCTTTTGTAATAAATTGTGTATCTTGTCAACAGGCAATTGTAGTACTGCTTTCTTTTTGCCCCTGTCTAGGGCTTCCTGAGCCTCCTTCAATGCCCATTTATCAATGGGGGTAGGAAAAGTACTTTGAACCCGATACTCAACATCCTAAAATCCATCAATCATCAATCTAAAATTCTGTTATTCAATGATGTATCAAATATTACCTGAACACTTATAGGAATAGGTTTTGCACAAAGCATTGCTAGCAGTCGTAGACATAGGCTTTCGATGTACTCTAAAGCCTCCTCTCTCGCACCTAACGATGGGTGCACCTGCTCTAGTACCTGTAGTACGAAATGGTTTCATGTAAATTATACAATGTTGAATGAAATTTAAGTATTGTCAACTATCTCAACTCTTTATATGGCACTCTTCCTGATATAAAATCTGTTATGTGTCTACGAGGGATGTCTTTTAAGTTTTGCATAAAGAAACATAGTAGGCCGCGTGGATCGAACGTCAGTACTGAATCTTAACCTCACTCTTTAGTAAACCTAAATTCGAAGTTTCACAACAATATGTGCTTCGATAAATCAACCCCGAAAGAAGAATCATCCTCCACCAAGACAATGCAAGCTCGCACACAGCCCAAAAAACAAGGCAGAAAACGTGTAATTATTGGACCATCCTCCATATAGTCCCGATCTAAGTCCTAACGATTTTTTTACTTTCCCGAAAATTAAAAACAGATTGCATGGTCAGAGGTTCCAGTCACCAGAAGAAGCAGTTGACGCATTAAAAAATGCTGTTTTGGATCTGCCAGCAAACGAGTGGAATAAGTGCCTCGAAAATTGGTTCGAGAGCATGCAGATGTGTATTAATCTTTTCTTGGAGAATTCTTCGAAAACAATAAAGTCATTTAAAACTACCTACCATGTTGTTTTATTTCCATATGCAAAACTTAAAAGACATCCCTCGTACCAATTGACTCACTATTTATCATTTGTTTTGATTATGTGATGTTTTATTACTGAATTAGTAGATAAGATCCTTAACTATTTAACTATATAGAATACAGTCATGGCAGTTATATTGTTTTTTCGCATAACAATAGCTTTACAAAATATATGTTATATGGTTGAGTATGAAATATGAATTTAGTAACGCATAAAATTTATTTGATGATTGTTATTAAATTCTTTGTTAATTTTAATGGAGAGAAAGGTGGACATATCCAATAGCAGATGTGGAACTTTCATTCTTTTTCATTCCTATTAAAACCATTGTGTGCTTTTCAGAAATTGCTTTGTTCTTAAGTTGCTAGTTACACAAAATACACTTCTTTAAGTGGTAGTGTGCCATAAATGAGTGTTACTTTTGTTTTTGATAAATACGTGTGGTGTGGCGATTGTTTTCCCAGTGAAGGCCAGAAGGACTGAAATCGTCTAAACTTACTTTTTTCAAGGCAGCGGTCAACAATCCTTTCCATTTTGCCGAATTTTCTTCCGAATAAAAATCGTAGGAGTTTTCGCCCTGGAGACCAGTAGTCATATTTCCTAGAAACCGATGAGACACCTCTGGCACAGCACACTAGCAAGCACACTCGGTTGTCATTGTTTCTTGCAAAGAAAAAGGAAAATACAGTGTGCAAATGGGAAACACGCGGCCTAGTATTGTTTAAATCACGTTACATTCGACATTTTCCTCTATCCGCACCCCGTTACTGTAGTAAATAAAGGAAATTCGCGTATAATCAAACCGTAAAGGGCAATATACAATCAGTTGACATTCGCCATGTTGGTTCTTGATTCTAGCGACGTTGCCGCTACAAGAGTTGCCGATATGACGATGTATGCGCCATACGAATCTGCTATACTTACTTTGTGTCTGCTACAGTATTAATGATAGAATAGTCTCTCAAAAGGATCTTGTCTACTGAAATACAGTGCCTCGAAAGACGTCACTGACATTTTTTCACTTAAACGTTATCTGAGCAACACTGACATTAAGTTGGTCAGGTATATACAGGGTGACTTCGAAGTTGAGTCATTTATTTTAACAGTGAGTAGATCTGATCAAAAGAAATGTTTTTTTCCTTTACCATTTTTCTGGTAAAATTAAAGTAACAAAGTTACAGCCCTTTGGAAGTTTGAGTACCGCCCTGTCTCAATAATAATATCATGTACTCGTGTTTGGCAACAACGGATATAATCCGCCTTACCAGTTCATCGCATCGGAAACAAAAAAGCGAAAGAATTTGGAACGTTTTTGCAATTAAGTATTTTATTCAGTTCAGTTATACATACACTCAGTGTCTGTCGGTTAGCGTGTGAATAGTGTCTGTTGCGTGGCTCAAACGAAATAAAAAATGGCACATGTTTATGCGGATCGGTTTCCCAATCGAGTGCAACCAACCCCTCGTGCCTTTGTTAATGTAGTACAACGGGCTCGTGAATCAGGTGACTTAAGACCTCACAGGGGACCTCACGATCAAATACAGGTCCGCACTGAAATACTTGTCGGGAGGATACTTTATAAAACAAGGTAAACATTTTTTTTTAATTTTTTTTTATTTTTACACACATATTCTGGTTTATCTTCCTTCTACAATCATTATCTGAAAATTAATGACTCAACTTCAAAGTCACCCTGTATATTTCAAATGAATATTGTTAATTTTTTACATTGTATAATTATGTCATCATTTAGTTTATCTGAAAATTAATGACTCAACTTCAAAGTCACCCTGTATATTTCAAATGAATATTGTTAATTTTTTACATTATATAATTATGTCATCATTTAGTTTTTATCGACGGAGATGAAGATACGTCTATGAATGATGTCAGTAAAAATTGACTCCCAAAGGATATGGCGTACTTTCTTAAAATCCGTTAATTTTAAGTTGGGGATGAGGCTTTTTTAGCCGAAATTCGCTCTTTCCAAAAGTATCATTGCTTAGAAGGCATAATAGCAGTTTGTTAGAGATAGTGAGCCTGTTCTTGAGGAACTAAAAGACTAAAAACCTAATAGGTGTAGGTATCTATCTACAATACTAATAGAGATATATTGCGAATTCGGAACAGCGGAATAATCAAGATACCAAAAAAATTTGGCAATCTTGCGTTTCAATGGCTCATTAGCATTTTCGGTCTCGCACTCTATCGAGTTTTCCGTATCTGACTATCTCTCTCCCTACTTGTCATCGATTCCACCACTGCGCATAGCACTCCTTGTTTTCTATCTTTTTCACTCCAGTCATGACGTCCTTCACTCCTCTTTTTCTAAGGGTGCCAAAATGAGATATAGAAATCAATAATACTTTATTTTTCCTGTCTGTCGGAATGGAAAAACCTTTCTTCATATTTTCTTAACGTGTCAAGCTATGCAACGAGATAACCAGCCGAAGGTATATTGGGTTGCCTGCATTTTCCAAACGAATGATTGTTATGCGTGGTTTGTACTATGTATGGTACAGTGATATTAGTTTAAACAGCCTAGAAAATCCTAAAAGCGGATATACAGGGTATTAGAAAACCATCATACTATTTCTAGAGCTGAAATAACTGGAGTAGTTTTGTCTATGCCGCTAGTTATTTTACCATGAAGTAAGGTGGAAAGTAGAATTACTTTATTTGATTAAAGGTATATTAAAATATTTTCAAGAATACTTTATAGGTCTTGGCGTTTTATTTCTGCAATTAAAAATGGGAGTTTCCATTAGAAAAAAATCGACTTGCCCTTGAAATGACCTTCAAGGTAAATGTCAACGTCAAATCCAAAGTCAACACTAGATGTGCCATTTGATTTCCTAAAACTTCTGTATTTAAAGCTTTTTTATAGCACCCTTAGCTTCGAGCAAAATCGGCTGCAAAACAGCAAGGTTAAAATCCCATAAAAACTGGAGATGGTAGTACCCACACCAAACGGAGAAAAACCACAGTGTTTTGCTTATTGCCAATGCGCGGACCCTAGAAAATCAGCTCTACGAGGGATCAACGATATTTTATGCGGACATTTCTGAGTTAGTCGTTAATAAAATACTATAACATTAGTGTCCAAAAGATTCCAACACAATACTGAGTCGATAAGAAAGAAAGAAAGATATAATACGTGTGAAATCATACAATCAATAAACTATGAAATTTGTCAAAAGAAAATCATTAAACAGGGTTTGGGCTGGGAATCGGTACTCTACCATTAATAAAGAGAAATTCATTTTTTTTATACTCCAACTACCACGAAGGCCTAAGGCTTAAGCACCCATTGGGTACCGTAGGGCTATAGGGGGATACATGGGAAAGGGGGGGACGCCACACGGACTCTGGCGAGGGAACACGTGTGCATGCAACATACACATATTCTGGCTCCGCCTACGAGAACCGCCGGGTGGTACCTCTGCGTTCGACAATCAGAGACCATCTACCACCTACGGACAATCACAACATCCATAACCAAGAGAAAAATTTCGCCTGGGACAGTACTCGAACCCGCGCAGCGCACGGCGACTGATCAGGAGTCCGCTGCTGCCTAAATTACTGGTGATCAAAATAGTAAGAAAAAGATTACGTGATTTTGGTACGTTTCAAGATATTTGGGACACTCTGAATATTGTGCCTTCAAAAAAGTGGCAAATACTTGCCCTCCAAGGGCCGATCCAGGTCGAGTGATCGGGGTCATAACCCCTCCCAATGCGAATCAAGATTGACCGCTCTACTAGAAATCGCTCAAACTTCGTTTTTTTGACGTTTTAGACGTTTCTGAAAAAAAAAATGGTGAGGGTTAAAAATTGTGGGTTAGAGGTTGCAGGTCGTGGGGCAGGGTATGTCTCAAATTTTTGACCTTGGTATATTTATAAGCCTCCCACCCCAGTGATTATTTGGTCATAGTCGCACGCGACACTTTCTCCACGTAAAATTACCGTGTTTTCAATTTACTTGTTTATACCCACAATTTTGCGAAACGACGAAATTTCAACTTTGTTTTTGAGAATTGTATGAGAACTGTACAGAAAAAAGTGGAACCTGGACGAACGAAAGCTATATTATACTTTGTCCAATGGCGAGTAGACCGTATCTACTTTAGCGCCAGTATCGGCGGCATCTCGCGGTCCACAGTGGTGACCGACAGGGGTACTACGTAACTTGAAAAGGGACATTACGTAGGTTTTCCGACAAGACGTCAACTTGAAACTAGCTGTCGTTTACTTCATCCTCACTTGTAGCAAGCGCGGAATGAACTATTTGCCTATTTAGTTAACAAGTTGACATTTTATCAGTTTTTTAACATTAGGGGTTATTCAAGTCGTGACGAAAAATGAAACATCATACACAGGACCGCATTTTAAGGAGGGTCTTCTATGTATGTGGTCGGAAGGACGAAAGCTATATTACTTTACATTAATCAATGGTTAAACATGTTTTGTTCCATATCTGAAGAAGCCTGACTCCTCATAATGACGCTGCCATATCAACTTATTTTAGAGGTGGTAAGGATACAACTAATTAGTATCATCAATTTTCAGTATATTTATTTTTAGTAAAACATTAATAATCATTTTATTGCATACAGAAAAATTAAAATAATAAATAAAATAAATAAAATAAATAGAAGACTTATCCTACGTAAAACATCAGCAACTGAATTGTGATGCTTATCCAGTACCTATAAACATAAATAAATCATACCTAGTTTGTAGTTACAAAAAAATACATATAAAATGAAGTATTTACAAAGCGATATTGAAAATGCACATATTAATCTATTTTGGAATATATCGCTTCAAACTAATCACTCATTTTACCCTGTACACTTTAAAAGATAGTATAACAATAAATACTGAAGTCAGAACTATTGTTTCACAAAACCACTTGTGGAATAAAAAACTAAACATTGAATAATAAAATGCTAAGAAGTCTTTGTCAGATCTTGCAGTTGATCTAAAATATATATTTGACCGAGTGGAAGAAAATTCATATTTAGAATAGATATGTATTGTATAGCAAACAGTATTTTTGTTTCAAAAACATTTCAATATGTCTCTGAGTGGATGGTGATATTGCAATATACTGTACGTTGGCTTGAATAAAATAATTTTGCACTATAAAAGCTTGATATTTTTGTCTTGCTTCCAACCCAGTTAGTCCATGAGAATATATGAATAAAAAAATGTTCAGAAAATAATATGTATAATGCACAGCGCATATTTTAATGTTTCTACTGGTAAAACAAAATACTCAAATGTAAAGTTGTGAAGTTGTTCCCACGTCTAGAAAGACAGACGTTTTGGTTCAAACACCAACATCGAATAGTATGTACAAATGTACATACATGAAACAAATATTTCAATTTTACAATTTTAGAGGACTTAAAATGCTTAGCTGATTTGTTATTTGCTAACAGTAGTTTGTATTTTCATCAACTGCTCCATTTAAAAACAAAAAGCGCCAGGATTTCAGTAAGCCTGTTTGGAACAAGCGCATTCAAGCCCCAACATGTAAAATAAATACATCCAGTCAACATATTTGGAGTACAAAACTCTAGATGCTAACGGTTAGATTGTAATTTATTTAGATAGAATATCTATGGTGCTGTAAAGTTTGAGAAAACTAGAATCACTTACAGTTATGCAATGATTTATAGTCAAAATCACGAAATATGACTATTACGTCATACCATAAATTGTACTGAAGTAATCAATGGACGTACGTCGATGATAAAATCACGAGTCAGACACATAATGACAACAAATTTATATTATGATTTTTGGAAGTTAGGTTATTTCACTGATTATTCTTATTTTCATTTCATTTCATGGTTTTGAGTGATACCTTATTAATCATTTTAGTGGGGAGTTTTTGTTTTGAAAAAACAGTTATGAGTAGAATACCTTAAGACAGGAACACCAAAGACCAAAGTATTATTCGAAAACAATATAACCTGATTTAACATAACCTAACTATTCATCTTTCAAATATGATCGATCATGCAACATGGAAACATCGTCTATCTTTGTCCGATACATGCAAATTAGCAGTACACTTTGTTTAGACAATAAAATTCTGTTTGTCTCTGTCTAACATATCAGAAACTTCATTAAAAATATTCACAAATCGCAGTCGTTTGTCTTTACTACAGACTAAAATGATGACGTAATCGTCATCTTTCGTGATTTCGACTAAAGTTAGGTTACGTTAAAGCAGGTTAGGTTGTTTTCGAACAATACTTTGGTCTTTGGTGTTTCTGTCTTTTAATCATAACTGTTTTTTTTCAAAACAAAAACTCCGCACTAAGATTATTATTACTCAAAACCATGAAATAAAATAAAATTAAAAATAATCGGTGAAATAACCTAACCTCGCAAAATCATAATATAAATTTGTTGTCATTATTCCTGACATCGTGATTTTATCATCGAGGTACGTCCATTGATTACTTTAGTACAGTTTGTGGTATGACGTAATAGTCATCTTTCGTGATTCTGACTATATATGAGTGCTTCCTAAATATGATGCATTTTGAAGATACACAGCGAACGAAGTTATGCAAATATTTGTTTTATCAGTAGTACCACACGTGAAAAGATCTGCAGAAAATGTTCAAATTAATAATTGAAGAGTGGTAATTCAAAAGCGTCAAGTGCCAAAAACGTTTTGTTGAGAAATTAAAGAAAAACATATCAGGTATATATAGACAGATAGATAGACTGCAGGCGAATTTGAAATAAGTATATAGAACTGCAGATTCTTGACTGGCACATAGACTATTTGGTATACTATTGGCAATGGTACATGGTACATAGACCTTAAAATCACTGAAATTTGAAAATACCTAAATGTGGCACTTACACGCTTTTGAATTATCACTCTTCAATTATATATTCACAGGTAAAATCCCATAGGTTAGTCCCATGGAGCCATCTTAAGTTTACACCCAACTCCAGTGAAAAATGTCGAAGATACGAGTAAATGCAGCACAATAGAGAACCGGTTTGATATATTTGAAAGATTTCTTGCATACCTGATGGAGTCTCTACATAGTCATTTTGAACAGTTTTCATAAGCCTTACTGGGATCCTACAAGGAACTATCACAGAACCGTTCCAATTCTGGCCAATATAGTCTGATGAGCCGTTTTGCGATTGGTTAGTGGGAGTTCAGAATGAAAATCAATTTATTGGTGTTTATGTCGCATCACTTACACAATGCGAGTTTTAAAACTGGTTTTGATGCATCTTTGAGGTTGGAGGCTATATCTGAAAAATAGCCAGATATATAGACGTGTACATAGATATGAATGGAGTTCAAAACGGTGCCAAGATAATTTCCAGTAGAAACCCGAATTACTGAGTGACTGATTATGGGGTTCAGATTTTATCTTAATAACAGGTAGTTTCAAAAAAATTCAAGTTTTACAGAGTTATCAAATAGTGGCCTTGAATTTGCCCTTAACGATGACCTTCAAGGTCATTTGGAGGTCAAGTAGACTTTTCAAGTAGAGCCCCCATTTTTTACCTCGTAAATGGAACAAGCGGAAAAGTTTACGGTCAAAGGTGGTCTTGACCATTGTTAAATTTTGACTTTAGGAGGTCATGGTCAAGGTCAAAACCAGGTACGGTGATATAACTTGAAAGCTAGTAGTCGTATAGAGAAATTACCGAGACATTATCTTTATGATTTTTTCTACGATATCCAATGGTGAGCTTGGATACGACCTTGACCATGACATACAACGTCATTTGAAGATCAACTCTTTTTTTAACGGGACTTTTGATCGCGGACATGGAGAAAAGGGAAAATTTAAGTTCGAATATGTCCTTGAGAATTTTTTAAACCTGACTTTGAGCTTGACCATCGAGGTCATACACAAGTTTACGATTCAGAAAGTCGTGTAATCCCCAGATAAACTGACTTCTCTGCTCTTTCAGGATTGTCCCTCGGCTACAAAAATCGACTTGACCTCCACATGACCTTGAAGGTCATCATTGTTGAGGTCAGACCCAAGGTCACTATTTGATAGCTGGGCTTGGGTTTTTCACACCATTATTATTTCACTAATTATTTATCGTAGAGTATCGGAGCTTTTCAGCGAGAGAATCGTATATTCTAAGTAAAGTGCAAATCTAATATTCGATCCTGAGTAATGTATAATATGTATTAGTTGAATTATTGGGTTTACTTGAGTCATACAATAAACGTTGTGCAATATTAATACAAGAAACAATTTCTTGTTAGTCTGGACCAATTTTTCAAGTGGAGCCCCCATTTTTTACCTCGTAAATCGAAAAATCGGAAAAGTTTACGTTCGAAAATGGTCTTGACCATTCTTAAATTTTGACTTTCGGAGGTCATGGTCAAGGTCAAACCCATGTACGGTGATATAACTTGAAAGCTAGTAGTCGTATAGAGAAATTACCCAGACATTATCTTCATGATTTTTTCTGCGATATCCAATGGTGAGCTTGGATCCGACCTTGACCATGACATACAAGGTCATTTGAAGATCAACTCTTTTTTTAATGGGACTTTTGATCGCGGACATGGAGAAAAGGGAAAATTTAAGTTCGAATATGTCCTTGAGAATTTATTAAACCTGACTTTGAACTTAACCATCGAGGTCATACACAAGTTTACGATTCAGAAAATCGTGTAATCCCCAGATAAACTGACTTCTCTGCTCTTTCAGGATTGTCCCTCGGCTACAAAAATCGACTTGACCTCCACATGACCTTGAAGGTCATCATTGTTGAGGTCACATCCAAGGTCACTATTTGATAGCTGGGCTTGGTTTTTTCACTCCATTATTATTTCACCAATTATTTATCGCGGAGTTGCGGAGCTTTTCAGCGAGAGAATCGTATATTCTAAGTAAAGTGCAAATCTAATATTCGATACTGAGTAATGTATAATATGTATTAGTTGAATTATTGGGTTTACTTGAGTCATACAATGAACGTTGTGCAATATTAATACAAGAAACAATTTCCTGTTAGTCTAGACCAATTTTTCAAGTGGAGCCCCCATTTTTTACCTCGTAAATGGAAAAATCGGAAAAGTTTACGTTCGAAAATGGTCTTGACCATTCTTAAATTTTGACTTTCGGAGGTCATGGTCATGGTCAAACCCATGTACGGTGATATAACCTGAAAGCTAGTAGTCGTATAGAGAAATTACATTATCTTCATGATTTTTTCTACGATATCCAATGGTGAGCTTGGATCCGACCTTGACCATGACATACAACGTCATTTGAAGATCAACTCTTTTTTTAACGGGACTTTTGATCGCGGACATGGAGAAAAGGGAAAATCTAAGTTCGAATATGTCCTTGAGAATTTTTGAAACCTGACCTTGAACTTGACCATCGAGGTCATACACAAGTTTACGATTCAGAAAATCGTGTAATCCCCAGATAAACTGACTTCTCTGCTCTTTCAGGATTGTCCCTCGGCTACAAAAATCGACTTCACTTCCACATTACCTTGAAGGTCATCATTGTTGAGGTCACATCTAAGGTCACCATTTGATAGCTGGGCTTGGTTTTTTCACACCATTATTATTTCACCAATTATTCATCGTGAAGTTCCGGAGCTTTTCAGGCACTCTGTATATGCTATTTTGTTCAGAAAATGGAGAGAATCGTATATTCTAAGTAAAGTGCAAATCTAATATTCGATACTGAGTAATGTATAATATGTATTAGTTGAATTATTGGTAAGCTTCTGAAATAATTCTAAGACTACCTCACATGAAATTAGGAATGTTGTAAGATGAAGATTATTTAGAGAGATTGTTAACCAGTACATCTGGTTAATGCAGTAAAATACAGGATTTTATTTACTATACCTAGGCTATCGAGAACATATTTATTATATAATACGATTTAATAATACGAATAAAAACATCGGCATTAAATAAGTTTAGAATATAATGCATTATAGGATCGTATCCAATATTTTGACTACCCTTAGATTATGTTAGCATGCCTTGCAATTTTTTTAAGCTTTCATCATTGAATTCGGTCTTATCAGGAAATATCTAAATAAAATAAGTGACACACAGTTCTTAAATATCGTCCTTATTTACGAAAGAATTGCTGAAGCTAGACCGGATTCAATTCTTTAAACTTTTTTATTCTATTTTTTCCCAGTTGCTGTATGAATTAATGAAATAAGACTGACAGTGGCTAATATGACATATCTAATACCTACTAATTCATCAGTTACAAAACATTTATGTTTCTGTTATAAAACTAAAACTAATGGCCAAACACTAGATCTGACTTGAAATATATGCTTTAAATCTAAAAATAAATAATTAAATTACGACGACGTAGAAAACCACACGAAAGTTAGAGATCCTTTGTAGCTTCCTACTTAAGTACAATCAGAGACTAGAATTTGTGATTAATACTGATATTTAACTTCGAGTAGAAGCAAAATTGCGCGTAAACATTCAGGGTCAGATTATCCTTTGGAATAGTCTTGCCCTTAGCCCTAGAACCGTACGATGAGGTACAAATGGAAACAGATAATTACAATCGTTCTTAACTTTTTTGGTATTTTATTTTGCTTGCCGGTGTATTTACGGGTACCGGAGAGACGTGCGGATTCCTTAGTAGGATTTTTTTTAAATTGGGGTATAGCTGTACCTTGTTTCTTAATTCTATTATGGGTACTGTTCTAGGGGTAATGACTTGTTGCATAAAAATTAGTTGATATAGCTATCCTTCAACTATTCTGTTGGGGGCTAAATGTACAGGGTCCATCTGAAGAAACGGATGTCTTCCGAATATTCAATTTATCTTTGCATGGTCACTGTATAAACAGAGGTCGTCTGTGGTCTAAGGCGTGAAATTCAAGCTCAGGTGCGAAGTGTCGCGGGCTCTAGAAGGCTTATTACTCCCGAGATAATTACAACGTTTTATCTGCAACCGGCTAGAAAATAAAAAGGTTACATTTAAGCGAAATTAAAAATAAATTGGCCGTATAATCGTATAACTTGTAGATGAGCCGTCGCCTAGCAACGAATAAATAAGTATAGTTCCGGTGGTCGCTATACGGTGACGTACAAATTTGGCTGACGTCGTAATGTCAGCGTGCAATATGTATGTTAGAAAGACTCAACGCCCCGAAAACTTATTAACATAAACATAGCTAAATAGCAACTGATTATAGCGCAATTTATAGAAGATTGATTATTGACCCATCTGTTCTGAGGCAAAAGGAATATGTAACGGACACATTTTTCTGACGGACCCTGTATTACATTATTATTATTGCTGGAAGATATGATCTGACCCCGTGCATCTCCAGCCCTTCTGCTTGTTCTCGTATAGTTGCTCGAACTTCATATGGACACCTTGTCTAGTGAATGTAATTGTAAAGGAAATCGCTGTAATCCTCAGATGGTATGTGCTCCTCGTCCGACTGTTGCTCCAATAATTTGTCCATAAACAGTCGAGATGAGGGATCTGAGCGTCTTCTTCTTCCACTGTAACAAAAAAAATATGGTATGCAACCTTCGTCATGAGTGAGAGTAGCAAGCTCGTGCTTTCCGTCATCTGCCACGAAATATCTAGACTTATACCGCAATGATGATTACCAAAACGCATGAAATAACGTTGCTTATGGCTAAATATTGTTACAGTCCGAAAGAAAACAGATCCTAACATGAGCGCCCTCAGGGCGGCCGATCATCGACAAGAGATAACTTTTTGTGAAAATGTACCTGTCCCAAAAACTTTAATTTTGTCAGATGGGGCCAAATCCTAAAAATCCTCAAAATTGTACACAAAATCATTCTAAATATGCAAATTTTAACGCCCAGCCAGGTTCTCGAAGGGGAGAGGCGTGCCTCTTCTGACACCCCCTGCGGGCGTCCATGTATGCTATTTAGCATAAAGAGGGTATAAAGTTAGTAGTGGATCCACAGAAGTCAGGTGATGGAGGGCGTCAAAACCTATCAAATGAACCCCTATACGTGTGGTCCGAAATTTTATAGCAAATGAGATATTTGCAATTTTGTGAGAATTCGACAAAAACCGGATAATGATCTTTCAATCGCAATTACAACTAAACCATTAGGCTTAGGGCTGTGATTTTTCTTCTGACATGAGCTAAATGGCCTGCTTCGATGAGTGTATCATGTCTTATACGTTGATGTGATGCGATAAACGTAAGAAACGCAACAGAATCCTTAAAATCTACAAATAGAGAACCTGTTGTGTTTAATGACAAATGTGGAAGAACATGTTCGAAATGGCCTCCATTAATCTCTATACTGTTAGAAACAGGTATAGTCAAACACTAATTTTCCACCAATTAACTTATATTAACAACAATAATAATATCACAACGATTTCGCGTAATTTCGGAGCGACAGATTACCGAGCACGATGTGCACTGCTCGACCTGCCAGGGTCAGCGGCCGATCGTCGTTCTCTCAGTTACCACAGAGCAGCAACTACACAGCAGTAACCCTTCGTGACCGGCAGCGGCTCGCCAAAATTGTTCGTTTCTTACAATATCCAAGCGACACCTTCTAATAAAATTGTCCTTTAGTATTTGAAATGAACTAGCGTTTTCCATAATTTTTATTTTTGCTTCATCAATTTTTTGGCGCAGTAGGTTGACATTTGTATATTCAAATGTATAGATTATCCTTTTATAACACCGCCATATAAAGAAATTCTAGAGGGTTTCAATCGGGTGACCTTGGAGACCATCGTATGTGTCCACCTCTACCTATCCAACGCCCAGGAAAGGCACTGTGTAAGTAATGCCGTACAGTGGTATGGGGCACCATCGCATTGAAAATACAACGTCTAAAGGTACATCCTCTAGCAGCTCATACAAACTGCTTGGTTGAAAAGCAAGATATGACTGACCATTGAACCTGGCAGCCAATTCATATGGTCCAATTAATTTTTTGTTGAGTATATATATATACAGGGTGTTTCAGTTTATTGTTACATAACTTTAAGATTCGATAGAACTTTTAAAATTAATGCATAAAGTCTATATAAACATGGGTCGAAAAATGCGTGGCTTCCGAAATACAGGGTGTTTAAATTTACTTTTTAAAATAGTTTTTTTTAAATATTTCGAACAATATTTGATGTATAACAGTGAACATTGGTATACAAGGGTTTTTTGGTACGACAAAACGAACCATGGGCATAGTTTTATTGTAGCCGCTAGAGGGCGCTCCCTGCTGTACCTGTAGTGTATTAAAATGACCGAAAATTTTTTCTTAGTGCAATCTTTTGCTTTTTGAATAAAAAAACTGATTCTTCGCACTTTTCAACATAAAAAAGCTCTCTTGTGAATTTTCGTTATAGTTAGCCGTTTTTGAGATATTTCGGTTTTTAAGGTTCGATGCATTTTTAATTATGAGAAAATAATATTTTTTTTACATTTTCGATTTGGGCATTACAAGTAATTAAGATGATCATTTAGATTGTGTTTTTAAACACAGCAATAATTCCTAACTCCAAATAAACACAAAAAACAGAATATTAATTTGTTTAATTTTCCAATATTATTTTTAACAAATTAAATTAATTATTTACAACTAAAATGCTATTGGATAGTTAGGACAAACATACAAAATCTAAAGTAGTTGCTCGAAATTTAAACCCAATTGTTCAATACACAATTCACATCTACGAATGATCGAACGTGGTATAGCATTATTCAAATAAGGCCTTATTTCATCAAATGCATTCCTGATTCTGTCTAATAGTATATCTCTTGTGGTTACGGGAGTCTGGTACACTTTTTCTTTTAGAAATCCCCACACAAAGAAATCTAATGGATTTAGGTCAGGGGATCGTGGAGGCCAGGCGACTGGTCCTCCACGGCCGATCCATCTTTCTGGATAATTTTCGTCCAGCCAGTTTCTAACTATTCTCGAATAATGAGCTGGACAACCATCAAGCTGGAACCAGGCCAATCTTCTTAAATCTAACATAACATCATCTTACATATTTGCATGTTCAGCCTTTAAAAATTCCAAGAAGGTCGCAGCATTCAACCTTGCAGGCAAAAGGTAGGGTCCAAATAGTCAACGGTCCATAAAATGTTACTTAAAAACTCCCTATTATTATCACTTCTATCAAGAATCCACTGACAAAATGTGATTCTTCGTTCTCCGTCCCCTGGCTGTAGTCCTTGCACAGGTTGCAAATGGTAAGGACGTCTATGATCATTTCTAAGAACACGGTGAACATGGCTTGCTGAAATTCCCAAGGCACCAGAAACTCTCCTAATACTTGTGGTCGGATCTCTATCAAACTCACGCAGAATCATACGGGTAAATCTGCGCTGACGAACATTTATGTTTTGATCCCTTTGGAGATTTCCAAAACCATTTTCAATTATTTGGCGATGCACTCTTACAAATACTGAGCGAGTTGGATGTCGTCTGTTTGGAAATCTTCGTGCGTATTCTCTGGCTGCTTCTGCCGCGTTTCCATTTACAAAGCCATACACAAAATGAATATCCGCTAGCTCTTGATTGGAGAATAAAAATGGCATTTTTATAAAACTTACAAAAAAAAAAACAGGTAAAAGAAACTAAATTTCGTGCATTCACAATTGCAAAAAAACGCTTCAGGTTTCAACAGACAACAAAACTAACTGTCAACTAATTGACGTTTAACCTTATTCTACTTTCAATTTCAAAATTATTTGCAGGCACAGCCTACTTCTAAAAATTATCGAGATACTGACTTTTTAACGTTATTTTATCATAAATAATTAAAAATACATCGAACCTTAAAAATCGAAATATCTCAAAAACGGCTAACTATAACGAAAATTGACAAGAGAGCTTTTTTATGTTGAAAAGTGCGAAGAATAATTTTTCGGTCATTTTAATACACTACAGGTACAGTAGAGAGCGCCCTCTGGCGGCTACAGTAAAACTATGCCCATGGTTCTTTTTGTGGTACCAAAAAACCCTTGTATACCAATTTTCACTGTTATACATCAAATATTGTTCGAAATATTTAAAAAAAACTATTTTAGAAAGTAAATTTAATCACCCTGTATTTCGGAAGCCACGCATTTTTCGACCCATGTTTATATAGACTTTATGCATTAATTTTAAAAGTTCTATCGAATCTTAAAGTTATGCAACAATAAACTGAATATATATACGAGCAGTACTCATTGCCATTGCCAACGACCAGTTGGGCAAAAAGTACAATTAATTGTGAATTGGGAAATTGGCAAACTTTTTAGGCGTTAGTAAACTCTTTTAACGCGGTAATCTCGAGCTTTCGGCATTCTCTATGGAGCCATCTTCAGGAGCTAAAAACCCAATTATGATGCTAGCAACCAATACGGGAAGGATTTAAATTGTCAGACAACTTACTCGTCGTTAAGGTTGCAGCCGAATGGTGTTTCAAAACGAACGCGTGGATGAGAGCCCTTGTTACAAATATAAAACCAAATGGACGGACACATTGGGTTTATTGTTAACGACGGAAACGATCGTTAGGTGTTAACACTATATATCAATACACCCGAACACATTAAAAATTAAAGGTAAGCAATTTGAACCGGCAAATCCCGTTCTAACCTCCTACATCTGTTTCACGTGGAGAAAATGAGCGGACCGGAAGAATGACGCGTCGACAGATGACAGGTGACTGTCGCGAAGGAATGTGGAAATGTAAACATCATTGCCAAACTTCACGTATAGTATATACCAGGGACGCTCGGTAAAACCTCACCCTAATTTCAAAAATGCTGGATTAAATTTGTTTTGGAAAAAGTGTTATTCATATGAGTGTACGAGTGTAAGATGGTGATACACGCTTGAAAAAATGGGTTGTGTGAAAATATATTAAAATTTATTATTACCGTGACGGCAATGTTTCAATTAACAGGATAAATAATTGGAATTGCGTTTTAATTTTGGGAGGACGTTAGATCACCTGACTTCCGTTGATCCACTACTAACTTTACACACTGTATATTTATTGTTTGAAATAAACTGGTACATTAACACAGTGATTAAAAAAATAGCGTCAATATTTCTTGGTTTAGCACATGCATAACCAATAGGTACAAACATTTTCTTGACCCAAACTACATCACTGCATGAAAAAATAATTTAAAAAAGAAACTTTTTCCATATGCATACGCAATTAAGTGGACTTTTTTTCTCGAAAACTAAACAAGATACTAAAACAATCAAGAGACAAAAAACAAACAAATTACAACAAAATTAGGTAAAGGATATTTAAGAAATTTACAAGGAGCCATTTTTTTTTAATTTCTTGAGAACGAAGAATTTGCGGACCTACCTGCATGTCTTAAAATTACTCAAAGAATAGTCTGTTACATTTATGGTACGAGGGTGGTCCCAGAAGTACCCGGCCTGACCTAGAGATGGCGATAGTTGTTTGAAAAATCTCATTGTATTAGAAAGTATGCAACCTATAAAGCATATGTGTCAAGTTTGAAGACGCCAGGTTGTTT